TTTGTTCCCGTCGACACACAGCAGCCGTGTTGGTGAATGAAGGAGCGTTTGGCGACTGTTCGAGCTTTGTCAACGGCGCCTTGACTTTCCAGCTAAGTATTTTCTCCTCCGTACACTTTGCCTTTTGTGATGCAAGCGCTTGTCGCTTGTATTTCATGAGTTTCGCTGCTTCCTCTGAAATCGCCACTGGTTGGTTCGGGCTCAACTCACAACAAGCCACAGACCCCTCCTGTTGCAGGTAGCCTCTCAGGTTCAGGTTCAGGTTCACAGCCCCCTCAGGTTCACCCCCTCTGGTTCTCTTTGGGGTCTGTGGCTGGTGGTCATGCCTCCATCAAAGGCCCCTCGCTTCTCTTGCCTGCAGCTTCTTGCATTGGCCAATTCCCTCTTAGTCCCCTCACCGTGCACTCACTGCTGCTCTGTGTGCGCACGTGCATGTGTGTGTATGCGGGGGAAAAGGCCGCCCGTCGATCGGGACAACAAGCTGCTCTCTCTTCCAATACAAGTATGGTGAACTCACAATGCATTGTTTTTTTCTCTCGGTCTCCTCTCCAGCTGCCATGTGCCATCTCTTCTGCCATGCCGGTGCTCTTTTGCATCCTCACCCTCTCATCCACTCAACTCTCCTCTCGTTGCTCACGCCTCTCTTCCCTTCCCTTGATATCCTTCCTACCCTCAGCTCCAGCTCTCAAGGCGACAGTGGCAGCAGCAACTCAGGGCAACTGCAGGATCATGGCGAGCACACAAGGAGTTGTGGGGGGGTCAGATTAGGTAGTATACCACTTCTGCATCCCCCGTTTTCATGCTTTCTGCCGTGCCGTTCTGTCTTGCCTTCTGTCTTTCCACAGTGGCCGTGTATCTTTGCTCCTGTGATCCAGATAATCATACCATTCTGCTCAGCTCTCAAACCCCTCCTCTCCTGCCCTCTCGTCTTCTCTGCTCCCCTCTCTTTCATCGTCAGAAATGCAGCACCTTTTATTCAGAGCCAGTACCATGGGAGGCTGCATTGGCAGCAGCAGCAGAGGTGCCAGCAGCAGTGGAAGGGTGAGCAGCAGTGAAGGGCTGCACCTTTTATTCTAACTGACCCTGCCATGGCAGTGACGGCATGGGCAGCTGCCATAGCAGTGGTGGCAGCGTCAATGGGAGCTGCATTGGTTGCGGCAGCAGCAATGCAATGAGTGAGTTCAGCTTCTTCTAGTGCTTCCGAGCTCTCCGTCTGTGTGTTTCTTGTTCAATATCGCTTCTGTTCTTGTCCAGGCTCGCATGTCTTACCCATCTCCCTTCGTCCTAGTCCCTGTGTTGCTCGTTCTCCTCTTCATGTGTCCCTGGCTTTCGGTCTTTCTAATATCATGTACCCTCGCCCCTTCTCTTTCGATGTCTCTTTGCTCTCTTTGGCAACCACTGCAGCGACGCAAAGGGAATCGCGACGAGAGCACCCACTGCAGCAACCAAACACTCTGGAGCACCGTCAGTGTGCTTCGTGGACGTCAGCAGCAGCAGCAGCAGCAGCAGCAGCAGCAGCAGCAGCAGCAGCAGCGGACAAGCAGCCGGGTGGTAGCCGCTCTCAGCAAGAAAGCCAATCCGCAGGTTATCGCGCAATTTGAGCGCGCTGCAGCATTTAGCCAATAGACCCACCGAAGTGGCTATGAGTGGACTTGAACCACTGACCCTAGCAGCTGCGTGGGGTGAAGGCGTGGAGCAGGAGCAGCAGAGCTACGGGCGGAGCGAGGTACGTGGCAGGGGGTGCGTGCAGCGGGGTAGTGAAGTGAGTCGTAGGGCGTCGCCGCGCAGAGGCAACAGTCGTGTCTGCTGCTCTCAAGTCCCACCACTCGCTTCCTCCTGCTTCTAACCCTCCCTTCTTGCGTTGATTCTGTGTGTGTGCGTCTCTCCCCGTGCGTGTGTGTCTCACGGCTTGTGAGACGGAGGGCAATGGCAGGGAGTGGAGGGAGGGGTGACATGCGTGCAGGCCAACACACAACAGCAGCTTTGGTGAATGCAGCAGCGTTGGCGACTTGCAGCAGCAGTAGCAACAGCGCCTTCATGTCAGCAGCAGGAGCAGCAGCAGCAGTGGACAAGCAGCCGGGGTCACGGGCAGCAGCAGGGTGGAGCTGCTCGAGGCGAAGGCGAGGGCGCAGGAGTGACAGGGCGGGTGCGGAGCGTGCGGACAGAAGGAGGTACGTGCCAGGGGGTGCGTGCATGGGGGCAGTGAAGTGAGTCGTAGGGCGTCGCCGCGCAGAGGCAACAGTCGTGTCTCTTGCCCTTGCCTCCACCACTCGCCTCCTGCTGCTTCTAACCCTCCCTTCTTTCCCCGCTTCTGTGTGTCTGTTCATCTATCCCGTGCGTGTGTGTGCCTCATAGCCTGCGAGACGGAGGGCAATGGCAGGGAATGGACGGGGCGTGACATGTGAATGTGGGGAGGGGGGAAGGGAGGTGGGGGGTGCATTTGTGGGCGTGTGAGTGCATTGTGGGTGTGCCTCTCAGCCTTCAATCCCTGGTGTGAAGCGGATTGCTCTTTGAAGGCCTGCCCATCGGTTGGCACAACAAGCTGCTTGCTCATGTGATGCAAGAGGTAAGGTAACCAGGAGTGAAGGCGCAGCAACAGGGCGAATGCACCATGCATTGCTTTCATTGTCACAATCCCTTCTCCAGCTGCCATCTGCCATCTCTTCTGCCATGTCGGTGCTCTTTCGCACCCTCACCCTCTCGTCCTCTCGCTTCTCCTCTCCTTGCTCGCACCTTTCCTCCCTTTCCTTGACATCCTTCCTCCCCTCCCTTCCAGCACTCAATGGGGCAGTGGCTGCAGCAACTCTGGGTTCTCCAGTGGCGGCACAACCGTAGGATCATAAAAAGCACACAGTGATGTGGGTGAATGCGTGGAATAGATCAAGTGTTGTCTTTCGTCTCTGTTTGTCATTTTCCTGGTTTCTGTTGTGTTGTTCCGTCTTGTCTACCATCTTTATCCCACGGTGTCCAAGTGTCTTTGCTGCTGTGTTTCCAGAGGTTTGTGCCACTCTGCTCACCTCACAAACCCCTCCTCTCCTGCCCTCTCCTCTACTCGGCTCTCCTCTCTTTCATCACCTGAAGGGCAGCACCTCCAATCGTGCACCAGCAGCATGTGCACCAGCGGTGGCAGGCAGCAGCAGCAGCAGCAATAGCAGCAGCAGTGGTGTGGTGACTGCAGCAGCAATGGAGGAGTAAGTACAGGTTACTGTGCTGCTGGTTGTATGATATCACTTGCGTTCCTGTCAGGCTCCTCTCGTACCCATCTCGTTTCACCCTTGATCTTGATTAGACTCCTCAGCCTCTCACACACTTGTTTCTCCTCTCTTTGCTCACTCCTCCACTGCCTTTCTTCCTCGCCCTTGCCATCCCTCCTCCTGTCCAGCACTCAAGGGGGCAGTGGCTGCGGCAACTCAGAAACCCCCAGTGGCTGCATCACAGCTGGATCATGCCTACATACAAGGAACTGTGAGTGGATCTCCCGTTGTGCTGTTCTGTCTTGTATACCATCTTTCCACGGTGAGCATGTGTCTTTGCTGCTTTGTTCCCAGATAAGTCAGGCCAATCTGCTCAGCTCTCAAACCCCTCGTCTCCTGCGCTCTCCTCATCTCCGTCCTCCACTCTTCCATGGCGCAAAGAGCAGCACCGTGGCCACCTTTTATCTGGAGCTGGCACCGTGGGCAGTTGGAGTGGCAGCAGCAGCAGTGAATGGAAGCGCATTCCTACAAATCCAGCAGCATAGGCAGCAGCCGTGGCGTTGGTGGCTTTGTCAGTGGTGGCTGCAGCAGCAATGCAATAAGTGAGTACAGCTTACCCTGTTGCTTCTAAATCCCCTCTATGTGTGGGCTGTTGGTTCTTGTCCAGGCTCCCAAGTCTTACCCGTCGCCCTTCACCCTTGGCCTAGTAAGCTCGTTCCTCTGTCTTTCTGTGTCCTACTGTTATGCTGCCTTTGCCTACCTCCCCTCTCAAGTCCCTCCTCTCTCCATGTCTCTCGCAAAAACTGTGGGGGAAGCAGTGGCGGCAGCAGCTGCGCTGTGTAATCTCCATGGTAGATGTGATGGGAGACCCTGCCAAGCTGTGTCTGCTAGCCGTGCTCATGTAATGTTTCTGTGCTGTGGTGGGATGTGCCTGCATGTTGTAGAATAGGTGGTCGGGGTGGGCAGCCTGGAGGATGCCAGGCCACAAGCTCCCATGCAGGACGGAGTGTCTTCCTGCAGGTGCTGTGCTGTGCCATGATGACTTGCGCTGCACGATGCTGTGCCGTGGCACAGGGAGGACTTCGCTGCTATCGGCCAAGCCCTTGTTGAGAGAGAGAGCGAGGTGGGGCTGACATGATGTGAGAGGCACAGGGCCCCGATGGGGAACAGGTGACAGTGCTGCGTACACGCAAAGTGCACGCAGCATGCATGTGTATTGTGCATACTGAAGAGGCCACCATGAACAGAACATGATACAGGAAAACCCCACACACACAATCGAGTATGGTATTGCAGGGACTGACAAGAAGATTTGAGTGTGTTCACATTTTACACAGGGACTGCAGTACAGGACTGGTCTGGAGAACATAGGTTTGGTTAATTGGTGATTAACCTGTGCCAACTGAGAAATGTACATCCTCACCTCATTTCAAACTAGTGAGGTTTATAGGGTAATTCTTACGAGAACCATGAATCATGTTCCAGTAATTGCTTCACTGCTACTGCCTACAAGCACAAAGTTCTAGTACCGCGCTTCAAAACCAAGCAGGTCACATTACAAAGATACCACGCCACCCCACGCAACCAGCTGGCAAATTTGCTAAGTCATGTCGATGCGCTAGCCTCCCCTTCCCCCTTTGCGTCGCACTCCTCGCCCTCCCCGCTACTTGTCAACCCGTGTCACTGGGTTCCGTCGTCTCTGGTGCGGCACACCCCGCGTGACGTGCTTCTCACGCCAACCTCGTCACTCTTCCGCCGTTTTTTCCGCATCTTCCCCAGTAATCCCCCTTGCGTCCGTCGTCCCCGATGGCCCGCGGAACCGTGAGCGGTCGCGCGGCGGAGGTTCTGCGGAACACTCTGGGCGGCGTGCGCGGGCGGCAGAACGCCGCGGCATGGCTAGTGGCGGGAACGGCGGCGTACTTTCTGTGGGTGCGCCCCGAGTGGGAGAAGCAACGTGAGCGAGAGGTGAGGAGGGGAGGGGAGAGGATGCGGAGGGTGACTTCTCAGTCGACTCAAAAGTCTTTCTGTGGGTGCGCCCGGAGTGGGAGAAGCAACGAGAGCGAGAAGTGAGTGGGGGAGAAGAGGGCAGGCGGAGGGAAGGTAAACGGGTGCGGGAAGGTTGATGTGACGTGGATGGGGATTTTCTTGGTCCGGAGGGTGGGGGCGAGATGGATATTCGGGGAGAATAGCCTTGAAAGATGCATTTGGGGGATGATATGGCTGTGAGGTTGCCATGCCAGAGACAAGGAACGCTAGTGGCTTGGGGAGCCGGTTGATTTGAGTGCTTTCTTCCACTCACTTTCAGTTGGCATGTCTTTGTTTTCCCAACCAAATGTGCTGCATCGCATGGCATGGTGGTGATGGCATGGCATGGTATCATTAACATGGTGATGGCATGGCATGGTGGCATGGTGATGGCATGGCATGGTATTATTGGTATGGTGGCGAGATGGCATGTGTGTTTGCGAGCAGGAGGCGATGAGGAGATGGAGGGAGAGTGGGGAGGCAGAGAGATACGCGGAGAAGGTAGCGCCAAGAGCCGACCCTCAGGTGAGCCTATGACACGTGCCAAGAAGAGCAGTGCACGTACCCAGCCTGTCCCATTTGCTCACTGCGTGCGATAGTCTACCGTAGTCTCTGCCACTCCTTTGCCCATCAGCTTATTGCTTCTCTGTTTTGCAACTCTTGGCCGGCTTTCTCCCATCCCGTGCTGCTTGCTTGCCACCCCAACATCCAGGTTGGGGGGCTTATCATAGGAGATGCGTCCAAGAACAGGAACTAGTGTGCCTGCTGCAGTAAGATTTGAGAAGCATTTGCAGGTGTCTGTTCTACACAGATTTCATGTGTCCAGTGTTTAACAAGGGAGATATGCAAAATGCCTTTCTTTCCATATAGAAAAACGATTTGTATTCCGTAAACACACCTGTGCCTAGACCATGTACCATAAGATCCTATAATCACTCTGGTAACCTAAAATTCTACCGTGGATCTGGTCGCGTAATGCAACTGCAGCATTGCAGCAGCAGCAACTCAATGCACTATCTACCGATTCCACAATCTGGCCCATGCAATGAAACGCGATAGCCACCAACATTGCACGTCTCTGAGGCTGTTCCATTGAGTGACTCATACCAGCGTGAAGAGCAGTGCCAGTATCAGTACCGCCAGAACTCGTACGGACCCCTCGAATAACCCTTGACATGGCATGGCATGGCATGAAATGCTGCAGATGCAGCACAGGGAGCACAGGACCAGTCCCAACAACCACACCCTGCCATCACTTCACCTGCTCTGGAGAGCAAGAGAAGAACCTGAAACCGGACAGAGCTGCAGACAACACAACACGGACAGGATAGGACCCTGTCACGATTCACAAATCAGGACCCATATCCCATGAACCATGACACATGATACAAGACCTATGCCCCATGACCCATGGCCCATAACCCATGGCCCATGACCCATGAACCATGACCCATGTCAGGGTTGACGCAATTTCTGCGGAATCTTGACACGGGTGATAACCATTCCTGAAGCTCCCGCCGAAGCAATGCCTCCTAGGCAGAGGCATTGCTGCTACCCTTCCATGCCCCTCTTCTCTTCTCTTCTCTTGTCGCCACCACCACCAGCACAACACCATCCAGAGGACCAACCTTGCCTTGCAATGTACCAACCCCACCCCTCGCCTTCCACTGGGTCAGATCAAACCCAGTCACCTCGTCATTCCCTGCCCGCCCGAAAGTCTAAGTGCCCTTGCAAACCAAACCTAGCCTCCATTTCCAGCTGGTTCAACGTGTGACTCCCACCAGGCTAACCATTCTGCTTAAACTCCGAACTTATCGCTGACACACCGAGTGGTGGGGTTGGTCACGGGAAGGCTCGGCATTGCCACTACATGGCAAAGCCAGCAAGCCCACGGGGGTTGGAAATGGAAAGCGGAGGCGAGAAAAGGAGGAGGGACCGATGTTGAGATGGGAGCGAGAGACAGCACAGCGGCAGCAACAGTGGCGGCGGCAGCAGCAGCAGCAACAGCAGCGGCAGCAGTGACATGAGTCCCTGTACATAGAGAGGTAAAAGGAGATCAGACGGTGATGAACGCCCAACACAAGCACTTGAACAAATATCGTATGTGCATTTGCAATGAACCGAGCCTAGAGAAGCCATAGATGTAAAAGCAGCAATAGCAGCAAGAGCAACATCACCAGTGGCAGCAGCAGCAGCAGCAGCAGCAGCAGCAGCAGCAGCGGCATGCATCACAGAGCCTGGAATCACCTGCTCGCCTGTGCGAATCAGGCATCCATGTGCGGGTCGTCATCATCGTCTCCATTGCGCGAGTTGTCATCGTCACTCATACTCTTGAGACGTCTCAGAAGTGGAGTTACCTGGTTGCAGAAGGCCAGGGGGTGCCGTGCGAAGTGAATCAGGCATCCATGTGCGAGTCGTCGTCGTCATCGTCGTCGTCTCCATTGCGCGAGTTGTCGTCGTCACTCATGTTGTCGCCCTCGTCGGCCTCCTCCTCGTTGTAAAACGCATTCAGCTGCCGCTCCAGCTGATGCCCACCACACAGAGGAAGAGGGAACAAGGGCAAACACGCAGGAAGGAAAGGGAGAGTGGTTGCGTGTGGGAATGGGCGTGCGTGGATGTGCGTGCTTGACTGTGTGTGTGAGTGTGTGCGAGTGTGTGTGAGAGTGCACAAGAAACAACAGTGCGGCTTCACCTGTGTTGGGTGCGACAGCCTTAGCTTCACTCATCTAGTCCATGCTTCACAGCCGTGCAGTGCTAACCTGGGCATTCAGGTTCCTGAGGGGATTTTTGAGTCGACTCAAAGGCAGCCTTACAGGCTTCACTCATCTAGTCCATGCTTCACAGCCGTGCAGTGCTAACCTGGGCATTCGGGTTCCTGAAAGTCTTGTTTTAAGGAAACCTCAAAACACGCAGTGCGTACCTGGGCATTCTGATTCCTAAGAGCAGCGAGTTCGTTCTGCAGGAAGACGATCCGCGAGTCCAGCTCCCCCACCTGCTGACTCAGGTCCCTCTCCCTGTCCGCTGCCACCTCCACCTGCTCGCAGCACATACGAAGCACACAGAGACGACTTATGAGACGTTTCAAAAGCTCCCCCACCTGCGGACTCAGGTCCTTCTCCCTGTCCGCTGCCACCTCTACCTGCTCTCAGCACACACAGGCAACAGGGTGAGCAGCACATAAGAAGCACCCATAGATGACTTTAATAACGTTTCAAAAGCTCCCCCACCTGCGGACTCAGGTTCTTCTCCCTGTCCGCTGCCACCTCCACCTGCTCGCAGCACACATGGGCAATGGCATGGCATGGCATGGCGTGGCATGCGCCCAAAAGGAGAAGCATCCGTAGCAGACTTAACAGAGGGATACAGAGCAGCTTGAAAAACTGCAAGTCACCACCCACCTGTCAACACCACCACCCCTTTTTAAATTCTGCTGGAGATGCAACATAATGCTATGAAACGCTTTGCCACGAGTGGTCAGCAGCATATAGATTGCATTGCAGGGAAATGGGTAAGTGAGAAGCAGGACACTGAAAAGCGCGTGGCAAGGGAACGTGGCCAAGCGGCAAGTGGATGGTGGGAAGTGGGGAGAGGGGTGGTGAGGAGTGGGTAACGGCAAGGTGGGGTGTGGGGTGATAGGGTGGTGGGGAGCAGTGAGGTGGGGTAAAACGTACAATGGAGTCGTCATACGAAGCGAGGCTATCCCTAAATATTTTCAAGTGCCACAATGAGTGTCAACGTACAATAGAGTCGTCATACGAGGCGGGGCGGGGTGTGAGGTGGTAGGGAGCAGTGAGGTGGGCTTGAACGTACAATAGATTCGTCAGTCATATGAGGCGAGGCTATCCATGCTATCCCTGCTATCCCTGCTATCCCTGTTTCTTTGTAAAGCGCCTAAAAAAAAAAGTGAACTTACAATAGAGTCGTCATACGAGCCGAGGCTATCCCTGGACGACGCAGCAGCAACGAATCTCCCATCCTCCCCTTCATTCTCCCCCTCCCCATCCGCCGCTTTGCCCTCACCCTCCTCTTCCATTCCCCTCTCGCTCCCCTCCTCCCCCTTCTCCTCACCCCTATCAACCACCCGCCCATCCACCCGCTTTCCACTTTCCCCTTTTCTCTCTCCTCCGACTCTCGCTGCTGCATCAGCCGGCCCCATGCCCTCCTCACTTGAACCTGACTCTCTCCTTTCGCCCTCGCCTCGCCCGCCCTTGCCTGAATCACCGCCCCCCGCTGCAGCGCCATCGCCAGAACCATACCTCTGCCCGTCTCCCTCCTTGCTCTCTCCTTTCCCCCCAGAACCCCCTGCAGTGGCGCCAGGAGCAGCGGAATCAGCAAGAGTAGGAGCAGCAGACGTGTTGTCTGCAGCGCCGTTTGCAGTGTGAGCAGCATTAGCAGCAGCATTCGCAGCACTGGCAGCATTGGCAGCATTGGCAGCACTGGCAGCATTGGCAGCACTGGCACCGGCATTAGCAGCAGCACTCGCATTGCCAGCAGCAGTGTTGCTATCCTGAAAGCGTACGGACCGCTCCTTGCTCCCCTCACCACCACCGCCGCCGCCACCCTCCCCTGCTGCATCCGCCCCCTGCTGCTCCTCCCCTCTTCCTCCGCCCTCCCCCTCGCTTGTCCCAGTGTCAGCCTCAGCCGCTGCAGGGGATTCTGATATCTCGGGAACGGATTCAGGTGCAATGACACCTGTGGGAGGGGGGTGGGAGGGCGAGAAGGCGACTTGTGAGACGTCTCAAAGATCGCTCTGCTGCCGAGGATTCTGATATCTCAGGCACGGATTCAGGTGCAATGACACCTGTGAGAGGGGGGTGGGAGGGGGGTGGGAGGGGGGTGGGAGGTGGGTGGGAGGCGGGTGGGAGGGCGAGAAGGCGACTATTGAGAGGTTTGAAAGCGCTGCAGCGGCGGTTTCTGATATCTCGGGCACGGACGGACTCTGGTGCATGCATCTACGACACCTGTGGGAGGGGGTGGGATGGGGTGAGAGGGGGCAGGTGGAGGAGGACGGGAGGGAAGCAAGGAGACATGATAAGATCCCTTCGGTGCCTCTGACTCTTATGCAACAGAGTCTGCTGCTGCTTAACTGACTTTCTGTGTAAGAGCCCAATTCAATGCACAAACGCATGCATGCATGCATGCATACCTGTATCGCCATAGCCAGGGGAGAGGAAGTGAAGCAGGCTGTAGATCACCTCCTGGGAAATGGGAATACAGGAGGGAGGGGCATGAGGCGGGCGGGGGTGAGTGATGTTTTGAGTCGACTCAAAAGACACGTGAAGCAGGCTGTAGATCACCTCCTGAAATGGGAATACAGGAGGGAGGGGCGTGGGTAAGGGGGAAGAGTGAGCAGAGGGGGAAGTGGCGTGCATGGAAACTGGTGGTCTGTTTGAAGCAGTTTGAAGCAGAAAAATTGCCTGTGTAACCACATGCAGGCAGCAGCACCAAGAGAAGGAGCACAACCAGCAGCAGCAGCAGCAGCAGCAGCAGCAGCGGCAGCGTCAACGAGGGCACACCTGTTGCTCAGTGGCCTGGCGCAGCAGCGAGCCGAGGTGCAGCATGATGCCTGCAAGAGGTGTTTCCACCACCACGTGACGCACGTCATGCATCGCCAGGGGCGTGGGGGGCAGCGACCCGCCCTGCAGGGGGTGCGCGGGGAGAGACGAAAAGAGGGGAGATGAGGTTCAGACGAGCCGAGGTGCAGCATGATGTCTGCAAGAGGTGTCTCCACCACCACGTGACGCACGTCATGCATCGCCAGGGGCGTGGGGGGCAGCGACCCGCCCTGTAGGGAGTGAGGAGGGAGAGGGCGAGAGAGGAAAAGGTTTGAGACGTCTCAAAACTCGTCTCCACCGCCACATGATGCACGTCATGCATTGCCAGGGGCGTGGGGGGCAGCGACCCGCCCTGCATGGAGTGAGGAGGGAGAGGGCGAGAGAGGAAAAGGTTTGAGACGTCTCAAAACTCGTCTCCACCGCCACGTGATGCACGTCATGCATCGCCAGGGGCGTGGGGGGCAGCGACCCGCCCTGCATGGAGTGAGCGCGAGCGGGAGGACAAAAGGATCCTCAGAAGAGGGGAGGAGGTGACTTTTGAGTCGACTCAAGAGCAGGAGGACAAAAGGATCCCCAGAAAAGGGGAGGGGAATGCAGGTGCGTTGAGGGATTCTTGAGTTGAGTCACAGACAGCTGAGAGAGGAGCACAGCGGGGTTACAGAAAATAAGATTGATTCACGGGAAAAGGGTCGGGATTAAAGAGAACGAAGACGGGGATAAACAAAACGCTCACAATGCGAGGGTGAAGGGAGGGTTGTGTGGGGGGGTGGCGGTAGGGGGGGGGAAGGGGGGGGGAGCGTTTGGGGAATTGGAGGAACAGAGCGGGGAGAGAGAGGGGGGGGAAGCAACGCACCTCAGTGGATTCGAGGTCGTAGGAGAGGAGGAGGTGGAGTACCGCGGGTCCATGTGAGACAAGGCGACTCTTGAGTCGACTGGAGAATCATACCTCGAGCCATGGAGGCAACTCAAGACTCACCTCGGTGGATTCGAGGTCGTAGGAGAGGAGGAGGTGGAGTAGCGCGGGTCCATGTGGCATGTGGCATGATATCGAACCAACCAAGGGGGCGACTCAAGACTCACCTCCGTGGATTCGAGGTCGTAGGAGGAGCTGGAGTATCGCGGGTCCATGTGACCCAAGGCGGTGGTTAAGTTGACTCGAGAATACGATACGAGACAATTGATTGTTGCAAATTCTCAGCACCAGCTCACCTCGGTGGATTCGAGGTCGTAGGAGGAGCTGGAGTACCGCGGGTCCATGTGGCCCTGTGGCCCCGCGTCCTCCAGAGAGTGCCTCGGGCCTGCCTTGTCTGCTCGCACCGAGGTGCGGAGGGGGAAGGGAGGAGGGAGGGAGAGGAGGGGAAGGGGGGGAAATTTTAAAGTCTCCATGTGGCCCTGCGACCCCGCGTCCTCCAGAGAGTGCCTCGGGCCTGCCTTGTCTGCTCGCACCGTGGTGCGGAGGGTGAGAGGGAGGTGGGGACGGGAAGAGGGAAACGGGAGAGGAGACCTGGAGGCAGGAAAGGGCAGGCAGCTTAACACGCACCCCCATCCACGCCCCAGCACGGATCCCAGCACGTGTAAAGAGGTTATTTTTAAGACGTCTCAAAAATAACCTCTTTACACGTCGCCCTAGCATGCAAACCAGCACGGATCCCTCCCAGCACACTCCCGAGCACGCACCCCAGCATACACCCCAGTAGTGCAGGTCATACATGCATACCTGGGTGCGGCAGCGAGTGCAGGGAGTGCAGGAGCGCGGAGCGTGCGCCGTGCGAGGCGTGGGGGTGCAGGGAGGAGGCGAGCAGCAGCGACGTGGTGGGATCCATCATGGGCTCTCCGAACCGGTTCAGCGGCATGGACGCATTCCACCTGGCGGGGCAACGGAAAGCAAGGGGGGGAGAGGGGGTGGGAAGGGGGTAAGCGGAAAAGAGAGGGGGTAAGCGGAAAAGAGAGGGGACACTGGGGTTAGCAGCGACGTGGTGGGATCCATCATGGGCTCGCAGAACTGGTTCAGCTCAGCGGCATGGACGCATTTCACCTGGCACGTAGGGGGATGGGGATGGAGGGGGGGGAAGAGGGGCGGAAGGGGGAGAAAAAAGAGGAGAGGGGGAAGAAGTAGGGTGAAGGGATGAGGAGAGGGGGGAACGGGAGCGGGGAAAGGCTGCATTCGCGTTTTCAGTGTGTGCAACGACCAGTCAGGAAAAGAGAGCTACACTAGAAGAGCGTGCGTTTTTTTTTTTTTCTAACTCAGGAGTCATACGGTAAGAAAGGTGAAGAGCCTCAGAAGCAGGGGCACACCGAACTGACAACGAGAGTGAGTTAGCGTGTGTGCTTGCTGGGCACGTGGGCATGCGGGTGTGCGAGGCTGGACTTGCCTCCCCGGATGGTAGTCCAGGTTTTGAGTCGACTCAAAAGCAACTGACAACGAGAGTGAGCGAGCGTGTGTGCTGGGCACGTGGGCATGCGGGCGTGCGGGTGTGCGAGGCTGGACTTGACTTGCCTGCCCGGATGGTAGTCCAGGCGTGATGTGTCGTTCAGCGATGGCGGATGCTCACTCGAGAGTGACGGCTGGTAGAGACGATGGCACAGGCAATCGAACCAAAGAGCGGGAAGGAAAAAGAGTGACCATGAGGAAGCTGTTATGTTATGCACACCGACCATCCAAAACGAGAGAGAGCATAGGAACGGAACCAAAGTGGTAGCAGGAGCGCGAACGAGTACTACAAGAGACTCACCTCAAGCTCTGTTCCGCCATCTTGTGTACCAGACCCAGCCTCAGCAGACACAGCAGGCGCTGCGGCACCAGATGCAGCAGGAACCAATGGCCCTGTCGCTGCAGCAGCAGCAGCAGCAGCCACAGCGGTGGCACCAGCAGGAGCAGCAGCAGAAGCAGGAGCAGCAGCAGAAGCAGGAGCAGCAGCAGAAGCAGGAGCAGCAGCAGCACCAGCAGCTGCGGCAGTACCGGCAGTACCGGCAGTACCGGCAGCAGCAGTAGCAGTAGGGGACGTGCGCGGGGGGAGGATTCCCCCATGCCCGTCTGATGCAGCAGCAGCTGCTATAGCCACAGCCTGAGCGTGCCTCCATTGCTCTACCAGCGCTGCTTCTGCTCCCTCCACCCGCGCAGCGGACACTGATGCCGGCACCCCCTCCACATGCTGCCCAGCCTGCATGGCCTGCCAAGCCAACCAGCTCGATCCTGCATGTGCCGGCGGAACCTCCTCCCCCTCCCACCACGTGCTTGGTCCTCCCACGCCGGCCCTCGGTCCCCCCCCTGCTGCTGCTGCGGCTGCTGCTGCAATGACTGCTGCTGTTGCTGCTGGATCCTGGAGTGCCAGCTGCTGCTGCCGCTGCCGCTGCTGCTGCTGCTGCCAATGCCACTCCTGCTGCTGCCACTCCCACTGCTGCTGCTGCTGCTGCCAGTCCCACAGCTCATCCCCATGGGTTGCGTAAAACTCACCCGCACCCACACCACCTACCCCTCCCTCCTGCCTCGCACCCACACTCTGCCTTGTCCCTCCTGACTGCTGATCCAACACCCCTGCACCACCAGACCCCTCCCGCTCGCGTCCGTCCCCGGTACTATCCGCCTCGTTACTCCCTCTAGGCCCGCCCTCTCGAGCTGTTGCGCGTGCGTGTGCCGCCTCGTCCGCTTCTCTCAGCCGCACAGCTGCTGCTTCCTTGTCTGAATCCCGATCCATGAGCATTGCAAGGTCCTGTTTCTTCCTCTGCAACTGCTGCTGCTGCTGCTGCTGCTGCTGCTGCTGCTGCTGCTGCTGCTGCTGCTGAGCGTGCAGCTGACGCTGTTCCACTACCCTGTCCCGTTGAGCTAAGGGAGCAAAGTCGGCACCTGCCACAGCTCCTTCCCTCCGATCAACTTGCTCCTGCCCTTTCCCTCCGCGCTCCTCCCCTAACCTCCACTCCTCCCTGCTTCCCCTCCCCTCCGGGCCCACAAATGCATCAGCTCTCTCTCGCCCCCCCTCCTCCTGCTCCTGCTGCTGCTGCTTCCCTGTGTCAACAACCCTCTCCTCCTCATCCCTCCTCGTTCCAACCCCCATTCCATCATCTCTCTCCCTCTCCGCCTGACTCTGCTTCCCTGCCTCCACCTCCTCACTCCCACGCCTTCCCTCTGCGTCCCCAGCACTCCCCACCATCTGTCCCACCCCTTCTTTCTCCCCACTCACGCGTCTACGCTCCTGCTCCACCTGCTCCTGCTGCTGCTGCCGCTCCTGATGTAAATGCTCCTCGTGCTTATCATCATCACGCACTCCCGTTCCCTCCTTCGCCTTTCGCTCCTCCCCCACCTTCGTCTCCCTCACGCCATCCCCCTCTCCAACCCTCCCTGCCTGCTTCTCCTCGGATCCCCTTCCCGTAACCTTCACCACCCCTCCCTCATTGTCCGAAAAAATCTTCTCATGCCTCTCCTGTCTCTCCTGTCTCTCCTGCTTCTCCTGCTTCTCCTGCTTCTCCTGCTTCTCCTGCTTCTCCTGCTTCTCCTGCTTCTCCTGCTTCTCCTGCATCTCCTGCCTCTGCTGCTGCTGCTGCTGCTGCTGCTGCTGCTGCTGCTGCTGCTGCTGCTGCTGCTGCTGCTGCTGCTGCTGCTGCTGCTGCTGCTGCTGCTGCTGCTGCACAGCCTGCTGCTGCGACATCGCCCGCTCACGGCTCTCATGCCGATCCTCACGCCGAGCCTCATTCCGTTGCTGCTGATCACCCAGCTCCCTTCTCTCCCGGCCAAACTCCGCCCTCTGCGCTTGAACCTGCCCCTGATTCTGCCCCGGTCCCTGTCCCTGCCCTTGTCCCTGTGCCTGTCCCTGAGGCGGTGCCTTTGCCCCTGCTCCCGCCCCTGCTCCCTGCTTCCCGCCCTCCTCCGCGTTATCACTCCCCCTGCGAGACGAAGGCCCTGCAGAGCTTGGCGCGGAGCCCCCTGGGAGCAGCAGCAGCTCGTTCTCGGGAATTGTAGGCGGCTGCTGGTCCGGGTCCCAGATCTGCTCGTGGTGGTGGGATCGAGGGGCAACACAGGCAGCACAGCACAGCACATGCAGCGGTGGACACGGGTTATTTATTTGAGCCCCCTGGAAGCAGCAGCGGCTCGTCCTCGGGAATCATAGGCGGCTGCTGGTCCGGGTCCCAGATCTGCTTGGCAGTGGTGGCGGTGGCAAGGGGACAGCACAGGCAGCACGGGACATGGGATTTTGAGTCGACTCAAAAGGCAAGGGCTTGTCCTCGGGAATCATAGGTGGCTGCTGGTCCGTGTCCCATATCTGCTCGTGATGGTGGTGGCGGTGGAGAGGGGAAACACAAGCAGCACGGGATTAACTTCTGAGTCGACTCAAAAGGCAAGGGCTCGTCCTCGGGAATCGTAGGCGGCTGGTCCGTGGTGTCCCAGAATTGCTTGTGGTGGTGGTGGTGGCGGCAAGGGAGGTGGCAGTGGTGGCAAGGAGCAAGACAGACAGCCCAGGGGCCACAGGAAGAGGGAGCGAGCGCATTGAGAAAGGATGGGCTTTCAGGGTTGAAGCTGGACCACGGGCTGTTAACGAGCATGATTGCGAAGAGGTTAATACAGCTGGTGCCAGCGCGGAGAAAACACAAGGCGGAGAGGGAGAAGGAAAACGCAGCGGGAGGAGAGGGTGTGCGGGTACGGACCGTGGATGCTTCCTGTTTGAGTTGTTGCACATTGAAGCTCCACCCGCTGACGCCCAGGCGGTATTGACTCTGCATGCACGTCCAGTCCAGCCCGCATGGCAGCCACGAGCGGGAGGACAAGGGCGCGGAAGAGGAAGAGGAGGAGGAGGAGGAGGAGGAGGAGGAGGAGGAGGAGGAGGAGGAGGAGGAGGAGGAGGAGGAGGAGGAGGAGTAAGAGGGAGAAACGCGTGGGCGCGCACGTGAGTGCTACAAGCAAGCAAATGGGCATCGCTGCCATGATTTCACTGTGGTAAGTAGAGTTCCGAGCTCAAGTTGCACTGAAAATTTGGAACTAGCTACAGCAGGAAACGAGGAGACGAGTCTGAAGTTGAACAGGGTGGCGCGTGCGTGTAAGACTGGAATGGGGAAGTTCGGCAGAAAGACACTCAAGGGTTGCAAGGGCAGAGTGAGTGGTAGGAGTGGGACAGACAGAGAGAGTGAGTGAGAGAGAGAGAGAGAGAGCGGGTGAGAGTGTGACCTGCGAGCGCTCCTCCTGCACGTTCATGGGGTCCTTGTTGGCTGCCAGGCGCGCCAATTCCTTCTCCTGCAGGCACGTGCATGCACGGGGCAGACAGACAGAGTGACAGAGAGAGAGTGCGAGAGAGGGTGAGATGAGAGTGTGAGCTGAGAGCGCTCCTCCTGCACGTTCATGGGGTCCTTGTTGGCTGCCAGGCGCGCCAGCTCCTTCTCCTGCTCGCATGGACAGGCAGTGCACGCACACAGCACACAGCACACAGCACACAGCACAGGCCGGCCGACGAGGCACAGGGCACAAGGCACGGGAAGTGTGAGGGCATTCGGCAGGGAGTTGGGGCACGGGGGGCTAAGGGCATGAGCATGTGCTGGAGAGCTGAGCTTGCGAGAATGGCAGGCGGCAGTCCAAGCAGAGGGATGCGGCGCGGAGAAGAGAACGAGGAGGAAAGTGGTGATCAGAGCGTGAGTGGAGGAGGAGGAAGGGGAGGGTGCAGCGGGAGGAAGGCGTGAGTAAGGAGAGGGGATGGTGAGAGGAAGGAGGAGGGATGCGAAGGGGGAGGAGTGGGGGGGCGAAGGGGGGGTTGAGAAAGAGAGGGGGGGGGGGGGGAGGGGGGGGGGGGGGGGGGGGGCAGTACTCACCTTGAGCATCTGCACTCTCTCGCCCAGCGTGGGCAGCCCGTGCAGCAGGTGGTGGTAAACGTAGTCGGCGTCGCGCGCCTGCTTGAAGAATGCGTGCTTCATGAGCTTCTCCGCTGTGGGGCGCTTGGACGGCTCCTTCACCAGACACATGGCTATGATCTCCTTGAACGACTGCGAGAAATCACGCACAGATGGCCGCATGCATGGATGGATGGATGGATGGATGGATGCATGGATGCATAACATACGCATGGCCGCACATGCACACCCGCTCGCACACGAAGGCACATGCGCACGCGCAGACAAGGAGGGAGAGAACAAGGCATACCAGCCGCACCCACCACAAACACGCATATATTTCCCAACCCATGCATTGGACACCATCCATGCATCCGCCACCATCCATGCATCCGCCACCATCCATGCATCCGCCACCATCCATGCATCCGCCACCATCCATGCATCAGGCACCCACTCGCCACCGCATGAAATGGAGAACGATGGTTGCATTGCAAAGACCATAAATGGAGAACGGAGGGTCGTGGCAAATGAGCAGAGGGAGGGCTAGAGGGCAAAAGAAAAGCCAGAGGGGGGTCAGCGCGCGGAAGGGGACGCATAGAAGGGTACGGGGAGGAGGAGTGAAGGAGGGGTGTGGGAAGGAGGGGTGGGGGAAATTAGGGTGCGGGTAAGAGGGAAGAGAGGGAGGGTTATGGAAAGGGGAAGATGTGTCTAATTAATATTTTTTCACAGGCCAGAAAACAAGAGGCAGAGAGGCGGAGCAGCCACAACGAGGGAGGGAGTGAGGCAGGCAGGCAGAGCAGGCAGGCAGGCAGGCAGGCAGGCAGGCAGGCAGGCAGGCAGGCAGGCAGGCAGGCAGGCAGGCAGGCAGGCAGGCAGGCAGGCAGGCAGGCAGGCAGGCAGGCAGGCAGGCAGGCAGGCAGGCAGGCAGGCAGGCAAGCAGAGCAGGCAGGCAGGCAGGCAGGCAGGCAGGCAGAGCAGGCAGGCAGGCAGGCAGGCAGGCAGGCAGGCAGGCAGGCAGGCAGGCAGGCAGGCAGGCAGGCAGGCAGGCAGGCAGGCAGGCAGGCAGGCAGGCAGGCAGAGCAGGCAGGCAGGCAGGCAGGCAGGCAGGCAGAGCAGGCAGGCAGGCAGGCAGGCAGGCAGGCAGGCAGGCAGGCAGGCAGGCAGGCAGGCAGAGCAGGCAGGCAGGCAGAGCAGGCAGGCAGAGCAGGCAGGCAGGCAGAGCAGGCAGGCAGGCAGAGCAGGCAGGCAGAGCAGGCAGGCAGAGCAGGCACCTTGGAGAAGCGGCGGTCCCTCTCAAGGTCCAGCCCCGGAGGTGCTCCCTGCAGCGTCATCAGCAGCACCTGCGGCCAGCATACGAGAGCAGTACGGCGGTGGGGTGGTGGGGAGAGCGGACGACACGCCACAGTTGAGGATGTGTGGGGAAGAAGAGGGTTAAAAGGTGAGGAGGACGCGAGGGGAAGAGGGAGAGGACGGAACAGGAGGGAGGGCGTGGACAGGGGGGGGAGCAGGAAAGGGGGGAGAGTTGGAGGGGGGAGTGGAGCGAGTGGAAGGTGGAGAAGGAAGTTATGGTGAAAGTCAAAGCGGTGGAAATGGGGGACTGGGCGGTACGTGCAGGTGTATGAGCGGGACAAAACGAGGTGGAGGGGGAGCGGAGGGCAAGGGGAAGCAGGAGGGGAAGGGAAAGTGGAAGGGGGAGGGGGAGGGGAAGGGGGAGGGGAACGGGAAGGAAAGGGGGGGGGGAAGGGGGAGGGGAAGGGGGAGGTGAATGGGGAGGGGAAGGGGGAAGGGAAGGGGGAGGGGCGTGCGCACCTTCATGGGCGGGTACTTGGAGAAAGGCGCGTGGCCGTGCGCTAGCTCTAGAGCCGTGATCCCCAGCGACCATATGTCCGCCCTGGGGGGGGGGGAGAGGGGAGAAGGGGGGCGGGGGGGGGAGGAGGGGTTGGGGAAAGGGGGGAGGGGGAGACTGGAGGGTGGTAGGGAGCGGAGAGCGGGGAAGGAAGGGGGTGTCAGCGCGTGGAGCAGCACGGGGAGGGACAGAGCAACTCAACGCAGCGCATTCAAGGTGCTGGGTTCAGGGACGGGAGAAGAGGGGGGGGAGAGAAGGAGGGGGAGGGCGGGGCGCGAAAAAGGTAGCGGGAGAACGGTGGGGGGGTAACGGGACGACAGAAGGGCGTAGCGAACGGCAGGACCCAGGGGGGAGGGGGGGGGGGGGGGGGTGGTGGCAATGACGAGCTAGACCAAATGGAGGAACCGGCAGGAGGAAGGCGAGGTGGGCGGGCAGTGGGAGAGTGGAAAACGGGAGAGCGGAAAGCGGAGAAGCGAGACGAGAGGGGAGAGGCGAGAGGCGAGAGGCGAGAGGCGAAATGCAAGAGGGGGGCCGTGCGGCAGGGGCGCGTACTTGTAGTCGTATCCATGCAGCTGCTCCAGCACCTCGGGTGCCATCCTGCCATGGGACACGCACGCGGGACGCGGAGGAGAGGCGGAGGGCAGGCGGAGCGGAGGTGGAGGCGGGGGAAATAAGGCGGCAGGCGCGAGGGGAGGGCGGCAGCGGGAGGCAGGCGGAAGGCAGGCGGGAGGCAGGCGGTAGCAACAGGGGGAGATTTTGATGGGGCACGGGCAGAGGAAGGCCATGCGCACGGGCATGCATGGAAAACACAGAGGGCGCATTCAAGGGGCGGGGCAAGGGCGCATGAGCGCGAGATAACGTACGCAGCACTCACAAGAACAGCACCAGCACGAGAACAGCACCAGCACGAGAACAGCACCAGCACGAGAACAGCACCAGCACGAGAACAGCACCAGTCGCGCGAGCACGTGCACGCGCACGTGGGGGCGCGCGCGCGCGGTAGGCGGGGCACGCGCGGGGAGCGGGCGCGCGGGGAGCAGAGCAGAGCAGAGCAGAGCGGAGCAGCGGCGCGCGCGCACGCACCAGCAGGGCGTGCCGACGAAGGTCTTGCGCGACAAGAGGCGGTCGCCCGTGTCGAACATGCACGCCGATACGCCGAAGTCCGCCAGTCGCACGTTCCCCACCGCGTCGATCAGAATGTTGCCCGCCTGCCGTGCCGCGTCATCGCGCCCATGCAGTCAGATAGGCCAAATGTGGTGGGATAAGGTCGAATGCGGTGGGGAGGATATCAGCGCGGATTGATTGAGATGCGACAGATGTCGGATGGGTGTGGCATGGGGGGCGGGGGACGGCGGGGAGGGGAAAGGGGGATCATGGCTATGCACATGGCAGGCGGGGAGGAAAGGAGCGCAAAGCGGGAGCTTGGGCGGGGGGAAAGGAGGTGGGGGAGGGAAAATTGGAACGGGAAGGGGGAGGTGGAAAGAAAGCAGAAGAACACTCTGCAGGCAAACCACCGCAATCCTGACAGGAACCGCCCATTCCTGCTCCCTCCCACCACCAACGCCCCTGTATGCTCCCCCATAATCCCCTTTTTACAAACAGATCCGTTCACTCTATCGCTCCTTTTCATACACGCCCCCTACATTCTCCCCTTCCCCTTCCCCATCTTCCCCGACCCGCCCATCCGTTCCCCTCCCCCTCCCCTTCTTCCCCCCCTCCCTCCTTCCCCTCCCCTTCCCCTTCTTTCCCCCATCCCCCCACCCCCGGGTCCCCGCACACCTTCACATCGCGATGGATATGACCGTTGCGGTGCAGGTAATCCAGGCCCTTGAGCGTCTCGCGCAGCACCGTGGCGATGATGGGCTCATCCAGGCCGTCCATGTGGCACGACTTCATGATGTGCAGGCACGATCCGCCGTCCATGAAGGGCATGACCACCCAGAGGTACTGCTCGCCCACGAACGAGCAGTACGCGCGCACCAGGTTCGGGTGCCCGATCATCGTCATCGTCTGCGCCTCCCGCCGGATGTCCTCCTGATGATGGCGCGCGCGGAACGGGCGGGACGGGCGGGATGGGTGGGAGAGGCGGAACAGGCGTAGGGAGAAAGGCGCGGGGGGATCCGCGGATGAGGCAGGGTGGGGAGGAGATGGTGGCGGAGAGAGTGACGAGAGGGGAGCGACGGGTGATGCCGACTGGACTTTCGTCTCTCGTTACGACAACGACGCGGGGAAGTGAACACACGCAAGCTAGGCACTACATCAGCGGTACGCATGTCCTTTTCCCCCCTCTGCTCCCCAATCCAAAACGCGAAACTTACGAGGCTACTGTTGCATTGCTCCAAGTCGAGCCGCTTAATCGCGACGATCTCCTTGAACGGAATGCATATGGCCTTAAAGACCACCGCGCTGATACCATGGCCGATCTCCTCTAAAAGGCGATAAGACGACGCGGTTCGAGGATACTCCTTCCCAACGCCTGGCGCGTCTCCTCCTGCCGAACTCGAGCTGGTCGGCATGCTGATGCCCGAGTCGGAATTAGTAGATCAAGAAATATAAGGCGCGAGCTGACGACGCGGAGGAAACCAGAGCGAGGCTGCAGCCGACGATGCAGCGTCCGCGCGGGAAAAGCATACGTGCAGAAAAGAGGATGGGATTGGACCAGCGACGGGTTACGACGGTCTAGTGGAGGACGAAGTATGATCTGCAGAAATTAACAGATTATTGTTTCCCTCCATTGAAAACGTTTCCTGATGGCTAAGGGGTTTCGGGCACAACAGCCCAAACCACCCCGCCACCCTAGCCCTAATCGACTGTCGGGCTTCACTAGAGTTTCTAGGTCGTGGAAAATAGTCAGAAACTAAGCCTCTCGGCCGCTACAAAACACCAGCAAACTAGCACAACCTAAGCTCAGCACACTGGTGAGACAAACTCGTAACTTTCTTATCACGGTTGGGATGAAGGGATCAGGGGCAAGGCAAGGAGCAGCTGAGTGCAAGGGTGGTTTGATGATCACCTCACCAGTCATGGATGCGTGGGTGGAGTGGACACTGGAACACTGGGACACTGGGACACTGGGACAGCAAGGGGTGTGTATGAGATGACGCCCAGTGAGCAACACACACACACATGAGTGTGCACATGCTTTCCCCTGCCCTGGGGTTTGGTTTGGGCAGCAGCGTTGCATTGCAAGAAACGCGCTGCACTGGAAGGCTGGGATTGGGTTGGGTTGGGTTGGTTTGGGTTGGGTTAGGTTGTGGGGAAAACCCTGCATGGCTGTTGTGATAGAACGGGGGGGGGGGGGGAAGTTGGGTTAGGTGAGATGGAAGGATGCGGTAGAAGGTGCGACCAAGGGCCAAAAAAGGAAGTGCGCGGGAGGGAGGCGGGCATTCTGCGCGGAAGGGTGCTGTGGCGCATCTCTGTTGGCGGAGGTCCCGAGATTCCGTACAGGGAGGATGTCGGGTAAAACCGCAGCCACCTTCGGGGTATTGCGCAGATCCAGGGGAGGGGCAATTCGGACTGTGTGGCGCAGTATCCTACCCCGAACTGATTTTCCACACCACTCGGCGATTGGAGATCAAGCTCACGAAGGTGACAGAACAGACGCAGTTGTTTACCTCGGGCTGGTGAAAGTATTTGATAGGTAGGCCCAGGACGCCGTTTAGGATAGGTGTATTTATTTGCGATGCCAAATATGCACACTTACAAGACGTAAAACTTTTGTATTTGACTGCTAAGTTGGAGGTTTCAAGGAGGCTCGTCAGGGGTTGATTGAGGTGGATTGAGAAAGTAGCCAATAACCACGCAACACAACACCTTGACCAGGGAAAGCGGCGGCACACCTCGTGGGATAGTTCAACAAACGGACACCTAACCTCAGGCTCGGCAGCAGACCGAGAAACGTATTTGAGAGGCAACAGCGAGATAGGTGTATTCTTCAGCTCACTTCATTACCAAGTAAAACATCCCTCGCAATAAACATGTGGTTCTTGTCGTTGGATCTACAACCTAGCCTCCCTCCCAAACCACCACAACCACCGTGACTACCTCAGTTACTTTACTTGCCAGACACCAGTTACCCAGGTCAGCTTCCTGTGTGCACACCTCTAACATAACCCATGCATCATCACATACAGCACACATACCTATTTGCCAATCCAGGCAGGACAATTCTCCACCACTTCTCTCAAATCATACAAAAGATGGGTACATCAACAGGCAATCCTCCACATGCCGACAGCCAGTATCGGTTGTCCCTTAAAAGTCATCAGAAGCCCCCCATCATCCTGCTCCTGCACCCCAAACTCCCTCGGGAACTGGGACATGGCAGCCGCCACTTTGTGTCGGGCATGGGCCGAAAACGGCAGGGCAGCAAACGACGCCTCCCTCATTCGGCTCATCCACTTTCCAAGCGGCTCCGACCGAACGACCCGCAGCGAGCCTTCACAAGCCACCACATTCACTATGTCCCTCCCAATAATCGCCTTTTCGATGAAATCCCTCGATGAATGCAGCCGCGGCGGTGCTAGTCCCGCTTCCATGGACTCGAAAACAGAGAGGTAGAAGGGCAGGGCTTCACCCAATCGCCTGAGGAAGAAGGGTCCATCGTGATCCACGTGCCTCTCTCCGAGAACAGCCACTCGCGGGGAGAGACGGCGCAGGGCGCGCAACGCAGCGTCGCGGGGGGAGTGGCGGACGACAGAGCCCCCTGGGAGCAGATGCAGACGCATGATGCCGTGCACTAGCAGCGCCTCTGTTCCAGCTGCTGCTGCTGCATCTCCCTGCCCTGGGTCACTGCTACTCCTGCTGCCGAGACTATCCTCCGTGCTGCTCCGCACCATGCTCCACGGCACCACAGCACCATCTGCACCACCGGCACCACCAGCAGCACAAGCACCGGCAGGGCCTACATTGGCACCAATGGCAGCAGCAGTCGAGGAGGAAGCGGAGCTGAGGGGTGGGCGGTGCTGAGAAATGTGAGAGTCGATAGATTCGAGAGAGCACTCGACCACGGCAAAGTCTAGGCGGATGCCCGCGTTGGCTGCTGCACGCGTGAGAATGGCCTTGCAGTCTGCTAGCGGCACTCTGGGCAGCACTCGCCACGGGCACTGGCTTGCTGGCGATTCAATCTGGTGTGCAGGGGTGGATGGATGGATGGCAGGAATAGGCAGGGAAAGCAGAGGGGGAGGAGGCGGAAGGAGGGGGGTGCGGCCAGGAAGGGGTGGGGAGAAAGGGGAGGGAAGGAAAGGGACAAGCTCAGCAATGGCAAAGTCCAGACAGATGCCTGCATTGGCTGCTGCACGTGCGAGAATGGTCTAGCAGACCGCTAGCGGCACTCAGGGCAGCAGCACTCGCCACGGGCGATGGCTTGCTGGCGACTCGATCTGGCGGATGGTAGCAGATGGATGGCAGGAATGGCCAGGGAAAGCAGACTGGGACAGAGGGTGCGGAAGGAAGTGGGGAAGGGGGTTAGGAAAGGCACAAGTTCCGTGACCAGAAGATAGCATGAGGTGTGCCTTCCTGCTCCCATCTGGTGCAACAGCTGGCCCCGAGGAAGACATGAGAACAAGAAAGAATCCGCGCAAAGAGGAATAGGCAGAGCATACCCAACAGCATTGAGCACAGCGAGAGGCACATACAGGAGGCACCATGCGGCACACCTTGGTGTATCGGAGCAGCGGCTTGGGGCCGGGGCGGGCGGCAAGGGAGGCGATGAAGTCGGGCCACTGCGCGCCGATCCACCAGCCAAAGCCCACCACGTGCACGACGGTGTCGGTGGGCGAGATGGCGGACAGCAGCGGCAGCAGCAGCGCTATGCACAGCGAGAAGCACAAACACGCACAATGCAGTGGTTCCTTTCACACACTTCCCCTATTCCCTCTTCCTGCCCCACCCCGGTAACCACCCATACCCTGCCCCGCATTCCTCCCAAAAGGCAGCACCGGCGACGCACCTTGGTGTATCGGAGCAGGGGCTTTGGCCCCGGCCTCGCAGCGAGTGAAGCTATGAAGTCGGGCCACTGTGCGCCGATCCACCAGCCAAAGTCCACCACGTGCACGACAGTGTCGGTGGGCGAGATGGCGGAGAGAAGGGCAGAGTTGCAGGCGGAGAGCAGGAAGTGGTGGTGCGGCATGCACGCTGATATGTCCGACATGGCCCGCATGAAGTCCTGCATGGAAGGGAGAGGGAGTAGGATGGAGAGGAACAGAGAGATGGTTTTTGAGGCGCCTAAACAATCGTGTCATCTCATGCGGGAGTGGCGAAAAAAACCTGTTTCTAAAACGGGCCCATGAACTTGTTTAGGCCAGTGGAACAGTAAGACGGGCAGACCCACCGACATACACACAAACAGGCGTACAGACAGAGACACAGACAGACGGACGGAGAGGCGTGCGTACATCATGGGGCGGCACGTCGGGGGAGTTCCAGTGCAGGGCGCGGACTTTTGAGGCGCCTCAAAAGTCAACACACGTACAGACAGAGACACAGCCGGATGGGCGGAGAGACATACATCATGGGGCGGCACGTCGGGGGAGTTCCAGTGCAGGGCGCCGTCCCCGTTGATGCGCGCCATGAGCCCCTCCAGGAAGTACTGCGCCACTCGCTGCTCCGCACTGCCGCGCGCACTCACCATCGGCAGCAGCTCCTCACACTTGCGCCGGATCGCCACCTGCCGCACCCAGCACAGAGGGCCCACAAGCCGTGAAGCACAGGCAGGGGGGAGGCGCCAGGGGAAGCAGGGAGCGGGGGGGAGGGGGGGGGGGGGGGGGGGTGGGGGGGGGGGGGGGAGAGGGGAAAGAGGGGAAGAGGGGGGTTGTGAGGTGTCAGAGGTGATGGGTTGTGTTGTGGTTACGGAGAAGGGGAGGGGAGTTCCAGTGTAGCGCGCCGTCGCCGTTGATGCGCGCCATAAGCCCCTCCAGGAAGTACTGCGCCACTCGCTGCTCCGCACTGCCGCGCGCACTCACCATCGGCAGCAGCTCCTAACACTTGCGCCGGATCGCCACCTGCCGGGCCGCCGCGCGCACACACAAAGGATGGACACGCGGTGAAGCACAGGCAGGGGGGACGACAGGAGAAGCAGGGAGCAGGGGGAGGGGGAAGGGGGGGGGGGGGGGGGAGGCGGTGGGTGGTGTGAGTTGTGAGGTGTAGGAGGTGATGGGTTCTGAGGGGCAAGTGAACCTTAGAAACCAGCTGTGATATCTAGGCAAGCCAGGCCAGGCAAGTGCACGCACGGCCCTTCTCTTGTCTTCCCAGCCTCACCTCATCCTCAGCCGTGGCTACTAGCTCTGCAAGCTGCCATATGCGTGCCAGCAACGGGTGCTCAATGGCAGGAGATTTGCTGCCTGCCTTGCCCGCCCCGCCCCTTGCTCCCTGTCCCTGAAACGACACACCAGCGGCACTACCAAAAGCACCAACAGCAGTGGCAGTGGCAGTAGCAATGATTTCACCCTGCGCTCTGTTAGTCGCGCCCTCTACCCTTTTTTCTGCTCCTTGGCTTCTGTGTGCGCCACTTGCAGTAACCGCACAAGTGGCGGCAGCAGAAGTGGCAGCAGGAGCGGCAGCAGGAGCAGTAGGGGTGACACCAAGAGTGGACGCAGGAAGATGAGCGGCAGTCGCATCACCTAGACCATGGTCAGCTCCTTCCTTAGGGTTCCCCATGCTGCTGCCTCCACTACTGCTACCGCTGCTGCTGCGCCTCTCCTTCCCACTCCCTTCCCCCTGCCGTCCTCCTGGATCCTCCTCACCCCCCTCCGTCAATATCACACCCCCATACAACATTGACTGGGGGAGCTCAGAAGTAGGCAAGGGGGAATGAGAATGATTCAAATCAGAGTTCAGGTTGCCTGAATAACCAGGAAACGACACATCATTACCCAGACCTCCTGCTTTCCCTACCCCTCCTCCTCCTCCCTGCACCTCCCCTTGTTTTATCCCAACTCCTCCCACCAAGATAGCCTCCTCCTGCTTCGCCACCTTGACCTCATTACTCCCGCACACCCCACCACACCCCACTGCACCCCGCTCTCCTCCCCCCATCACATTCTCACCATAAGGAATACCCGTCATTCCTCCTGTACCTGTTGCCCCTCGCGCCCCCGCCACCCCTGCCACCCCTGCCACCCCAGTTGACCCAGACCCACCCCCTGTGCTCACGCCTACACGCCCCACCACCCCCTTCCACTCCTCCCCTAACCCTCCCCCGCTCCAACCACTCGCACTCTCCTCAGCCGACCTCTTTCCCTGCCTCCCCCTTCCGTCCTGCTCCACCACCCCAAGCGCAGCCCAAAAGCCTGCCCTAGGACCAGCTGTAGTAGCAACGGGTTTGCTTCTCTCCCGCTTTCTGCCCCTGCCTCGCCCTCTCCCTTTCTTCCCCCCATCCTCGTCTGGTTTCGCCGGTTCTTCCTTCTCCCCTGTGTCTGCGCTAAACTCCTCCCCCAGTGCTGCTGCCAGCCGTTCTGCCAGAGATAACTTGGGCCTATTCTGAGTGTCACCGGCCGTTGCTCCTCCTTCTCCTCCTGCTGCTCCTCCTCCTCCCCCCCCTCCTCCTCCTTCGCCACCACCACCAACTCCGCCCGCTTCTCCCACCTGGCATTTGCAACGCGCACACGCATCAGCGGCACTTGCACTCCAAACAGTGCGCCCACTCCCCCCTACTCCAGCAGCAGCACCACCACCATCACCACCACCACCATCAACAGCAGCAGGAGCAGCAGCAGGCGCAGCAGAGGGAGAAGCAGCAGCAGCAGCAGCAGCAGGCATAGGTGAGGGCCGTCCTGCATCGTTGGCCGCATCATACAACGCCCTCTGTGAAGCGCCACGTTGCCACTCCCCGCTTGGCGCTGCTTGCACTGCCTCCTGCTGATACTGCCCCACTGCTGCCGCCTGCACCTTGAGCCCTTGCTCTTGCAACTGAACGTTTCCCTGCATTTGTGGCTGCCCTAGAAGCTGTGCTTGCCCCTGCACCGAAACACGCCATGCCTGTTGCGGTTGCGGAGGTAGTATCTCAGGCAGCTGTGCTTGCTGCGCCTCTCCCTCACCCCGCATATCCGCCTCTGCCACTTCCATTCCGCACACTCCCGCACCCCCCCCTGACGCAGCAGCAGCATCAGCATCCTCGTTACACAGCTGGCTGAAGCGCGCCACCACACGCGCCTCTCCTGAGAACGAATCCATACTGCCAAACGCCGCCATGCTGCATGCACCACCGCCCTGCACTGCGTTGGGCACGGGGCAAGGCACGGCTGGTTCTGTAACAGGCGCTGCGGTTGAGTCTGTGGTCATGCCAGCAGCTGCCGATCCCTCCTGTACTATCTGCTGCTGCTGAAATACTGGATACTGCTGCTGCTGCTGCTGCTGCTGCTGCTGGGGTTGCTGCTGCTGCTGGGGTTGCTGCTGCTGCTGGGGTTGCTGGTGTTGTGCAACTCCCATCATGCAACCCTCACTATCTGCGATCCCTCCAGCCCCTATACAAGCTCCCGGATCCACAGCTGCAGCCCCTGCCATGAACCCAAACCCTGCACCCCCTCCTGACTCCAAGCCCGCACACTGCCCCCCCTCTCCTCCTCCCCCCCCCTCCTCCTCCTCCCCCTCCTCCTCCTCCTCCTCCCCCTCCCCCTCCCCCTCCCCCCTCCCCCTCCCCCTCCCCCTCCCCCTCCCCCTCCCCCTCCCCCTCCCCCTCCCCCTCCCCCTCCTCCTCCCCCTCCTCCTCCTCCTCCTCCCCCTCCCCCATCCGCATTCAACTCATGTGACAGCGCCGCTGCCGCCCTATCCGCCATATGCAGCCACCAGTCGCCGTCCGGCGCCAGGGCCCCCCATGACAGTCCGGAACCAACCACAGCTGCCGTCCCTGGCCCTGTCGCGTTACCTGGTCCCGGAACTGAGTCCAGAAACGACATATCGGAAAGCAGTGCGCTGTAGCCGCCACTACCCCCTCCGGCAGGTGCAGACGCAGCCGCAAAGGCGGCGGTGGGAGCGGCAGCAGAAGCATTGCTCCCAGGAAATGGCATGGGCTCGAGGTGAAGGGACTGGCCTCCAAAGCCGCTTATTTGGGGAGTTAATAACGGGGATGCTGCTGCAGCAGACGGCATGCCTGAGGAAAAAGCTGGAGCTGATTCAGACGCTGATGGTGGTGCAGCAGGGCCAGAGGATGGGAAGGCGGCCAGCGAGGAGGAGAGGGGAGGGTGCAGAAGCGGAGCAGGGGGGTCGTCCCAGAAGCCAATGGGATCCCACTGCCACGACGCTGACGATGGGGACCCCTGGTGATGGGGAGAGAGAGAACAATGAAGGGCGGAAACTGAGGAGTGACGAGGAGAGGAGTGGAGAGGTGAGGAGAGGAGAGACAGGAAGAGGTGAGGCAAGGGATGATGTGCTTCTGAGTGAGACAGTGAGAGGGTGAGAGAAAGAGGAGGAAAGGGACGCAGGGGGCAGGAAGAAGCGTGTGCGGCAAGCAAATGAGCAGGAAGCGTCGCCTATCCCCTTCCTAGACGCACCTCCGCGGACCCAGAATTGCTGTACGCTACGCGGGCACCGCGCCTCAACAGTCCCCTCCTAGACTCACCTCCGCAGACCCATTATTGCTGTACGCTTGCGCCGCGCCCACTGAGCCAGCGGGGATCGCAGAGGCGGGGAATGGCGGGCTGGGAATCATTGTAGCGGAGACAGCTGGTGCGGAAGGGGACTCTGACAAAGCAGCCTCGTTCAACACTGCTGGTAACGCTCGACCGCTGCTGACGGATTTATGCCGGTCAGATGATGCCGGTCCGGTAGCCCCCCTGCCGGCCGTCAGCTTCCACGGGTGTTACTGCTGGCTTCGTGCTGACGTGTCACTCGCTCCTGTGCCAGGAAACACGGGGAGCGGTATGGCATATCACGGGACAGCTGATAACGGAAGAACGTCGCATTACTGCGATAAAAACACGGACAAGCTTTCGTTTAAGACTGAAACCCATCCAACTACACATAGGGCCGAAGGGATTCGACAAGGGAAACAGCGTTGTAAAGCTCCTAAGTAGTTTGATAACAATGAGCTTCGTTTAAGGTGAGCAGCGGATTCAGAATAAACCACGAAGTGACTAGTGAAAAATGCGAAGAGGCAGGATTCAACCATATGCAGTGCCGGCATGCGGAAATCATACGCATGTGAAACAATAGAGGCTGGCTTGAGAAGTGTGCTCGACGAGACTTGTCTTACCCTAATGCGACTTAGGGCTGGTGGACGGGAGCTAGAGGCTGGTGAATCCAGAGAGGGATTCGCTGCAAAGGGAGTTACCCAAGTGTTGGAACACAGCTCACATCCGTCGTTGATAAGCTTTCTCTCTCGGATCCTGCACGAAGAACCAACAGTCGTGCGAAGGAACTGTCTAGTAGCTGAATGAGGACATAGTGCGGTAACAGTGGTTCGGAGGAACCTATACTAGTGAGCGAAATGGTTATGAATCTATGATACTGACACATGACGGAGAGGACGTCGGTGACGTCATTTAACCGTCAATGTTAACGATGTGGTCAATGCGCAGCATCCGCGATGTAGTACAAAAAGTTACCGTTCGGCCAAGGATGGAAAGTGACACGGTACAAGTTTCACTCAACCAGCCAGCAGGCGGCATTAGTAGAAACGCTGAATCGAAAGTGAACGATCACTACTGAATATATCATTATAGAGCTTATGAACTTTCCTCATTCTATTATAAAAACATACATCATAACTCATCAGCGTGTATTCAGCCCGGGTGCTGTTTCAAAACCCTCTTGAAATTGGTAATTGACGTGTATTTCGAAGTTATCTTATATAGCATAATAGCACCCATAACACCCAAGGCGTTATAGCTTTATCCGACTATATGGGATAATGTGGATTCTCTTATCCGTACACGCTACCTTTCCGGATCTGTGGAAAACGTGCGAACTCTCCGGAGAGATCTCCCGAACCAAGGGTTTCACAATCTCTAGAGTATTGTTGGGTGTGCAATCCGTAATTTGCGGGTTTCAAAATCTCTGGAGTACGTCTCACGCGAAAGGGGTGATTGTGCGTGAGTTTCTTGCAGTTGGCTTTTGCCCCTGGATTACAGCAGCGGCGTATCATCGCGTGCCAAATGGATGTGTGCTTCACCCAATAACCAGCTGCCTCATTGCGCACCGATGCGAAACCAATCAAAGTACAGCCGACCGGCAAAGTGACGCGACAATGACGAGTGAACATCCATAACGTGACGTCCACGGGTTGCCAAATGTGCCCGTCCGTCCCACCCAAAGCCCTCCATTCGTCCACTCCGTACCAATGTCTACGTTTATCCAGTCAGAACCCAGCCTCGAGCTTTCGACTCTTTCGCGGGCTGCAAGCTATCTGACCGCTATTCTGTCAATTGCTGCTTTGGACAGCTGAAACTCCGCCATTCCAAGAACCCCTCGCACCGCACCGCGAGTCGATTCTTGCGCCGCTAGCTGTGCGGGCATCCTTCTTGAAAGCCGTTGCCTGTTCCGCCAAAAGCAGAGCATCACCATCCTCAGAAAGACCCTTTCTCCATAGGCCCCTCCCGCCATTGTCCTCCTTACCGCGAGGAGCCCCCTCCTCCCTGCGCTGGTTGCGCGGGGAGCAGACCTCCGCTGCGGCGTTGATTTCCATCCACCCTCACAACGGGCTCGCGGATTGCCTCAGCTGAGGCGAAGCCCCGCGATTCGCCCACAGTGTGGGCTCAGTTGAGCTGAGTTGAGTGGAGGGCCTAGATAAGCTCCGAAGCTGCACCTACTCTCATAATTAGCACCCAGCATCTCACGCGCCCCGTAGTGATAATTTCCACATCAAACTCTCGACATTATCTGCTTTGACTGCTCACGAAACGCATAATTTTGGGAACATAGTACATCTAATCTGAAATATCGGAACCCTACCATTGCATTCAAGATGCATTCCAGCCTGCTCAAATCCGTGCTGAAGCAGAACAGCCTCTCTCCAGGTGGTGCTAATATGAGCGCAACTGATAACATCACTTCCAGCTTAACATGTTCCCCTGCAAGCCCGGCCAAGAAGATGAAGCAAGAAAAGCCGACGATGCCCGCCAAGTCTCCCAAGTCAACGAAGTCATTGACATCGCCTTCATCGGACCGAAATGCCAAAAACTCGCCTCGTGCCGTGTGCTTGTGTGCTCCTACAAACCACCCCGGGTCTTTCCGTTGCCGCTTCCACCGGGCCCGCTCGGTTTCCTCGCAAAAAGCCGCTTCATCTGAGCCCAAAGCGAGCGGCAGAGGCGACTGCAGAGACCGTGTCTCAAGAGCACCCAGGCCCAGCAGGTTATCTGCTGTTTCTGTGCAGGTTAGTCGACGCCTTGCGCTTTTATTTTCTCGCATTTTTCTGGTGTTAATTTGAACGAGATTTGAGCTAGACTAATTATATTTTCGTCATCTTTACACCTTTCTAGCCTGTCTTAACCAATTGTGCTTGTTATTTTCCTTTCCCATTCCCCCTTCGTCGTTCTTGTTGCTCACCTTTTGTTTAATTTCCTTCCCTCCCATATCCATTGTTTTTTTTGTGTTGAGCAGGCCTCTTAAGGCTTGGAACTGACAATTGCCAAAACTCTTGTCTCTCTTGGACATCTCGTTTTAATTCTGGTTCCTCATCGTCACCTGGACAACCGCTTGCTGTCCATCTGCAATGGCGCGCTGCCAATTCCCGTCTAATGGAAAGAGCCCATTCACAAGCCGCTTCTCTCACGCACTGCATCGTTGCTGTTCCACGGCGTGACGTCGTTGAGGGTCGACTCCCATCGGTGGCTATCCATCCCATGCCAAGTCATGGCTCCTCATCCTATCTACTATCATGGCATCCCAGGGTCTCAATATGATGTATCGTCCCATTGCCGGGGTACATCGAGCTGCATCAGGAGCGGCCTGTGTTCAATGCAGCAGCTACAGAAGCCATGAGTGGGCCAATTGATAACAAGTTTTAGCAGCAGTGCGCTGTTGTTCCTTTTTCCTGTCACCTGCTGCGATGTCCACTCAGCTCCCTGGTCGCGTGTTACTTTTTTTTTGCCATCCTTCAGTTGTTGATAAGCTTTGTGCAGGACCTCTAGTTGCCCTCTGACCCCCTTGTCTTGTATATACCTGGTTTTGCTATTCAATAATATATTGCTTTACCCAGTGAAGTGTTTTGGAAGTCCACTAATTGAGGCTGCTCATCCAAATGGGGCTTTAGGGCGGATTCCTGACTTCGTGTCATCCGCACTTCGTGTCATCCGAATATATTTTTCCCCGAGCCAATGTTTGCCGATTCGACTTCGGGTCATCCGACGCGGCACATTTGGCTGGTCCCACATGTTCGGATGACACGAGGGCCGGATGACACGAAGTCAGGAATACGCCCTTAGTTCATCAGTCCATGTACTTGACTTGTTCTAGATCAGAACAAAGCTACTAATCAAACGGTGTGCAAGTTTACATCTGCCCCTGCTGTGCGTGATGCTACCGCAAGTTTTGAGTCATCTACAGTGACTGGTTTAGGACGATACGGTAGGTCGCGCAATGTGCATGATGCTATCGTTTCTCCTTCACTGCTTCCTGCCAACAACCAGTCACTCTCGTTCCCCATTACCTACTTCTCCCAAAGAGAGTTACAGCTATCATTGCAACTCGGCCCTCTCCGCTGTCACTAGCTTTCGTGATCCATCCATCCCATCCACACACCCATAACATGCCCCCACCTACACCTCCCTCTTTCCCCCTTACCCTTTCCCCCTCTCGTCCCAACCTAATCTTATCTTCCTCTTCTCCCAACTTCCCTTCCCCAACAACCCATCCCTCGTGCTCCCTCCTCGTCTCGCATGCCATGCTGAGAGTTTCATTCCATGCTGGCTTGTTGCGCCCAGCCTGACCTTGCAAACACCATGTGCCAGGGCAGGGCTGATGCCTTTCCAACCATTGCCTTGTTCAATGACTCTGCGGCTCTATGTTGTCGGCATGACTGCCTGTCAGCATGACTGCCTGTAGCTTGACTGCATGAATGAAACTCCAGTTGCCTGCGCCTCCTGCTGCTAACCCAATTCTGTAGGCGCCTAGGAAACATGGCTTAGCACGAATGCAGCAAGACTAATACACCTAATCCACGGCATGACACATGCACCTAATCCACGGCATGACATGGCATGGTATGCATGAGACAGCAGAGTCACGAAGCCCAGTTGCAGCCGCACCAGCTATAGTAACCCCACATGGCAAAGCACGGCATGGCACGGCATGGCATAGCGTGGCATGGCACGGCATGGCACGGCATGGCACGGCGTGGCACGGCATGGCACGGCGTGGCATGGCATGACTGCAGTCAGAGCACACAGTCCTCCTCCTCCTCCGGCTCCACCAGCTCCACCTGCTGCCTCAGCCTCTTTCCTTCCCGCGGCGTTGCCCCTCGCCCTCTCCTCTGCCTGCACACACACACACAGGCATGTCGAGGAAGGCCAGGAGGAGGGAGGGCAGGAGGAGGGGGGGAAGGAGGAGGGAGAGCAGAAGACGGAGGGAGGACAGGGGAGTGAGGGCAGGAGAGGGAGGGAGGACATGCACAAGCATGGGGAAGCAGGAAGGGGGTTGCACTAGGGAGGGGGGCTAATGGGGAATGGGAGGTGGTGGGGAAACAGTGATGGGTGAACAGGTAAAGACAGGCGCATGGACAGCATCAGACAGCAGAATACAGAAACAGAGAGCAGGAGAGTGCAGTGAAGAGCAGAAGAGTGCAGTGAAGAGCAGAGGACTCACGTTGGGCCGTTACCAGGCGCCCCACTGGACTTGGAACGAGAGGAGAAGAGCGCATGCAGGTCCGAGCGGCCGTCTGGTGGGGAGGGAGGGAATGAAGAGGCGTGCAGTTAGAGAGGGGTTGAAGGGATGGAGAGAGAAGAAGAAGATGGGAATGGCAGGACGCAGAACCAGTGGGAGAAGACGGGGGTGGAGGGACGGCAAGATGCAAATAGAGAGGCGTATTAGTGTGGAAGGCGGTGATGGTGATTGCGGTGGTATTCAGTGCGGTGGTGGACAGCAGATGTGGCGAGAAAAGAATGCATGGAGGCAAGTGGGAGGGGAGTGGCTGGCACACCTGCGTCTCTCCCTGTGGCTTGTTCCTCAGCCTGGCACAGCCACACGTGCAGTGAGAGTAAGGGGTGAGAGCAGGGGGTGAGAACACGGGTGAGAGCAAGGTTGAGAGGAGGGGTTTAGGGTGGTGGGATGATATGAGGAGTGGAGAGAAGGCATTGATCCCAAACGTAGTTCAGTTGGCAGCGGTTGGCAGCAGTTTAGAGGAAGTATAAATCAATAAGGAGCAGAGGGAAGGCAGTAAGACTGCTCCTGTCATCCTGCACGTGAGGCCAGGATGACGTGACGTACAGTAGATGATGTGCACGACGACAGTGAAAAGAGGCGATCCTCCGCCAGGAACTTTCTCGGACGCTTCATGCTGCTGATGTGGCGGGAGGGAAGGAAGGATGGGGAAGGGCGGGTAGGGGGAAGAGGGGTGTGTGGGCATGCGGAAGAATGCAAGGACAGACGAGAACGCTCTTTGAGTTGACATGAGCAGAGGCGAGAGGGCTCAGTGAGCGTGCAGGAGGCTAAAAGGGCAAGCAGCGAGTAGCGTATGTGTGGGCGTGCGGAGCGCGCACGTGCGAGAGGGAGCAAGAAATGGAGAGAGGGGAGGTACTGGGTGGAAGAGGAAGGAGAAGGAGAATGGGATTTGGTAGGCGGGCGGGAGGAGAAGCGGAAGCGGAGGCGGAAGGAGAAGCTGAAGCGGAGGGGGGGGGGGGAAGAAGCGGACGGAGCAGAGGGAAAAGCACCTGCTGGCGGCTCGAGGAGCAGCAAGAAGGGAGTCGAAGCCTCTGAGAACGCTGCCGGTGTGCGAGGAGTCGTGCAGGTATGCCGTCTCCAGGTCGAACAGCTGCTCTCGCCACACGGCGCAAAGGGGGAGGGAGGAGGGGGGGGGGGGGGGGGGGGGACAGGAGCACGCGGAGGGGGAAAAGGAGGGGGGCATGTGGGGGACGCTGCCGGTGTGCGCCGAGTCGTGCAGGTATGCCGTCCAGGTCGAACAACTGGAGTCGACACACGCAGGGGGAAGGAGGGGGCATGCGGCGGGGCGAAAGGAAAAGGGCATGTGGAGGGGGGAAAGGAGAGGGAATCGTTCGGGGTGGGGAAGGAGGGGAAAAAGGAAAGGGAGTCGTTGGACGGACGGCAACAGAAGAGGGTGACTTGCGAGAACGTTAAGGATGTCTAGGGTTTGTTCTGTTCTCCGCACTCTCAGTGGCGCTGCTCTGCTCTCCGGGCTCCGCTCCGCTCGGCTCGGCTCGGCTCCTTTTTGGTCCGCTCCAGTTAAACAGAAAACGCTGCACAAAAGCTCCACCGACGACGCGCAACAGGCGCTGCCGTAACCATCCCAATACTTTCATCACCCCCACAACCTCATTTCAGGGACGGGCTCTAAAGGGTTTAGCGCGCGCGCGCGCGCGCACGGACCTGTCTTTCCGCACTCGCCACTTGCTCCTCCAGCTTCTCGCGCCGCGCCACCAGGGCTGCCAACGCGCCAGGAGTCGCCGCGGATGACGGCGCGCCACCAGCGGAAGCGGCGGAGGCGGCGGCGGCGGCGGCGGCGGCGGAGAGAGAGCTTCGTGGGAGCGCGGCCGACGCTGGCGCGGACGCGAGCGCAAGGGCGAGAGTAGGGGCGGGGGTGATCGCGGGCGGGTCGAAGGCCGGGGGCGGAGCAGCGGAGGCGGGGGGCCCCGTGGCGGGGCCTTTGTGGGCTTTGTTAGCTGACGCTTTGGGGAGAGCGGAAACGGAGGCGGAGGCTGGAACAAAAAGTGAAGCGGACGCAGCCGCGGACGCGGAAGCGGAAGGGAAAGCGGAAGCGGGGAGATTATTAGGTTGGCGGGCACCGGACATGGCATCCAGCGCGTCCGCCCCGCTGCGAGACGATCGCGCGGAGCAACTCAGCTCGACCCATGTGCCGCCCGCCGCTGCCCTCGCGATTTCAGATCAGAGAGGGGAAACCGGCGGTCGGAGCGCGCGGATCGGCGGGAGGAACCCGCGCGGAGATTTGCCGGAGTGACGGGAGGCTGCAGGAGGGAACCGAAATCCACTATGGGCAGCAGGGAACCGAGCGTCGAGCCGCCATGGCGATCTCGGAAGAATGACAACCCCTTCTGAATGATGTGCGCCTCACAGGTGCACTTGCCGCCTTGGTTGCTGCGGTGGCTCTGACGTTACTCAGTAGAAATCGACAGACTTGCAACCTCGGCGCACGCCAGGAGAAACCGACAGCTCGCAAAGCGGTCGTGGACGGGACGAAGCGCGCATAGCTCACGAGGCACGCCCGAAGCGACTGCAGGGTGCCATCTTGGTTCTTGGAAGAAGAAACGAATGTAGATTCTGCCCGATCGAGTGTGTGAGGAGCGGTGGGATCGCAACAACTGACGGATCCGAAACGGGGAGTTGAGAGAACGATGCGGAAACGCGTGTTTCTGACGGAGGAAGGGCGAGAGTGGGGGCTGGAGTGCCAGCAACGTGAGCGGAGGGACAGATCCTGAATTCAATTTCCCGTGTCGAGATTTCGCTGGTCAGAAATTTCGCGTCGTGGTTTGTTTGTGGAACGGAGGTGGATGTGGACGGGCACGGATGACCCAGAGAAAGAAGAGGGGGGGAGGGATACGAACGAGGCAGAGGGGACGAGGCGAGTCGAGGCGCAGGGCAGCGAGTGCGAAATGGGGCAGGAGAGGAAACGAGAGGAGGCGAGGGGTGTCGCGCAGGTTTGCACCGAGAGCTGTGTTGCGGGATTCCGAGATGCGGGAGGGAGCAAGAAACGGGGAGGAGGGATGAAAGGAACCATCTCAACTGCGCTGCTGCTGCTGCTGCTGCTCGGATTCACGTCGAGAGACGAGAGGAGCGCTGCGGGGGATTGCTCGGGAATCGGGAGAATGGGGAGAATGAATGTTGTCTCTCCTTGGTTTCCTCTCTCGGCGTGGCTCACGTGCGCGCTTCCGCAAACTCATCTCGAGATGTGCGCCCGCAAGGGCCCTCGATACTTGTGAGAGAATGAATCGAACGGACAACCTTGCTTGGGAGCATGAAGAACCCCGGGATTTCGTTTAATGGCTTGTGAAAAGGTAGTCGCTCGTTTGGGGGATGAGTAGTGTGGTTTGGAGGACCATGCCCAATTGGAAACAAAAGCGGTTCGTGCTACGTGAGCTGGTGGCGTGATTGTGATTGGTTTCCTTCGCCGGGTGAAACCATAATATTGTCCGTACCGAATGACTGGACTCGGAAGATAACTGAAGGAAGAAATTGCTTTCTTCAGGTCAAGCTGTATGAACCTGCTACATAAAAAGTGTATAAATTTCATACAATGTCGCACGTATCACAGAGTTGAAAGATTGTGATATGGTGTAGCCTCAGGTGTTGGATCATGTTTTTGTTCAAGGGTGAGTGGTATTGCGGTGCTCCATCCCGAGCCTATATCCCCAAGCCAACGAGTCACGTACAGTACGAGATTTTGGTGTTGACTGTTTGTGTTGCAAAAATTGTATAACTCGCTATAAGGCTAGACAGAAACAGTTGCACCAGAAACACTAGTTTTGAATTTACAAATTTGAACGATCAAACCTTTGGCGCGAAAGCCACACAAGCCACACTCACACTGAAAACGATGATGAACCAACCTTGTCAGGTCACTTGATTGAGATGCCTTGTCATCACACATTTTGAACGACTTAGTCTCATGCTTTTCTCTTACCATTCATAGCGATTCTCAACGCAGATATCTCGCCAGGCATGGGCCCTTCCCGCCGCGTTTCTGGAGGTGCTCGGCCTTCTGGCTTGCTCCTTTCCCCACAAGAACTCCAGAAGCAGCGGCGCCATCAGCAGCGCTCTATCGCATCATTCTTCTCGCCCTCAAGGGCTTCAAAACAAACCGTCACCGCCACGCATGACTCAGTTCCAGTAACAGCCGCAGAGGACGCCCAACGATTTGATAAGAATGATGGGAGCATCCTTGATTCTCCCAATGGACGTGCTCGGAATTGCAAGGCCTCGGCCAGTTCGGTGGCTAATCGAAACGCCCGTCGCGTTTTAAAATCTGCGGTAGGAGGAAAGGGCGGAGGTTGTCGAGGAAGCGTCGTGCACGCGGATGCGCGCAGAAGCAACTCCGAAGAATCGAAGGAGGACGAGCTTCTATGGACCGACGACGCAGCTGAAGAAATCAAGCGACTCGGAGACGAGCGCGGGGCCAATCCGCGCAAGGTGGCGCTTCAAATCCCTCCACTGGCGGACGGACAGACCAATGCAGGAGGAGACGACGTCGTTGCTCTGGCGACGGAAGGCCACGGCGGAAAAACCGCCGTGAAGGCGGAGGAGGCGGCGGAGGGGGCGGCGGAGGAGAATGCGCAAGGAGAGGCGGATGTGGCGGGCGGGGAAGGCTCGCTCTCGATGGCCTCTTTAGGGTCGGACTTGTCCGGTTCGCTGCTCCCCGCGGGCAGGTTGCGGAGTCTGCGGCGGCGTCCGGGGGGCCGGAGTAACGTTGGGGGTTCCCAGGAGAGCGGCGGCGAGCTGGTAGAACAAGCGACGCATGGCGACGCACGGGGCGATGCGGTGATGCACGGGGGAGAGTTGGCGGGAGAGGGGGTGAGAGGAGGCGGAGGAGGCATAAGACGAGACGAGATAATGAAGGAAACGAGTGGAAAGACCGCGACTTTGCCGGCCGGTTGGAGCAGTAAGGGAACACGAGGCAAAGGGACTCGGAAGCGGGGACGGGAGGAGGCTAATAACGAGGATGGGAAGGGCGAGGAAGGAGCGCGTGCAGTGGGGAGGAGGGTGGAGGTGTACTGGCCGGATGATGCGGCGTGGTATGCGGGCATGGTGGCGGGTTATGAGGAGGAAACGGGCAGACATGAGGTGTTATATGATGATGGGGAGAGCGAGATGGTGGTGCTGGCGAAGGAAAAGGTGAGATGGGTGAGGGGCGCTGGTGGTGGCGTGGCGACGACACTTGGTGCGCGGAAAAAGGAGGTTGGCGGGAGACGGGGAGCGGAGGATGCGGAGGCGGAGGCGGAGGGTGGAGAGGCTGGAGAGAGAGGCAGTGGTGGGGGAGGAGGTCGGGGGATAAGCAAGCGGGAGAAGGATGGTGGAGAGCGGACGGCTGGAAAGGGGCGTGTTGTGGCTGATGAGATGGGGGCGAAAGTCGTGGGCAGCGCAGTGGGGAAAAAGGTACAGGCGCAAGGAGCGACTGGGGAGAAGCAGCACGAGGAGGCAGCAGTCGAGTCTTCTGATGAAGATGATGATGAGGATGAAGAGGAGGAGGCGGAGGAGGATGGAGATAGTGAGGAAGAGGACTGGCTGGAAGAAGTCAAGAGGAAGGGCAAGAAGGTGGAGGAAGAGGAAGATGATGACGATGAGGAGGAGGAATTGGAGGAGGAAGACGAGGAAGGAGGGTCTGTGGATGGAACTGCGAGCGATGAGGAGGGGGAGGAGGAGGAGGAGGAGGAGGAAATGGAGGATGGGAGGAGGGGCAAGAAGGCAGGTCCGGGAGGTGGAAAGAAGGGCACTTCGCCGAGTGGCCGTGGGGGGGGTACTGCAGGCGAGGGCAAGGAGAAAGTGGCAGAAGGGAGGAAAAAGGGGAGTCAGGGGGAAGGAGGGTGTGAGGGGCTGGGCGGAGCAGCAGGGGGCGTGACAGATGCAGAGCGATCGGCCATTCGCAAGGCGATGCTTGGAGCGGGTGTGACTGCTTGTGGGACTGCTGGTGGAGCTGCAACTGCTGGCAACACTCCTACTGTAGCTGCGCCTGCTGCTGGCAAGGGCGCTGCTGGTATTGCGGGTGGTGGTGCTGCTGCTGCTGCTGCTGGTGCGGGTGGAGGCGGCAGGAGTGCGGGCATGGAAGCTGCTCTGGACAGTGAGTTGAACAGGGCACGGGCGTACCAGCAAGCATTGCAGAGAAGGATGTCTTACGCTAACGTTGCACTCGTGGCAACTGTGGGCTTTCCGCGAAGAAAAGTATTTTCCTATGCTGTAACAGTCTGCCCTCTTCGTGCCTCACCTCACTGCTCCCGCCCCCCTGCTCACTGCCCCGGCCCCCCTTCCCCCTGCCCCTTTCCCCCTTCCCGCTGGCCCCCCTGCTCCCTGCCCCCGGCCCCCTGCCCCCTGCCCTCTGCCCCCTGCCCCCTGCCCCCTGCCCCCTGTCGTCGCCCCCCTGCCCCCAGGTCTGTTGCCCGAGCTAGCAGGAGAGGCGGCGCAGCGGTTCAGTGGGCGCATGGAGGCCAAGTTCGACTTCCTCTTCCGGTGCGTTCCTCCCTGCTTCTCCACCGCACATGCGCTTCATGCATGTGGGGTCATGCATAAGGGACTCATGCGCATGGGCTGACGCACGTGGGGTCATGCACGTGGAGTCATGCACGTGGGGTCATGCACATGTGCGTGGGGGAATGGGGAAGGGTTTCTACTTGGGATATGCTTTGCAACTGTTCAAACTGTTTAGGAGCAACTTCATTTTGCCGTCGTTTCTGCCCTGCATCTTTTACCCCGCACCACCTTCCCCCCCCTCACTCTCCATCTTCTCAGCGTTCCCTCAACCACCCTCTCTCGTCTCCTCTCCACGTCTGTTCGTCCGTCCCTCTGTCCGTCTGGACTCACCAGGAATCGCAGGGACGGCGTGCGGCGGCCACCGTCCCATCCGGACTATGACCCCACCACTCTCTTCCTGCCAGAAACCTTCCTTAAGAACCTATCCGAGGGGCAGGTACGAGCTTATTTCCATGCACGTGCCATGCACATGGCGTGCACGTGGCATTCATTCATCTGTGCACGTGGCATGCATCCATGGTCCATCACTCTTCAGCATGCACTGAACCGTATCGTCTCCGTCCCCCTTCCAACTCGTGCTTTGTCAACTCGTCGCATATCTGCAACCCCCTTTTCCTCCTTCCCTGCCCATTTTACGCTTCCTGTCAACTGTTTCTTCCTGTTGCCTCACCCCCGAAACTACTTTTCTGTATCTTACACCTCCTTTCCACGCATTCTCGCCCCCGTTGTTCCCTTATCCCTTGTGGCATTCCCTTAACAGCGGCAATGGTGGCAGTTCAAGGCAATGCATCTGGACAAAGTGTTGCTATTTAAGGTGCGCCCTTCCCCCCCTCTCTCCCACTTCTGGTGCACACACGGTCACACGCACACATGCATGTGTGCAAGCATCCACACACCCACGTGGCTGCACATACACACTCTCCTCTTCACCTTACACACGGTGCACCCATCTTGTCCTGCCCTACATGCATATTTTTTAGTCGACTCAAAACGAGGTGACTTTTGAATCGACTCAAAAGTCACCCATCTTGTCCTGCCCTACATACATATGATCTCCCTTGCTCGGCAACACCATCCCTCCACCTCTCTGGGCTGCTCAAGCCCTCTCCTCTCTTTTTCCTTCGCTACCAAACCTCGCCCTGGAAATCCTTTTCCTCTCTCTCCTTTGCCCCTTCTGCCTCTTTCCCCGGCCTCCACTGCTGCTGCTGTTGCCCCTGTTGCTGTTGTCCCTGCTGCCCTTGCTGCTGCTGCCCCTGCCCCTGCTGTTGCTGCTGCGTCCCCCATGGAAGATGGGCAAGTTCTACGAGCTCTTTGAGATGGATGCGCATGTGGGCGCCAAGGACCTCGACCTGCAGTACATGAAGGTGGGCCACCTTGCCTGCTGGACAGCCTGGGTGCTAGGCTTTCTGGGTGCTGGGGGTAGGCTGGGCGCTGGGGCAATGTGAGCGCTGGGGCAATGTGAGCGCTGGGGCAATGTGGGCGCTGGGGCAATGTGAGCGCTGGGGCAATGTGGGCGCTGGGGCAATGTGGGCGCTGGGGCAATGTGGGCGCTGGGGCAATGTAAGCGCTGGGGCAATGTGGGCGTTGGGGCAATGTAGGCGCTGGGGCAATGAAAGCGCTGGGGCAATGTAGGCGCTGGGGCAATGTGGGTGCTGGGGCAATGTAGAACATTTGGAAGAGTAGATGTCATATCCTTTCATTTCTACCCGTTTCCTTTTGCTCCTCCTCCTCCTCCTCCTCCTCCTCCTCCTCCTCCTCCTCCTCCTCCTCCTCCTCCTCCTCCTCCTCCTCCTCCTCCTCCTCCTCCTCCTCCTCCTCCTCCTCCTCCACATGTGTCCAATCCACTCCGCTGTCAATACGGCCTGTCTGCCCCCACTGCCCTGCCCCCTCTGCCCTTTCTGCCCCCTCTGCCCCATTCGCCCTCTCTATTTCTCGTATCTGCAGGGCGATCAGCCGCACTGTGGCTTTCCAGAGAAGAACTATGCCGAGAATGCAGAGAGACTGGCGCTGAAGGTGAGACTGGCACAGTAAAAAGCTCAAGTCAAATATTCTGAGAGGCGAATCACACTGTCGTGCATGAAAAGCTCAAGTCAAATATTCGGAGAGGACAGAAAAGTATCATGCATGAGTGGACGCTGAGAGAGGAGATTGACCACAAATCACCCTTGCTGGCCATGCTGCCTGTTAGTTCCGGTTCTCTCACGTTTCTCACCGTGACATGCTTCACCCCTTTGGCATGGCACGGCACGGCACGGCACGGCACGGCACTTGGTGTTTGGAGCAGGGCTATCGAGTGGTGGTGGTGGAGCAAGTGGAAACCCCCGAGCAGCTGGAGCAGCGGCGGCGTGCCACTTACGTCCCTCTCATATAACCCATCTTGACGTTTCTCTCCCTTTGCACGGCATGCACCCACACCGCCAGGGCTATCGAGTGGTGGTGGTGGAGCAAGTGGAAACCCCCGAGCAGCTGGAGCAGCGGCGGCGTGCCACTTACATCCCTCTCATATAACCCATCTTGACGTTTCTCTCCCTTTGCACGGCATGCACCCACAGGGCTATCGAGTGGTGGTGGTGGAACAAGTAGAGACCCCCGAGCAGCTGGAGCAGAGGCGGCGCGCCACAGGCAGCAAGGACAAGGTGGTGCGGCGGGCCGTGTGCGCCATGGTGTCCCGCGGCACCCTCGTTGACGCTGGCATGCTCTCCGCCTCCCCTGACTCCTCTCTCATCCTCGCCCTCACTGAATGGCCCGCTGCCGCCGCTCCTGCTGCTGCCGCTGCTCCCGTTGCTGCTGCCGCTGCCGCCGCTGCTGGTTCTCCTGCGGGGGAGGAGAGGGAGGAGAGGGAGGAGAGGGAGGAGGAGGAGGGGGGAGCAGCAGCGGTGGTGATAGGAGTGGCGGTGGTGGATGCAGCGACAGGGCAATTCTCCCTGGGTCAGTTCCCAGACGACTCGGCTCGCACGCGCCTGTGCTCCCTCACAGCTGAACTCCGTCCCGTAGAGCTCGTTTTGCCTCGGGTCCCTGCCTCCTCCCATCACTCCTCTTCCTCGTCGTCTGCTGATAAACCCACCGCTGCTGCCCCTTCAGTGCCCCCCTCGCCGTGCCCCTCGCCTGCCACGCTGCGGGCGCTCTCGGACGCGTGTCGGCAGCCCCTGTGGAACTGGAGGGAGCGGATAGACGACTGCTGGGCGCCTGACGCCACAGCTGCATGGCTGCAGCGCTTCTATGCCCCGGAAAGAGAGGGTGGTGGTGGCGCTGGTGAGGGCAGAGACTGTGGAGAAGAGGTGGAGGAGGAGGTGGAGGAGGAGGAGGAGGAGGAAGAGGGAAGCGGCGAGAGGAGAAGGGGAGGTATGCCGCGCGTGATCGCTCAGTTGATTGCAGCAGGAGCAGCAGGAGGAGCAGCAGGAGGAGCAGGGTCCGCAGGGTCAACGGCGGTGCTGAGTGCGCTGGGGGGGCTTCTGGCCTACCTCCGCGCGTGCCTACTGGAATCCAGACTCCTCGCCCTGCGCCGCTTCTCCTTCCTCCCTGCCGCCCTGCCCCCGGGCTGTGGCAGGAAAACCAACGCTGCCACGGCCGGCAAGGGGCGTGCTCAGATGTGGGGGCAGAGGAGCGATCCCATGCAGGTGGAGGGGCAAGAAGTGGAGGAGGCGGAAGGGGAGTGGGAGGAAGATGAGCAGGAGGAGGAGGAGGAGGAGGAGCCAGAAGAGGAGCCGTTTATGGTTCTAGACAGCTGTGCACTGGAGAATCTGGAGATTCTTGAGAACAGCCGCGACGGCACGAGCTCCGGCTCTCTCTTTGCGCTCCTGGATCGCACCGTCACGCCGTTTGGGCGGCGCCTGCTGCGGCAGTGGCTCGTGCGCCCGCTGCTGAGAGCAGAGGCGATCAGAGAGAGGCAAAGGGCGGTGGGGGATCTGATGGGCGTGGGCGCGGAGGCTGCGGGGAAGGCCGTGAAGGCGCTGGGGGGAGTGGCGGATTTGGACCGCCTGCTGCCCAGGATACACTCGCACTGGTGAGTTCTGCTTTTGAGGTGGGAGGGAGGGTGCTGGGGTTGCTTGCTGGGGTATACGGGGGCGTGCTGAAGGGCCGCTGCTGAGGGCGGTGAAGGCGCTGGGGGGAGTAGCGGATTTGGACCGCGTGGTGCTGCCCAGGATCCACTCGCACTGGTGAGATGTGACTTTTGAGTCGACTCAAAAGTCACCTCGGTGAAGGCGCTGGGGGGAGTGGCGGATTTGGACCGCGTGGTGCTGCCCAGGGCAAAGGCCTGCCCACTCGCACTGGTGAGATGTTTGGGGAATGATGCCCAGGATACACTCGCACTCGCAGTGGGTTGCTGGGGTTTCCAGGCACTACTGGGGGGTTTAGGGGAGGTGCTGTTGGGGTGTGGGCGTTGGTGTTTGGGGTTGCGGAGGAGAGGGGGGGCTTGGTGGTGGTGGTAAGCATGCTGCTCGCTCGCTGCTGCTTGCTGCCTCTGGCGCTTTATGCCAACTTTGCTCGTTTCTGCTCCCCTCCTTGTTGCCACGACTCCTTCCCCCTCTCATTCTCATGCTGCTCACTCCTCCCACCCTGCCCACCCACCCCTGTTCGACCCCGGCTCCAGGGCAAAGGCCTTCCCAGCAGCAGCAGCAGCAGAGGCAGCAGACTCCAAGGCCGGCAAACAACACCAACACCAACAGCAGCAGCAGCAGATGGGGCGCAATGCGTGTCAGGTGGTGCTATACGAGAACGTGCCTCTAGCCCGCGTGCGAGAGTTCACCTCTGCTCTACGTGGCTGTCAGGCTCTCCTTGCTGCCACAAGTATGCCCCTCTTTCATTCTCATCTTGCTCACTCCTCCCACCCCTCCCACCCCTCTGCAACCCCTTCTCCAGGGCAAAAGCCTTCCCAGCAGCAGCAGAAGCAAAAGCAGGCAAGCACCACCAACACCAGCAGCAGCAGCAGCAGATGGGTCGCAACGCGAGTCAAGTGGTGCTATACGAGAACGTGGCCCTGGCACGCGTGCGAGAGTTCACCTCCGCCCTGCGCGGCTGTCAGGCTCTCCTTGCTGCTGCACAAGCCTTCGCCCCGCTGCTTCCTCGCCTCTCCAGCTCCCTGCTGCGCAACCTGCTCTCTCCTGCTGCTCCAGGAGGAGGAGAAGGAGGAGGAAGGGGAGGAGGAGGAGGGGCAGGACGGGGAGGAGGCAAGGAGGGGGGCGCAAGAGGAGTTGGAAAAGGGACGTTTCCCCCGATAGAGTCACGATTGCGTGCGTTTGAGCGGGCGTTTGACTGGGCGCAGGCAGACGCGTGTGGGCGCATCCTGCCATCGTCGCCGGGAGTGGATGCGGCGTATGACAGCGCTGCAGTGCGAGTGAAGGCTGTGGAGGCGGAGCTGCAGCAGCACCGGGAGGAGCAGCGCCACGTGCTGCGCGCTCCACCCACCGTGCGTGTGCTGCTCTCTGGGTTGTGGGCTGGGTTGATTCAGGTTGAATAGAGCTGGGCTAAGTTGTTATTGTTGTGGTGTTTTTTTTTTGTTTTTTTTGTTTTTTTTTCTCGTGGAAATTTTAATCTCCTCGAAACCACTTCTCTGTGTGCTCTTGCCCCTGCCCTCCTGGCCCAATGTCCCCCTGCCTCCCCGTCCCCCGCTCACAGGTGCCCCTAGCGTACGTGACAGTGGGCAAGGACCCGTTTCAGCTGGAGGTGCCAGACTCGCTGCTCAGCCGTGTGCCACCCTCCTACGAGCTCAAGTCACAGAAGAAGGTGCGCTGCTGCTGGGGTGGGGGAAAGGGAGCGTGCAGGGCAGAGGGAAGAGGGGAGAGGAAAGAGGGCAGAGGGGCAGAGGGGGCAGAGGGCGACGGGCGAAGGGCAAAGGGCGAGGGTGAACAGGAGAGAGCAGCAAAGGCTGAGCTCAGTTGCAACCCGTTAACTCGCTTACTCACTCACTCATTTCTCTCCCTCCACCCACACGCGCACCCCACTCCCCTCTCCCACACCAGGGCATGCGGCGGTTCTGGACCCCCTTCATCCGGTCTGCTCTTCAACGCCTGGCAGAAGCCAAGGAGGAGGAGGAGGCAGCTTTAAAGGGCATCTACCAGCTCCTCCTGGGCCGCTTCTGCGCGTCCCTCCCGCTCTGGCTGCACTTCCCTCCCGCTCTCTCCCACTCACCTACTCACTCTCTCACTCACTCACTTTCCCTCCTCATCTCCACCCACTTCCACGCCCCCCTCCCTTCACGCCAGGGCGTGCGGCGGTTCTGGACGCCCTTCATTCGCTCAGCCCTGCAGCGGCTATCAGAAGCCAAGGAGGAGGAGGAGGCAGCTTTAAAGGGCATCTACCAGCGCCTTCTGGGCCGCTTCTGCGCGTCCCTCCCACTCTGGCTGCGCGCCGTGCATGCCATCGCCCAGCTAGACGCCCTTCTCTCCCTCGCTGCTTTCTCCCGTGCCGGAGCCCCCCCCATGTGCCGCCCGCACGTGGGGTTTGACGTGGGCCGGGGCGAGGAGAGGGAGGCGGAGGGACGTGGCCGTGGAAACAGGGAGTGGGGGTTGGGGAAAGTGCCGTATTTCAGGGCGAAGGGGTTGCGGCATGCTGTGCTGGCGACTATGGGGTCTGGTGGCAGCTGCTTTGTTCCCAATGACACTGTTCTAGGGGGATGCGATGCGGGGGGCAGCGGGGCGGGAGGAGGAGGGGGAGGTGGAGGGAGAGGAGGGGAAGAAGGGAAAGGGGGAGGGGCAGGGGGAGGGGGAGGGGGAGGGGGAAGGGGAGGGGAGGGGGCGCGGATGATGCTGCTGACAGGGCCGAACATGGGGGGCAAGTCCACACTCATTCGGCAGACATGCCTCGCTGTCATTCTGGCACAGGTACGACGGGGGAAAGGGGAGTGGGTGGGAGGGGGGCGGGGAGGAGTTGGGGAAGGATGAAGGTGGAGGGAAGTGGGCGGAAGAATCCCACCCCTTCATGGGAAGTGGGCGGAAGAATCCCACCCCTTCATGGGAAGTGGGCGGAAGAATCCCACCCCTTCATGGGAAGTGGGCGGAAGAATCCCACCCCTTCATGGGAAGTGGGCGGAAGAATCCCACCCCTTCATGGGAAGTGGGCTGGTACGACGGAAGAATCTCTCATGAACCGTGTTGTGTTTGTGCGCTGGGGCGTGCGCTTCCTTCCTCCACCCCTTTCATTCCCTTTGTCCCCCCTGCTCCTCACCAGCTAGGAGCTCACGTACCGGCAGAGTCGCTGCCCCTCTCCCCAGTGGACCGGGTGTTCGTGCGCATGGGGGTGCGCGATCACATCATGGCGGCGCACTCCACGTTCCTGGTGAAGCTACAGGAGACGGCGGGCATGCTGCGCCTCTTGACTGGGCTCAAAAGTAGAGTACACTTTGGCGAATCGCTTTCCCCCTTTTCCCATTGCCATCCCCCAGCCACCGATTGTTCTCCTCTCCCTTCTCCTCCGCCCTACCCCCCCTTCCCTACCCCCCCTGCCCTACCCCCCCTGCCCTCCCCACACACCAGCTGGGAGCGCACGTGCCGGCAGAGTCCCTCGCCCTCTCCCCAGTGGACCGGGTGTTCGTGCGCATGGGGGCGCGCGATCACATCATGGCAGCGCGATCCACGTTCCTGGTGGAGCTGCAGGAGACGGCGGGCATGCTGCGCTTCTGGAGTGGACTCAGAAGTAGAGTACACTTTGGCGAATCGCTTCCCTAATTTTTCCCGTTCCCAACCTCAGACCACCGATTCTCCTCCTCTCCCTTCTCCTCCGCCCTACCCCCCCTGCGCTCCCCACACACCAGCTAGGAGCGCACGTACCAGCAGAATCCCTATCCCTCTCCCCAGTGGACCGGGTGTTCGTGCGCATGGGGGCGCGCGACCACATCATGGCAGCGCGATCCACGTTCCTGGTGGAGCTGCAGGAGACCGCGGGCATGCTGCGCTGCGCCACACGCCACTCCTTTGTGGCCCTCGACGAGCTGGGGAGAGGCACTGCCACTTCTGATGGCCACGCCATTGCGTGAGTTGCCGTGGAGGGAGAGGGGTGTGGTGGGGTGCAGTGGGGTGGGATGGGATGGGTGGGGTTCCCCTTCCGCTGTGGTCCTCGTTCTTGCTCAAATCGTCAAGTCACCTTCCTTGGTTAAGTATACCACTATCGTCGTCCAACCTCCCCTCTCCTCCACTCCCCGTCTCTCCTCCACGCCCCCGCTTCCCCTCCTACTGCCCTCAGGCATGCGGTGTTTGAGCATTTGCTGAACCGGGTGGGGTGTGTGGGAGTGTTCTCCACGCACTACCACGCCCTGGCACACGACTTCCAACACCACCCCGGGGTGAGTGAGCGCTGCCCCGTGTATTTGTTAGGCACGAGTCCTGTATTTATTAGGCGCCTCAAGAGTCTTCTCCACGCATTACCACGCCCTGGCACACGACTTCCAACACCACCCCGGGGTGAGTGCTGCTGCCCTGTGCAATTGTTAGGCACGAGTCGTGTATCCCTCAAGAGTCTTCTCCACGCACTACCACGCCCCGGCACACGACTTCCAACACCACCCCGGGGTGAGTGCTGCCCTTTGCTCCCGTGCATGTGTTTGCGCATGGGCATGGGCAAGACACCTTTGAGTCGACTCAAAAGTCACCTCGTTTTGAGTCGACTCAAAAGTCACCTCGTTACCATGGCACGCGACACATGCTCCCGTGCATGTGTTTGCGCATGGGCATGGGCAAGACACCTCCACGTGGCCTGCAGCGCATACCTGGATGTGTGCACTGTACCCTGCATTGAAATCACTTTTGAGAATTCTCAAAAGTGATTTCAATGTGTGCACTGTACCCTGCACTCGTGCACCATAGCATGCACTCACGTGTGCAGGGCCTCTGCAACATGCTGCTTCAAATTAGCAGTTCACCTCATGCTCCCACCTACCCCACATGCTCCATCCTCTCTCCGTTCAGTCTCCCCCCTTCTTCTCCACTCTCCTCATCCCTTCCCGTCTCTACTATTCTTCCCCTTTCCCACTTTGCGGTTCCCCTTTTCCCCGCCTCCGCTTCCCTCTCGTCTCTCCCCTTCGCCCATGTGCCTGTGTGCCTTCAGGTATCCCTGCAGCACATGGCATGCCAGGTGCGCTCCTCGCCTCCCCACGAGGCCTCTGCCACCGCGGCTGCTGTTAGCAGCGCCAGCCCAGCAGCCGCGAGCAGCAGCGAGAGGGGGGAGGAGGTGGAGGAGGTGGTGTTTCTGTACAAGCTCGCACAGGGCTCCTGTCCTAAGAGCTATGGCATCAACGTCGCACGCCTCGCAGGTCCGCTTCTTTGCTCCCTGCATTGCATCTCCCTGCATGCATCTCCCTGCATGCATCTCCCTGCATCTCTGCATAGCCCTTAGAGACAGGCTGCTCGCTGCTTCCTGCTCTTTCCTCCGACATCCCTTCCCTACCATTTCACTGCCCACCACCTCCTCCCTTTCTCCTTCTATTCTCGTCTCTGTTAAACTACCTGCCAGTCCCATTGTGCATGCTCCTCTCCCTCCCTTTTTCCCCTTATTTTCTCCCGCTTTGGTGGTTCCCTATCGTTGGCTGTGCAGGCATGCCAGAGTCGGTGCTGTGCTGTGCGGGCAGGAGAGCACAGCAGTTAGAGCAGGAAAGAGAAGCACACCGCAGGGAGAGACTTGCAGCAGCAGCTTTAGCAGAAGAAGATGAAGCAGTAAAGGGTTCAGAGGGAAGTGCGCCTGTGGAGATGGAAGGAATGGCAGTGCATGCAGTGCTCTCCCAGGTGCACCGACTGCTGCGGGAAGCAGGGGGAAAGCAGCAAGGCATGGATGAAAGTGCTGGAACGGCAGCAGGGATGGCCGTCGATTGTGAAACAGGAGGTGATGTGTTGGCCAAATTGAGGCTGCTGCAAGCACGGATAGCTGAGAGGGAAGGATGAAAGGACTTGAATTGCAGGGCAGATTCAGCGATGTGGCCATGTGACTTGGTTGGTTTTCTGCAGTATCGATGCCAGTGGAAGTAACCACGCACCACTGCAACCGCTGAAAACAAACTGATCGGGATGGGTGTGGAAATGTGAACGGAGATGGAAGGGGGTGGTTATTATTTGAAGCTTGCGTGTACCCGTCACAGGTTGGGTTCATTCTAATGTGTGGTAGTAATGTCCCTACTAAATCTGCTGCTTGTATGCTCCAGCTCCTACATTGGCATGCTTGGTAGCTTGTCTTCTGCTCAATATGGTTCCGCTGTTCACGAATGCGGTAGTAATTAGAGCATCCTGACATGACACAAACACAATCAGGAATCACATTATCTACAGATTCATGTGCAATTCAAATCATAATGGTTCGTCCATGCCATACCCTTGCTGTTCCACACCTTTCAGCACCACTTGCACCAGCGGCACAAGGACAACCAACCAACACCAATGGCACCAGCAGCAGCAGAGCGAGCACGACCTCACATCAAACTACACAGGCGTCTTGAGCGCCTCCCCTGCCAGATGCGCCTTCAGATTCTCCAGCACCACATCTGCCATCACGCCACGCGTCTCAAACGTGCCACTGCCCACGTGCGGCTGCACCACCACATTGTCCATCCCCAGCAACTCCGCAGGCACATTCGGCTCATCTTCAAACACATCCAGCCCCGCTCCCCCCACCTTCCCTTCCTTCAGCGCCGCCACCAGTGCCGGCTCATCCACATTCTTCCCCCGGGCGATGTTAATCAGGACCCCCGACGGGCCGAGAGCCTCGAGGACGGACGCATTCACAATGTGCGTGGTTTCCAGGGTGAGAGGGCAGGCGACAACGAGGAAATCGGAAGCTGCCGCGAGGGCGGTGGGGGAGGAGTGGTAGGAGTAGGAGGAGGGGATATCGGAGCGCTGGCGGCGGCTGTAGTAGGCGATGGGGCAGTTGAAGGCGGCTGCACGCTGGGCTATGGCCAGGCCGATGCGACCCAGACCTATGATGCCCACTCGCTTGCCGGACACCTGTGGTGCACACAGGGGAGGACGGGGTGCAGGGGAGAGAGTTTAGAGGCGCCTCAAACGTCGGCTGCGCGCTGGGCTATGGCCAGGCCGATGCGACCCAGACCTATGATGCCCACTCACTTGCCTGACACCTGTGGCACAGCCAGGGGAGGACAGGGGGAGCGGAGAGAGAGTGAGATGGAGGGCAGTTGGAGCGCGCTGTAGCTAGGCTTTGGCTATGGTTACGCCTACGCGTCTCAGACATTTGAGTCACTTGACCGTAAGGCACAGGGAAGACAGAGAGTTGGGGAGAATAGGGCAAGGGGACAGTAGGGTGAGGAGGGGGAACGGGAGGAGAAAGGAGAGAGGGGAGAAGGGGAAAACAGGGGGAGGAGAAGCAGGGACTCGCGGAGGAAGAAGGACAGAATGTTGGGATGTGAGGAGAAAGGGGTTGGTGTAGAGTTTAAGGGGAGATGCGAGGACGAACTGTGGAGCTGGAAAAGCGTGCAGCCAAGCAGGAGAGGAGCGAGGGAGGGGGGAAGCGAGAAAGGGGAAAGGTGGGGAGGAGAGGACGACAGCGAGTGCAGTGACAGTAACAAACGAAGCGATCCATTCACTGAAAGCTTTCCTCCCACTCTCTATCAAGCAGGAGCGGGTTCGGATGAGTGACCAGCTATGCAGTGCCCATCAGTTTAGATGTGCGCATCAGTTATGGACGGTGACCTGTCCATTAAAGTTCCTTCCTTCATACGCATCACAGTTCCTTGGAGCGCCCTTACTCCACATCCATCGTCACCCCCCACCAATCCTACATATCCCCTACCATTTCCACCCCTTACCACCCCTCTCCACCGCTCCTCAACACCTCAGCTCACCTTGTGTGTCAGGTGCATCATGCCCTTCTTGACCCACTCCCCCTCGCGCACGTATCGATCACCTTCCACCAGCCGCCGCGATACAGTCAGCATCAGCCCGAGGGCCAGGTCCGCCACGTCATCCGTGAGCACGTCTGGCGTGTTGGTGACGTGGATGCCCTTCTCCTTGGCCTTCGCCACGTCTGAAGCCATGGGGGAACATACGTGGGAAAATGCAGTCACAAGGGGTTGGATAAACGGGAAGGATTGAGTGACCGTCCTTCGCGGGAAAGAAAACACAAGATGAAAAGGTAAACGAGAAGGGAAATTATGGCGAGTGCTTTAATCGTTGAATTCCCTCTTCGCTCTTCTCAACCCCGCTCTACCCAGCAGCACCCCCCCAATACCTATGGAATCCACGCCCACGCCGAAGTTGGTGATAATCTCCAGCCGCGGAAGCCGCTCAAAGAGCTCCGCGGGGAAACCCCAGAAGCTGTTGGTCACGGCCGCGCGGATCTCCCCCGTGTGCGCCTCCAACAGCGAATCCCACGCCGCCTTGTCTCCCGTCGGGAGGTGCACGAGCGTCGCGAATTGCTCCAGATCGGACACCAGACGTGGCAGCTGCGGCCCCACCACCAGCACGCGCGGCCTTGCGGACTCCCCCGCTTCCCCCATTGCGGAACTTGCGGAAGCGACGGCGGAGGCGGAGGCGGGTGCGGAGACGATCGGGAACGAGCGGGAGTGGACGGCTGCGGAGGGGGAGACGGACCATATGGGACTGGGGAGTGAAAGTCGCAGTGAGCGTGAGGGATGGATTGAGAATCTATGCATGGAAGGAGGAAGCTCGAAAGCAGATTCAGCCAGGAGTGTTTAATTATGATAGAAGCGGCTTGCCGGCAATGCCAAGAGATGCGACGTCAATTTCCTCAAAATTATATTGCCTGTTATAAGCTGGAGATTCCACGCGAGCACTCACCGCTTGGATGGCGAAACGAAAGAGGGGGTGTCGCGACGGGATGAGCGTTGAAGTGGGAGGACAGGGACGTCGAGGTTGTGACGGAACGTAACGAGCCCCAGGATAGAAGAGGCCGTGAAATGAGGTCGGCGTTTTTGGTGTAGAATGGGTTGAGACTGGAGCGGGAGAAGTGAATTCCAAGCTGAGTTGATGAGTAGCTGGTGATTCTTCGACCAACGAATGCTGAAGCTTGCTGCGACATTGCAGATATATACGAAACGGGAGAAACTGATCAAAGGAAAATGCGTGAAATGTGCGAACGGCAGTGCGTGCAGGTGCATGAAAAGTTATGCAGACATATTGGCGAGGGCTGGGTAGATACAATGGGTTGGGAGGATTTGAATGAAAATAGCGTTCGGTGAAATGAGATAGGAGTAATCCAAACGAACAACGGTGGATGTGCGAGGTGCATGCATGTGACTGGTAGGACATTTGATGACGCTGGATGCGCAATCTGGGGACCAGAAGGCTGGCTCTAATGAAGCCATGGATGCATCTGGTTGGCTTTCCCGCTCAACAATGCGGTGTGCACTAAATGCGTGAATGCCACGTCGATCACTTTCCGGTAACGAGTTTGCACCGTTCGCGTTTTCTTATAATTATAGCATGGATTATCGGCCTTCGCTAAGGCAAGGACAGTAATAGAGGACATTTGAACGAGATGAAAATCCACATGGAACCAGCCTAGAAGCATGTAGTCACGAAGAAATAACACCAAAAGTACGAAACAGATTGCAAACAAGTCCTAAAGGGCAGCTAGCCTATGAGGGGAGAACTAACAACAAAGCTCGAACAACGGAGAACCACCCTGTTATCCGGTAGGACAACATTGGTTCTCATTCGTCAGCCTTCTCCTCTGCTGCCTCATCCTGTAGCAGGGAAAGACACGAGTGCAGGTAAAACCAGCTATCATTCAATATCAACCGTCACCAAAATACAAAACCATAGCATCGGGAACAACAACGGTGCACAAAAACGAATATTAGCCAGAACATACCTGCATATCCGAGGTCCAGAGAGTCAGGTTGTCCCGCAGCAATTGCATGATGAGCGTGCTATCCTTGTACGAGTCCTCCCCGAGCGTGTCGAGCTCCGCAATTGCTTCATCGAAAGCCTGCAGCGTGGACCAAGAAGTAAGAACTAGACCGAGAACAGCAAAGCAACTTTTATAAGCGTGTTTTACTGACAACTGCATTACCTGCTTCGCGAGCGTGCAAGCGCGCTCAGGAGAGTTAAGAATCTCGTAGTAGAAGACGGAGAAGTTAAGGGCCAAACCCAGACGAATCGGGTGAGTAGTAGCAAGATCAGCATTAGCAGTATCCTGTGCAATGGGAACACGGCAGCGGAAGGCACAAAAAAAAATGAAGTCGGTAGGAAGTATAAAAAGGGCACTTGATCGTAAGGTTAATGTACAAATCGCAGCAGTACAGAAAGGCAATAGATCAAGGCCGTTTTACAAAAAATGTTATGAACTGGACACATTGAACACATACATTACTGGTACGCGTGGAAAATAACGCTCGAGATACCAAAGCCCAGTTATTTGTGCAAATATGAGAGAACATACCTGAGCTGCAGTGTAAGCCTCCAGCGTGCTTTCAGCGGCAGCTTTGCGATCTGCTCCTGACTTGAACTCCGCGAGATAACGATGATAATCACCCTTCATTTTCAGGTAAAACACCTTCGCCTCAGCGGATTTAGATGCAGGAACAAGGTGTGCGTCCAACAAGGTGAGGATGCGCCCACAGATCTCGTCTAGTTCCTTCTCAATCTTCGCGCGGTACTCCTTGATAATAGTAACACGATCCTCGTGGCCTCTGCTTTCCTCTTTTTGCTCAATAGAGGAGACGATGCGCCACGAAGCGCGGCGAGCTCCAACGACATTCTTAAATGCTACCGAGAGAAGGTTGCGCTCCTCCACCGAGAGCTCCACATCGTCAGCGAGCTGCGCAACGTTCTCAATGGCCTCCACCATCTCGTCATAGCGTTCAGCCTGCTCAGCAAGCTTGGCCAGGTAAACCTGATCTTCGCGCTCCGAACCCATGGTTACTACAGAAGCAGGTAGGGAAAATAAATGTTGAGGGGTGGAAGCTGTGGTAAGAAAAGAGCAAAACCTGTGTTGCGGTGTTGTTATGGCAGGGGAATGAAGCTGGTGGAAATATCAAGCCCAGCCACAACAACCAAACCAAGCCAAGAAAGGAGGTTGGGGCAAGGGAGATAGGTAGTTCTCGGGCTCGTGCCGAACCAAGTCTACGCGGGGACAGAACGGGCATGTAAACCACTTCTGAACAACAGCCTTGTCAGGAATAGCTGTCACGCTCGACAGAAGAACACGAAGCTGGAGAAAACAGAAATTCTTGCACTGGTTGATTTCACATAAACTAAGAAGCTACATGTATCGGGAGAGTAGGTGACCCTTCTAGTCATAAAGAATGTCACCCTTACCCGTTAAAGCGACGGGCAACTTTTGGCAGTGTTGGGTTCAGAAGTTTTTTTTTTGAACCAGGCTTGCCAGCGCGAAAGTGCTGGCTGGGGAAAACAGGATTTCGTGCGGACACTTTCCATCCGCAGTAACAGTTCGCCAGGGTTCTGGGTTTTGGGTGGCAAATGTGCACCGTCGCTTTAACCCTGTAAATTCCAGTGCTTGTGGATTTTCCATCACCAACTATTATATGAGGAGTTATCAACACGAGGGATAGGTAAGCCTAAAAGGGTACACCGTATGTGGTGTACTAGACAGTTGGAAGGTGGTTGGCGCTGGTCGCAAGGTCCTGCCAATTTGCAGTCGTGTCATGCTCCATGCCAGCAGGCGATAATTGGTTACCTCGGCGACGATTGTGGTAGGCTGACGACAGCTGCTGTCGAATTACAGTTTCCTCCGCGAATTGCCTTCCCCAACTGCATGCTTGCTGATGTGGAATCATTCCAGGTGCTGGGCCTTCGCGAATCGTACGGCTTGCGATTTTCTCCGTCATCGCCTTATTGCCCAGCCGAACAGACTTGGGGTCACCTCAAAACTTCCATGTTCCATCTAAACCGTCAACATAGCCCCTTGAACATATCACAGCCGTTGACAGGATTACAGCCCTTGGAATCGCCGCACACTCCGCCATCAAATCGCCTCGGGGTTTCCGCAGTCGCAGTCACAATGGGTGGGATGATACAGTCGCCCCTCCCTCCTGAACCACTTCCCCTTGGAGCCATCGCTAGCTACACCTTGGTTCATCGCACCCATTTCCCTCAGCAATCGCCCATCTGCTTCCAGGGTTTCGTTTTATCGCCCAACCTGATGCTTCAGCTTCCAGTCTATCGCAACCCTCGTCTTGTCTATCTGCGAGCTCCCATTTTATCGTTCATCCGAGCCTTTGTCGCTCCTTGTCCTTCAGGGCAGCGACGGCAACATGGCTTCTTACCGCCCCGACGATGCTAGGGGCGAATTGATGCGCGTTCGGCGTGACATCGCCAATGTTGAAAACCAACTTACTGTAGTATGTAGAGAAGTAGAGTCTGCAGCTGAACTAGGTGACAAGGAGCGAGTTAGCGATTGTCGTCACATCCGGAACTGCTTGTGGAAGGAGAAAGAGCAACTGCGGATTCAAGAAACTATCTTTCTCAGGATCTTGTTTTCGGACTCTCCTCTCACTGGTGGCTCTACACTCACGATTACGTCAGGTGGAATTTCCCGAATATCCGGAAACATTTCTTTGATGTTCTAGTCATTCCATAAGTATCGAGGCGCTTCCATGTGGATTTGCGTCTGCTCTTTCGTTTCAATGTCACTAACCTCTATGATGTGTGCTACCACTCTTTGCGGTTTTGTTCAGGAATCCCTACTGTTGGAGCGCACCAGCAGCAGCTGCAGACCGACTCACGAAACCAGCAGCCGTATCAGCAGCAACAGCTCCCTCAGCAGCAACACCTTCAGCAACAGCAACATCACTTGTCACAGCTGGGATGTCAGCCTCTCACAGCATGCGGAGCTCCTGCCGACTATTTGCAACCTCAGCAAATGACTTCGGCTGCTTCTTTGATGCCGCCTTCGCTGGTGCCTGCATCTCCAGCGCTGAAGCCATCTCAACCTCCAGGACAAGGAAAACGGAGTCGCAGAATTCTTTCCCCCCCTCCAGGTGCACCAGGAGGTCCCGGAGGTCAGCTTTTGCTCGGTCCCGGGAGCACAGCGGCTGGATTTGAAGCGGACCTCGTTAATCCTGAAGGCTACGAAGTGAATCGCAGCTCCGAGAGCAAGGTCATCGACGTTTGGACGGAATGGAAGGAGGGTATAAACGGCGGGCCGTCCATTGAGAAGCTTGAAGAAGCACGCAAGCGCGACCGCAAATGCGTTTGGTGGAGGCATAAGAACGATTACAAGTATTGGAGCAAGCAGGTAACGCTGAAATTCATCTCGTAGTGTCTGTTTGTTATATATTATTTTGTCTTATCACAGCTAACATTGGCTTTTCTCTATCCCTTCTCATTGCAGATGCGCATTATTCACGCTATTGAGAAGAAGGCCGCCGAGCTGGGTGGAAGCCTGGATGCTGCGATTCGTTACTGGGAAGAGATTTTGCGTGTGGAATTTGAAGGCAGCATTTCCAAGCTGCGAGAAGCCCTTGGTGGTGAAAAGGCTGTTCCTGGCGGTGCCGATGGCCGTGAGCCTGGCTCTGGTGTTTCTGAAATGAGCAGTTTCAAACGGCATCGGAAGGAGCTACTCCAGAAAGCTGTTGAGAGAATGAAGCACTGGCCTGAGCAGCAGCAGCTTCTTATGAATCAGCAGCAGCAGCAGCAGCAACAGCATCAGCAGCAGCAGGAGCAGCAACAGCAGCAGCAGCAGCAGCAACAGCAACAGCAGCAGCAGCAACAGCAACAACAACAGCAGCAGCAGCAACAACAGCAGCAGCAGCAGCAGCAGCAGCAGTTGATGGAGCAGCAACAGCAACAGCAGCACCAAATGATGGCAGAGGATGCAGTTCAAGATGGAGTGCAGGAGCAGCCCTTGGCAATGCCGCAGTCACATCCACAGGCCATCACTCAGATGTCTTGATTATGCTTTTGCTTATGCTTCCTTGTTTGCTTTTGGCTAGCGTCTTGCTGGTCACCAGCTATTTCTAAGCTGTATTTTGCTTGTGGTTTCCATAGGTTCTGTGGACCCCTTGCCTTGTGCCGTACTTCTTGATTTGTGTTTGCAATAAATATGTTGTTTTCTGGCCCATTGCTTTCCCATGTGAGACTTCACAGACTCCATTATAAGTATTCTGGAAGTTCTCTAAAAGTGGTCTCGTGATGTCTCCACCAATCCACTCCCAGTTCAGTTGTGGTGCTGACAGGATGGGATAAGCTGCAGGCAAAAAACAAAATTCTCTCATCAACCAAGAGGGGAAGCGCGAACCAGATCGAGGGAATTCAAAATAATACTAGAGCTTGGACAAGTGTGAATCTCTGCACCAGCGTCGCCGACCGAGCCTGCATTGCTGCGACTGTTATTTCGGCTTGTTCGTCCACCGAGTTCCGCCTGGCACGATGACGACTTACGAGTTGGTGCCGTTGTTTGAGTGTCCCCGGGATGATCTAAGTTAGCCTGCAGCTACTTAGTTAAGTACAGGGTTCACCACAGCCCGTCAGAATCATCGAGCTCGTCGCGGCCCCGTGCGGAATTCCATCATCATTCATCCACTCGACCGTTCCGCTTTTAAAAAGCAGCTCTTCAGCTCTTCCGTGCATTCACCTTTGCATCCCCGTCCTCCATTTTGCCGGCCCAGTTGGCCTCACACGCCATGTGCGGGCCTGGTGCGCGACGACTCGCGTCCATTCTCCCCCGCGTTTGGGTTCGGCGCCTCGATATGGGGTAGGCGACAAAACGGCTACGACGATCTTGATGCTGCCATTGCCGCTCCCCGCTCCTCCTGCATCCTCTGCTCTTCCCCATGCCTCCATTCTCGCTCCACCCGTTAAATTCCATTCAGCCGTTTCCCTCCCCTCCTCTTCTCCGCCTCTCCTCGTCTCCGCTTCTGCTCCAACTAATGCATTCCGTTCCACCTCTTGTGGCCTTTTCAGAACATCCCGTCCTCCCACTCCCCCTCTCGCCCTCCGTCCGCATCTGTTCCCTGGGATCCTCGTTCCCTCGCTTGCTTGTGTGTCTGCTTTCTCTTGCTGCTTGCATGCTCGCGTTCTCACATGTGTGCTTGTGCTCTGCACGCCATCCATCCATCCGTGCAACCCCTGTCCCAGGTGGGAGTGGGCAATGCTGCGCCTGGAGCTCTTTCTCGACTCCACCGTCAAGGTCTTGGGTCCACTCTACGTCCTCATCGCCCTCGTCCTCATCCTGTCAGTCTCCCGCTTCCTTCCCATGCCCCCTGCCCTGAACTCCCCCCCCCCCCCCATCTGCTACCGAGACGTCTCTAAAGTCTTCTTCTGGACTCCACCATCAAGGTCTTGGGTCCACCCTACGTTCTAATAGCCCTCGTTCTCATCCTGTCAGTCAGTTTACTTCTCCCCTCCCCCCATCTGCGTCATGCCCTGCCATCTCGCATGGTGTTTTCCAAGCCTCGTGTAGTGATGTCTTTCCTCTTGCAAGGTGCATTCTCCGCCTCTTCTCCTCTTCCCCCCACCCCCCCTATCCTCTTCGTCCTCCTCTTCTTCCTCTTTTCTCCCTTCTCCTCCCCACTCCCCTCCTCCCCCCTGCCAGCGCCATTGTCTACCTGGCCTTCTCGCTGCTGCTGCCCATGGCATGGCCCATCCACACCCCAGCGGGCATGCTGCACGCCCTGGCGGCAGCGTGGGTGTCGTTCAACATCCTCTTCAACTTCTACTGCGCCGCCACCCGACACCCTGGATCGCCACCGCCCCTCGCGGTGAGTACGTGAGTAGGAGGTGTGCGAAAAGAGCATGCTGCATGGCATGGCGGCGGCGTGGGTGTCGTTCAACATCCTCTTCAACTTCTACTGCGCCGCCACCAGACACCCTGGCTCTCCACCTCCCCTTGCCGTGAGTCACTGCTGTGGGTAGGTGGGTGAGAGCACGAGTCTAGGAGAGAGCACGAGGGTCTACGAAAAGGGCATGCTGCACAGCATGGCAGCAGCGTGGGTGTCGTTCAACATCCTCTTCAACTTCTACTGCGCCGCCACCAGACACCCTGGCTCTCCACCTCCCCTTGCCGTGAGTCACTGCTGTGGGTGGGTGGGTGAGAGCACGAGTCTAGGAGAGAGCACGAGGGTCTACGAAAAGGGCATGCTGCACAGCATGGCAGCAGCGGGGGTGTCGTTCAACATCCTCTTCAACTTCTACTGCGCCGCCACCAGACACCCGGGCTCTCCACCGCCCCTCGCGGTGAGTACGTGAGTAGGAGGTGTGCGAAAAGAGCATGCTGCACGGCATGGCGGCGGCGTGGGTGTCGTTCAACATCCTCTTCAACTTCTACTGCGCCGCCACCAGACACCCTGGCTCGCCACCTCTTCTTGCCGTGAGTCACTGCTGTGGGTGGGTGGGTGAGAGCACGAGTCTAGGAGAGAGCACGAGGGTCTACGAAAAGGGCATGCTGCACAGCATGGCAGCAGCGTGGGTGTCGTTCAACATCCTCTTCAACTTCTACTGCGCCGCCACCAGACACCCGGGCTCTCCACCGCCCCTCGCGGTGAGTACGTGAGTAGGAGGTGTGCGAAAAGAGCATGCTGCACGGCATGGCGGCGGCGTGGGTGTCGTTCAACATCCTCTTCAACTTCTACTGCGCCGCCACCAGACACCCTGGCTCGCCACCTCCCCTTGCCGTGAGTCACTGCTGTGGGTGGGTGGGTGAGAGCACGAGTCTTGGAGAGAGCACGAGGGTCTACGAAAAGGGCATGCTGCACAGCATGGCAGCAGCGGGGGTGTCGTTCAACATCCTCTTCAACATCTACTGCGCCGCCACCAGACACCCTGGCTCGCCACCTCCCCTTGCCGTGAGTCACTGCTGTGGGTGGGTGGGTGAGAGCACGAGTCTAGGAGAGAGCACGAGGGTCTACGAAAAGGGCATGCTGCACAGCATGGCAGCAGCGGGGGTGTCGTTCAACATCCTCTTCAACTTCTACTGCGCCGCCACCAGACACCCTGGCTCGCCACCTCCCCTTGCCGTGAGTCACTGCTGTGGGTGGGTGGGTGAGAGCACGAGTCTAGGAGAGAGCACGAGGGTCTACGAAAAGGGCATGCTGCACAGCATGGCAGCAGCGGGGGTGTCGTTCAACATCCTCTTCAACTTCTACTGCGCCGCCACCAGACACCCTGGCTCGCCACCTCCCCTTGCCGTGAGTCACTGCTGTGGGTGGGTGGGTGAGAGCACGAGTCTAGGAGAGAGCACGAGGGTCTACGAAAAGGGCATGCTGCACAGCATGGCAGCAGCGGGGGTGTCGTTCAACATCCTCTTCAACTTCTACTGCGCCGCCACCAGACACCCTGGCTCGCCACCTCCCCTTGCCGTGAGTCACTGCTGTGGGTGGGTGGGTGAGAGCACGAGTCTAGGAGAGAGCACGAGGGTCTACGAAAAGGGCATGCTGCACAGCATGGCAGCAGCGTGGGTGTCGTTCAACATCCTCTTCAACTTCTACTGCGCCGCCACCAGACACCCTGGCTCGCCACCTCCCCTTGCCGTGAGTCACTGCTGTGGGTGGGTGGGTGAGAGCACGAGTCTAGGAGAGAGCACGAGGGTCTACGAAAAGGGCATGCTGCACAGCATGGCAGCAGCGTGGGTGTCGTTCAACATCCTCTTCAACTTCTACTGCGCCGCCACCAGACACCCGGGCTCTCCACCGCCCCTCGCGGTGAATACGTGAGTAGGAGGTGTGCGAAAAGAGCATGCTGCACGGCATGGCGGCGGCGTGGGTGTCGTTCAACATCCTCTTCAACTTCTACTGCGCTGCCACCAGACACCCGGGCTCGCCGCCTCCCCTCGCGGTGAGACACAGACTTTTGAGTCGACTCAAAAGTCAACTTCTACTGCCACCAGACATCCGGGCTCTCCGCCCCCCCTTGTGGTGAGAGCATGAGAGCAGTGTGGGTGGGTGAGAGTATTGTGGTGGAAGGGAAGGTACGGCGGTTTTTCACGAGAGAAGGAGAGTAGGAGAGAGCACGAGCATATGAGAGCACACTGTTTTTCCTTGTATCTCCTCCATTCCTTCCTTGTGTCACTTCCTCCCAGTTCCCTCCCCAGCTCGCTTCTTCCCAGCTCCCTCACCCGCCCCTTGTCCTCCTCCCCTGTCCCACGCTCTCAATTGCAGCTTCCAGATAAGGAGATGCGAGGGGCGCTGCAAGGCGATATGAGGCTGGGCATGGCCGTATCGTGGCAGACATGCCTATTGAAGGCTATCATCACACCCCTTGCCCTCTTCCCCTGTCCTTCATTCCCTCTCCACAACAGCTACCCGACAAGGAGATCCGAGGGGCCCCGCAGGGCGATGTGAGGGTGAGCGTGGGGCGCATAGTGGCAGACATGCAGCTCAACCTCTCTGACTCCATGCCGTGTGTGCGCTGGTGCGACAAGTGTGAGTGGTGCGACAAGTGTGAGTGGTGCGACAAGTGTGAGTGGTGCGACAAGTGTGAGTGGTGCGACAAGTGTGAGTGATGCGACAAGTGTGAGTGATGCGACAAGTGTGAGTGATGCGACAAGTGTGAGTGATGCGACAAGTGTGAGTGGTGGGGCAAGTGTGAGTGGTGGGGCAAGTGTGAGTGATGCGGCCATGCGCTGAGCTGAGAATGTTGAGCTGCCTTTCTGGACCTTCAGTGCAGTAAATCATGGTGAGATTATGGTGATGGACCAATTATGCCGCAACTCACAAACGTTTTGTGTGGAGTCATGCCATGGCATGTTTCTTCTGTGTGGATTCATGGCATGGCATGGCATGGCATGGCATGGCATGGCATGGCATGGCATGGCATGGCATGGCATGGCATGGCATGGCATGGCATGGCATGGCCTGTTGCCACTATGGACTCTCTCCTGCCCCATGATGGCAGGTCAGAATCTCAAGCCCCCACTGACACACCACTGCCATATATGTGAAAGGTGCACCTTTCCTCACCTCTTCATCGCACACATATCGTTATCGTCGCCCCTCACTGATAATAATCTAGTTTCGAGACGTCTCATAACTACATATCGTCGCCCCTCACTTCAACCCCTCGCATCACCTTTCACTCACTCAGCAACTCATGAGGCCGGACTATTTCCCTCAATTCGCTTGATCGTCCTTGCAACACCACGCAGCCATATGTGCCTGACACCCCTGTGCCTGACGACATCTGTGCCTGACGACATCTGTGCCTGACGACATCTGTGCCTGACACCTGTGCCTCGCTCCTCTTTCCTCTTCATCTGCCCTTCTCCCTGCGTTCCTTGCATTGCAGATGCGTGCTCAAAATGGACCACCACTGCCGTACGTACCACTCACCTACTTGCTCACTCGCTACCTCACTCCCTCTCTCTCTCCCTCAGTTACTCTCTCACTCACTCACTCGCCCTCGGCCACTCAACAGACGTCTTACCTCCCCATCTTGCATGTATCATCACACTTCTCTGCCTTGCTCTTCCCACCTCACTACACTACTTCTCACGGTCTTTCCACCCCATGCCTCCCACCCCTTGCCCTTGCCACCCCCTATCAGCGTGGATGCACAACTGCATTGGGCTGCGCAACTACCGCTACTTCTTCCTCTTCTGTGCGCCCTCCCTCTCTCCCTCTCCAGCCTCCCTCCTGCGCACTCTTTCTGTGCACACCCCACCTCTCGCCCCTAGCCTCTTCTCTCCAGCGGCAGCCGCCCTTGTTTCTTACTCTCACTCGCGTTATCTCTTGTTCCTTACCATTCCACCTGCTCGGGCTCTTCTGGGGTGATCAAGAGCCGGACTGATGTCACCCCTTTGCACTCGTGCCCGTGCATTGTATCGCCGTAACATTTCTCCCGTTCTGCCTCCTTTCGCCTCCTCTCCCCTGCCCTACACACACTATAACAATTCTCCCCTTTCTCACCTCTCATTCACCACCCCCCCCCCTTTTTCCCTCCAACCCCTCTGCCACCCTCACCACCTCCCTGTCCCTTCCCACACCTGTGCGAGCAGTGCTGTATCTCTGGGTGGGCTGTGGCTATGCAGTCACAGTCGCCACCCTGCTTATAGCCGACAGCAAGAAGGTACCCCCACCCCACCCTTTCACATGCGTGCATAGTACTGTGTCTCGTTGTCTTGTCGCTTCCATAATCCAAACTCCTTTCCCTCGCCCTACCCTCCTTCCTCTCCACTCCACTCCTATCCTCTCTCCTCTCCACTCCTCTCCTCTCCAGACCTTTCCTCTCCTCTCCTCTCCTCCCTCCTCCCCTCCCCTCTCCGTTCCCAATCTGCGCCGCACATTCTCGCGCTCCGTGCTCTCCCCTGCAACATTGCAACCGTCACCATCTTCCTCCTCCAAGCCGCCTCACACCCTAGCTGCTCTTCCCAGTCCCCCGTCGTCCCTTCCCCCCCCATCCCACTTTCAACGCACGCGACCCCTCTCATTTATCTCTTTTTCTCCCTCTCTCCTCCTTTCTACCCCCTTCTCCCACCTTTCTCCCCCCGTCTCCCGCCATCCCCCCTCTCCTCAGATGGCCCAGCCGCTGCCAGGGGTGATATTCACGTTTGTGGTGGCACTGGCAGCGTTCATAGCGATAGCGCTGCTGCTGGCGTGGCACGTGTACCTGGTGGCCACAGCGCAGACCACCATTGACTTCTATGACTTTGTGCTGCGCTGCCGCGAGGCCAGACGGGCTGGAAGGGTGAGTCTTAAGAGGGAGTTGAAACACGGGAACGGTGTTCTTTCTTTCTTTCTTTCTTTGTTTCTTTCTTTCTTTCCTGTATTCTCTTGTTCTTTTCTTGTTCAATCGCGCGGGGTGCAATGTCTTGGTTTTCCTCTGGAATAAAAACTTGACGTGAGCGTAAGTTTCGGGGTCTTTGCTCTTGGTCCTTGCTTCTTATCTCCCCTCCCTCATTCACGCACTCAAAAGGTTTATTTTGTTCTCCATCACTCCATGGTGACTTGTTTGTGTCCCCTCCGCCCTTCCTCACAACCACTCCCCATGCTGCACCTTCTCCTCACACCGCTCTCCACACCTCCCCATCTACAAGTGTGGGTGAACAAGCTCTCCCTCGGCTTCTGCCTCAGCATGCCACCATCTCTTGTACCACTCTCACAACCTCCCTGAATCCCCTTGCACCGCACTCCACACCTCCCCATCTGCAGGTGTGGGTGAACGAGTTTGACCTGGGCGTGTGCCGCAACTTCCAGGCAGTCTTTGACGTGTCGGGGCCGCTATGGCCGCTGCTCATGCTGCTGCCACGCACGGCTGTGCCTCGCGGCGACGGCATTCACTTCCCCACCATACACGACCTGCGCTCTTAGATTCATGGCTCTTGAGTCGACTCACCCCGCTGCTCATGCTGCTGCCACGCACGTCTGTGCCTTGAGGGGACGGCTTCACTTCCCCACTATACACGACCTCCGCTCCTAGCCTTCAAGGCACTTCCAAATGCACCCTCTTCACCACCATACCCTGCCCGCACACTTGCATTCGCTGCTCATGCTGCTGCCACGCACGTCCGTGCCTCGCGGCGACGGCATTCACATCCCCACCATACACGACCTGTGCTCCTAGCTTTCAAGGCGCCTCCGTCCAAGGCGCCCTCTTCTCCTCCGTACACGGCCTACGTTCTTAGCTTTCAAGGCAGCTCCCAATGAACCCTCTTCCCCACCATACACGACCTCCGTTCCTAGCTTTTGAGGCGGCTCCGTCCGAGGCACCCTCTTCCCCTCCATACACGGCCCGCGCTTTTGAATCCATCGCTCTTTCCTTCAGCGTTCCTAACGCGTCGCTTCTTTCTAGCTCATTGCTTCTTGTTCCTAACTGCTGGTTCCCTGAGCCTTGCTCACGGCTCCCAGGCCTGGGGCACCCATACATTTCAAGGTGAATAAGGGAAGCATGCAGCACCTTTTTATCACCTCGCCTACCAGCGACACCCGGCAGGGTGCATGACTTGACCCCAGTAGCAATGCTGACCTAGAGACAGTGATGCCATGGTGTTACCTATGATAGAGTCACGATGCCATGCCATCATTGCCACCATCCCGTTGAGCACCACGCATAGTTTGCATCACCTGGGCTCCCTTATAGGACCTGGTCACCTGGCCCCCTGCAGTGTTTCCTGGGCTACTCCAGTGTCTCCTTGAACTGATATAGGTAAATCGCCAAGGTTCTCCGCAACACCAGGAGCTAGGGTATCGTATTACCACTAGGCCTAGGTCTCAAAGTTAGCGAACAACGGAATATTTGAACTAGGGAAACAAGGGATACAAATAGCAACCCTAAAAGTGTTGTACTCCCTAGAGTGCTACTCACTGTAGCCTAAGAACCTATAATAACATTTGACACACCCCCATAGGCTAAGTGAGGGGCATCAAAGCAAGCAGGGTGAACAAACGGTCACAAGACCAGTCAATGCAAGAAGCAAAGCAAGCTCAGGGTGGATCTCAAGGACACCACACAAATTCCGAGCACAAGCAAGCGGCCACAAGGCCAGTTCAAGAGTTCACTAGGATATATATAGCAAAGCACAACAAGCAGAGCAAACAGCAAGTCTACAGCAACCGAGGGCCTACCTCAACAAGCCCCAACTGCACACAGAACCTGTGGTGGTCACCAAGCGCCAGGGACGTCTGCAGTGTTGGCCTCTGAGGCCACAAAGTCCAGTCGTGCCTGGCCACGTCGCTGCAGCTCTCGCAGAAGGAAGTACCTCACGTCAATATGCTTCACTCTGCTCTCCAGTCGAGGCTCTCGACAGAGGAGGATCATGGCCTTGTTGTCAGCGTACAAGGTCGGTGCAGAGCGAGGCCGCTCACCAAGGTCGGCGAGCAAGAAGGTCAACCAGTGAAGCTCCTGTGCCGCCATGGCACCAGCGTAGATCTCTGCCTCTGCACTGGAAGTAGCCACAGACGACGACCGTGTAGACCTCCACGACACAGCACCAGCACCCAGACTGAAGCAGTAACCCTGAGTCGAGCGCTGAGTCTCCACGTCGTCAGCGTACGAAGAGTCGCAGTGACCAGTCAACGCCACTGGCTGAGTCCCTCCAAGCACAAGCCCCATGCCTGATGTAGTCGCCACGTACTTCGCCACCCTCACAGCAGTTGTCCAGTGGACAGGACGGTGTCTCCCAGTCGCAACGAACCGAGAGAGGACGCTGAGGGGAAAGGCGAGGTCCGGCCGAGTACAAGTCATCAGGTACATGAGGCAGCCCACCAGCTCTGCGTAGGGACCACTGGACTCAAAAGGCTCGTCGGGAAAACGGCCAGTGAGTCTGTGGTCAACAGCAAGAGGTGTGGGCTGTGTGGTGGAGAACTGGAAGTCGAACCGCCGAAGGACCTGCTGCACCATGTGTGAATGAGTCTGTGTGATGGTGCGAGCGGCTCTGTCCCTGGTGATCTGCAGGCCAAGGTAGCGCTGCAGTTCACCTAGGTCAGTGCACGTGTGTCTATTCTGCAGTTCGGACTTCACCTCAGCCAGAGCTGCCCTGTCTGCTGTGGCAAAGACCAAGTCGTCGACGTACACTAGTATAAAGAAAGGAGTGGAACCAGTGCGAACAAACAGCGACGGGTCGGCAGAAGAAGGACAAAACCCAAGGTCACGAAGTGTGGAGCGAAGAGTGTCGTGCCACTCACGGGGCGACTGGCGGAGACCGTAGACTGGCCGTCTCAGACTCCACTGGGTCCCAGGTGGGAAGGTGTCAGTGAAGCCAGGAGGGCGGCGCAGCTAGATCTCCTCGTGTAGTCGGCCCTGGAGAAACGCAGTAGAGAAGTCAAGGGAGTGCAGCTCGTAGTCTCGCTGTGCTGCTACGTGCAGTAACACCCGAAGAGTAGTCATCTTCGGGGTCGGGGCGAAGGTCTGGAAGAAGTCAACTCCCTCACGCTGACTGAAACCCCTAGCCACGTAGCGCGCCTTGAACACAGGCGGTGAACCAGGCGGCCGCTTCACCTTGAAGAGCCACATGCCATCGACTACGTTCGCCCTGGGAGGGGGAACTGCGTCGACGTAGGTGCCTGTGGATCTCCAAGACGCTAACTCCGAGGCCATAGTTGCTTTCCACTTTGAGGCCCACGCCCCTGACACTGCCTCGCGGTAAGTGCGAGGAGTCGGTATGTCAAGGGCGTCGGGGTCTCCCTCAGGGGATAGCAGCATGGCACAGACAGAGGGAGAAGCGGCTGCCCAGTACTCCAGCTCAGACTCTCTGTCCTCTAGGACGTCACAGCCAAGGGCAAACCCACCCCCCACGGACAGAGGACGGGAGGGAGGAGCTGGCACCACACGGGTGTTGTAGTCAAGGCGACTGGCGGCAGCAAACTCAGCGACAGCGGCAGTGAGAGCCGAGACAGACAACGGAGGGAAACGAGAGTCGGTGACAAGAGTGGCAAGGACACGAGAGACAACAGGACGAACAGCGCGGTAGTAGTCAGTGACAGGAGTAGGGGGGGAAAGGGAGAGAGGACGGAGGCGGAGACGGGAGAACGGACTCAGGAGAAGGACGACGAAGAGACGAACAAAGGAGGGCAGTGCGGAGGTCGGTAACGGGAGACGAGTGACGAGCACGCGGAGGACAAGGACGGACACGAGAGTGCGGGACACCAGGTGGAGGAGACTGCGGTGGAGGAGAAGACCAGACCGCCGGACTGGCGTCAGGAGGAGGAAACGTGGGACCAAACGCTGGAGGGGACGGAGTGTGAACAGGAGGAGAGGAGGGAAGACCAAGGGCCCGAAGGCCACTCACGGGTGGGAACAACTGCCGCTCCAGAGGGAGCTGCTGTGGTCGCAGCTGCGGCGGCGGCGTCTGCTGCTGCTGCAGCAGCAGCTGCTGCTGCTGCTCCAGCAGGTCCAACTGCCGCAACTCCTGCCGCTCCCTCTCCAACAGCACCTGCTCCTCACGCTTACGCCGACGGGCCGCCTGGAGACGTGTGTCGTGGCGGTGGGGAGGCGGAGTGGACTCCGCAGAACCAGTGTCTCCAGCTCCAGTCTCCTCAGAACCAGCACCTCCAGTGCCAGCGCCTCCAGCACCAGCACCCCCAGAACCAGCACCTCCTGTGCCAGCACCTCCAGCTCTAGCACCCCCAGAACTAGTACCGCCAGTGCCAGGACCTCCACCTCCAGCACCCCCAGAACTAGCACCTCCAGTGCCAGCACCTCCAGCTCCAGCACCCCCAGAGCTAGCGCCACCTGCGCCAGCACCTCCAGCTCCAGCACCCCCAGGACTAGCACCTCCAGTGCCAGGACCTCCAGCTCCAGCACCCCCATGGCTAGCGCCACCTGCGCCAGCACCTCCAACTCCAGCACCCCTCAAACGAGCACCCCCGGACCGAGTACCGCCAGTGGCTGCACCTCCAGCTCCAACACCAACCGAGTCCACAGTAGCCTGTCGCGGAGGTACCGAAGGCTGCTGAGGGGACTGTGAGGAGGACTGCGGGGAGGGAGACGCTACCTGACGCGCGACCGAGGGTAGAGGGGTAGCGTGAGACACACCTGACGGGGCAGGACCAAGAGGGGGTGGGGGTACCGGAGGAGCGGGAGCAGGGGGAAGAAAGGGTGCGAGGAATAGGGGGGGAGGGGGAACCGGGAGACCTCGACAGGGGTACCGGGCGTAGTAGGAGACTGACTCGTCGAACCGGACGTCACGGGAGTCTAGGAACTGGTGGAGGGGCGGGTGGTAAAATGACCAATCGGCCGCGGCTACCAATCTCTCTCTCTCTCTCTCTCTCTCTCTCTCTCTCTCTCTCTCTCTCTCTCTCTCTCTCTCTCTCTCTCTCTCTCTCTCTCCCTCCCTCCCTCCCTCCCTCCCTCCCTCCCTCCCTCCCTCCCTCCCTCCCTCCCTCCCTCCCCCCCCCCTCCCTCCCTCCCTCCCTCCCTCCCTCCCTCCCTCCCTCCCTCTCTCTCTCTCTCTCTCTCTCTCTCTCTCTCCCTCCCTCCCTCCCTCCCTCCCTCCCTCCCTCCCTCCCTCCCTCCCTCCCTCCCTCCCTCCCTCCCTCCCTCCCTCCCTCCCTCCCTCCCTCCCTCCCTCCCTCCCTCTCTCTCTCTCTCTCTCTCTCTCTCTCTCTCTCTCTCTCTCTCTCTCTCTCTCTCTCTCTCTCTCTCTCCCTCCCTCCCTCCCTCCCTCCCTCCCTCCCTCCCTCCCTCCCTCCCTCCCTCCCTCTCTCTCTCTCTCTCTCTCTCTCTCTCTCTCTCTCTCTCTCTCTCTCTCTCTCTCTCTCTCTCTCTCTCTTTCTCTCTCTCTCTCTCTCTTTTAATGCGGGACAAGAACGGTACCGTATTCCCCCGGATAAAAGACCCTAGGGTCTTATGCTAAATCCCTAGAAAAAATGGGGGGGGGTCTTAACAAAGGAAAAAAAATCATAACACCCGGGTCTTTTCATATGGCATATTTTGTTTTAGTGTTTTCAACACTACAGATAATACTGAAGTTGTGGGTTTGCTTTTGGTGAGCACCACACCAGCGAAAGTTGATCGCTTGACCAGTCACAACAAAGTCGCCTGTCACAGTAAAATTCGCCCCTCTGACGCAGCAATTTCGCCCCCTGACACAGCAATTTTGCCACCTGACGCAACAGTTTCGCCCCCTGACGCGGCAAACTCGCCCCCTGACGCAGCAAATCAACCCCCTGATTCGGGAATTCACGCCCGAAAGCCAAATTCGCACTATAAAATGTTTCAGTTTCAAATGAAACAAAGGAAAAGTCCATGGAAAACCCCCCTATAGGGGAAAGGGGGGGGTCTTATATTGATCACCCCCCAATGGGAGGGTATAACGAAATCGAGGTTTAATAAAAGACCCCCCCCGTATTAGGTACCCGGGGGTGTTATATTTTGGGGGGGTCTTCTATCCGGGGGAATACGGTAATCATTGTACAAGAGATTGGTGGGCATCCCTCCTATGATACAAATGATATATACACCCAACCCACATAAAAGTACCGTAAGCAGCAAATGCTAAAGCTCACACAGCGAAACAGGTCGAATGGAAACAAAAACTACCGGTAGCTCATCTCAATTGAAGGAGGCACACATTAGAAGCACCTTATTGACCCTCCCGCCGCCTTGTATTGCCATGCTTCTCCCTTATTGCCTATCCGCACCAACCAACCTCCCATCCCCTCTTTACCACTCTTCTGTCTCGATTGCGACTAGCAAATCAACTTCTCATTCCGACCAAACAACCACCATCACTTTTTGGGGAGCCCTGAAACTTTACTCCCTGCCCGTCACACCCCGCAGTACCAGTGGCAGAGGCTTGATGCCCCTCAAACGAAAGACCTTTCGGCAGCCTCAAGACTCTACTCCCTGACCACCACACCCCGGCGAACCAGCTGTCGGAGCCGCTCATTCTCCTGCATGGACCGGGTAAGGGCAGAAGAAGAGGGGGTGCGGGGACAAGGAGGAGAGACATGAGACAAGTCACGGGGATATCATGAAGGATGGGAGATGCTGTTGGCAGAAGCAGCACTGGCAGCAGCCGCAGTAGCACTGGCAGAAGCCGCAGCAGGACAGGCATCAGCAGCAATGGCATTCGAAGCAATGACAACAGCAGCAGCTCTGGCGGCAGCAGCACTGGCAGGCCGCAGCAGCGCGTACGAACCTTTGTCACCGCCTCTACTGCAGCCTCCAGCTGGCTGTTCTCTTGAACCAGCGCCTCACAGCGCTCCTCCATTGCTGCTGCCCGGTACCGCTTCCTCTCCCTCGCCTGCTGCGCGTTCACCCTGTTGCGCAGCAGTCTGCTTCCCGTTGCCACCCCACCCCACCCCGCCCCGCCCCGCCCAGCAGCAAACGAGCAGGTGGAGCGTGCACGCAGCAGAGGCCACAACGAGCATTGTAATGACAGGGAGGGACATACACAGCAAAAGAGAACAGAGAACGGAGAAAGGTTGGGAAGGCTACTAAAAGGTGAAGTTGACAATATTGGAGTGAATGGGACGTAGAGGAGAAACTTGGAGAGGGGAGAGGACGAAGAACAGCGGACTCTTAACGATGTGCATACACCAATGGGTGGTGGTGAGTAAGTTAGCATGGCAAAGAGCGCACAAGACTTCTCTACGCCCACCCACACTCACCGTTTGTGCCGGCTGCTTATACTGCATGTTGGCACTGTTCCTGTTGGTGCTGCTGACACTGCTGGCAGTATGGGAGGTAGCACGGGTGCCAGCACTGGTGCTGATACTATGGGCTGTGGTGGAGCAGGCAGCACTGGCGCATCAGTTATCACGGGCGGCAATGCTGGTCCGTGCGAGTGCAGGTTCAGGTGGCAGGCAGGGGCGAATGGAAGGAGGGTTGCAGCGGACGCTGCAGGAGCAAACGCGGCGGCGGCGGAAGAGGAGGGGGAAGGAGCAGACTCGGGGATGTTGAGAGGAGGGAGAGCAGATGGGAAGGCGGATGGGAGAGAGCTGAAAGAAGCGATGGAGAAGGAGAGGGAGGAGGCGGAGAGGTGGTGAGGTGGAGGAGGGAGGGCGGTAGGACCGGGGTGAGAGAGGGGCGTGGCGAGTGGGGCGCGAGGCAGAGACATGGGGGCGAGAGTGCGACTGGAGAACATGGGAACGCGTGCTGTAGGGGACAGTGGGGGAGGAGAGTGGAGGGGAAGGGGAGAAAGGGGGACGCGGAAGACAGGGAGCAGAGGGGGGCGAGAAGTTTCAGATATGGAGGAGCGCAAACTATGAGCACTTGAAGGGAAGAGGGAGAGGAGCACGGAGAGGGAAGCAAGTGGAGCAGAGAACGCGGAGAGGGAAAAGGACCTGATGAAAGGCTCACGGATCATCCACAATAAGAGTGACTGACCTTCCAATAGGGACCCATGCTGCTGCTGCTGCTGCTGCTGCTGCCGCTGGTGCTGCTGCTGCTCCTCCTGCTGCCGCTGGTGCTGCTGCTGCTGTTCCTGCTGCTGCTCCTGCATTTGCCGTCGTTGCAGCTGTTGCTGGTGACTGAAGTGTTGCGCAGGTGCTCGCGCGGCTACTTGCGCCGTTGGTGTTGGCAGAGCGGTTGCTGCTGGGAATCCCGAAATCTGATGTGAAGAGCTTGAGCCGTTGCTGTATGGCCGCACAGGCAAGCAAGATATACAGGCACAGAGAAACAGGCACAGAAATACAGGCACAGAAATACAGGCACAGAAATACAGGCACAGACACCGTGAAATGCATGAAGTAACAAGGCATATGGCGAATAGAGGGAAGAGAGAAAACACACCGTGAACATGGGAGGGATGAAGGAAAAAAGAAGATTACAGAGAAGGTGGGAAAAGGGGAAGAAATGAGGGCGGGTGGGAGGTAGGGAGGGTGGGCGAAGGAGGGGAGGCAAGCAAAGGTTGGGAAGGGGGAGGGTGGCCGAGAGTAGAAACGGCCAGAGATAAAGACGAGAGAAAGAGAGAGCGACGAGAAGCGGAAACAGCACACGGACGTTGAAGGGGGAATAATATCAGGCGGAGAGTATTACGTGATGGCGGCGGGGAGCACGGACGGCGAGGGGGCAATGAGGTGCTGTAGCGAGGCAAGCAGGGCGTGCACTCGAGCGGAGGCAGAAACACCGGCGGAGGCGGAGGCGGAGGCGGAGGCGGAGTGCGCAGGCCTGGACGCGTTGTTGTTGACGCGAGCTGCCGTGGTCATTAGGGAACCTGGTGAGGGTTCACATGCACGCACGCACGCGCAGCGCACGCGCACCACACGCGGAGCGCACGCGCACCACACGCGCACCACACGCGTAGGGAGGCACACGCGGTGGGAGAGAGGAAGTGAACGAGCCAGCATGAGCGAAAGAGATGGAGCCAAAGGGAAAGGGAGAGAGGTAGAGAGAGAGAGGCGAGGGGAGGGGGGAAGGGGAGAGAACGGGAGAGCGAGAGAGAGAGAGACGGAGGGGCCAACGGGGGAGGGAGAAGGGCGGAAAAAGGGACGTCTTGTGCTTCGTAAACGGCAGGAGCGTACGACCCCATCGTGCATGCAACCATTCCGTCGCATACACCCATTCCGTCGCATACACCCATTCCGTCGCATACACCCATTCCGTCGCATAACATCGTCGTTCAAGCCAGTCGCATACCCGTCGCGCCAGCCGAAGAAGCATTACTCCATCGGTACGCCGCCTCGTCGCCATGCTTACTAAAGGCAAGCCCGCTCCCTCCTCCGCTGCCAGAACACGCAGTAAAACCGCCAGTTGCGCCGCTGCACGCGCCCGCGATCCCGCTCGACGACGAGACCGGAATCGATGGAGGAAGCGACGCACACGCACTGTGCAAATCAGCCACGAAGCCCGTCTGGGGACCTTTTATCGCCTGCTGCTGCTGCTGCTGCTGCTGCTGCTGCTGCTGCTGCTGCTGTTGTTGCAACAGCTCCCATTCCAGCTCCTGAAGGCGTTGCTGCTGAATCCGCTCCAAAAGCTCCAGTTTTCGCTCAATCAAGCCCGCATCTTGCGGCGTGAATGACGCTACTGTTGGTTGCTGTATGCCGGATTCGCTAGCCATATTAACCGGGAGATCCGACTTAATCGACGGCTCTAAAGTTCCGGTATTTGAGGCGGCGGCCAGGGACGGTGCCTCAAAGCGCCTCCTGGAAAACCTAGGGACGACGGCGTCTCGCTCCCGTAAGGTGCGGGGAGCAACGTCAGCATCCCCGAATATAACTTTGAGAAGTCGCTGCGTCTCCTCCTCCATCCTATTGCGCCGCGCCAAGGCGTCCATTGCAGCAGCAGCGCCGAGAAGGTCCGACGCATCTGTGGGACGGGCTATACGCGCCACCGAGTTGAGCCACGCTGTTGCATCCATTATTCTGTAGGGAAAATACTCTGAAGGGGTACGAGCACTGTGCGTGAAGTACCTGGACGAGAAGGTGTACAGGGGGGAAGGTCGGCGGAAAAAAAACCAGTTTCGGGAGCGGGGGGACAGAGCATCTGGGAGAAGTGAGGTGATGCGTGTGGGCGGGGACTTGTACTCGCGCGGAAGTGGAAGTGTGGGAGAGGTGAGGGGGGGAAGGGGGTACGCAGCTCCGGGACGGAATTCGAGGCTGCATGCACAAGCTGGACATCCCCGCAATAGTGGATTACCTATGTGATTTTATTCTGTACTAGGTTTGTATTGGAACAAACCAGCCAGAATAGATTGTTACTATTGAAATTGCAGTATTTGTTTACTGGTAATCCAGTCGTTTTCCCCTTCCAGATTAGTAAAATTTTCTGACAATTTATTTGAAGGATATCACCATCATTCAGATTCTCTCAGATTCTGTGAGTGAATTGCACTACCAATGCAATTTGAGCCATGCATGTCATCATCATATTTCCAATTTATGGAATTAACCGTTGTACGGTATGTCAAATTGTTGTTTTTAAGATGGATACCTCTATTAAAATCCAAAATCTCATTATTGTATGTGCTAACGATGTGTTGGCCTTCCTTTTTAGATAGGACAGAGTTCCTGAATGTACCTGAATCCTGAAACAGTCTTACAGGGTTATAGCATAACACGGTATGATTACACAATACTATTCTCTGCACTTTCCTTCCCTTACACAAATGTACAAATGACGTCACGACTGGAAGGGGGCTCAATTCGGTGACGGTTCTGTCATGGAGCCTGCTCGTTCAACAGCCACCTGATGGGAGTTCTTGCCAGCCAAGCCGATGGTCGAAATTTTCGTTTCAACTGGCTTGCGCTCAATGTCTTCGAGCGCACGGCCATCACCTGTTCTGGTGGTCTGGGCAAGCCCTATCCCGCCAAGCCTAAGCGCCGAACCAGTCAGAATGCCACGAAAAGCAGGGCGAGATTGGTCAACGTGGTGATCGGGTTCTTTCTGACAGCCAATCGGACCGAATCAAACGGCTTGCGCCGAAGCTGGCGCCGTGGCTCGAAAATGGAATCGAGCGGTGGAAGGTTGCTGACAGAAATTTTGCGTTGGATGCGCGACGAGGAACCACTGGAACCAAAGAAAAGAGCGGGAAATTGGAGAAAGACGGATCCCCCCGCAATCGCTTCACCGAAATCTCCACTGCCCTAAGGGTTCCTTTCTCGAGCTTTGTTGCCTTCATCTTGCTGTAAGTTCCATATATTGTTGGGGTCTGGTTTTGTAGTTTGATTTTATCATTGTCGGGATCAGTAGCTTGAAGGAGGCATTAACACTATGGCTTCTGCGGAAACACTTTCCTCGGACCACTCACATACTAATGGGTCGACGAAACCGTCTCAGGCTACTACACAGCGTGCATCCAACCTGCGCCACACGAAGCTCGGGTTCCACTATATGGTTTCACATGGTGGACCGCTCATGCTGATTCCTTTGTTGGCTGCTGTTATTATTCGCATGAACCGCTTCACTGCCGAAGACTCCCAGATTATCGTGGATTTTCTTAACGCAAATTTAGTCGCGGTCGCTGCTGGATCGACGCTGATTCTGTTTGTTACTGCGCTGTACCTCTTCACTCGCCGTAAGGATGTTCTGCTCGTGGACTTCTCTTGTTTTATGCCTCCCGAGGAGCTCGCCATTACGCAAAAGAACTGCGTCGATTTTGCCCGTGAAATGGGATGTTTTGATGAGAAGAGCCTGGATTTTCAGGCCAAGGTTGCTGAACGTTCCGGCCTTGGCGACCGTACCCATTTACCTCGTTGTCTTCGCAAGCTTCCCATCGAGCCATGCGTTTCCGAAGCTCGTCATGAAGCTCAAATGGTTATTTTCGGGTGCCTGGATGACTTGTTTGCCAAGACCGGCATTAAACCGAAAGACGTTGGCATCCTGGTGGTGAACTGCAGCGTCTTCTGCCCTACTCCTTCGCTGTCCGCCATGGTGGTGAACAAGTACGGCATGCGCAACGACATCCAGTCGTACAACCTCGGTGGTATGGGCTGCAGTGCTGGCCTTATTGCCATCAAACTTGCTCGGGATCTGCTTCAGGTAAATTCAAAGAGCCTAAGCCTTTTATGATAACCTCTGGTATTGTTACTCTCTGTCGCTCTTACTCTCCCTTCTTTTCAATAAAAGAGAATGGTAACATGTTTTTGCAAACCGGACATATCTCTGAACGTTATACTTGTGCTCCTCGTCGTGCAGGTGATTCCCAACACATACGCGATCGTTGTGTCAACGGAGAACATCTCTCTGAACTTGTACCTCGGAAACCGTCGCTCTATGCAAGTATCTAACTGCCTGTTTCGAGTTGGTGGAGCAGCCATGCTCCTCACCAACAAGAGCAGCGAGCGTTACCGCGCCAAATACGAGCTGAAACATGTGGTGCGCACCCATTTGGGCAAAGACGACAAGAGCTACGGCTGTGTGTTCCAGGAGGAGGACGACAACAAGATAGTCGGAGTCGCCCTTTCTCGCGACCTCATGAACGTGGCTGGCGAGGCTCTGCGCACCAACATCACGACGCTGGGTCCGCTTGTTTTGCCGCTTTCGGAGCAGCTGCTATTCGCCGCAGTTCTCATCGCGCGCAAGGTCTTTGGCATGAAGATGAAGCCCTATGTGCCGGACTTCAAGCTCGCATTTGAGCATTTCTGCATCCACGCTGGTGGTCGCGCTGTCATTGACGAGATCGAGAAGAACCTGGAGTTGACACAGTACCACGTCGAGCCATCGCGTATGGCTCTGTACCGGTTCGGCAACACATCCTCATCGTCCATCTGGTACGAGCTCTCCTACTCGGAAGCACAGGGTCGCGTCCGCCGTGGCGACCGCGTCTGGCAGATCGCGTTTGGTTCCGGATTCAAGTGCCAGAGTGCGGTGTGGCAGGCTCTTAGGCCGATTGATCCCAAAAAGAACAGAGGCGTGTGGGCAGAGTATTACGAAAGTGCTCGTGGGGAGGAGATCCATGCGGCAGCTGTCGCTGATACGTTGGCTCCAATTAGGCCCCTTAAACCCTAGGTGTTCATCCTAGCGTTTACTAGGTGTTCATCCCCGGGCCATACTAGGTGTTCATCCTCCGACTGGTGGTGCATCACACCGTCTAATCCGGCTTACTCCACATCCGTCTCTTATGTAGAATGGCATGGTTCGTTTCTTAGCGGTAGGCAGAACTTGCAACTGCATCCCTGGTAGCCAGTAATTTCGTTAGCATATAAATTTCGTGTCAATTCAGTCCTGCATATGTAAAACTCTCCTGTAAAGGAATGATGTTTGCACTAGATAATACACAACATATATATTTTCTTGAGACTGGAAATGAATGTGTGAGTTCACTGCCAAACAAAAGTCTTACGAAATGTGAAGGTTGTGGAATATTTGTAAGGAATTTGGCATATGCAGTAATGTGTTCACTGCCGAACCAGGTTGAGTTTTATGCGCCTCGAGTTTAGGCACCGCCTAGATCTGAAACCAAGGGTGACAAATTCAGCGGGGTGGCGAAGGTGTCAGACCAGACCAGACCTGCCACTCTGTCACACCCAAGCCGTGGTGGTGTTCAGCCTGACGTGATGTGCTGCGAAGAAACCTGCGGTGTGACACGTACCGAAACCGTTCTCTCCATCGTGTTTCGAGGTTGAGGCATCGACGAATCACTTGGTGCCACGGTACTGCCATGTCGTCGTACTGTAGCCGTTGCACCTTTTCCGTACCTCTTTCCCGAGGCAACCCCCGCCAGAACAAGCCTCCTTCCCGAGCACCTGCCACACACCAAACCAGAATCCAAAATCTTGCTCACAAGGAACAACTCCCTCCCATCTTTGACCTGGCCTGGATGCCAAACACACGAGATTTCAACAACAATCCAAGCAAGCTGTATGCTTGACATAAGCTACCATACTCTCTTTAGCCTTTAGAGTTTCCAAGTTGGGTTCCAGAGCTTGGCATCTCCCGCGGAGTGCTGCTAATGATTTAAGATCTGCTGTTGTACCAACGGCTAGGCCACTTTATTTTCGTACCGTTTTCTCACTATGGGTTCCGAGAAGGAACATGCCGAGGCCAGCGATAAAGCAGATTCAAGCAGTCGCAAGCTGAAGCTCGCGTACCATTTCATCGTCTCTAACAGTGGCCCTGTAATCCTGCTTCCTATATTGGCAGCGCTTGCCCTTCGCGTGGCTCGCATGACACCCGACGACGTGCAGACGCTTTGGGAATTCCTGCACCAGAATGCCGTTCCTGTCTTCGTCGCCCTTAACATCATCCTCCTCGCCGCCGCCTTGTACTTCGCCAGCAGACGCACGCGTATTTTACTCGTCGACTACGCCTGCTTTCGGCCTTCGGAAGAGCTCGCCATGACTCGCGCCGAGGGACTCGACTTCGCTCGCCGCACTCCGACCTTCGACGACAAGAGCGTCGAGTTTCAGACCAAGGTCGTCGAGCGATCCGGTCTCGGGGATCGGACTTATCTTCCAAAATGCCTAAGGACCTTCCCGATCACCCCGAGCCTGGCGGAGGCTCGGAAAGAAGCGGAGATGGTCATTTTCGGCAGTCTTGATGCGCTGTTTGAAAAGACCGGCCTTAAACCGAAGGATATCAGCATTCTGGTGGTGAACTGCAGCATTTTCTGCCCGACTCCTTCGCTGTCCGCGATGGTGGTGAACAAGTACGGCATGCGCAACGACATCCAGTCGTACAACCTCGGCGGTATGGGCTGCAGCGCGGGTCTTATTGCCGTCAAGCTCGCTCAGGATTTACTCCAGGTAAGAGGTTGTGGATCTTCAGATTCATGAAACATAGAAACATGAGTTGTCTAATAACATAGAAACGCGAACGAGTATGAACTTAACCGACTTTCATCGAAACTCTTCGTGCACCAATCAGACGGGCTAGCTTCGACACAATCATTTAGAGCACGGAAAATAGCACACCTTCGCGCATCTCAGTTCTTTTCGCAGGTGTTGTTTCAACCGAGCATCATCTTCCTTTTTCCCTGTTTACACTCCAAATGGTGGTTTGTTCCCCAGGTCACCCCCAACACATACGCAGTTGTCGTGTCTACCGAGAACATCTCCCAGAACATCTACCTCGGTACACGCCGCTCCATGCAAGTCTCCAACTGCCTCTTCCGCCTTGGAGGAGCCGCCATGCTGCTCACCAACAAGAGCAGCGAGCGTCGCCGCGCCAAGTACGAGCTGAAGCACGTGGTGCGCACGCACATGGGCCGGGACGACAAGAGCTACAGCTGTGTGTTCCAGGAGGAGGACGACAACAAGGTGGTGGGCGTCGCTCTCTCCAAGGACCTCATGAACGTGGCCGGGGAGTCGCTCCGCACCAACATCACGACGCTGGGCCCGCTCGTCCTGCCGTTGTCCGAGCAGCTGTTGTTCGCCGCTGTTCTCATCGCGCGCAAGGTCTTTGGCGTGAAGATGAAGCCCTATGTGCCGGACTTCAAGCTCGCATTCGAGCACTTCTGCATCCACGCCGGCGGTCGCGCTGTAATTGACGAGCTCGAGAAGAACCTCGACCTCACCAACTACCAGACCGAGCCATCCCGCATGGCTCTTTACAGGTTCGGCAACACATCCTCATCGTCCATCTGGTACGAGCTCTCCTACTCGGAAGCACAGGGTCGCGTCCGCCGTGGCGACCGCGTCTGGCAGATCGCGTTTGGGTCCGGATTCAAGTGTCAGAGTGCGGTGTGGCAGGCTCTTAGGAGGATCGATCCCAAGAAGAACAGGGGCGTATGGGCTGAGTACTATGACGAAGTGGGTGGCCCGGAGATCTTCGCTGCAGCGCTCGCTGATGCTCAAGCTCCTGTCAGGCCGATTCCAGCTTCATAGACGGGAGTTATTGCAGTGAAATTCTTATACCGTACTAGCACCGTTTCTTATACCGTACTAGCACCGTGAAGGTTTTTCCAGCATCTGGTAAGTTTTGGTTGTCTGTAGTGACATTATTTTGAGCCTTGCTATCCCAAGTTTGTTGGTTCCAAGAGCACTGAAGAGGGGCCGTGGGATGGCAGATGACCTAAAATGATTTACTGGAGCATGAGGTGAGGACCTTGGCTTTGTTGTCTCTGGTGATCAAGTGAGCAAGCTGAGTGTTCTTTTGGCAATGGATATATCATCACAAAGATTGCACAGTATATACAGGGCACCTCCTTATGCCCAGTCCGATTGCAGTAGAAACAATCACATGTCCACTTGCATACAGTAGCCTCATTCAAATCTCATCATTTTTGCAGCAATGCAATGGTGTCTTTTAGCTTGAGTGCGTCTGCTCCGCTGAACTGGCTCAACAGCTTCCCCGCCTTATAGAAATGAAAGGTAGGCTGCATGAGAGTTGTAAGTGACAACAGAACATAGTCAGCCGGAAGAACAAACACTGGGACAAAAGCGGCGCCAGAAAGTGTAAGCAAGAATGCTGCTGACCATTTTAACAGTGGTGAAGAGAGGTACACAGTGGTGCACCGTGCCGTGGTGCTGAGGGAAAATACTGGTTAACAATTGCAAGAGAGCTCACCACACTGCTGATCCTGGCAGTTCCGACCACGCCTGCCAGTTCAGCCTGTTGGGGAACGGGATTAGGAATGAATTAGGCCAGGCTGCGATTTGCGAGGTCGTAGCGGCATGTAAATGCTTGAGAGCACACACAAAAAGACCAAGAGAGGGCGGTGGTTGGGACGAATTCATAAGAGGATCGTAGGGAGGGTCAGAAAAGTGAGAGGGTGGGGACAGAGGCAATGCATGAGCGCACTCACATCATCAATGTCGACCTTGGCAATGGCGACAGAATCGTGCGTTCGGCTGATCTCATCCAACAGCGGCGCGATGCTTCTGCCTGCCCGGCAGAAAGGAACGGCAGCGAGGGCGGTGGAGAGATGAGTGCCGTTTCCAGCCAGACTGTCTTCTAGCCAGAGCCCAAAGTCCTTATTTGTCAAAAGAAGGGCTGACGAGATGATTTGGGAGACTAAATGCCCTGAATTTGTGCATACTAAGTATTGCTTTAGTGTAATTCAGTCTGTAATGAGTGCCCTCTCTGAAAAAGCCTTGGAACATCACTTCTGGTGACGTGGAGTGAAAAGAACTTACATGGACCACACCATTGTGCTGTGAAGTCAACCACCACTAGTCGTGATGGGTCTGATGTGCACACACACACACACACACACACACACACACACACACACAAACACACACACACACACACACACACACACATGGAACGCACGCCCATCCACACGCACATCCTCACGCATGCATGAGTCAAGAAAGGGAGAAGGAAGAAAACTGTTTGTGTAAGGATGCTAAACTTTTGTTGAAACGTCAGAGATCGCTGCCTCTTTTACATGCTGATGAGCTAGCATGACTGTGGAACCAAACACAAGACAGGCAGCAGGCCTCACAGCCAGGCCCACCCAGTCCAGCCTCTTCTCATCATCAACCTTGCCACAACACTCTCCACCATTCCCAACCGGGCTTACCAGCAGCAAACCAACGTCCATTACCATTGATTAGAGACGTGAACTCGCTGGGCGACGCGATGGTGATGACTTTAGTTTCCGTGCTGCCAGCGGCTGAAGCTGCACGACAAGAAAGACGCCAAATCGGTGAGGAGAGGAGGATAAGAGGAGGAAGGAGAAGGTTGCGGGGCAGAGTAGGGGAGGGGAGCGGGGGACGGGGATAGGATGAGAGGAAGCAAAGCGGAGTCATGTGTGCTGCAACGCGGAGGAAGCAAAGCGGATTCATGAGATCCCATGCACTCCTACGCTGTCCCATGGGATCACATGCGATCTATGCTGTCTCATGGGATCACTTGCGATCTATGCTGTCCGATGGGATCCCATGCGAATATATGCAGTCTTTCTCTCCTCCAAACTCACCAAAGCTTCGGCCGCTCGCGGTGAGCCATGAAGCACCGAAGACGCCTGGCGACGGCGCGGCTAAAACACCCGTGACGGCGGGTGGTGATAGAGTCGGCAGGGATGGTCGTGAAAGAGGTGAAGAGGCAGCAACAGTGGGGGAGGTGGAGAAAGCGGATGAGGATGGGAGGTTGGAAAGGGAGTCAAGGTTACGTGGGTTGTTGATGAGTGGGAGGGAAGGTACATGGTGAAAGCGGGAGGCGATTGTAGCGCCGCGACGGGCTGCTTGACGAAGAGCCATGGTGGAGAAAGCTAACAGAATGGTAAGGTGGCTGTGGTGGGAAGAAACAGATCGCTCGGGGAAGGATGTTCTTGCGGACGCATGTGAATAAACTACAGTAAAGTCTGCAATCATCCAGGAGGTTATACACGGGTGCAATCCAACGGAAAATAAAACAAATGGTGCATAGATGAAGAAAAAACCTTATCTGGATTACGCATTAATTCGAATAAATACTAATTCCCGTTAGAATTTTGCGAGAAAAATCATCATCAAATTCACTTCAACTATCAATCTTATGAAGGGTCACAGAAAACTCTACGAGGAGTTTTACTAGAGTCCAGATACACTTCCTTGCTTGTATTACGTGTACTGTTATAGCAGGATATTGACAACCAGCTATGCTCTCGTTGCAGTCACTCCAATACTGACGCGTTAGGGTTTCAACCTCGTTTGTCTTCAAAGGTCAGCTCAAGGACCAGCCACCAGCATCAGGTCAGGCAGCAACCAGCACGAACTCACCTCACCCCATCACGAACTCTGCTGCTCTCATCCTTTCCTCTCTCCTCTCCTCTCCACTACACTCCACTCCACTCCCCTCTCCTCCGTTTGCCATCTCGCAGACTCCAACTCGCTTCAATCTCATCGCATCCATCATTTCGTCCCTGTGCTCACGGGCCCACCCATCCATCACCTCCTTCCTCCGCCCCACCCATCATATCCCCCAGTCAAGCCTGTTGTCTCAGATGGGCTCATAGCAAATCGCTCGGCTGCTGCTTCAGCCCTTTCCCGCCTCGAAGGCGAGATTTGAAGGCCCTGCAGAGTTTGGTGTCACTTTTGCGGAAAAAAACTCCCTTGTAGTCGAGCGTCTCCTGCACTGCTTCCTATCCACTCGCCGAGGAAGCAGGAGAGCCTTCTGTCCCCGTAGACGTTTCTCGACTGCCCTAATCCTTCCAGAGCAGACCTTGACTAAGGAGTTCAGTTGGCCGCGAAAGTTAAAGTTTTAGCGTGTTGTTGCGTCCGTCTGTGCTAATCCTTTCGTTCGTCACTTGCGTCAGAAGGTTACCCCAGAGATAGCGTTGTGCGTAGGCGTATCGTTTATAGCAGCGCTGCGTCTTCTTACTTTAGCGTGTGTACCGCCGGTTCCAACTAAGCGCTATTCGTCATGGACGACGCAACATTGGATGACATTATTGCTCGTCTCCTAGACGTTAGGAACGGCAGGCCGGGCAAGCAGGTGCAGCTGACAGAAGCAGAGATTCGAAGTCTCTGCACGACGTCCCGGGACATCTTCTTGCAACAACCCAATCTTCTTGAGCTTGAGGCGCCCATAAAAATATGCGGTGCGTCCTGTGGTTGGTGGAAGCATAAAACGTTTTCATTCCACCCTTACATGCTTTACATCCGACATTTCCGCCCAGCCCTCTTGTTATCCCTATCCCTCGCTGCTTTATCCGCCCTCCACATTAGTTTGCTTCTATTAGCTCTTCTGAACTCCTTTTCATTGCTCCACCGTAGGTGACATCCATGGGCAGTACTCGGACCTTTTGCGTCTCTTTGAGTACGGTGGTTTTCCGCCTGAAGCAAATTACTTGTTCTTGGGAGACTATGTGGACCGCGGAAAGCAGAGCATGGAGACCATCTGCCTTCTTCTAGCGTACAAAATCAAGTACCCAGAGAATTTCTTCCTCTTGCGTGGAAATCACGAGTGTGCGTCCATTAATCGCATCTATGGCTTCTATGACGAGTGCAAGCGCCGGTGAGTTGGAATTCGTTGGTTAGAAGGCTACTGTAGGAATGGCACTGCTGCTGCAATCCTAGGTTTGGACAGGTTCACTAGCTCATTACGGGTGCTTTTTTAAAGCACACCCCCGCGTCTCAGCGGGTCGCTCTCATTAACCAGTTCGAACGGCTGAATTCGCCACTTTGGTTCCCCTTTCACGTCTGCCCTTTCCCCGTCTCGTTGCTTCTAACTTCTATCCATCAGGTATAACATTCGCTTATGGAAGACTTTCACTGAGTGCTTCAACTGCCTCCCTGTGGCTGCTCTCATAGATGAGAAGATACTTTGCATGCATGGTGGGCTATCACCTGACTTGCGCTCCCTCGAGCAGATAAAGAAGATTGGTCGACCCACAGATGTCCCGGATGCAGGCCTGCTGTGTGACCTATTGTGGGCAGATCCAGATAAAGACATTCAGGGATGGGGGGATAATGACAGGGGCGTGTCGTATACATTTGGAGGCGACACGGTCACAGAATTTCTTGACAAGCACGACCTTGACCTCGTGTGTCGGGCACACCAGGTTGGTGCCTTCTTGTCTTATGTCTATTGGTGCTGGAAGCACCATGTGTTCCAGCACCATGTGTTCGAGCTGTTGAGTTAACATCAACCACATCCTGGGACTGGTCGTTTTTAGTTCACAATCACGTCTTACACTACCTCCCGCTTGTCTCCTGTTCAGGTGGTGGAAGATGGTTACGAGTTCTTTGCCAAGCGACAGCTTGTTACAGTGTTTTCAGCACCCAATTACTGTGGCGAGTTTGACAATGCAGGAGCCATGATGAGCGTGGATGAGAGTCTCATGTGCTCCTTCCAAATTCTGAAACCGGCAGAAAAGAAGCCGAAATTTGGGTATGGTTCAGCAGGAGCTGGCCGCGGAACACCTCAGCGAGGAGCAAGGGTGAGTAACACGTAATTATCTTCACCATGTTGAGTCCACGTTTTCCAGTTTCATGCAGTTTTTTTTGTTTCTCTCTTATACGGTATTGTGTTCCCTCATTATTGTGTTCCCTCTTATACGGTATGTGTCATGTTGCAGAGATGAAGACAAAAATGGCTTGTTTGTCGAAGATGTTGCACTTAGTAGTGTTGCAACCTTTTTTAAAGAGCAATGTTGTTGAACAGTGTGATTAGTTCAGGTAGCTTCAGTGATGGTGTAATTAATGCAATTCTCGCCACATGCGCATGCAAATTATCACTGGCGTGGTGATGATAATTCCCTCATGCATTCTCAGGTACGGTAGGTTGAAAGTAGTAAATTGTGCTGCCTTATGAAGTACAGGTTCTGAAAGTAGTCGTCACTGAATCAGTTCAACCCGAGTTATGCATCACAGATACCCCGAGTTAGCATTTATCTCGACGTTCCCGAGTGGCACAAGTCATGCCGTCAGTGGTAAGCATTCGCGGTAAACCCTCGGGGCACGAGACGTCTACGTAGAGCGAAACAAAATTGCCTTAGACTTCGGTTTGGTTGTCTTCTCAGCATCCTTACGAGAGAAGAGCGCTCGGTGAATCTGTTTCCGGAATGAGAAGCCGTTTTCATGTGTCGTTTGCAAACCAGCAGCTTGCACGTCTCCCTCGTTCGAGGAGTCCTGCGTGACGTCGATCAGTCTTCTTTCAGATATTGAAGTAGATTTTGTGGAGAAGTGATAAACTCCGTGCACGCTTGTCGTTGAGACCATATCCAAGTCTGCAGCATCACAACAATGGTTATTATGACATCAAATTGACAGAACTAGGCGAAGTAGAGTCTTGACGACTGGACGGGATGCTTACCCTTGTGGCATATCCAAAGAGTGGCCATGCAGAGCATCAGAATGAGCGGAATGATGTGAACCAGCTTCTCAGTCCCTCTAGAGATATATTTATCCTTGGCTGGTGTCTCAGAATCAGTGCCAAGAGGGATATCAACTGCCGCTTGAGAGCTCTCAGGAAGTACTGTCTGTGTCATGGTTAGGATATTGCCGAAACGAAGAAACAAATATTTGGAAAGACTGAGGAAACCAAAGCAGTACGATCCGACCGTGGATTGAAGAAGAAGTGAAGTAAAATCAGTGAAGTAAATGAGTATTTTGCCCGAGACGATATATGTAGTCCAGCTAGGGATGCCCAAACAGGACGCTGAAGAATGTCTCGGAGAGTTCAAGGAATTGAGTCAACTGCGCCTCGAGGATCAGACCTGGTGGGTTCGTCCGTCCAGCGATGCAGTCGCCATTTGGAATTTGAATTTGGCACAACGACCAGCTGTGCGACTGGCGGAGTCGCAAAACAGGCGGGATGACACATTAGGTTCGCTCGATTATGTGCGACACACCGCTGGTGACGTTTCCCCGCCTCAGCCAACGGTTTTCTGTACACCACGTGCACTCTCGTAATGACTTGCTAGAAGGTGTGTAGATACTAAATTCATATAAACCGTTAAATCATACTATTATAATGCACTGAGAAAACAAATGCACGGAGAAACTGGTCTAAGAATCAAAGTGAATGGGTCCTCCATTGGAATGATTTTTACCATTTCTTTTTCTCATACACATGAGAGTTACATAAAGCATATAGCTGGTTATCTACCCTACTGCCAAGAGTATAGCAGAATTATCCGGCTATAAGTACAGCAGAATTATCTGGCTATGTGGCAGGTCAGGTTGCACACCCCCCTGGGTGGGTCTTCTCCGCGGGGGGGTACTGTATCCGGGAGATTACGGTACTGTGCCATGTAAATTGATGATGCATATGATGAGCGTACTGGACGTCATAGCACATTCACTCCTGTTATAAAATCCACAGACGGGGGAAAAATCACGACGAGGATTCAGCCGAGCAAGAGCACAGACACTTCCAACCATGGCGGCAGCAGCAAGTGCAGCTGCCGAAAGCGACGGAAGCCTCAGGAATGAGGAGAGCTTCACAGAGCCCGAAGAGGGATGGTTGGGACGTCTTGGCGTGCCAGTGGCCATGGTAGGGGACCCGTGCGAGGAGGTGATGCTGCTGTGGGGCTTGCGCAACCCCTTCACTGCGCGCATGGGCTGCTTCGTGGATCAAGGCGCCACCAGCGTGCGCATCGAGGCGTGCGGTCAAGTCCTCGACATCTTCCAGTCGCCCTCCTGCCTCGCAGGTAACCCACTCCAGTGCTAGAGTCCACGGGACAACGCATTCACGCGTCCACGGGACAACGCATTCACGCGTCCACGGGACAACGCATTCACGCGTCCACGGGACAACGCATTCACGCGTTCACGGGACAACGCATTCACGCGTCCACGGGACAACGCATTCACGCGTCCACGGGACAACGCATTCACGCGTCCACGGGACAACGCATTCACGCGTCCACGGGACAACGCATTCACGCGTCCACGGGACAACGCATTCACGCGTCCACGGGACAACGCATTCACGCGTCCACGGGACAACGCATTCACGCGTCCACGGGACAACGCATTCACGCGTCCACGGGACAACGCATTCACGCGTCCACGCGTCCACGATTCCACGCGTCCACGGGCGCCAACGCACCGCGGCCGTGTTCCTGTTCCCGGGGTTAAACCGCCTCGTCGGTTTCATCCTTCTCTACCCCATCTTTCCGCACCTGGTCCGCAGGTTCGGCCAGGCGTGACAGGGTCGGTGCTGTGGGACAGCGGCGTGGTGCTGGCGAAGGCGCTGGAGCACCTGGCGGACTCGGCGCGCTTACCCATTCGCGGCGCTAGGTGCCTCGAGCTAGGGGCTGGCTGCGGCCTTGTGGGGTGCGTGGGGGGGGAGCGGGTGTTGGGTTGGGTACTGGGACTGGGGTTTGGTATTCTAAGCTTATAGTGTGGTAGAGGGTGAGAGTACGACAACTTCTGACCCCCCCCCACCCCCCCCTCCTCCCCCTACCCCACCCTTCCATTCCTCTCCTCCCTCTCCCCTCTTACCCCCATCTACCCGCTTACCCCCCCTCTACCCACTCTCCCTCGCCCGCCTTCCCCGTTCTCCCCCCATCCCCCTCATATCTCCCCTCAGCATAGTGGCGGCGCTGCTAGGAGCGTCCCACGTGCACATCACAGACCAGTATGACCGCCTGCGCCTGCTGCACCGTAACGTCTGTCACAACCTGCTGCCCTCCCACCCCCTCTCTGCCCCCTCCTCCTCCCTCAACTCCTCCTCCTCTGCTTCCTCCTCTTCCTCGTCGTCCTTTCCGCATGGATCAGGCTCCTCGGCCCGCCATGCATCCGGCAAAAAGGCATCAGTTAGCAGTGCGAGCGGCGCTGGTAGCGGCAGTGGTGGTGGCGGTGGTGGCAGTGGTGGTGGGGGGAAGCGTAGAGGAGGAGCGGGGAAGGCAGGCGCGGCAGCAGCAGGAACAGCGGGGCAAAGAGCTTCTGTTGCTGATGGGGGAATGGGAGGAGGGGGGGAGAGTGGGGCGTGGCCTGAAGTGGTGGAGATCTGTCATGGGAGGAAGGGCGAGGAGACGAGGGTGAGAGTGAGGGTGTTTGAGCTGGAGTGGGGGGAGGACATGGCGCTGCCAGGATTCGACGGTGAGGAGGATGAGAATGGTACCGATGGGAGCGGTGAGGATGAGGCGGATGATGAGGAGGAGGATGAGGAAGAGGATGCGGGTGAGGAGGAGGGTGGGGGCGGCCGGGGAAGGGAGTGGGGGGGGCAAGAGGGGAGAGGGGCGCGGAGGGGGTATGACTATGTGGTGGCATCGGATGTGGTGTTCAGTGAGGAGGGCCTGGAGGTGCTGATGCAGGCGCTGGGGCAGCTCGTGCGCCCGCACACCACTGTGCTCATTGCAGGCGAGCTCAGGAATGGTGAGCTTAGGAAGACTTGCGCTCTTCCTTTTTTTGTCTTCCTGTCTTTTCTTCCTTTTTGTTCATTCTGTTTTGTTTTTCTCCGGAGGATTGTAAACGCTGAGCTTGGGAAGGCAGAGAGTTCGGCGACTAGGAAGCACAGTAAGGGATCAGGCCCTGAGGGATACATTTCTTGCTTCCCCTCTCAACTTTCCCCTTCCTTCCTCTTTCCTCCCTCTCTCCCTCTCTCCTACACTCCCTCTCTCCGACTCTCCCTCTCTCCTACTCTCCCTCGGTGCTCGTCGCATCAGACGAGGTGTTGCAGCTGTTTCTGGAGCGCGCACAGGCGCGCTTCACAGTGGGCAGGCTGGTCGACAGGCACCTGCACCCGGACTTCATCACCCGCAGGGTCGTTGTCTACTGCCTCGCTCGCAAGCGCCGGCGGCACGGCATAGCAGGCGAGGCCCGCTGAGGGGGGCACTTGTGCTCTACCTCTGTTCACAGTGGGCAGGCTGCAGGACAGGCACCTGCACCCGGACTTCATCTGTCGCAGGGTGGTCTACTGCCTCGCTCGCAAGCGCCGGCGGCACGTCATAGCAGGCGAGGCCCGCTGAGGGGGCTGCTTGCGCTCCAGCTCTGTTCACAGTGGGCAGGCTGCAGGACAGGCACCTGCACCCGGACTTCATCTGTCGCAGGGTGGTCTACTGCCTCGCTCGCAAGCGCCGGCGGCACGTCATAGCAGGCGAGGCCCGCTGAGGGGGCTGCTTGCGCTCCAGCTCTGTTCACAGTGGGCAGGCTGCTCGGCAGGCACCTGTATTCGGACTTCATCAGCCGCAGGGTCGTTGTCTACTGCCTCGCTCGCAAGTGCAGGCGGCAGGTCACAGGGAGCGACAGCCGCTGAGAGGGCTCTGCTTCTGCTGGCCTAGTGGGATCTTTGTTCAGTACGTAGATTCATCGTAATAGTGGATTCTCTGGAATGCGGTCTCTTTTATCATTTGGTGAGGACGTAGATTGATCCTATGTTCTTGCCAGTGGAATCAGGTGTCCCCGTTTCTTGCAAACTCTTTTTCTGACTTGATTGAACAGTAGTGAAATGGCATGAGGAAGCGACCGGCGGTCGGCTGTATCTGTGTTTTATCATAAACCATGTAAATATGTACTACAGCCAGAGAGAAGGGCCCCATGCTGAAACTATTGGTAATGTACTGGTCAGTGTTGCTCAGTAAAGCTAAAAAAGTTCACACCAAAATGCACTCCAAAAAGAATTATGTACAGTCCTAATGTATGGAGAAACTAATGTACACTACACCCAGCAGACCCTCATTTCCCATGAGGGTCTGGTTAACAAGAATTACACTTGTCAACAAGAATTCAAAGAATCACCTTCTACTCACTTCATGAGATACTATGCTACTATACGTCTTGCTTGACGTGAGAACTGGCTTACTCAGGAGCAGCAGCGACTGCGGCGGCTGCGGCGGCAGCAGCGGCAGCACCACAACAGCAGCAACATCTGAGGGGTGCACGCTGAGGCCATATGTTTGAGTATAGTGATGACTGATCCATCCAGGAGCTGTTCCTCCCCAGAAAATAAGCCAATAACCCCCCGCCACATAGTCCTTCCAATCACAACTGCTACGGGAGGGAGAGCAGGGAGGCACGGGTCACAGACGCACCAGGTGCAGCAGCACGCCTGCGTGCCTCAACTGGTTCAGCAACAGAAAGTATCCATCCACAACCCGCCCCCTTCCCGCGACTTTTGAGTCAACTTAAAAGTCACCAGCTGCAGCAACGAGCAGCAGCAACACCACCCCCGCATGCCTCGATCTGTACAGCGACAGAAAGTAATCCATCCACGATCCACCCCTTCCCCGCTTCCCCACCTCAACTTCCTCCCCGCCGCCGCTGCTGCCGCCACTACATTCCCCTGCCGCCGCTCCTGCTGCGGCAGCTGCTACCGTGCTGCTGCTGCTGCCACTAGTGCTGGTGATCCAGGCAGGGGAAGAAGGGGACGTGGGGGTTGCAGGAAGTGCGCAGGCAATAGGGGACGGATGGTGGGCGCAAGATAGGCTGGTAGAGTAAGGGTGCCCACAGGAGAGTGAGGTTGAGGCTGCTCCTCCTACTCCTCCTCCCGCTCCCCCTCCCCCTCCTCCTCCTCCTCCTCCTCCGCTTCTGTGTGCATCTGCAGCTTCATTACTCTCATCGGATGCATAGACTTCCAGACGAACGTCTGTTGTTAAGCCATGAGTACTGCCACTGCTGCTGCTGCCGCCGCCGCCGCTGCTGCTGCCCTTGCTGGTGCTCTTACTCTTAAAGCCAGTTCTCTCCCTGGCAGCACTGTTACTAGCAGCAGCAGCAGCAGCTGCTGCAACCGCTGCAGCAACAAACCTCACTGTTACAGCACCCTGGGGCAAGGAGCGCGCAGAGGAGAAGGCAGACGAGGAACCAGCAGAAGAAGAGAACGGGAAAGAAGCAGGAGATCCCGAACTGCTCCTGGGCCCAAACTTCCCCTTACCGGCATCCGACGCGAGAAACGCCGAGGCAGCAGCAGCAGCAGCAGCCAAAGCCGACGCAGCTGCCGCAGCATCCTGCTTCCCCCCCCTCCGCTGCTTCGCTATTCTCTTCCTTGACACCAACCTCCGTCTCCTCGGCACCAGCTGCATCAGCTGCTGCCGCAGCCGCCGCTGCTGCTGCTGAAACGCCGCCCTCTGCTGCCTTTCCGCCAGCTCCTTCGCCCGCCGGGTCTCTTCTCGCACCCGCTCCTTGCGCTGCTGCCTCAGCCGCCGCACGGCCTGCAGGGCTAGGCTGGTGAGGGTGGAGGTGTAGTTCCTAGGGTCATGGTCACGGCTGATGGTGCCGTCTGTGCCATACGCTGCTGGGTCGGAGAGGGTTTCGAGCGGGTGCGGGTTGTTGAGGAAGGCGAGCTGTGCTGCTCGCAGCTCAAGGCGGGACTGGGCGGTAGACGAGGCAGAGGAAGAGGCGGAGGGTGAGGCGGGGGCAGAGGCTGAGCCGACTCTTTCTGCTGCTGCTGCTGCTGATAACGCTGATGGTGATGATGCTGCTGACGCGGTCCACACGTTTTCGTTCTGTTTCTCCTCCATCCAGTCCCTCTCGCTTCCCTCCCCCTCGCCCTCTCCTCCTCCTCCTCCCCCTCGCCCCACCACCAGTCGCCACAGCCGCCGGGCCAGCGCCACAGTGTGCCACGGCAGCGGGTTCGGCACCTGTATCGGCACACTCGGGTGTGCCAAGTGGTACAGAGCGGTGCCAGGCGGCAGCAGGGGGTGCGGAGGGGCCTTGGCAGGGTCAGGCTGCAGCACCATCATATGTCCCATGGGAGCATACACAAGCCTCTGAGACAGCAAGCAGGGGTGCTTCCTTAAAGCCCCACTCACGCGCCTCAGAACCTCGGTAATATGCGAGGGATACTCACATGTGAACGCACGGGGAACTAAGTCCCGAGCCATCACCACATTCCACATCGCCTCTTCAGGCTCCAGGCCCAGCAAACCTAGCAAGCGGTCTCCACCGCACATGATGGACGGGGAACCGAAGAGGGCGACGGGGAGGAGGTGGTGCGGGGAGGCCTCCCCGCGGAGGTGCAGCAGGAGGGAGAGGAGGGCGGCTAGACTGCCGCCCAGGGAATGCCCTGTGAACTGGATCCTGGGTGGATGCGGCTTGGACTGGTGCGCGTGCAAGTCACTGTGAGGGTAGTCGTGGTCGTGGGCGTGGGCGTGGGCGTGAGAGCTGGAGTCGGAGGAGCGGGTGTGCTCATGCGCGTGGGCATAGGAGCAATGCAAGGACTGCGAGCCATGCAGGTGCGTGCGAATGTACGGAAGCATCTCCCGATACAGTGCCTTTGCAGCAGTGTAAATCCCTCTGTGCACCAGCACGCCCAGTGCCGGGTCTTCAAACGGTACAGGGTCGAAGCTGAGATTAGCCTGCCAGGAGGCCACGGACTCAGAGCCCTGAATGACTATGTACCGTGTGTTGGTCGCCTCGTCGTCGCATATGTACCATGCACACGGGCTCTGCCCGCTCCCTGCCTCTCCTTCTTCTGATCCTGCTGCTGCTGCGGGCTTGCTCCCTGCTGCGCTGCTCTTGGCGCTTGCAGCAGGAGAAGAGGCAGGAGCAGGAGTGGGAGCAGGAGAAGGGGCAGGAGTGGCAGTGGGAGCAGCAGCGGTGGCAGCAGCAGCAGCAGCAGCAGCAGTGGCTGCACAGGCGAAGGCCTCAGCAGTAGCGTGGAGAGAGATGGGGTGCGGTGATGGGGCCTCTTCCAAAGGTGGGGCGTCCAGAGATGGTGAGCCGGATGAGGCTACAGATGCTGCAGCTGAGGCGGCAGGAGCAGCGGTAGCAGCGGTAGCAGCATCTGCAGCAGCAGCCGGTGAAGGAGATGCGGTAGAGGCAGAGGTAGAGGCAGAAGCAGAGGTGGCGGCAGTGGTGGTGGCGGTGGTGTGGGGAATTGCAGCAAGGGCAGTGGTGGGAGGTGCAGGAGAGGCAACCAAGGCAGTGACTTGAGGCAATGAGGGCGGTGCTAGAGCTACTGACGCTGCTGAGGGAGAGGGAGCAGGGGAGTCGTGAGGGGGAGGAAGAGCCGCGTGGACGGCAGGAGCAGGGAGCAGAGCGTGCTCCATGGACGGCCCAGCAGGGAGTGCAGCCATTGGGTGTGACGCCGAAACCACACATGCACTCTCTGCTGCTGCTGCTGCTGCTGCTGGAGGTGATGTTGCTGTGGGTGCTGCTGCTGCTGATGCTGCTGCTGCCGCCGCCGCTGCTGCTCTAGCTGCCTTGGCCTTCTGCTTGGCGAGGCTGGCAGCGGCAGCTGCAGCGGCAGCAGCTTCGGCCTGAGCAGCGGCGAGGATGTGCGAGGAGGTGACGAGAGACAGGCCGAAGCGGCGATGCATCTGCTTGGTCTGGAGGAACAAGCATACAGACAGGCACGCAGACAGGGGCATGGGAGGAGGACATGGAAGGACGAGAGTGGAAGGAGAGATGAGAACCCAGAGACAGAGAAACAAGTAAGCAAAGTGACGAGAAAACAGCAAGCGGGACAAAGGGACTGCACGGAAAAGATGTAGGCGAGAAAGAGGTGCTGGGAATGCACTCACGTATTTTGAGGCGCCTCAAAATACACCTCACTGCACGCGGAAAAGATGTAGGCGAGAAAGAGGTGCTGGGAATGCACTCACGTCAAGGCGCGGGATGCTGTAGGCCTTCTCGCACAGCCATGCGAGCAGCGACACGCGCCACAGCTCCTCCCCTGACGCCTGCTGCAGGAACGGACGCAGCGAGTCCGCCGTATGCTGCACCCACACGGCTGCTTTGCCTGTTGCTCCTCCTCCTGCTGCTGCTGCTGCTGCTGCTGCTCGAGTCACTCCCTCCGCGTTAACCTCACCAGCACCAGTAGCGCCAGCAGCCGTGGCAGCAAACGCCTTGCACGAGTTGCACGTGTTGCACGAGACAGCCTTTCTCGCCGCTTGCTTATCCCCAGCGTCCGTTGCTCCCTGTTTGCTCTCCTCCCCTTTCACCTGCGTCAGCACACCTCTGAGCTCCGCCTCTTGGCTCTTGGCCTTAACGGACGCTGCTGCTTCAGCAGTAGTAGCTTCTTCTGCTGTCAGCAGGTGTTTACCATCGCTCTGCTTCTGTGGCTGCGCCTGCTCCTCCTGCTTCTGCTGCCGCTTCCAGTCCATCAGCATGCCCAGCGCCCATGCACTAGCGCGAGCAGGCTTCTTCCTCTCTTCTCCTCTCGTTTCTCCACTCGTTTCTCCACTCGTTTCTCCGCTTGTTTCTTCTCCGTTCGCCCCTTCTCCTTCATTCGCTTCCTCTTCCTCTTCACCCCCTGCCTCTCCTCCAAGGTCACTTTCAATGACCACTCTTTCCTCCTGGCTTCCGTTCCCCACCCCTGTTGCCACCGCTGCCGCCCCCTGCACTTCCTCTTCTGCAAAAGCAGCAACCGATTCCACCATCCCCGTCGCACCTTCATCCTTCTCCTCCGTAATCTCCCCCTTACTCTTCTCCGCCTCCTCCCCCTTGATATCCCCCTCAACCCGCACCTCCGCCTCCCCTTGCCTCCGCTTCTCCCTCGCACGTGCGTCTTGCTTCAGCTCTCCCCGCATCCCTCGCCACAGCGACATGAATCCGCGCATGTACACACGCGGACCCCAATCCCCCTCCGCCTCCGCCTCCGCTTCCATCTCCTCCGCGCCGTCTTCGTTCCGCCACTCCCCCAACGCGTCTTCCACCTCTCCCTCAGTCGGCGGCGCCACGGGCGCGCCGAGGGACTCAGCAGTCGGTTCTGGCGACATCAGCAGCAGCGCGCGCAATCTCTCCGCCACCTCGTCCTTGGCGGCGCTCACCGCAGCGCCCACCGCCGCGTGAAGCGGCCCGCCGCCATCGCCCGCGCCGCCGGATTCGGAACCAGCGCCGTCAGAACCACCGAGAGACTCCTCCGGGGATTCCTCGCGCGGGGAGCGGGTTCTTCGATCTGGAATATTCCCCGAGTCGCACGCCTTCTCGCTCTCCTCGTCGCCAGGGGCACAATCATCGCCGGAGTCGCCGTCTCGTCGCAGAAGAAGCGCCACGAGGCCCGCGTCGCCGGCGATCGCGGGGACGGACTTCACGGGCAGAGAGAAAGCGACGTTGGAGAGCCATGACGACGACGGCGGCGGCGGCGGCGGCGGCGGAGACAACGACGAATCTCTCACATCATCATCCAACAGCCTCGAGTGAGCGGAGTTGGCGGAAAGCCCTCTCCGACTTGTAGCACTAGTCGCGCTCTCTTGCTCTTGTGTCGACTCAGAAGTAGCACTCGGGTGTGGTTCCGCCACCGGCGGTGGCGCAGACCTTGTGTGGCGGGGAGCGGAGCGCGGGCTGGACTGCGCCGGTGCCTGCGAAGATTCTCCGGCGGACTTCTTAATAGTAGGCGCTTTGCGGAAGGGCGCGATCGCGCACGGGGGCTGCGCGGGTGCGTGACGGGAGGGGCCTGATCGGCCACCGCGTGGTAGGAGCTGATTGGTGATGACGACGCCGCGATGCGTGCGCGCGGAAAGAATCGTTTGAGATGAATTCAAGGTGGCGCGAGATGCGCGAGAATGGAATAGATCGGAGGGTGATGTTGACCTACTGTTTAGTAAAGCCCGCGGTGTTGGTGGGTGATGCGGGGGGAGGTCGGCGGAGTGCGTCCCAGGGCATGGATGGATGGAACGAGGGTTCAACGCGGATGTGCTTAGCATCGTGCAGAGCCAGCACGGCGAGAAAAAAAACGAGAAGGTAGAGCAGGAAGAACGAAAGAACGCGGACCGAGTAGGCAAAGCGCAGCGAGAGCTACGGTGGGCGGAGGACGGAGCTTGCAGATGATTTCAGAGGTGTTGGTGTACGATCCAGGGAAATGGAAACGCCAGTGGGGCGAACAAGCGCCTCAAAAGCGAGAGGGTTGCCACGGCGAGAGCTACGAGACCGTCACAGCGGCAGGAGTAGAGGAAGGAAGGAGGAGTTGTCGATTGAATGATCTAACCACTCGTTTTTTCTCGTCCTGTATTGAAATGGAACGACTTGTGAGGAAGATTGTGTCTTGATTTTGGCACGGCAGTAGCGGAAGTGGTAGACGGGTTTCGAATGCGGAGAAATAGGTGAGATTCTGAATTTCAGTCGAACCGCGAAGGGAGTGACTTCTGGTTGCATGATGTGTGTAGGAAGTGTGTCGTCGTGGCTCCACGACACGAGATCGAGGCAGGCGAAGCTCGCCTCAGTCCAAAATTATCTTCGCTGAGAATCTCTAGGCTCTGTGGAGCACAAGTTTGCGCAGCGCAGGCGAAAACAACCACTTTCGCGCATCGTCGTCAATGTGTCGTGTCCAAGTGGCGCGCACACGAGGCACGGAGTCATCTCGAAGCAGCTGTACGCCGTTTGTTCAGTTATACGGTGGATTTTGAGGGTCAGCTCTTCGCGAACAGTTGCTGCCAGCTGGAACTACCCTCTTGACCAATCATCTCCTTGAATACTAGGTGGAAAGCATTAAACTCTGTGGTGAGTAGGACATCTCGATCCCTCCAGCACGAATCCGCCGCGCCCAACACACCATTTAAACTCGCCACGTGGGTTGACTCAAAGTGCGTCAGCTTTGCTCTCGCCTCCTTGGAGTCCACATCCAACATGCACCTTTCTGACGGTCGTGATTCGAATAACACGCGTAACGACGGGTGTCAATTCGTTCATTCAGCTAGTCAACGTGTTGCAAAAGCAGCAACTATCGCAGATCCTGATCCAAAAATATATTAGAGTGAGTACACTTCTGCTGGCAATTATTAGAATGTGCGGATACAATAATCATTATGCTGATTTCTGTCATTGTTCATGATTTGTTTCCTCACCAGCAGGTAACTATTCGTGATAACAGTGTTTCCTATATTAAGTTTAGAAATTTTGTTTCACATACATGTTGTATAACAAATAGATGCAGCATCAATGACATATTCAATATATTATATGCGTGTTATTTGAATACGGCACCTTAATATTATGATGGATTTGGGGTTAATGGGCGTAAAACATACGCCAAAACATCAATTCTGGATGATTGCCTAGATATGCGAGGAGAAACATTGACTGGACTGAACAAACCCTTGCACCAGTTTGAGGTTTGCTGCTGTTGATGCTACAAGAGTTAGGTAGGCTGGGTGTAGTTAGAAGCGTCAATGCTATTGCTGATAGTGAGTTTGACAAGAGAGGGCAAACGTGCATCAGCTACACCATCCCACGCAAGCCCCTTGATTTTGGATAGACTCGGACGAATGGGTCAGAGCCACATCATCCCTAAAGGGTTCCCAAACCTGCTGCCAAGCCAAGCGCTGGTTCGCCTCGAATCGACTAGGCGGCTGGCATGGTGCCACCCTCTCCCCAAGGGTCAAGCATGTTTCTTGCGAAAGCTCTTGCTTTGAATTCAGAATCCAGATGCTGAACTGTACAAGTACGAATTTCTTTCATTTCACACGAAAGGCTTGCACTGGGAATTGTATCTCATTTCGTCAAGAGGGAAACTGGTATCTGGCACATCCTTAGCGAGGTCCGTTCAATCCCCACAGCCATACCCTGAAGGTGACGTCTTTCTTCGTGGTATCATGGGGCGCGACGCATCACCTTCTGATGCCAACGGCCAGGCGCCGCTGGTGTTTGCCCTGAATGGACGGCGCATGGAAATTCGCGACGTGGACCCAGCCATGGCACTGAATGAATTCGTCCGCATCAGGACGGAGTTTACAGGAACTAAGCTGGCCTGCGGTGAAGGTATGCGTTATATTCTCTTTCCAAAACTCATGATAATATTGACTAAAACTGCCTGAAAACCGTGGCATTATAACAGTCAATTTAGTATGTCTCCTGGAACGACCGCGAGTCTCATGACAGTCACTTGCTCGGCTCTTCGCCGTTCCAGATACAATGCACGTCACAGCAAGTACCCTCGTCACTCACATTTCTCAAGGTCCTTCGCTGCATTTCGTCTTACATGAAAGGTATCTTCTGATTTTATTCCACAACTTTCCCCTTGTTCCCTGGACCCGACACATTCAGGAGGGTGCGGTGCATGTGCGGTCATGGTCTCTCGGTACAACCCTCTCACCAGCACCATCGACGAGCGTTCGCTCAACTCCTGCCTGCTTCCCCTCGCCTCCGTACACCTCGCCGCCATCACCACCGCGGAAGGGCTCTGCTCCGCGTCCCGCTCGTCCCCCGCCGACCTCCCCGCAGCCAACGGCGACGCAGGCGCACCCGCACCCTCCGGCGCAGCCAACGGCGCAGGAAAAGGCGCGGGGTTGAAGCCGCAGCAGCGGGATCCGCACACGTGTCACAAGGGCGGGCGCGCGGAGCAGCCTCACGCGGTGCAGCAGCGGCTGGCGGGGTTCCACGCGTCGCAGTGCGGTTTCTGCACGCCTGGCATGTCCATCGCGCTCTACGCTGCCCTCCGCCGCCGGCGCGCGGGAGCCTCTGGGGAGGGAGTGGAGGCGGTGAGTGGGCTGACGGAGCAGGAGGTAGAGGAGGCAATGGCTGGGAACCTGTGTCGGTGCACAGGATACCGGCCCATTCTCGACGCCTGCAAGAGCTTCGCTGGGGCGAACGGTAGTGCGGCTACATCAGGAGCAGCAGCTGCAGCAGAAGCAGCAGGGGAGTTGATGGATTTGGAAGAGCTTGGGTCTGTTGGTGCTGCAGGAATGCGCTCCTGTACGGTGCTGGATATTAGTGAGTTTGCCCCTGCTGCGACCTCCGCTCAGTCGCACGGCGAGGGGGAGTGTGGCGGGAAGGGCAGCAGCGGCGAAGGCGGCGGCGGCGGGAAGTGCAGCAAGAGCGGCAGCGGCAAGTGCAGCGGGCTGTGCGGTACGCCTCGCAAGCCCCTCCCGCGCTACGATCCGGCCTCCGACCCGCCATTCCCCGCCTGGCTCACCGCGGAGACCCAGCGCCAGCTCAGCGCGCAGCAGAAGCAGGCAGCAGGGGAAGATAAGATGCTCGGGTGGGAAGTCTGGGAGGAGTCAGGCGCGGGAGAAGCGGCAGGCGTGGGCGGCGCTGGGGCGAATGGAGAGGTGAGTGCGGCGGGGGAGGAGGAGGCGGGGGAGCAGGCGGAGGAGGTGAAGGTTGAGAGGAAAGGGAGGAAGGTTGCGTGGGTGGCGCCGAGAAGTCTCGAGGAGCTGCAATCCGTGCTGCTGGGAGGCAAGGGAGAAGGAGGAGCGGGTGATGGTGGGGAGGTTCGGCTGGTGGTGGGGAACACTGCGGTGGGTGTGTATCCTGAGCTGGGTCGCTATGATGGGGTGGCTCGTGTGACGAGAGTAGACTTGAAGCGCCTGCCTGAGCTGCAGCGCGTGGCGTGGGAAGAAGGGCCGGGTGGCGAGGAGAGTGAGGGGGGTGAAGCGGGTGCGCGTGTGATGGGGATTAGATTTGGTGCTGCTGTGTGCTTGGCCGATGTGATTGCTGTGCTGGACACAGTAGCAGGGAAGGGAACTGGTGCTTCCACCACCAGCAGCAGCAGCAGCACCAGCGACGGTGCTCCAGTAATTACTTGCTGGGATGAAGCAACGGCGGCAGGAGCATCATCAGCAGCAGCAGCGGAGGTGTTCTCTAGCGTGGCGGCTCACCTGCGCAAGGTAGCAGGGCCGCACGTGCGCAACGCTGCCAGCATCGGTGGGAACCTTGTGCTCGCCGCCTCTCGCCGCGCCTTCCCTTCTGACGTCGCCACACTCCTGCTCGCCCTGAACGCCTCCGTGCGCACCGCCACTCCCACCCTCCCCACTGCCGCGTCCGGCGCAGGAGGAGGAGCAGGAGGAGCAGGAGGCAGTGACGGGTGGGAATGGGAGGAGGTGTCTCTAGAGCAGTTTCTGCTGCGCGGTCCTCTGCCCAGCACCACTCTGCTGCACTCCGTCTTCCTGCCCTGCCCCTCGCTCCCTCCCTCCGCCTCCTCTGCGGACCAGAAGCTGGTGTTTGACTCCTTCCGTGCGTCTGTCCGCCCCTCTGGCAACGCCTATGCGTACGTCAATGCCGCGTTCCTCCTTCGCCTCACCCCCGCTTCCTCTTCCTCCTCCTCCTCCTCGTCCCCCATCATCCACTCCGCTCGGGTGGTCTTTGGGGCATTTGGCAGCCCCCACGCCATCAGAGCGCGCCAAGCCGAGTCCTGCCTGCTTTCTGCAGCAGCCAACGGCGCGCTGACACCTGGCAGCGTGCTGGAGGCGGTGAGGGCAGTGCGGGGGGAGGTGGTCCCTCCGGAGGGGACCCGGTGGGCGGAGTATAGAGCAGAGGCGGCTGTTGGGTTCCTCTTCTCCTTCCTCTCCCGCCACCTGCCCCAGATCGACCCGCCCCAGAAGAGCCTGCAGGACGGCGCTGCTCCTGCTGCTGCTGCTCCTGCTGCTGCTGCTGCTGCTGCTGGGGCTGCTGGTGGTGATAGTGTGAGTGGAGACGGAGTGAGGGGCAGCAGCGAGCAGCAGCACGTGGTGATGAGGGGGCAGCAGGTGTACAGCGTCACCAACGACGTCTTCCCCCTCGCCCTGCCCCTCCCCAAGCTCGGCGTCGACCTGCAAGCCACAGGTGCATCATTCATCACATCATTGCCCCTCCCTTGCCCCTTTTCACCGTCTTACCTACCATCCCTCCCATCTCCCTTCCTGCACCCTTCTCCCCCCCTCTCTTCCCGCCCCTCTTCCCCCCCCCGTCCCCCCCTCTCCCCCCATATCCCCACTAGGCCATGCAATCTTCGTGGACGCATCCCAGTGCCAGCCTTTGAGGCGCCTCCAAAATCGTCTCCCTTCCACCTATTCCCTCTCCCCCCTCGTCATCCCTCCCCTGTCCCCCTTTATTCCCCCCCTGCATCCCCACCAGGCCATGCGATCTTCGTGTGCCGTCCTTTTTTTAGGGGCCTCAGAAATCCTCATCCCTCCCCCTCTCACCCCCCTTTATTCCCCCCCTGCATTCCCACCCACCAGGCCATGCGATCTTCGTGGATGACATCCCAGTGCCGTCCTCCTGCCTGTACGCCGCCTTTGCCGTCTCCACGCACGCCTGTGCAAGCATCACCTCGCGCTGCTACGCCGCAGCGCTCGCCTCTCCAGGCGTGGTGGCGGTGCTGGACGCCTCGCACCTCCCCCCTGGTGGGGCCAACGTGGGCTCGAACCTCATGGGCTCGGTTGACCCGCTCTTTGCTGAAGGGCGCACGGAGTATTACGGCCAGCCGCTGGCTCTTGTGGTGGGTTGGGTAGGGAGGGGTGGGATGGGATGCGCGACGGTGGATTGCGATTAGCTGGTTAATTGGTGTGAGTGTGTGTGTGCTGGCTTTTGTTAGCTTTCCTGGTGTTGTATTGTGTGACTTCTACCTACATACCCCCATGTCAGTTCCTGCTGTCACCTGTCCATGTCAACAGCCATCCGCCTCTCTCTGTCCACGAACCCCCGCTTCCCCTCTTCCCCATGTCCTCACTCACTCAACCGTTTCCCTCTTCCACCCGTCAGGTTGCTGACTCATACCGCCATGCACAGGAAGGCGCACGGAAGGTGCTCTGCACGTATGACTCCTCCCCTCCACCTGCTGCTGCTGCTGCTCACAAGCCAACAACAGCACAAGCAGCAGAACCGGCACCAGCAGCAGCAGAAGCAGAACGACCAGCAACAGGAGCAGAACCAGCAGCAGAAACAGCAGCAGCAGCAGCAGCAGCGGTGGCAGCACCTGGGGTATCGGCAGGCGAGGCGAGTGGTGGCACAGCCATTGTGACCATAGAGCAGGCTGAGGCTGCCGGGTCCTTCTTCACTCTCAACCCTATGTTCCTCATGGCCCTGCCCCGCCGCGGAAACTTCCAGGAAGCCTTCGACAAGAGCCCTCTGAAAATCACCGGAGCCGAGGTGAGGCTTGCTACATGAACGTGTTGATTGTTGCATCTTGCTGGGCTGTTATGATGGGGAGGTGACGGTGAGAATGGCGTGCAGCGACTTGCCGAACTAGCAAATTGCCAGCCTGTGACTTGCACACATGCTCCAAGCATTGGGCAGCACTTTACGAGGCGGACACAGATTCATTCTTCAATCGTAACTCTCCCATCACCGTCAAAATTTTCAAGATTCCTCTCCACCCACTCCCTTCGCGCCCCCCAACGCCCTTTCCAACCTCCCCCCCAATCTTTGTATCTCAACCTAATCCTCCCCACACACCAGGTTCAGTCAGGATCCCAGCCGTTGTTCCACCTAGAGGCGTCTCCACATATCATCTGTCCTACATTCTCTCCCCCCACACACCCACACCCACCAGGTGCGCTCGGGCTCGCAGCAGCACTTCTACATGGAGCCACAGGTGGCGATGGCAGTTCCAGACGAGGGTGGCACGATCACTGTGTACAGCGCAACTCAGTCCCCGCAGATCACACAGGAGAGCGTGGCCGTGGCTCTGGGGCTGCCGGCTAGCTGTGTGCGCGTGGTCACTCGCCGCCTGGGAGGCGGGTTTGGCGGCAAGGCCTGCCAGTCCTCCTGGGTAAGAGTGATCGGGAGGGGATTGGGACGGGATTGAGGGGGGATTGGCAGGGAATTGGGAGTGGCAGGTGGCAGTGGCAGTGGCGTGTGCGCTGGCAGTGCCGCACCTGCACCGCACCGCCCTGTGCGCATGGCTCTGACTTTTGAGTCGATTCAAGTTCCCACCCCTGTCCCGATGCCACTCTCCTCACTCATCGTCCCCCTCTCTCCCGCCACCAGGTGGCAGTGGCATGTGCGCTGGCAGCGCAGCACCTGCACCGCCCCGTGCGCATGGCCCTAGAGCGCAAGGCAGACACAGCCCTGGTGGGCGGCAGGCATGAGTCGAGGGCCCGCTACGACGTGGGGTTTGACGAGACTGGCTGCGTGCATGCGCTGCGCGTGAGCGCGGTGCTGAACGGCGGATGCAGTGAGACCATGAGTAACTGGCTGGCCATGGCCTACGGCCCTGCCATCACGCAATACGACTGGGGCTCGCTGCACATCGATTTCAAGATTGCCAAGTGAGGGGGCGGGGCGGGATGGGTGGGAGGGGATAGGGACGGGTGGAGTGGGTTTGGGGGTAGAAGGGTGGGGGGTTTCATGGTGTGTGTTTTTGGGGGGGAGGGGGGAGGTTGGTGCAAGGAAATGTTTGTTGTTTCAGTGGGTGAACGGAGTGAGGTTGGGGCTAAGGGTGTTTGACAGGTTTAGTGGGGTTAAAAGCTTGCTTATCAGCTATGGCCCTTCCGACCTCTTTCCATGCCCGGCTCTTGCAATACCACCTCTCTCTCCCCCCTTCTCTCCCCCCAACCAACCAACCACCCCTTCATCCATCCCCTCACGTCTCCCCATCCCTCGCCCCATCGCTCCTCCTCTCCTCTCCTACCCACACCTGCAGGACCAACCTACCCACGCGGGTGACAGTGAGGGCGCCAGGCGAGGTGCAGGGAGTGCTGGTTGCGGAAACAGTCATGGATCATGTAGCTGCAACCCTGAACCTGGATCCAGTGCTAGTCCGCGAGCGCAACCATATCACCACTGACTCCCTCCGTGCCTTCTTCCCCCGCGACGTCCTTCCTGCTGCTCCGGCTTCTCCTGCTCCTGCTGCGGAGGATGAGGGTGCAAAGGAGGAAAAGGCGGAGGATGAGGGTGCGATCGCGGAGAGAGTGTGGAGGGAGGTTAAATCACTTGCCAGCTACAGCAAGCGTGCAGCGGCAGTACAGGAATTCAACTCAGCACACAAGTGGCGTAAGAGAGGCCTCGCCATTGCTCCTGTGCACTACAAGATCGGTATCATGGGCAAGCCGGCACGTGTGACTGTGTTTGGTGATGCTTCAGTGGTGGTGGAGACAAGAGGAGTGGAGATGGGTCAGGGGCTGTTTACCAAGGTGCGGCAGGCTGTTGCTAACTCCCTCAACCAACTCTGGCTCAACATCCTCAGGAGCAGCAGCAGCAAGTATGGAGTGGACGTGAGCCGTATCCGAGTGGTGGAAAACGACAGCATATCCCTGGCCAACGGTGGCATCACTGCTGGAAGCAGCACATCCGAGGCCTCCTGTGCTGGCGCCCAGCTAGCCTGCGACCAGCTGCTCCCCCTGCTGCACGCCGCCAAAGCAGCAGCAGAAAAGGCCAAGGCGTGCAAGCGGCTCGGGGTGACAGGCGGAGGCCCAGGAGGAATGTTTGGGGGCGGAGCAGCAGCAGGAGCGGGTGATGTGGTGGTGGGGGAGGAGGATGTGGCCAGCTGGGAGGAGGTTGTGGGGCAGGCTAAGGCCATGCGCATGTACCTGTCGGCTCAGGCTAACTATCAGCCGAAGCCACTTCCTGGCAGCTTTTTCCTCTCCTACTTCAACTTTGGAGCTGCGGTCTCAGAGGTACTGCAGATCATCCCTATTACCCGATGTCTTTTCCTTTGGTTGGGGTGCTCTTTGGAATGCATGTGCATGTGCATGTGCATGTGCAGTGCATGTACCATCCTCTACATGCCGCTCTGATATATTCCATGCTCTTTTTGTCTCACGGTTGTTTGGCTGGCGGCTTCTGGCCTCTCCTCCCCCCCTTCCCTTTCCATCGCTGGCGTGCATGTGTGTGGCAGGTGGAGGTGGATGTGGCAACAGGGAGTGTAAGTGTGCTACGGTGTGATATTCACTATGACTGTGGCCGCAGCCTCAACCCTGCTGTGGACATTGGACAGGTCAGAAAACCTCCCCACCGCTTTCTGCATCCAACCATCCATTCCCTCACTCACTCACTCACTCAGTTACTCATCCACCCATTCCCCCGTCCGTTTGCGACTTAATATGGACGTTTCTTGCATGCATTTCCCTCTCCACCACTTTTCCTCCCGTTTCTCCCCCCTACTTCACCCCCAACCCACCTCTCTCCTGCCTCCCTCCCAGGTGGAAGGGGCTTTCGTGCAAGGTCAGGGCTTCTTCACAACAGAGGAGGTGGTGGTGGATGAGTCATCAGGCAGGCTGTTGACGGATGGCACGTGGTCCTACAAGGTGCCGTCGTTTGACACTGCGCCCCGCCAGCTCAACGTCTCGCTGCTGCAGGGCTCTGGAAACGACCGCGGCGTGCTCTCCTCCAAAGGTACCGTATACCCTGCTTTCTCCGCTCACCCTCAGACCGTCTCCACCTACCATCTCCGCTCCGCGGCGCATTGAGCTGTTTTTTTATCTGGTTTGTTTCGCTCGTACCTTCAATGCTCCCTTTCTGCCCCTCTTCTTGCACCTGCTCTCCCGACCGTACCTGGCTGAAGTTTACCTTTGTCTCTGTCACCATGGGGTACATTCGCTATTTTCATTTTCCAAATTTTCAAATACTGTAGAGCAGCATCACATCAGGTGCACTGCAACATTCCATTGCTTGCCATCAATCCAAGGCATCTGCTCAGTACTTATGGCTTTTCCATCTCCTCACTCGTCCTACTCTTTCCCCGGTGTCCCTGCTCGTCTGCTACCCTTGCCAGCATCTGGGGAGCCCCCTCTCCTTCTTGCTGTTTCCATCCACTCTGCCATTCGCTATGCCATTGCTGCTGCACGTCACGAGTTTGAGAACCCCCAGACGGAAGCTGCTGCTAATGGCAGTGATGAGTTTGTGCGCTTGGATTCCCCAGCCACCATGGCTGTGGTTCAGCAGGCATGTGGGTCGCATCTCGTGGAAGCTTACCTGGAGAAGCAGCTTATGGCTTCCCCTGCTGCAGCATCTGCTGCTGCTGCTGGTGGTCCTGGTAACTAGTGGTGCTGCGTCCAGGGAAGGTCGGGCTGGGGTGCCGGGTGCTGTTGGGAAGGGGCTGCCTTCCGAGTACAATGGTATTGGGTTCCTGCTTATCAGTATGCGCGATTGTATTAGCTTTCTTGATTGTAGGGGACGCCGCATTTTCTGCATGCTTTTGTGTGTTTGGTTATTTACTGTATGTGAAACTCTGAATAATCAGCATTTGTTGGAGAGTTATCGCAATACTGGTAGTAGTAAGACTTTACCGAATAAAGAAGTATGTTATAATCATGGATTGATTTTGCGATTCACCGCGTGAACGACCAAATTATTCATCACTCTTGCTCCCCAAATCCCAAGATGCTCGAATTTGGAAGCGTGTCACTGCCTCCGTGGTGCTCAACCTTGCATCCGTCGGTGATTACAAACGCACCCCCCTTTTCGCTTCGCCTCCTCACATCCACCGTCGTGCGGCCATCACAATGAATCAATTGGAGACTGTCATACTGAAGGACTTGGAGCAGTGCACCAAAGATGGGCTTCCTGCTCATCTCCACGACACCCTCTTTTTCGAAGTGCTTCTCACGTATTCGGAAGAGGTTCGGCCTCACCTGGTTTCCAAGGATTTCATGCTGGGCATCTTTGGAAGAATTTAAAAGATTCTTCTGTGTTTTCTCACCGACAGGTATGATAATATTGCTTTCCGACGTCCATTTTCTCACTAAATATTGACTTTGCGGTGCTCGTCATGAGCAATATCAGGAAGCTAAAGAAACGGAAATCGACGCCTAAGTGGAATGTCAAGGACATAATGAGCTGTCTGACGCTTCTTCGGACGGCAAGGTGGGACCTTCCATTTCCATCAATGTTTCAGTCCTTGATTAATGGGCTTGTTCACTTAAGCGAGAGCTTCGAACAGCAAGCATTACGGCTGATGAGAGTGCAAGACCTGCTATTTGGTACGACTGGTCGGGTTCCGTTAATAAGTCAAATCCACGTCATAACCTCTGAGCCTGGCCGTGGGTCTATGCAGAGCTGTATAAGTTTGCTGAAGAGTTGGAGATTCCTATTATCAAAGAGTGCAATGCCAATGTTTTGGAATTTGCTGTGCTTCAGCGGTCACTCTTTGGTGAACATGCCGGACATCACCTGTTTGACTGTGTGTGGGCAGCTCACGAACCGCCAGGTAATGTCCAGACCCATGGACCCTCCAGGACCTGGCGTTAATATCAGTCGCCTGCTCGTGTATCTTTGTCGCCGCATTTCTAATCTGGTCCCTTCCAACTGCCAGATATTGTTTTTTGCTGCTTTCAAGTGGCCTTGAAGCTGGTGCAAGCGACTCTCTTTGACATTTCTGTGCACCCATGCCAACGGTTTCCGTCAATTTGGAAGCTTCTGGAAGAGGCATACAATTTGGATGCAGTAAGGACACACATATGAAGGGACAAACGGTATCATGTTTGCAACTTGCTTCTAACCCTGCTGTGGTTATTCCAAGGCTGAATGGCTGGCGTGCATGAAGACAACACTTCAGGGGCTGCTCGCCTCAGCTGCACAAGGAGAAGATTTAAGGCGCAAGCAAGTGTTGCTATTTCTGGCAAATGCTGACCTTGCAGACACAATTCTGTTCTGTCTGGTGAAAGTAGTAGAGTGTGGTGCTTATCAAGCGAAGGATGGTACGTATCTTAGCCACTTCAGTATTCTATTTCTGTTTCTGCATCCTGACCACTTCGTATGCTGCAGGCTACTCACAGGCCTTGGGGCTCTTTGAGAAGATTTTTGAAGCCAAGCCAAACGTAGTTTTCACGTCTTGCTCAGCAGTGTTAGCCAATGAACAGCTTGAAGCCATTCAGCTGCGGCTGGAGTGCTTATCATGTGAGAGCTTTTTGAGTTGGTGGTTTGATTGTGCAGTGGATTGACCCAGGACTTACACACCTTGCATGGGTAGCAGGTTTGGAAAGGCTGGGGCAGCAAGACGAAGCTGCAAGCATTTTGATGTGGACACTAGAGGCACGTGCTCACCTCACCCATGCGATGCTCTTTGATCCAAGCACAAGGGTTCGTCGAGCTGCTGTTCAGATCCTCTCTGCATCGCCCAACATCGACCAAGGTACACTGCTGGCCTCCTGGAATCCTTTGAAATGTGGGTAGTTCCCTTTTTTCACCATGTTTTCCTGCAGAATTGCTCACGTCCATCGCCATCAAGACACGAGACGTTGACAAGAAGGTCAGACTTGCTGCATTCAGCAGCTTGCGTGATGCTCCTATGGAACTTCTCATTGCCAGCATCACTCCTAAGGAATGGGAGACAGTGCTTCGTTGTGGCTTGTGTGACAATGAGCCCTCCTCGGAACTGAGCGTGGCAGCCAAGGTCAGTTTGGAGCCATTTGCTCCTGCAAGGGCGACATGCATGAGACTTGTTACTGGATACCAGTGGTGTGACCAAATTTTTGTTGCAGGAGCTTTTATTCATGTACTTGACATGTGATGACATTTCTGGATTGCCGTCAGTGTTAAGTTTAGGTGCTCAAGGTTTAGGACTTAAGCTTAGGATGGCGTGAGATGAGTAGGTAAAAGAGGATTAAACTATTGAGGGGAACAAACAAGTACAAGCAAAGCATGGCAAGAGAGGGTGCACCACCAAGAATGTAACTACACTACACCTATGCAGCAAGCAGGGTATATAAATATAATTTCAACACACCCCCTTAACCTGCTTGCAGCAGGAACTAGTGCAGGAACACACCCCCTTAAGGGGTACACCAAGGAGAAAGAAGTGAGGAGAGAGAGAGAAAGAGGAGAGGAGGTGGGGGGCGGCGGCTAAAGCTACTTACACACTGGCAACTGGAGCAACTGGCTCACGGGCTACTGGGGTAACGGGCTCGTACGCCTGGAGCATCCCGCTCGTACGGCTAGAGCAACTGACCCACGGGCGACTGGAGCAACGGGCTCACTGGCGACTGGCGCTGCTGGCTTCACGACGGTCACCCCCCTCCAACCTCTCCAACCTCTCCCTACAACGGCGGAGACGGCTGGAGGAGCAAACGAGCGGAGGAGGAGGCGGCTGGAGGAGAGGAGAGAGGAGAGGAGAGGCTGGAAATGTGGGCACAGCGGAAGGGAGAGAAGCATGAGGAGGAGGAGATGGAGAGGCGGCTGCTGGAGTGAGGAGAGGAGTGCTGATGTGGCGGTTTGCTGGTCATCCCCGCCACCCCCTCATCCCCCCCCCTCACGACCGTAAACACGGGCACGAGAGATAGGGAAGAGAAGGGCCGCGGGCTGGTGCTGCAGAGTACCTCCCGCCACACCCTCATCCCCCCGCACCCCCCCCCCCCCAACGCGGCAGGTGCAACGGCGCGGAGGAGGAAATGGAGGGGCGAGGAGTCAGGGGGGCTGGAGTACCCCCATAGCCGCGGCCTCCAGCCCCGCCACCTCCCCTTCACAACGTCCGCATGGGCAGGGCGCTGCAGAGAAGAAGGCGGGGAGCGGGATGGCGCTGGCGAGGGCGCCGACGACTGCCGTTGGCGCTGACGCGGTCGGTCGCTGCCGGCAACTCGCCACCCCTGTCCCCCCTTCCTCCCTCTCACTTCGATTGCCCACGCAAGCGCGCAGGGCCGGGACGGGTGGGGAAGCGCATTGGGGGTGCATGGGGCCGCGGCGAAGGCGCAGCAGTAGCAGCGTAGCCAACGAGCAAGGCCGCGACGGGGCAGACGACGGGTAGGCGAACGGGGGCAGCGCGACGGGTGCTGCAAAAGCAGCGGATTTCGCGCCAGCAACGAATTTCGCGCGACAAGCAGTAGCAGCCACGCCAGCAGCAGAATAGGCCGCCAAGGTCGATGGCGGCTTTGGTGGGCCCATCAAAACTAGGTCCTAGGAGGGTGTTGAATTATATTGCATATCTTATAACTGCCTACAGCTAGCTAGTGTACTAGATTAGGTATTAGCATCAACTGCTGGTGGTGTACCCTCCCTTTTGCCCATTCCTATATCTTGTATTCATTCCATAGTGAAACTCCTCTTTTGGCCAACCTAAACTCCCTCGATAACCATCTCACTATGCTACTCTCCCTCCAAGCTCCTAATCTCCCAAGTTCTTATCTCAACATGGTATTAAGAGCTGGGTCCTTCTAAGGACCTTGTTATTTTTCATTCGCCATGGCTGCCATCGTTGCCATGGCGACCGTTGCTGCGCCCTTCGAGGCGCTCGCCCGTTGCCTGCCCCGCGCTGAACGCCCCGTGCTACCCGCCCCACGCGCTGGTCGCCCCGTCCCGCGCGCTGTCGCGTCGCCCCGTCGCTGGTCGCGGACGCCAGCACCAGCGCCTCTGACCGTCGCTGACGCCAGCGCGAGCGCCAGCGACGTGCGCCAGCGCCAGCGACTGTCGCGAGCGCCAGCGCCAGCGCCAGCGTCAGCGCCAGTGCCAGCGGCATGCGCCAGCGCCGGTCGCGAGCGCCAGCGCCAGCAGCGGCCGCCAGCGCCCCTGCCATCGCCACCCCGCTCCCCGCCTCCGCACCTGCCGTCGCTCTCTTCTACGGTGGACGTTGCGGGGGGGAGGTGGCGAGGCTCGCGCCCGCGGCTACGGGGGTGCTTAAGCCCCCTTGAACCCTCCTGCCCCTCCCTAATCCTCCTCCTCATCGCTGCCCGTGCATCTGCAGTTCGTGCCGCGTTTGGGGGGGGGGGGAAGAGGGTGTGGGGGTGGCGGGTATGTGCAGGCAGCCGCCTCCCCCTTCTCCTCCTCCTTCCGCTGCACTTCCTCTCCTCCTCCTCCTCTCCTCTCCTCCAGCCGCATCTCCTCCTCCTCTCCTCTCCTCCAGCCGCATCTCCTCCTCCTCTCCTCTCCTCCAGCCGCATCTCCTCCTCCTATCTCCTCTCCTCCAGCCGCATCTCCTCCTCCTCTCCTCTCCTCCAGCCGCATCTCCTCCTCCTCTCTTCTCCTCCAGCCGCATCTCCTCCTCCTATCTCCTCTCCTCCAGCCGCCTCTCCTTTGCTCTCCTCCTGTGCACCACCAGCAGCTTCCTCCTCCTCACCAACAGTTGTGTTTGCTCGTAGATGGCGAGCGACCAGCATCCTTCGCCCTCCGGCTATCCCAGCCCTCCTCCGCGCTCTCCGCGCCCTCCTCCGTCCTGGCGTTCACAGGTGCTGCCGGTCAGCCACCGCTGTTTCTGTGCCTATCCCAGCTACAGCAACCGCTCTCCAGGCGACCTGGTGCCAGGCACCACTAGCTATAGCCGTAGGCAGTTACGGGGGTGTGTTGAATTATATTGCATATCTTATAACTGCCTACAGCTAGCTAGTGTACTAGATTAGGTATTAGCATCAACTGCTGGTGGTGTACCCTCCCTTTTGCCCATTCCTATATCTTGTATTCATTCCATAGTGAAACTCCTCTTTTGACCAACCTAAACTCCCTCGATAACCATCTCACTATGCTACTCTCCCTCCAAGCTCCTAATCTCCCAAGTTCTTATCTCAACAGAGGGACCACACTCTGATATCATGTTAAGTTTAGGTGCTCAAGGTTTAGGACTTCAGCTTAGGATGGCGTGAGATGAGTAGGCAAAAGAGGATTGAACTATTGAGGGGAACAAACAAGTACAAGCAAAGCATGGCAAGAGAGGGTGCACCACCAAGAATGTAACTACACTACACCTATGCAGCAAGCAGGGTATATAAATATAATTTCAACAGTCAGCCCGTCTCAACATGCTTCAAGGCTTCATGGGGAATTTTGATGAGATTAAGGATGCACTTGAGGACCGCATTGAAGACATTTTTGAGAAGGAATTAGCGCAGGTAGAATCGGCAGAGGATGACATGGACAAAGGTGACATGGAAAAAGATGGTATGGAACATGAAGAAAGTGTGATATTTGAAGGCCAGTCATAGGTAATATGTGTTTGGCAGGACATGCAAAGCAACCTCTTATTTGCTGCACTGGATGCCGGTAGTATCGCTGTACAGTGAGAATGTTGCCAACCTGAGTTACAGGAGCTCAGAAAAAAGCACCGGTCGTCGAACAGCATTGGTAAATCCCTGCAAGGCATGAGCACAGACCACAATGATTGAGGTGGCGCCTTGCCATGAAACATGCACAATCACAAGTATTTACGCACCTCGTGATACTTGAACGAGATGCGAATAGCCTTTTCAGCAGCTGTTTTGTTGTCAGCACTCTTTATGCCTGACCCGTCATCTCCGCTCCGTTGATGAGCAGTTTTAGGTCCGCCATCTTGTTCCACTTTTCTGGAAGCACAAACAGAAGGTACAAAAAAACTGAATCAGCACCTAACAGTAGCTCCAAAAGCAGCATTTCGAATCGAAGCTCTACTCTCACATCTGCTCCCACATAATCGGTTAGAACACATGGCAAACCCCAGTCAACCCTAATCCTACCTGGTGAAACCCCGAAAGGGTCGTCGCTGCATCTCCTTTACTTTGGCTGGTTTGGCGTCGCTTCCTTGCTGAGCGCTGCCTGATGCATCCTGCGGCTTCACAGATTTACCTTCCATAGGGATTCCATTCTTCTTGGCCTTACCATCACCAGTCTGGGTACCTGAAGATGATTCAGTTGAAATGGGGAAGACACAACTGAAAAGGTCCAGTGGTTGGCTGGGCAATCAAGAGAAAAGGTACAGTAAACACCAATAGTGGAGGGTGTTGGAATAAGCAGTGTGGCACATACCTTTCCCCTTGCTGCTCTGTGGGACACCATTGGCAGGTTGCGGCAGAGAAGCAGATTGTGGTTGTTGATGAGACACAGCCGGAGCAGTAGGAGGGAGGTTTGGAGCAGGAGCAGGAGGAGGACGAGGAAGAGCTGGAGGGGGCTGAGGAGCAGCAGCATTGGGAGTGGATGCTGATTTCACTCGCACCGAGTCCCGCCGGATGCGCTCAAGCTCAATCTGACAAGAAACGAGGCACATGGCATGTGAGTGAAGGAGTAAGAATCGTGCAGCTCAAGTTGCTGCAGAACGGTCAGGACTCGCGAAACTTAAGGCGAGAAAGTAGATTCAATGGGAACAAGAACACAGACCAGGCAGAAATAAGCCATAGCCCATACTGCTGGTAAGCCAATAGTGTGTAGGTAGTAGGTAGGGTGAATGGGTAGGTACCTCTCGGCCTATGAGTTGGCGCACTGCTGCAGATATTGACATGACGTATGGTGGGGGTCGAAGTCCCTGGAGCAGGGGGGGGAACACACACACCAAGCACGCATGAAGCACACATGGGCACACATGAATATGCACCAGCACAAGTACAAGCGCAAACTTATGCAGAGTTGAGTATCAACAATCTTTCACAATTGTCCTGACAGACACCTCCCACACAACATGAAGTGAGTGCAAGCAACAACTGTACCAACTTCAGTATCAACACCCAGAGCAGCTGCCATGGTCACATCACAGCAACGCACATCAAACACAACAAACTCCGTGAGCGGAGGATCAAGCACAGGCCCGGTCAAGTGTGCATCACCACCACCGAAACCCCCCTCCACTCCACCACCAGCAGCACCACCGGGAAAACCAGTGCGGCGGTGCCAGGGAAGCTGGTGCGCATGGCGGTAGGAGAGGCCATAGTCGAGCATGGTGGCCACGAGCTGTGCGAGCGCGGCCTTCTCCCATGGCGTCAATAACTGCCCTGCCACCTGGTGGGGGAGTAGGGGGTGAGCGGGGGATAAAGCGAGAGAGAGAGGCGGGCGCACAGGAGGGAGAGGAAGCGGGAAGGGAGGGGGAGACGGGGAGAGGGTGGGGGGGAGTGAGTTGTGGGAAAAGAGGAGGAACGGGCGTGAGGAGGGGCGGTGCGGCGGTGCATTAAGGGAAGCTGGTGAGCATGGCGGTAGGAGAGGCCATAGTCGAGCATGGTGGCCACGAGCTGTGCAAGCGCGGCCTTCTCCCATGGGGTCAACAACTGCCCCGCCACCTGGTGGGACCGTTACTGAGGGGAAGGGGAGTGGAGGGGGTGGGGAGAGGAGGGGGAAGGGAGAGGGAAGGGAGGGGGAGGGAAGGGGGATGGGAGGGGGGAAGGTGACCCATGACCCATGACCCATGACCCATGACCCATGACCCATGACCCATGACCCATGACCCGCCCTTAAAAGCCATGGAAGGCACGCAGACACACAAAGACGACCTCACAGACGGAATGGGGGATCCCACATGACGGCAAGCAGAGGCAAGAGGAGGCTGGGCACGAGAGAACAACTTGTGAGTCAACTCAAAAGCTCACAGGGCGGATGGGGGTGGGTTTTGATTCGACTCAAAACACACAGAGAACCACATGTGAGTCAACTCAAAAGCTCACAGGGCGGATGGGGGTGGCTGAGATGACGGAGAGCAGCGGCGAGACGAGGTCAGGGACGAGAGAGCGCAGGGGAGAGGTGCGTGCTATGGCTGGTAGCATGGCGCCCCGCCACGCCTCCACTGTCTCCCTGCGCACCGTGTGCTGTGAGCGGTACCTGTGAGGGGAAGGGTAGGAGATGAGCAGGGGGGCGGGGGGGGAGGGGGGGTGGGGAGTTCGGGGGAGGGAAGCGAATTCAGAGAGTCGACTCAGAGTCTCCCTGCGCACCGCGTGCTGTGAGCGGGACCTGTGGAGGAAGGGGGGTGTTGGGGGTGCGAGCTGGGATAATAAGGAGGTTTGGGATGAGAGGAGGGCAGGGAGGGTAAGCAAGGTAAGGAGGGAGACACAGAGGCGTCCGGCAAAAGAACGTAGGAATGGTGATGAATTTTGAGGCGCCTGAAAAGTCGTCTCAGTTCACGCGGAATCTCAGGCGCCTCTAAGGAGGGAGACACAGATGCGTCCGGCAAAAGAACGTGCGAAGGGTGATGATGCAGGAAGGGGAAAAAAACCACTGGATCATAAAATGAGATAAAAGAATACAAAGGGGAAATGAGTAGACGAAGAGATCGAGCAAACAGATAAATGGTGAAACGGATACATGGCATGGGGGGAAGGGAGGATTGGTGGGTGCTGTGCTGGGAGTGACCTGGCATGGGCCTTGGGCCATTCGAGGGGGTGTCTGTCTGCTGCACCCATGGTGGCTCGAATGGCGTACATGGCACATGTCTCAAACGCTGCATGCGCACATGGGATGGGGTGGTATGGGATGGTATGGGATGGGAACATAAGGTGCACTCACTCCACAACACACTCTCTCACAACGCAAACAGAAGGTGGAGCAAACCACATCTGTCCCTATTAGGTGCAAGCAGCGAGAAAAACAACCACCAGAACCACTCCTAAGACGCCCCTCCACAGCACATATCTCTCATTCACCAGCCCATATCTCTCATGCGCTCTTACCTAGCAGGGCGAACTGCTGAGACGCCATGGCCCTGTGGTGCCACTGGTCGGCACACACCAGCCAGTGCAGCGACGACGACTGTCACGTGCGGAGTCCTTACCACACAGTGCCCACTCTCCCTTTGTCTCTCTCACGCCCTTCCTTACCCAGCAAGGCGAACTGCTGAGACGCCATGGCCCTGTGGTGCCACTGGTCGGCACACACCAGCCAGTGCAACGACGACGACTGTCACGCCATGCGATGCGCCATGAGATGCGCCCAGCACGCATTTGGGATAGTTTGGTGGCGGGGAAAGGGGGAGGGGGCGGAGGGGGTGTAAGAGGGGAGGAGGAGGAGGCTTTTGGGTCGCCTAAAAAACACCAGCCAGTGCAGCGACGACGACTGTCATGCCATGCGATGCACCCCGCAGGCATTTGGGATTGTTTGGCGGGGGGGGAAAGGGGGGGGGGGGGGTGTGTAAGAGGGGAGGAGGAGGTTTTTGAGTCGACTCTAAAGTCACCAGCCAGTGCAGCGACGACGACTGTCACGCCATGCGATGCGCCATGCGATGCGCCCAGCGATGCGCCCAGCACGCAGTCGGAATTGTTTGGTGGGGGGGGTGTGTAAGAGGGGGGGAGGAGGGAGGGGAGAGAGGTTGGGGAGAGAGGTTGTGGAGAGGGAAGAGGGGGGTGGTGATGACGGGGAGAAACAGGACGGCAGGGAAGAGGGAAAGACTAACGAGATAGATACTGAGGATTTTGAGAATAACAATAAGGATCCTGATATTAACATTAACAGATGAGATGGCATTTGGTAGCTTGTGCACGCGTGTGTGTGGATGAGCGTGTGGCGAGTGTGAGTGCATGTGCATGTGCATGTGCATGTGCATGTGCGTGTGCTTGTGCGTCTGCATGCGTATGTGCATGTGCGTGCGACTGTGCGTGCGAGTGCGTGCACATGCTGTTTCTAAGGTCTGAGTGGCAGGGGGCTCACAGTCTTGCGCAGGGATACATCGGAGAGAGCAGCGTGCAGCAGGTTGTCGTGAATGCCATCCAGAAGCGTGTCGGACGTGCCGCCTCTGCAGCTCAACTCACAGGAATGGGAGGCAGCGAGGGAGAACGAGGGGAGGGAAAATGAGGAGAGGGAGAAATGACGGGAAGGAGACTCGTAAGGCGCCCAAAACCAGGTTGTCGCGGATGCCGTCCAGAAGCGTGTCGGACGTGCCGCCTCTGCAGCTCGATCGGTCACAGTAATGAGAGGCAGCGAGGGAGAACAAGGGAAATGTTAGGAGAAGGTGAGGGGAAGGCGACTGAGGGGAGAAGGAGGAGGAGGAGGAGGAGGAGGAGGAGGAGGAGGAGGAGGAGGAGGAGGAGGAGGAGGAGGAGGAGGAGGAGGAGGAGGAGGAGGAAGTGCCATGAAGGAAAGATTAGGTGATGATGGGGACTCACAGCTGGGAGACGAGCCTGAGTTTTGAGTCGACTCAAAAGGTCAACTCGGAACTCAGTGCTGGGAGATGAGGACTCAGTGCTGGGAGATGAGGACTCAGTGCTGGGAGATGAGGACTCAGTGCTGGGAGATGAGGACTCAGTGCTGGGAGATGAGGACTCACTGCTGGGAGATGAGTGAGTCGAAGCGAGAATAGTGCGAGGCAGGCTGGGATGGCGAGGAGGAGGAGGAGGAGGAGTGGAGCGAGGGTGATGCTGCTGCTGCTGCTGATGGTGGTCGTGGTGCGGAGGAGAGAGGCTTGGGGACCGAGCGGAGGGAAGTGGGAAAGAATACCTGAAAGGGGGAGGTGGACGGGACTAGAAGAATATTAGAATGGGATTAGGAGGAGATTGAAGGGGGCTACAAGGAGAATGAAGGGGAGAAGGGGAATGAAGGAGGATTAGAAGGAGATAGTGGACGGGGGGGGAGGGGACAACGCATGGCTGCGGATTACACGAATAAAGACACGAATCGTCTTAAATATCAAATGGTACACGCATCTCTCACACTCCCCTACCCTCGTAGCACACAGATCGTACAGAAATCCCCTGAATACATTACTTGCGAATCCACCTGCAAGCCTCAGTTTTGTCCACCTCATTCGGCCCACCTCACTCCACCCCACCTCACTCCACCTCACCTCATTCCACACGTCCATGAGCCCCTTGGTGGTGTCTTTGCGCCCCACCACCTGCTCTGCCACCTCCGACTGGCCAGGGGAGGAGGATGGGTGGTGGATAGGGGCGGGAGAAGGAGAGGAGAGGAGAGGGGATAGGGGTTGAGGGGTGGAGGCTAGACGAGGGTCCCTTGGTGGCGTCCTTGCGCCCCACCACCTGCTCTGCCACCTCCGACTGCCGAGAGGAGGAGGGGGGACGGAAGAGGAAGAGGAAGGGAGAGGGAGAGGGGAGAGGAAGAGGAAGAGGACGGGGAAGGCCAGCAAGGCCAGGGATAGAAAAGTCACGAGCAAGGGTGGTGTGAGGTTGCTTTTGAGTCGACTCAGAAAAAATAAAGTCAAAAGCAACGGTGGTGTTAGATCATCGCGCACGCAGGAGTGAGATCGAGGTCAGAAGACAAAGCAAGGGTAGTCATGGTTTTGAAACGGTCACAAGATTCAATGCAAGGGCCACAAGGCAGCAAGGCAGCAGGGCAGCAGGGCAGCAAGTCAGCAGGGCAGCAGGGCAGCAGGGCAGCAGAGAAGGTGCAGCGAAGTAGAGAGTAGTACCGCTCGCAGTGCCCTGTTAGCTCGGTGCAGGAACTGCAGGGTGTTGAGACACGCCCTGATATCCCCGTCTGGACCGGTGGGGGTGGGAAAGGAGGGACCGGGGCCAAGGATGGAAAACAAAAGGCATGTTCAGTTTAGGTGTCGCAGGAAGAGTAGAAAGGTTACGATTCCACGCATCAATGCATCGATGCATTAATGCATCGGGGCATCGGGGCATCGCAGCAGCAATGCATAGATTGTCCCTTTCTTTGTAGCCAGGACGAGGCCTTTGGCTCACATAAATGGCATGGATGCATCAAGGCATCACAGCATCAAGGCATGGAGCGCCCTGGCTCGCTGCACAGCGCACCTGTCTGGGCAGCCAGGGCAGTGAGCCCCCGCACGTCCGCCTCAAACCCCTCTGCCTCACTTTGTGGACTCAACAGTCAGGAATCAAACCATCAACGAGGCATCAAGGCATGACCGCCCTCGCTTGCTCACAGCGCACCTGTCTGGGCAGCCAGGGCAGTGAGTCCCCGCACATCCGCCTCAAACCCTTCCGCCTCACATATGTGCCGCAGCCTGCCATGGGGCGAACAGGGGTGGACAGGGGCACACAGAAGTACACAGGGGTGCACAGGGGAACACAGAGGTACACAGGGGTGCGCAGGGGAACACAGGGGTGCACAGGGGTGCACAATGGGCACGAAGAGGGGCGGACGGCAGGATCCAAGCGAGGGATGTAGAGAACCAAGTGAGGGGGGACGGCAGGATCCAAGTGAGGGGAGCATGCGGAGAGAACCATGGGGGCGAGTAAACGAGTGGAATCGGGAAGGGGGAGGTTGATTTTGAGAATTCTCAAAATCAACCTCAATCGGGAAGGGGGACATGGCAGAAACTGTTCCGTGGAGCGGAAGGAGGAAGGGGGCTGGGGGTGGGGTGGGGTGGGGTGGGGTGGAGGGCTGTGGGTGGAATGCAAGAGGGCTGGGCGGGGTGCGGTGGACAGAGGATGGACGTAAGACAGGGGAGGAAACAGGCGTTTTAAAAAAGAAATGAAAAGCAGGCGTATTTTTGAGAGAGGAGAGAGGAGAGAGGAGAGGAGAGTGGGGAGCAGGAAGCAGGGCCAGGCTACCTTGAGACAACTCTGTTGGTGGTTGGCGGCTGGAACACATGTACCCTGTGGTTAAGACACAATGGCATCCACACATGCACATGCACACATGTACATGCATACACACCCAGATGTACATGCATACACACATGTGGATCCATGCATGCACACCCATTTGGAGTGTGGCCAGGTAGTCAAGAAGGGAACGGGCAGAAGCAGAAGCAGAAGCAGAAGCAGAGGCATTCTTGACTCAATCCAGCAGCAGACGCACTTGAACAAAATGATGAATCCGTGGCACTCCCACTTCTCCCCTCACGCCTCCCTTCACCCCTCTCCCTCTCCCCTCTCCCCTCTCCCCTCTCCCCTCTCCCCTCTCCCCTCTCCCCTCACCCCTCTCCCCTCTCCCCTCTCCCCTCTCCCCTCTCCCCTCTCCCCTCTCCCCTCTCCCCTCTCCCCTCAACCCTCAACCCTCTCCCCTCTCCCCTCTCCCCTCTCCCCTCTCCCCTCTCCCCTCTCCCCTCTCCCCTCTCCCCTCTCCCCTCTCCCCTCAACCCTCAACCCTCTCCCCTCTCCCCTCTCCCCTCTCCCCTCTCCCCTCTCCCCTCTCCCCTCTCCCCTCTCCCCTCTCCCCTCTCCCCTCTCCCCTCTCCCCTCTCCCCTCTCCCCTCTCCCCTCTCCCCTCTCCCCTCTCCCCTCTCCCCTCTCCCCGCCCACCCAACCTACTCTGCCACGAGGCGCAGAGGCCTGAGGGCGGGCGCATAGAGGTCATTGGCGATACAGATGATCTGCCAGCATGTGCACGTGCATGGGAGGTAGAAGGGTTATTGGACGGGAAGGGAAAGGCTATATTTGATGTGCTTCCAGTGCAGGTGAGGGGGGTCTGAGGGCGGGCGCATAGAGGTCATTGGCGATACAGATGATCTGCAGAATGGCATGGGTGCACGTGCATGCACATATGTGTATGAGAGGAACGGAAGATGACATTTGAGACGACTTAAAAGTCAAGGGTGCACGTGTATGCGTATGCGTATGAGGAGAAAGGAAGGTAAGGGAGGAAAATGACGGAGAGAGGGGAGAAAACAGGAAGGGGTGGATGGAGGGAGGCCACGCAATACACCACAAGATTCACGCGAACAAAAAAATCTAACACAAGAGGGTGAATGGATGGAATGGAACGGAGACTGAACAACTGTCCAGGCTAATATTACCAAGCAAATACCGAAATCAAAGGGACAGAGAAAGAGAGGGCATTTGGGATAAAGTGGGAGAGCCAGAGCAGGGCTAAGAGCACGGAATCCCAGGCAAACCGACTAACCGGTCTGTTGAGTCGTTTCAGCTGCACAGCAGCAGCACCACCCTTCCCCGATGCCCTCCTCCTCCGTATCCTCTTGGGCCCGCTGGCTCTTGGCACTCCCTCCTTGCTCACCCTCCTGAACTTCCCTCCCCCTCCTCCTCCTCCTCGCGCCCTCCCCTGCCCTCCCCCCCTGCCCGCCTCGTCCCCGTCTGACCCGCCCTCGTCATCCTCATCGTCGCTCCCTGTGGAAGGGACTGATCCTGCCGCTGCTGCTGCTGCTGCAGCGGAGGCTGCCGCTTTGATGTCGGCTTGGACCTGCAGGGATGAGGCAGGGGAATAGAGGCACACAGCAACTTGTGGGGGTGTGGGATGGCCTGCCTGCTTCCTCCCCGTCCGACCCGTTCTCGTCATCCTCATCGTCGCTCCCTGTGGAAGGGACTGATCCTGATGCTGCGGAGGCAGCTGCTTTGAGGTCGGCTTGGACCTGGAGGGATGAGGAAGGGGGAATAGAGGCACACAGCACCTTGTGGGGATGTGGGATGGGTGGAAGTGTATCTGCACGCGCGCGCGCGCATGTGTGTGTGTGTGGTTTGAGTGCGTGCGTGTGTGCATGCGTGCGTGTGTGCGTGTGTGAGTGCGAGTGGGAGGGATGAGAAAGGGGAGCAGTGGCACGGCACCTTGTGGGGATGCATGAGGCCGTGGCGAGAGACAGCGTGAAGGACAGGGCTAGAGACTGGGATTTCGACTAGGAAGAAGAAGGGAGAGATAAGCGCGGAAGAAGAGACAGCAGAGGGAGAGACAGTGGGTGGGAGTGGGAGGGACGCACCAGTTCCACGAGTGCATCCACAGCACCTCGCCCTTCAGCTCCTGCAAACGCCCCGTCGATCTCATCTATCACCTGCCGAGCAAGCCCACACAGGGAATGCCCACACGAGGACGGTCCACACAGGGAAGGCCCAGACCAGACAGGGATGTGCATGTGCATGCCAGTGCCGCCATGGGATAAGGAAGCAGTCATATCAGCCTGTGATGCAGGGGATGGACCAATCCACATGGGACAGAGATGCTTGTGGGAGGCATGGGAGCATGCACGCCCTCGTGCTCTCAGCGCACTCGCAATCGCGCCAAGTGTGACTCACTTACACTTTCCCCTGCTTCACATGGCAGTGAGCGAGTGAGCAAGCGAGTGAGCGAGAGCGAGCCTTTACTCAAGAATAAGTTACTCGAGGAAATGTCGCAGTGAGGGAGTGAGTGCGCAAGCGAGCGGGCGAGAGAGCACACGGACCAGGCAGTTGGGGCGGGAGTCAGCACCAGTGCCAGTGGCGGCAGCACCAGATGCACTGGCACGCGAAGCAGCAGAAGCAGGAGTAGCAGAAGCAAGCACGGAGCGCATTTCCACGGCGTCAACGATGCGCTGGCGCAGGGAGGGTGAGTGAGCATACGAACCAGGCAGTTAGGTCGTGAGTCAGCACTGGTGGCAGTGGCAGTGCCAGCTCCAGCACCAGATGTAATGGCAGGAGAAGCAGAGGCGAGCACGGAGCGCATTTCAACGGCGTCCACGATGCGCTGGCGCAGGGAGGAGGCGACGCGGTCGTCACTGGCGTTGACCTCCACCACTCGGTACCCGCAGTGCCGAGCTGCCACGTGCGCCAGCGTTGTTTTGCCCAGCCCTGGCGCTCCGCAGAGAAGCAGAATCTGCAAGCGGTAAGGGGGGGAGAGTGGGGGAAGAGGAGGGAAGGAAACGAGGAGGGGAGGGGGTAGGAGGCGAGGAGGGGACGAGGGGCGTTTGATTGCAGGAGGAGAAGCAGAACGGCCATGGGTAGTTGATCTCCACCACTCGGTACCCGCAGTGCCGCGCTGCCACGTGCGCTAGCGTTGTCTTGCCCAGCCCTGGTGCTCCGCAGAGCAGCAGAATCTGCACCCATACGTGGTGGCCACAGGGGGTGGTGGGGAGGAGGGGAGGCGGTGAAAGAGAGGGGGTGCGGAGGAGGCGAGGAGGGGAGGAGGGGAGGAGGGGAGGAGGGGAGGAGGGGAGGAGGGGAGGAGGTGAGGTTTTATGCAGGAAGAGCAGCAGAGCTGTAACTGACCTCTTCTTGCATGAGGTGAGGTAACTGACCTCTTCTTGCATGAGGTGAGGTAACTGACCTCTTCTTGACTGTAGTTTACTCCCTCTTTGCCAATGCTTGCATGAGTTACTCACAAACTTTGGCAAACAAACAACCTTCACTGCTGCATGACAGTGAATGAATTATAACCAACTCTGCCACGGCATCTACGAACCACATGAAGACAAGACACCCATTACCTATCCCAACCCAACCACTGGAGGCTGCATGTGTGATTCTGAACAACGAATAAATCAACCGCACGCACACACACATTACAAACACACACAAGCTTTGCTCAACCCCCCTCCCCATGTTTCCCCAAGCATCCATCAATCCATCCAGCCACTCACCCTCGCCTCTGGTCTATCTCCTGCTGTCTCACCCCGCGCCCTCTTCCCCAGCAGACTCTCCCCTCCCATGCCTGCTCCCACGCCGTTACTCATGCCCCCACCACCCATGCCACCCCCACCCATGCCTTCCTTGTCACCCCTCCACCCTCTGCCCCCCCCCATTCCACCCCCCATTCCACTCCGCCCCCCCCTCTCTCCTGCACCACCCCTCCCTCCCCACCTCCCTCCACCCTCCCCTCCACCACCCCCTCTCTCTCCAAACCTATCCCCACCCCAACTCCCACCGCTACCCCCACTCCCACCCCCTCGCCCTCCCCACCCTCCACGCCCCCCTCCCTCTCTTCCTCCCTTTCCCCCTCCCCCTCCTCCCCACCCTCCACGCCCCCCTCCCCCTCCCCCTCCCCCTCCCGCTCCTCCCCACCCCCCCCCCTTCGCCTCTCCCAAACCCCCCACCCCGCCTCCCCCCGCGACCCCCAGCAAACCCTCCGCCCATTCCCCCTGCCCCTGCAGCAGCAGCGGGCGGGGGCAAGCGGCGCAGAGCAGCGATGGTATCCGGATGAGTGCGGGAGCGGGAGGACGCAGCAGCAGCGCCAAAGACGCAGCGGTCCCACTGCTTGAGCCAGGAGAGCACTGCACGGTTGGTGGGCTCGGGACTGAGCAGGTCTGTGAAGCTACGCGGCGAGTATTTATCCACCCACAGAGCCGCCGCTGCTGCTGCTGCTGCTGCTGCTGCTGCTGCTGCTGCTGCTGCTGCTGCTGGAGGTGGGGTTGCTGCCGCTGCAGCTGCTGCTGCTGCTGCTGATGGTGCTGCTTTAGAGAGTGGTTTAGAGGAAGACGAGGGAGCAGCGGAGGGTGTGGAAGAGGAAGGGGCGGAGGCCATGAGGTGGGACAAACGGAAGGCGCGTTGCAGCTGCTCCTGCTCTGCTCGCTCCATCAGCGTCTCTATGCTCACAGACAGCACTCGCCCTTGCTCCGTCTCCGCTGCCCCCCTGCTCGCCCACGCACCACCCATCCTGCGCTCCCGCTCACTCTCCTCCCTCTCCTGCTGCTCCGCCCGTCCTTTATCCCTTCCATCCCTGCCATCCCTGCCAGATCTATCTGCTCGGTCTGTTGGGGTGGTTCTGACACGGCAGTACACGCGCTGCCCATCGCTGCCTGTCACGGGCATCACCTCGCCATCCACATCTGCTGCCACTCGCCGTGCTGCCTTCTCATCTTCTGCTGCCGCTGCTGCTGCTGCCACTGCTGCTGCTGCTGGTGGTGGTACTGCTGTTTTCTTAGCTGCTGCTGCTGCTGCTGCTGCTGCTACTGCTGCTGCTGCTGCTGCTGCTACTGCTGCTGCTGCTGATGCTGGTGATTCTTTTGCTGCTGTTGCTGCTTCTGGGAACGCAGCTTGCTGTGGAATACCCGAATTCACACCATCGCCTCCTCCTCCTCTTTCGTCCCCTCTCTCTCGACCCTCGGCTTCTCGTCCTGCTGCACCTCCTGCCACATCCCCACCCACTGCCTCTGTCGCCTTATCAGCACCCCTATCCCCAGGCCAGCCCGCAGCAGGTATTTGCGAATTCTCTACAGACCCACCCGATGTGCCGTCCTTCCCTCTTTCCCTGCCTGCCACCCCTGGCATGCCAGTGGAGGGTGGCGGCGGGAATGTGTGTGGCAGGGGGGTTGCTGCTGCGCCTGGAAAGGTAAGGGGACATGGGGGAGCAGGGGAGCGAGGGTGGGGGGAACCAGGGAGCAGGGGAGTGGGGGGGGAAACCGGGTGGGAAGAGAGCATGAGAAGTGCAGAGGAAGGCCAGATAGGCTTTGAGCCGTCTCAGGAGGAGCGGGGCAGGGGAGAGACAGTGAGTGCAGAGGAAGGTCAGATAGGATATAAGGCACAACGAGGAGAAGAGAGAGAGGAGAGAGGGAGCTTCACATGGCTCTCCCATTGCACTGGCAAGCCAAACCATGAGACCAAGGCAAGAAGATCTCCCATTGCCACAGCAACGAGTTCTTTTAGCATGGTGGGAATATGGGAAAGGGAAACCACCGAGAGCAACCATGGCAAAACCATGGGACACCCATCGGACAGCCTTGGGTCGTCCATGTTGGCCCATTCCCGGACCCCTTTGGCAATCTTGCTTTCTTTTTTTCAACTCCCGAAAGCAACTCCAACGCAGCTGAAGTTGAATTAACACCTCGTCGCATCTCATCATGTGCGCTCTATGGCACTTTTTACAACAACACCCAACCGTTGATCCATCCGTCCATCCATCCATCTGTCCGTCCGTCCGTCTGTCCCTCCGTCAGTCAGTCAGTCAGTCAGTCAGTCAGTCAGTCAGTCAGTCAGTCAGTCAGTCAGTCAGTCAGTCAGTCAGTCAGTCAGTCAGTCAGTCAGACAGGCGAGTGGATCTATTTTCATTTTCTCATTCCCCGTGGTTCCATCGCACCAATCCCCGCACTTCCCCTCATCCCCTCCCATTTATCACGTCCACCCGCCTCCCCTCTCCCGCTCACCGCGTGCGCCGGCCGTCTGGCTGCGCCAGTCGTCGTCGTCGCCGCCGTCGTCGCCCGCCATGGCCTGCTGCGCCATCCACTCCAGCTCGTCCAGACTCGGCTCCTCCATGCTTGCCTGCCTCCTCTCCTCCGTCCGTCCGTCCGTCCGTCCGTCCAGCACCCGGATCTATTCTCATTCCCCCACGAGCCATCTCACTGATCCCAGCACTTTCCCTCATTCCCCTCCCCATCCATTTCCCCCGCCCCCCCTCTCCCGCTCACCGCGTGCGCCGCGCCAATCATCTTCCGGGGGCTCTTCGAACGGCCAGTCGTCGTCCTCCCCGCCATCGTCGCCCGCCATGGCCTGCTGCGCCATCCACTCCAGCTCGTCCAGACTCGGCTCCTCCATGCCTGCCTGCCTGCTCTCCTCCGCTCGCGGTCACAGCACTATGCGAACCACTCGCGTTACAGGCCTATGCGAACCGCTCGCTGTCGCAGCCGTATGCGAATCGCTCGCGGCTACAGGCCTATGCGAATCGGACGCGACTAGAGAGTATCCGTGTTTGTTCACAGCTGAATGCTGTTTGACAATTGCTCGAAAGAGTATGAAGCTCAAATGCACGGAAGAATCTCCAGCGGCGTTTTCCAGCTGTCGTCTCCTTTCTGATCACGCCGAATACAGACAACTCACGCCGCCTGCAATGGGCTGCTCCTCACCGCTTCGGCGTGCGTTGTGGGTTGGGTTGGAACTTGGACCCGGGGAAAAAAAACGGTCAAATTCGAACAGAGAGCAACGGAAGGAAACGGAAAAGTGCAAGCTTGAGGTCTGAAGGCGACGGGCGCAGCGTTTGAGCTTGTGAATCTGAATGGTTCTGACCTTGGCAACTGCATGATCAAAAGCCGAGCAGCAAGTGCAGAGGTTGCGCGCAAATCCCAAGGTATCCGCGTTAGGAGGACCACACAACTCGTTTTGGATTATGACATTTTCGATAGGTTGCTGAAATGAAGTCTCAAGATAAAATAACCACACCAAGTATTATTTAATAGTTGGAACACATGCTTAGTACAAGAAGTATAGCCAGAAATACCACGTATAATCCACCCTTTCGAATCTCTCTAGATGCATTCCTTCCTAAGAGAAACTCTCAACACACCACAACAAACATCCATCCAAAAGTATCTCGCCGTCTACAGGCCAAACATCTTGCGCAGCGCCGAAAGACGCTGCTTGCGGCCACTTTCAGGCGTGGAGTGCCCAGACTTGGTCGACGAAACCTTCCCATGCGGCGACGGAGTAGCAGGCGATGACAACACAGCCTTAGACTTCCATGAAGCCACTGGCAATGGTGCTGGTGTTGGCGACACTGGCACTGTCACACCATAACCATGGCCATAACCATAACCAGCATTAACATTCCCCTCATTTTCACCAACCTGCTGTGCTGATAACACTTCCCGGAAATGAGTAATTGGTGCAACCCTTGCCCCCCCAAATTCCGACTTCTTACCTCCAAAGCTCCCGGAAGTGGGAGTGCAGGGAGAGGAGGGCGGCAGCACACCGTGTGTGGCTGAAATGTCTGTGACAATAACGGGAGGCAGGTCTACAAGAGGAGTGCCCCTTTTGAGGGCAGGTGAGCGTATGTAGCCACCAGGAGGAGGCTGTGAGAGCAGGGTAAGATGGGGCGACGTAGGCCTAGCCACAGAAAGAGCAGCGTTGTGAGCTGGCCCTGCTCCTGCTCCTGCTGCTGATAGGCCTAGCTCCATCGGAACTCGCGGCACAACCACCATCATGCGGCGGCTACTAACCGCCTCGTTCTCAGCGTCACTCTCACAGTCCTCCCCGCCGTCCTCCTCCTCGCCGCCAGCACACACTGCACCTACTCCTCCCTTGATGGGCTCTGACACCGTATACCGTGGCTGTGGCGCTGCCTCTGTCATTCCCTGGTGCGCTGCAGTCAAGGAGGGGACAGCAGGTGATGCACGGCACGCAGCAGCGGCGGCTGCTGCGGCAGCTGTGGCAGCTGTAGCAGCGGTGGCAGATGCAGTGGCAGTAGCACCAGTATAGGCAGCAGGGGACTTGGGAGAAGGAGCGCCGTGCATGTCAACACCTGCCCCCACACCTACACTAGCAGGAGCCTGGGACGAAGCTGAAGCAGAGGCACCATGCACATGGGCATGGGCATGAGCATTAGCATGTGCATGGGTATGCACATGTGCATGCGCATGGGCATGGGCACGGGAGGAGGAGCTGCTAGTGGAGCGGACAAGGAAGGCCATGGCACCGCCTACCATGGAAGCCATAGAGCTGCCTCTCAGGGGCGACAGCCCACGCGACCTGCTGCCATGCCTCCTGTGCCCTCCGCCCCTCTTCTGCCCCCCTTCCTCCACCTGCTCCTCCACCACTCGCTCCTGCTCCTGCTCCTGCTGCTCCTGCTGCTGCTGCTGTTGCTGCAGCGTTTCCTGCTCCTTCCCCAGACCCATCACCACCGTCTGCAGATGCTGCTGCTGTCCATACTTCTGGTGACTATGCTCACTGGCATCAGCTTCAGCTATCACTTCTCCACTTGTCACTACCAGTGCTGCTGACAGTGGACCCTGGGGCCCCTGAGGCCCCTGGGACCCCTGAGGCCCCTGAGCCACCTGAGGCCCCTGAACCACCTGATCCGCAAGGGAGCTGCTGCCTGCACCAGAAACGGCCTCCCCGTCAGAAGCACCCGAAACAGCAGCAGCAGCGGCTACGGTGCGTGAGCCTTTCTTCCCAGCATACACACTGCTGCTCAGACCAGGCACCTTCTTCTTCCCCACGCCTGCACCTGCTGCCTTCCCGCCTGCCTTGCCTGCTGCTGGTGAGCACAGGCCCGGTGAAGCGGCCGCAGCCTCGGAATCCAAACCTGCAGCCGAGGCAGCCGAAGGAGAGGCAGGAAAGGGAGCAGAGGCAGCAGCGGCAGCAGTGGTTGGTGTTGTTGGGAACATAACAAGGGCACCATTCCCGGAAACAAGGGAGGAGGCCTGAAAAGCATCACTTGCTTCTTTCCCCTCTTGCTTGCTCCGCACGCGCCGGCTCTTTCCACTGCCCTTCCGCCCCCCTGCCTTGCCCACACTCCCCTCCTCAGCCGCTGCTTGAGACGCCTTGCCTCCCTTCCTCCCACCGCTACCAGCCCCAGCAGTTCCAGCAGTACCGGTAGTACCAGCGGCAGCAGCAGCAGCAGCAGCAGCAGCAGCAGCAGCAGGGGCAGGGGCATCAGAGGCAGTAAGCCCTTCTTTGAAGCTGTCTGCTTCAATCAGCGTGGGGAGAGACGTGAACTTGGCTGATCTGCCGCTGCTACTGCGCACCACACCACTACCACCACTGCTGCTGCTGCTCCCATGACCGCTGCTACCATGACTGCTGCTGTTATGTGCAGAAGCATGAGCACTGGTAGCAGCAGCAGCAGCAGCAGTAGCGCTGCGGGTGATGGTGCGGCGTGGGGCATGGTTGGACGAAGCACAGGAGGAGGTGGAGGAGGAGGCGGAGGAGGAAGGTGAGGGGGGGGAAGAGGGCGACGCTGCTGCTGCTGACGCTGCTGCCGTTCGCACCGGATGGCTGCTGTTGCTGCTGCCGCCACTGCTGCCACCACCACTGCTGCTACTGCTGTGGCGGCGATGCGGGTGCTGCTGATGGTGATGGCGACGGTGGTTATGCCCCTGCTCGCTCCCCCCTGCTCCTGCTCCTGTTCCCGCTCCTGCTCCCTCTGCTGCCGCTCCAACAACACCTCCTCCCACATTGCTCTCAGTGCCATGAACCCCATTCTGCGCACCACCCCTGCCGCCACCAGCACCGCCACCAACACTGCCACCAGTGCAGTCACCAACACCAGCACCAACACCAGCACCAGCACCAGCACTGCCCATGTTGCTTTTCATCATCACAGCAATCTTGCTAGCCACTGCTCCTCCTGCCCCTGCACCCTCCCACGCGCTGCCATTGGCGTTGCGCTGATGCAGCGGCTTTGGCTGCTGCCGCCCCTGCTGCTGCTGCTGCTGCTGCTGCTGCTGCTGATCAGCAGGGTGCTCCCTATGCTTGTCTTGCTTCTCCATAGACCTCTGCTCCCCGTGCGTCTGCTGCTTCCCCCCCCCTTCTCCACCACCACCACCAGCACCACCAGAAACAGCAGTCACAGGAGGCGCCGCAGGGGATGCTGCGGCTCCAGCAGTAGCGGCGGCGGCTGCAGTGGCAGCAGCAGCAGCAGCCGATGCACCAAGTTTTCTCATAAGGTATGCAGTCACAGGAGAGGATGCAGGGACGGGACTGTCTGTTGCCATAGAAAGCACAGAATTGCAAGTACCAGCACCAGTGGCAATCGGGGCCAGACCAGCAACACCAGCAGCAGCAGCTGCTGCTGCAGCTCCCTTGGTGTGTGCAGCAGAAGCAGCAGGGGAAGTCGGGGAGGGGGTGAGAGGGAACCTACCGTTGGCAGCAGCAGCAGACGAGGGGGAGGAGGAAGAGAGGCTTTCTAGACGAAGGGTGGAGGGCAGAGAGGGAGGGAGCAGGAAGGAGCGGGGGGACGAGGGAGGGGAAGGGCGGATGGGCAGGCGAGAGGGCAAGGGAGAAGCAGAGGCAGAGGCAGAGGCAGAGGCAGAGGCAGAGACATAGGAATAAGCAGAGGGAGAGACCGAGGCTTGTGTGGTTGGTGCTGCTGCCGCCGAAGCTGCCGCTGCTGAAGCGGCCTGTGCCTTGGCCACGGCAATCGCAGCCACTGCTGCGACTTGCGCTGGGTCTGGAGCAAGAGGCTTGTTGTTGTTAGAGCGAGAGCTGGTAGATGCATTGGATAGGGACCGAACAAGACCCGGTACTGCTGCTTCTGCTCCTGCTCCTGCTGCTCCTTCTACCCCTGCTGCTCCTCCTGCCCCTGCTGTGGGTGCTCCTGCCCCTGCTGTGGGTGCTCCTGCCCCTGCTGCTGCTCGTTTCGAAGGAGAGGGGTTTCTACTGGGGGAGGCGTATCTGCGTGGCATTTCCACTGTGCCCAGGGATAACACAGCAGTAGACGCCACTCGCTCTACTGCCACCGCTGGGGGTGTCATCACCGTACGAGCTATCACTGCAGCTGCTGCTGCTGCTGCTGCGCCTGTTCCTGTTCCTGCCGCTTCACCTGCCCCTTTGCCTGCCCCTCCTGTTCCAGCAAGTGCAGAGGGGGAGAGGAGGAAAGGGGGAGCTCGGGGGCTGGAGGGGAGTGAGGAGGGGCGGGAGGGGGAGGACTTGCGGGGAGAGTAGCACCAGGGGGGGAGCAGGGGAGAAGCGGGGGAGACCGAGGTGCTGTGCTGGTGGCCGGGCTTGGGGGTGCATGGCTGCTGCTGCTGCTGCTGCTGCTGCTGCATGTCTTTGTTGCTGGTGGTATCTGTATGTGAGGTAGATTCCTTCACCTGGTGTTTGGCAGGAGATACAAGTGCACATGCCATGCACATACACATACACACATATGCAGCTCACACACATACACATGCACATACAAACACAAACACGCACATGCACTTACATGCACATGCACATGCACATACAAACACACACATGCACATGCACACACAAACACACACATGCACATGCACACACACACATACACATAAAATGAACACACACAGACACGCACACATTCACACACAGAATCAGATTTGAGGGGGAGAGAAAGGCATGGAAGAGGGCGACAAGAAGGCGACAAGAAGGCAGCAAGAGGGCGACAAGAGTGCGACAAGAGTGCGACAAGAGTGCGACAAGGGGGCAGCACCAAGCCGCAAGCAAGTGCTGACTGCTTCACCACCACCACACACAGACTCCCCCCACCGTACCTTGCACACGAGCCTCTTAGTCGCATCCTCCCCTCCTCCCTTGCCCCCTTCCACACCGCTGTCGCTGCCGCTACCGCCGCTGCTCCTCCCCTCCTCCCTCCCACGCCCACCACCACTCTTCCTCTCTCCACTCCCTCTATCCTCCATCCCATCCCATCCCTGCTTCCTCCACTCCTCCTTCTCCCGCCCACCTCCCGCGCTGCTTTGCTCGCCATTCCCAACCTTTACCTCCATTCCCTTCTCTCCATTGCGCATTCCCCCCTCTCCCTCCTCCGCCCTCTCCACCCCCATTCCCTTTTTCACGTCAATCCATTCCGCGAAACTCCGCACTGTAGCATCCGTGGGTTGAATCTTCCTGCCCCCCACCGCCGAACCCGCACCACCAAACCCCCAGGTTCGCGCGCTTCCAAACCTGGGTGACCCGTCCGAACCTGCAGGTTCTGGGGTGGGGCTTTTCACTGGGTTGGGCGATGGGCTTCGCGAATTGTTTCGCGAGTTAATGCTGCTCGTTCCCGACCAATCGTTCGTCCACACGGCCCATTCACGCGCAGCGGAAGGGGAGGCCATCGGGGAAACACTCCTCCCCCTTGCGGACTCATCCCCCGCGCCCGCGCCTTTTCCGCCAAATTTTCCGCCACCATCCGTCGGGTCAAACGGCAGCGAAAGCGCCGGCGAAATTGTTACCGCGCGCGGAGAGCGAGGCGGGGAAGGGAGAGGCGATTTACGCAGCGCTAAAACGGTTTCCCCCACTCCGCCACCATCCAGACTCATCTGCTCCATCTCTCCGCCAGAACTCCCCCCGAGGCTCTTCCGATAACCGCCGGGGGACGACCTTCCGCCGGCTCTGCGCCACCTCCGCGCCACCGATACGGGCAGCGCCGCCGCCGCTTCCGACTCCGCAGAGGAATCTCCCCCGCTGCTGCTCTCCCCGCCGCTTCCTCCGCTGCTGTTGTTGCGACTGGGCCCGCTGCTGCTGCCACTGCTGCCGCCGCTGCTGCCGCCGCCCTTTGTGCTGCCGTCACCACGCGCGGACGACGACGACGACGAGCCGAGAAACACGCCGCCTGCGAAGCTCCGCAGATCCCCGTTCGTGCTCTGCGACCTGTGCGACCCGTGCGACAAGCCTCCTGCGCTGTGATCAGACAAAAGCCCCTTCTCCTCCGCTGCCTCTGTCCCCGCTGCAGTAAGCGCTCCGCCTCCCCCGCCCGCTCCCCCTCCCCCTTCCGCTCCGCCTCCTGCGCCATCCGCCGCCGCAGCCGCGCGCGCGGCAGTCTCCAGTTCTGCAGCGGCGGGGCCGTAGAAGCTTCCCGAGTCCGAGTCGTCCGATGCGCCTGAAGGCCAAAACGCGCCGCCCCCCCCGCCGCCGCTGGCGCTAGTGCCACCGCCCCCCTTTACCTCCGCCGATTGCACGTCAGCGTGTCCGCCGTTTCCGCCTGCAGCCCCGCCTGCTTCCCCCTGTCCCGCCATGCCTCCGCCGCCTGCCGCGCTGCTGCCGATCCGCGCGCCGCCAACCAGCGTGCGCCCTTCCGATCGTCCGCGCGAAGCGCGCCGAGCCGGCTGCCTCCACCGACTGCCGCCACTCCCGCTGGTGGAGCCGCCGTCGCCATTGCCGCCGCTTTTGGCGGCGCAGTTTGTGGGGTTAACGCTCTCGCCGCTAGTGCTTCCTGTCTTAAGCGCGCTTCCCACGCCGTCCGATTTCCCCCCGGTCGTGGCAGCGCCAGTCACGCTGCTTGTAGCAATGCTGCCTGGAGCAGGACCAGCAGCGGCAGCGGCGGCGGCGGCGGCGGCTGGGTGTACTGCTGCTGAGGTGATCTCGTGTTGACCCGCCGAGTACACATGATGCCCCTGCCCCTGCTGCTGCTGCGCGTGCTGCTGCAGCAGTGGCAGCGCGTGCGGCGGCGACGGGGAAGTGCCAGACGAAGCCATAATAATCTTTGAGAGAATCGTCTGAAGATCGCCGCCTCCTGCTGCCGCTGCCGCCACTGCCGCTGCCGCCGCCGCCGCCATTGCTTGCTGCTGTTGCTGTTGCTGTTGCTGCTGCTGGTTAGCTAATGTGGCAGCGGCGACAGCGGCGGCAGCCATATCGTGCACCGACATCCCCCCCATTGGCGGCAACCCCCCACCCGCCCCGCTTCCCCCGCCTGTCGCGCCACCACCTGCTGCTCCCTGTGCCGCCAGCTGCTGACGCACTCCCGCCAATATCTGCGCGTACATAGCGGAGCGGGGGGACTGAGGACCACCCGTCGCTGCGGCGGCCGCCGCAGCCGCCGCAGCTGCCGCCGCCGCCGCCGCGGTGGCGGCGGACGAGGCGGAAACGGGGGAGCCGCCGCCGTAATGGGGGCTGTTGGGCGCAAGCGCGCCGAGCATGCACGCGGTCGACGAGAGCGAATCAGAGTGCTGCAGCGAGAACCCGTCGAGCGAGTCCACGTCATCGCGACCAATCAGGGAGCGCGGCGCGGTGTACGAGTATGCGCCGGGAGACGCGGCGGAAGACGTGGCGAAGGACGCGCCCGCAGAAGGCGACCCGCCAGAGGCAGAGGAGGGTAGCGGCGACAGGGATCTATGACGATCGTGGTAGAGTTGATACACGTCCCGCTCCCGCTCCCTCTCCCGTTCCCGTTCCCGCTCCCGCCCCACTCGCTCGCTCGCTCGCTCCTCCTCCAGCGCTACCGCCAGATCCCGCTCCCTCTCCGCGCCGTATCTTGCGCCGGGTGCGGGGCTCGCGCTCCTGCTGCGGCTGGTCAGCGCGCCGCCGCCGCCGCCGCCGCCGCCGCTGCCGAAGCCGCTGCTGCTTCTTCCGCTGCTGAAATCCCCGCTGGCTGTGCGAATCAGCGGCCCTCCGCCGCCTTCGCGCAATCCCGCCGTGCTTCCGCTGGCTGTGCGCACCAGCGGGGCTAGCGCCCATCCCCCATGCGCGGAGCTTCCGCCGGGGACGGGGGACGCGGGGCGTTGGGTGTGCAGCACGACGTCTCCCGGAAGCGTTGGCGTGACGTGCGGCGTGGATCGCGGCGTGGATCGCGGGGATTGGGGAATTGGGGGGGAACGGGTAGTGAACGCTAGGACGAATTGGTGGGGGCACAAGGGAGGAAGTGGGAGGGCGTGGCGGAGCGTAAGGAGCAGAAGTGGCGCGACATACAAACCGGAAGCGAACAGGCTTACAATGAACCACAACCCTTCAACCTTCCCCCATCCATTTTCCCCTTTCTCCCCTCCTTCCCCCCAAACACCCCTTCTTTCCGTCTTCCCTCCCTCCACCTCCCCTCGTTCGCCTTTTCCCCCGTTCGCCGCCTTCCCCCTCCCCGCCCGTTCCCCCTCCCCGCCCGTTCCCCCTCCCCGCCCGTTCCCCTCCCGCCCGTTCCCCCTCCCCGCCCGTTCCCCCTCCCCGCCCGTTCCCCCTCCCCGCCCGTTCCCCCTCCCCGCCCGTTCCCCCTCCCCGCCCGTTCCCCCTCCCCGCCCGTTCCCCCTCCCCGCCCGTTCCCCCTCCCCGCCCGTTCCCCCTTCCCGCCCGTGCCGCGGCGCACCGGAAGCGCGGCATGCCGAAGCAGTCGGCGAAGGCGAGCAGCGACGGCAGGTGGTCCGCCGTGAAGCCCGCCGCCTGCGACCGCGCCACCGCCACCTCGCGCTCGCGCTTCAGCATGCCGCGCCGCGCCTCCACGCCCCGGCGGAGACGCCTGCGGAGGAGCGCGGGAGAAGGTGGGGGGGAAGGGGTGCGGCAGGGAAGTGGGAGAGGGGGTGAGGGAGGGAGTGGGTGAAGGGACAGACAGAGCGACACGTACGCGCGCAAGGAGCGAGAGGCGGTTGGGAGCTAGAGCAGCAGCGTTCCATGAACGCAAGAGCGAGAGCGAGAGAGAGAGAGTTCGTGCGCGCACAGGTATGACCAAATTCGCCCACCAAAAAAAGATATTAACACGCATACAGACAGGCCCGTTACACGCATGTGTGCGTGATTGCATGGTTGCAAAAGAGGCTCTCTTACTCGACGAGCTCGGCATTGGCCTCAGCCGTCTCCAGGTCCGACAGAGCCTGCGCGCGCGCGAGAGAGAGAGGAGGGAGTGGGAGCAGGAGAAAAGAAATGAACGAAAGGAAGGAAAAGAATTGGGTGAGGCAGACAGAGGGAGCAGGCTGACGTGGCCGCAGCAGCAGCAGCAGCAGCAGTAGCAGAGCGGAGCGCAGAAAGCTGTGCAGAGAACAGCGGAAACCAACTAGGACGGGAGGGGGAGCAGGCGAGTTGTGAGACGTCTCGGCGAGTTTTCGATGACGTCTCAAAAGCAGAAAGTGACGAGTGGTGGGAGAATGGGAGGGTGGGTAAGTGGGTGGATGGGTGGGTGGGATGGAGGGAGGGGCATACCCTATTCTGGTCTCGGATGGGAGACGACGACCGCGACGAAGACCGTGGCGCGCGCACGGGCTGCGGGGAGGCGCGGCAGGGGGAGCTGGGGCGGCTGCTGCGGCCACTGGGGGGTTCTGGTGGCGGGCGATGCGGGGAAAGGGCAGTAAAGGCAGTGGCGGGGACAACCGAACGAATGTGATGAGAGAGAGGATGCGAGATGGCCAAGGCAAGGTGAGGACGAATGTGAGGACCATGTGGCCGCGCACGAAGCAAGTAACTGGCCGGCACAAATAAAACAACGCGTTCGGGTAACTAGTAAGCAGAGAAAGCGTGGAGTGCCACGTGGCACGTGGGCGTACCTCCTGGAAGCTGCGCTCTGTCGGAAAGCTGCGCGCCGCCACGCAGGGAGAAACGGGGGGGAGGAGAGAAGGGATGGAAAAGGGGTTAGACAGGACACAAGAAGAGAGACAGGATGATTTTCCGCCATCGGCGGTGCAAGTGGCAGTGGCACACACATGTGCAACGAAAGACTGGCGTCCGAAAGTGTGGCAGCACAGAATCCGTGACTCGCACACAGGGAGATCGCGTGGGACAAAAACAAAAGGAACGGACGGGTAGATGGGCGGCCGGCCGGCCGCAGAGAGCTGCAAGGGACGGTACGGGGCCAGGGCGTACCATGCAGGCAGCGTCGTTGAGATCGACTTGCGTGCTGCGCTGCAGCGACTTGGTGAGGCTCGTGATCTCCTGCGTGATGGCAACGGCTTGCTCCAGCAGCGCGGGCGAGTTGATGAAGCGCAGTACCCTGCCACGATAACGGATTGGAACGGAACAGAACGGAACGGAACGGAACGGAACGGAAACAGCAGCGTCAGGGTCAGCGACGGCGTCCGCGTCGACGGCTTTCGTTATTGCCGTGAGGGGTATGCGGAGGAGGCACCCTTCTTCCCCTCCTGGTGGTGGCGCGAAAGATGGCACAACGCGCACGCAGCGCAGCGCAGTGCGGCGCAGCGGAGCGAAGCGCAGAGAAAACGCAAAGATTCGGAACGCAACCACATGGAATGCAGCGAAAGGGGGGACGCACCGTTGCAGAGTGCCCTTCGAGAACCACGCGATGGCGGCGGCGGCGGCGGAGGCGTCCTCGTTGCTCACGAACGGCGCGCGGAACAGGCGGTGGTACGGCGCGCACTGGCGGGGATCCAGGATCACCACGTGCGCGCCCGCGGCGATTTCGAGCTCCACCGCTTCGATGTGCTGCGCCAGCGGGCGCAGCAGTGCGACGCACACGACCTCCACTCGCCCCGCTGACGACGTCACCACCTCGCATCTGACGGTTGCGAGAATGGGATAGAGGGTGGGGGTGAGGGAGAGCGTGAGAGGGAGAGGGTGAGAGGGAGAGAGGGAGGGAGAGGGTGAGAGGGAGAGAGGGAGGGAGAGGGAGAGAGAGGGAGAGAGAGGGAAAGGGAGAGGGAGAGAGAAGGGAGAGGGAGAGAGAGAGGGGGAGAGAGGGAGAGAGAGGGAGAAAGAGAGGGAGTGAGAAGGAGAGAGAGAGGGAGAGAGAAGGGGGAGGAAGGGGGAGGGTGGGAGGGCGGAGGAAAAGAGAGAGAGAGGGGTTACGAGAGGTGGAGGAGTGCCGATGACGGTTGGAGAAAGCGACGGGTTCATGAGTGCGCCGAACCAGGAAGCCGTGCGCATCATGTGTAACCATAACGGTATCGGTAACCATAGCGGCAACCACAGTGGTAGCGCGGTAACGATGGCTGTAGCCATGGCTAGAGTAACGGCCAGGCGTTATGGCCGCGGGGTACGGGCACTACTAGCCATGCATGCCTCTAATTTTCACCGTTCCCGGCCCTCGGGGCGTGCCCCTCTTGATTTTGGGCGGATTCGAGATTCAATGGTTTTTTTTTATAAGTAGTGTCTGGCCGAGAGCGAGCATAAGGCTCGCGTGGTGAATTGGCTATCAGATGGAGGTAGGCGGATCAACCAGAATGGGTGGGTAACGAGAGTCGGGATGGAAACGGAGAGCAACGAATAAATGTGGAGGCACAAGCGCTGAGGGGACGAGAGCGAGAGGGTCAGAGAAAGGGCGCGAGGTAGAGGGAGCGAGAGCGGGAGGAAGAGGACGAGAGCGAGAGCGAGAGGTAGAGGACGAGAGCGAGAGAAAGGGAGAGAGGCAGGGAGAGAGGACTAGACCTTGTTCTTGTGGGGTTGAGCTTTAGAACCACTTGATCCAGCACCGACACAGCAGGGCTGCAGTTACCCCCTCCACTGCTCGCCATCCTGCTGTTCTCCTACACCCCCCCGAAACGAGCAACTAGGAGGGGTTTCTTGAGACTAAAGACGCCTCCGCGCGGCTACTAGCTAGCCATGGCCGACGGAAGCCTATGATGCGATGGATGGGAGAGAGAGAGAGAGGGAGAGGAATTCGAATTCCTGATCCTGGGGCAGGGGTTCCGAACTGGTAGATGAGGCTGAAGCTGAATTCTGAATGCAGGAGATACGATACTATTTGAGATGAGGGAAGAGGGAGAGACAGCGATGAGGGAGGAGGGAGAGGCAGCCGAGGAGAGCGGAGAGAGCTGGTTGAGAGGACAGGGGCGGCAGAGTGGAAATGGAGGGAAGGCTGTTGAGGAAGCGTGCGCCTGCTACTACTGCTGCGCCCGTTCCAGAGGCGATAACATCGGGACTCGAGACTCGGGAGAGAGGAATGATGATGATCCGTCAAGTCGAGGCTGGAGGTTCGAGAGGCTGACAGGATGACGCGCAAGGACGGGAAAAGTTGGTGTTGCGTTGGGGGCCACCCACCGCGAGGGAGGGAAGGGAGGAACGATGAGGCTACACCCCCGCCCCGCTCGCTTCGGGGCTTTCTGCTGGGTTGGTTCGGTTTGGGGTAGTCTCGCGGTTGCTGTAGTTGCCGCCTACGTGATGCTTGATGAGAGGAGTTCCCCGTGAGATGCTGCTGGAGCATTCCCGAATTTTGCTCTTTGCAGTGCGAATGTCGGAAGCTGGGCTTGGTTGGGATGGTAGAGTCGAGTCAGAAGCCGGTCTCTTTCCTTGGCCCCTGATCAGCCAGCACAGCCGACTTCAAGGCAAGCTCCGCATCATGCTGTGGGCGGGCGGTGTGGTATGGTATGGTATGATGGCATGGCAGCAGCATGTCGCCTGCACTCTCTGTTCCACATTACGTTTTCCCCCATCGCGCATGAATGCCGCTGACCGCCTTTCGCGATCTTGATAAGGAAAATATTTCTGAGGCCCGCCAGTTACCAACCACCCACTACACAAATCGGTCTTTACGCCCCACCCAATAATAAAATTTCTTTCTGTTGTTTTTTAATACGGGCCCAAGTGGAATGGGCTGGTTCGGTCACTGCTTGGCACATCCGTCGCACCGCATGTCGAATGGGTATGTGCGTGGCGCTTATGTGCAAGGAATGCTGGCATTTGTATGGCACGGCTTTCGAAAGGCCGTCAATCCCGGATGCTGAAGACTTGTTGGCGGGAAAAGCGAGCCGAGCCGCTTCTGCGCGAAATCGGTGCTGCAAACCTGATCTTCGCGAGCTCACTGGCTGTGGTTGCGAAACTCCGAGCGAAGCGGGTGCCAGTTTCACGTCGCAGGCCCGCAGTTTTTTGTTGTGGCTTGTTGACAGACTTGGCTCGGCTTTCTTGACACTGACATGTTGACTTGAGATGACATGACATGCCGCCCGGGAAAACAGTACAGTAAACGACAGAAAGGGATGTCCTTGCATTCATATCCTTGTAACTGCATGATTCGATTAGCGTGAATTCGAACATTGAGCAGACAGTCGACGTGTGAAACCACGACTATTAATAAGCAGTTTGTACTAAACCAAATTAATCCATAAGAGCAAGTTTGCTTGAGGTGTCAATCAAGCATGAATGAGTGGGTTATCGTATCAGCACCAATGTGAAACAATGAAGGATCTGACCTCCAAAACACAAAAGAAATATAGCAGCTAAATGATAACAGGTGATAGGACTAAATCAAGTATGCGTGCTCATTCTAATCTCATTGCTATCCCCGCTGTATATCTAATGACTTATTTCTTAAATGTTGTATTCTAATGCACGAACCTTGATAATGATGCCCTATATTTATCCAGATTGTTTAACCCCCTCACTTAGTGGCTGGAGTGGGGGCCAAAACATACAAGTCTGGCTTCTCCCCAATCACGATACCACCTGCCACGCCAATTTACCACCACTCCGAGGAGATCTCACATATGAACTCCTCGTTCACACCGCCAGCCGATGCACATTCTCCTTGTCTTTCCTCGACCCAGAACCGCCATGGCCCGCGCTGCTGTTACTGCTGCTGTTGGGAGCACGCAACACTTCCATCCATGCACCCTGCGACCCTTTCACCTCACTCTCGCTGTCACCGGTCTTCTTTCCTCGTCCACCCTCGTTCCCGTTCACATCATCCAGCTCCAAGCGTCGCTGCTCGCCCGTCTTCTTCCCTGCCTCCGCGCCAGTCAAATCCCCGCCCTCGTTCTCTCCCGACGCGCCGCCCAATCCGTTGCTCGGAAGTGCTCGCCGTAGGAGGCGCAAGGATGCTCGGAACGACCGGGAGAACAGGCCCTTGCTGCCCTTGCTCTCTCTCCTACGCTGCTCGCCATCCCCTCCTGCCGCCTTGCTCTGCTCTGCGTCGCAGTCAGCCTCCGGCCGCGCTGTTCCTTCTGGGCTCTCCCCAGCCGCTGCCGCAGCAGCAGCAGCAGCAGAGGCATCGACCATCGTTTCCGGAGCTTCCAGCGTTACCTCCTTCAACACTTCTTCACTCGGAACTGATACCTGCGCTTCCGGAGCCACGTTTATTCCGTTCTCCTCCGCGAGAAGCGACTCGGCAGCGGCACCTGCGGCGCTGAATGCGGCGAGCTCTTCTTCGGTGAACTTGGAAGCCTCGTTCAGCGCGGAGATAGATTTCACCCCGTTTACCGCGCCACCGCGAGTGTCCTTGCGCACGTGCGGCTTGCGCTTTGCGCCTGCTCCCCCGGCAGAACCCTCCGCATGCTCGTTCCAGTAAGGTCCCGTGAAGGCCCCTTTTTGCGACTTCATCGGACCGGAAGCGGAAACAGAACTGGCGGCACTGTCGTTGAGAGGGTCGGACGTGCCACCGAGGGAGTTGCGAAGAGAGAAGGACGAGCCGTGGTTGAGCGGCAGTGCGTAGTGTGGTGTGCGTTGCTTCGGCTGAGGCGACTGGTGCCTTGGCACGTCGCTGTGGCGACGACGGGAGAGGTCGCTCGACGACAGAGACCGCGTGAGACCGGGCGACGTCTGGGACGCTGCGATCAGGGCAAGAAAGCAAAGAAGCCGGTGGAGAAAAGGAAGCGTGAAGAGGAGCAAATAAGTATTCGGAACAAGAGTTATTGCCAAGCTCGACCCAATGAAATTGCCAAGCTCGTCCCCGAAAACCAAAAATATACCGTAACCGCAAGATTGAAGGTTGGGGTAGCGGGTTTAGACGCCATGAAAGAGAGGAAAAGAGTGAATCATTGCTACAAACACGCACCCATGGAGGGGCCGAACGTGATACGCGGATTGTTGTCGCCCATCATTCCAGAGCGCGCCTCCCGAAGCTCCTTCGCCCTAGCGAACTGCTCCTTACGAAGGGCTGCATACGCGGAAGGATCAAACTTTCCGCTGGCCGAGGACGATGATGGCAACGCCATTGCTTATGTCTGGGTTTAGAGGGCAGCCCGCTAGCAAGTATAAAAGAATAAGCAATCCTAATCACCAGTTTGGGGGCACCGCTCTAACTCAGCAGCTGTATGTCTGCTTGTTCAACTAGCCTAGGAGACGAAGCAGCAGATGACAAGACGCCGCAACTAGCATCAAGCGATAGTCCCAAGGATATTTACTGAGTGGTCTCTTAGCGTCTGGATAGTTCAAGGCGACGCTTACAGCGGTAACGCGACATTGGGCGAGGAATGGAGTGGCAGAGCGACAGGTACGGAGTGCAAAACGAGAATGAGCAAGGCCTGGGTTGACTGAAGAAGGGCTGGAAGTGAACAGCGAGAATGGGGGAGGGCCAGGAAGAGGAGGTATGGATGACGAGCAAGCCCCGCGTCGAAGCGCAATGTTCGAGGACGCTCGTAATGGGCTAACGGGACGCGTCCCCCCAGCAAGTGTGGTTCGGGAGAGGGACCAGCAAACCAAGGTGGGCTGCTGCTCCGGACCAACAGTGTGGCACGAGAAGCTTGTCACAATTGCCTTGCCGAAGCGGGCGAAATGAATGTCGATGACGTGTCACACTAAGTGAGGTCAAGCCCGGGTGGCCTGCTCCGCTTCGCCCGGACTTCCAAGCCATGTGGGTTCGGCTCACCGAGGCTGACGGTGACGCTGACGGCGTGCGACTGCTCGATTTTCTCGCCGAGCATGTCGCTAGTTTTTCTGCAAAACCCGCAAACCTTTTACATAAATGGCTGACCAAGTACACCTTATTGTTCAGGTCAAACTGGTGGTTTAGGATTGTTTCCCCCTCAATACTTGTGTTAACATGGACCTGGCTAATGGACCTGGGCAAGAAGCATGGCGATGGGAACGATCACGCTTGGAATGGCCCACAAATACAGTGCTTTTTTATCTTTCAGTCACCAAAAGTTACCTTCGATTCACCTGATTAGCGAATCTGCTTGTGCGAATTTGGTTCTCATGCTCTCTTGTGCAATTACGGTAGGTCAACATCAATACCTCATGTTGGTGGTAAGAGCACATCTTCAGCACGTCAACATGCTTTTAGACCCAACGCACATGCAGCGCTAGTGCAAAGCGAGGATGCAAAAATGACACTACACGAATGCGCGCAACTAAAATACATTTAGGACTTGGATCAGGGCCCTCGTTATCAGGGAAAAACATCCTGATTACCCTGATTTCAGGATGCGGTTTTCAATTTGCCCTGTAATTTCAGAATGCTGGTCATTTGTACCCTCAGCTCTCAGGATGTTCTTATATGATGTGCCCTGAATTTTCAGGATTGCCGTAGTGTTTGCCCTGTAGCGTCAGGATGAATATCGAGGATTGCCCTGACGCGAACTTTGGGGGAGGGTAGGGGAGGGAGGGGGGAGGGGGGGAGGGGGGGAGGGGGGAGGGGGGGGGGGGGGGGGTGGGGGGGGTGGGTGGTTTTTCCCTGAAAAATTTCCCTGGGGATTTTTCCACCGTGTATTTTTCCCGCCTTCTTCCGATCGCTTGACACGCGTACGCACCAACCAACCAACAACCAAACCAAACCCTTCGGGTCTCTCAATGAGCTGGGCTGGGAGGAGGTCGAGCACGGGAACCTTGTGCCTTTCCCTCCAACTCTCTCTAGTGTTCCTGCTAGAGTAGCAGCGCTGCTGAAGCTCGGCTGGCTCTCTCGTTCGTTAGTAGTCAGTCATGCCCAACGCGGATGATGTCGCGGCGTCAGTCAGGCCTAGCTAGAATTACTAAAAGCAGGACCCTGATTGATGTTTTTTTTGCCCTGAGAGGTCAGGATGTAATTCTGCCTAAGCCCTGAAAATTCAGGATGGCTTTAAAAAATTGCCCTGAAAAATCAGGGCATTTTTTTGGATTCTGCAGAGTTACCCTGAGGCATCAGGATGCCCTAAATCCTAGGGAGGGCCCTGACTTGGATGACAAAATTGAGTCTGGAGACACTAAAAATATATTAAACCTAAAAGCCGATTCCACAGGCGCTCAATGCACCTTTGGCTCCTTAGCCCCCCCAGTTACGGTCCAATCTTGGCGAGGAGTGAACACACCCATGCCCTTTGCCAACAGCCTGAACATGGTGATGCCTGTCACCACCCCAGCACCCGCATGGGCTCTGCTGCTACGGCTGCGAGCCGATGCATGCACGGGCTCTTCCTCCACTGCCTGCAATGGCTGCAAGAACGTAGATTGAAATAATACAGAACATCAAAACAGGAGAGCAGTGCATTTATACAGTACGTTGAAAATCAAAGATGTTTTGTGCTTTTATTTTTCCCAAGTCGTGAACAGTGGGGGCAAACATTTTTTTTCGAACCAGTAGGGGAGGGTGAGTGAGTGAGGCAACGAACGTACCAGAGCAAGGGAAGGTGGGCTGATGCAGCCTTCGTCTGCCTGTGGGGATAGTGGGCTGGAGGGGGAGAGCAGCGGGAGCTTGTCCGGGCGCAACCAGGGCTTTAACTGCCTCAGTTTGGGACCATGCAGACGCCTCATGAGACTTCCTCCTGCCGCACCAGCACTTGACTTGCCAGCAGCAGCAGCGTCAGCAGCACTGCCAGCAGCACCATCACCAGCAGCACCAGCACCAGCACCAGCACCAGCACCAGCACCAGCAGCAGCAGCAACAGCGAAGATGGAAGCTCCAGAGTCCTTCTCTTCCACTCCCTGCTGGAGCGCGTGTGAATGCTGTGCACAAGTCAACAGCACCCCCTCCTCCTCTCCCTGCCTGAACTCCACAGTTTGCCCAACCTGCCCCTCCTTCCCAACGTGATGACCAGTGTAACAGTTGCCTCTGGAGCCATACAGAATTCCATAATCAATTCCATCATCACCACCACCATCACCACCATCATCCCCATCATCAGCACCACCATCTACAAGCAAGCCACACGTGAGGACAACAGCAGCAATTACCCTCTGCGCCCTCCCGCCTTCCACCTCCCCATGCGACCACTCGCCGAATCTCCCACCAAGCAACCCTCCACCCCCAACCACCATCGCCTCCTCCTCATCCGTTGCTCCCTCGTCCCACATCTTTCCCGCATCTCCCGTTTCCCTGCTCATCTCCTCGTCGCTCGTTCCCTCGCATCCCGCAGAACCGTTCTCCACCACGAGATCCGTACTTGAAGCATCATCCCTCTGCATTGAAGCACTGCCTTCCTCTTCCTCTTCCATATTATGCCGCTCCTGCTGCCTCACCCACTCCTCCTTCCCTGTCACTTCCTTCCCTCGCTCCCCCACCTCCCCTCCTCCCTCCCCTCCACCACCCTCACTATCCTCCCCCACCACCCGCACCACCATTTCCCCCGCTGCCGATGCCGATGCCGCTGCTCCTCTTCCCACCATCATATTCTGACACGTCTCACTAAGTTCTCCCGCTGCTGTTGCCAATTCCGCTATTCCTCCTACCGTCACCGGGTTACCACCACTCCTCGCCCCACTCTCGTCCGCCCCCAATTCGTCACACTTACCCTGTGCAGCATGCGGTGTAGGCTCATGTGCAACAGGCGTATGTGGGGAAATCTCATGCAAAGAAGGCTCATGTGGGGAAGGCTCATGTGGGGAAGGCTCATGTGCAGCAGGCTCACGAGTGGTAAGCGTCAGCAAGCCTTGGTTACAACCTCCATCCACTCCTTCCGCCTTCCCACCCTCGTCCTTACCACCTGTCCCTCCCTTGGCCTTTCCAGTAGCTTCACTCGTGTCGTCTCTCCTGCCAATCCCTGCCCTGCTCCCTTCTGCCACACCCAGAGCAAGTGCTTCTGTCTCCTCTTCCCCCAGTGCTGATCCTGCCACCCCTCGCTCTGCGTTGATTCGTTTGAAGGAGGTATCATCTCTGTGTGAAGCACCGCACTCGTAGCCAGGCAATGCAGCACGCCCCACCGCATGCTGCGGGCCCGCTTGCACGTACTGCCATTGCAGAAACGCCGGCCGCGTGCCAGGCTGAAAGATGTTATCATGACCATGCCCGTGCCCATGCCCATGCCCGTGCACGGGCCCAGGTGTGACGTCACCAAACCTCCACGTGGACCCTGCTGGTTGGGCACAAGAGCAGAGAGGGAATGGCGGTTTAACACGTAGTTCAGATCCATGGCATGGTTGCACAAGGGAATGGGGTCCAAATGGTGTAATCCCCTAAATGGTGTAATCCCCTAAATGGTGTAATCCCCTAAATGGTGTAATCCCCCAAATGGTGTAATCCCCCAAATGGTGTAATCCCCCAAATGGTGTAATCCCCCAAATGGTGTAATCCCCCAAGTGGTGTCATCTTCTAACGAGAATCTGAAATCTGCTGTTCGATTGGTGTGTTTAACGGGTCGCCCAGCAGCAACCCCCCAGCAGCAATCCCCCAAACGATTCCCTCAATCCCCATCACTCATTCCCCACCCCACTTACCGCCGCGCCCCAACTTCTAGCACCCTCACTATTTTTCCCGACTCCCGCCCCCCCCTTTCCCCCCTTTTCCCCGACTTCCCGCGCTTTCCCCTACCTGGCGCGTACACGAGCCGCACAGGCTGCGTGTCCCGCAGCGTGCGCAGCTCAATCCGCGATAACCGCGCTTCAACCTCCGCCACGCGCGCCACAATGGCCGCGCGCCGCCTCCCCACGTCCGCCACTTCCGCCGACAGGCTTTCGAACACCGCCGCGGCGTGGCTGCGGGGGAACGGGGGACCGAGGAGGCGGGAAATCGGGGCAGCGGAAGCGGAAAGATTGGGAGGGAGGCGTCGAGAAAGGGACAACACGGTGTTGGTTGGACGTGACGAGACCTCGCTGTTACCCGCCAAGGCCCTTGGTTTCTGGTTTTGACTAACGCAAGCTGGTACCTTCGTCTCTGGTTATCTTATTCTTCTTTCATATTGTTTTCTTTCCTTCTCTTTTATTTTCTTTTTTTTTCATTGATTTTCTTGTCTGCCGATTCCAGCTTCCCTTGCACCAGCTTTGCGCGACAGCGGACTCACTCGGATAGCTGCGCAAGCTGTCGCACGATTCCCACGAGCGACGCCATTGCGACGCCGTCGAACACGCTTCGCGCATCAACGCCGTCAGCTCCCGCGCGGCCATCGGAACTGACGGCGCTGCTGCTGCTGCTGCTGCTGCTGCGGCTTGCGAGACCTGCGGCGGGCAATGCTGTCAAGTAGAGAGAAGCCGATCCCAGCGACTCCTCCGCCGCTACTTGGAAGGTCACAGTCGGCATAGTAGCCGCTCCGCTGCCGCTGCTGCTGCTGCTGCTTTGCGTTCTGGGCGATCCTAGACGGTAAGGCTACTACTAGTAGAGACGGTGGCGTTATTGGCGAGAGATCTCAGTGGGCGATGTGAGAGACGCTACTAGTAGTAATAACATGCAGGCTATGCGAGGCGATTTCTGCTGTTAATTCGACTCGGAATTCCGCGTCGAATTTATTTTCGCCGTTGATTGCCCTCTGGAAGCAAGGGAAGGAGCAATTGTCGCGACAATCTGCTTCGAATGACTAGTGAATACGCTTCAGGTGGAGGCAGGTAGCGGTGGTGAGTTGTTCTGTGAATACGTAGAAACGATGTTACAACGATTAAGGAAACGCATACTGGAGCCGTTTTCTGAGATTCTCATCGATGCTCTCTGGATTTCAGTGGGCGTTTGTGAGGAGCACCTAACCTAACCTGGGCGGGTTTACAGAGCAGGAGCTTATCGCATCGCATGGCTAATGCTGGATTGCCAGTGCCACTCTGAACCACGCCACACAACCACGTTTCAAAGTGATTTGAAAAACGTGAGCGAGTCTCAAAGTTGCAAAAGTCGTTCAAGCTGGCCAGTTACAGGTTGACCGCAATGGCGTTCCATTCTGTGTTTTGGAAATTAATGCGGTAGGGTGGTAAAGGCGGCCTTTGCGCTGGTAAGAAAGAAGTTGCTGTGCTGTTGAGGAAAGGGGGGAGTAGGAGGAACTGGGTGGGTAGAAAATGAACGACCGCCGAGGAGAGGGGGAAGTGAAGGGGTGGGGCACAATTCACAATTACGGCGTTCCGTCCATTCCATCTCAGCCGTCCGATCGAACTTACTAGCTCCTTCCAAATATGCCCAACCCCAAACACAACCGCGACACACGGCGTTGCGATGCGATGCGATGCGAGCCGGTGTGCGCTTAGGTACAAATGAAGGCTATCGCACGCGGTCGTCACTTCACGCCAAGGTGCTGCGATGCAATCACACGCGACGTGCTGTGAGTGTGCGACGCGCGACAGGGATAGGATGTGCCAGATTCCAAGCCACATGTTCGCACGCGTCGCAAAGAATTGTCGCAAAATCAAATGACCTTTCCTTCAGGCGGTGGAGTAAAATGCCCACCAACTGCCCAACCTGGGGCCATAGCGGCAGCGAAACGCATTGTACACTGCACTTGACCTGACGGCTCGAGTCGCTTCCGGGTGAGCAATAGCTGAGTGGAAAACACGTGAAATGATGGAATGTTTTGTTGGATTCCACATGAGCACATAAGAATACAAAATCAAATTGATTATGAAATAAAACGAACATGCTCCATCGAGTTTGCACAACTGATCTCCAAGTTCTCGGGATTTGTCCGACAGCTGTGTATACAAGTGGTGTATGAAACCCCCGTATCACACAACTGGCGTCTCGCCTGCATCAGGGAGTGTACCAGGTTTGCCCGACGTCACTGGAGTGCAATTGAGTGAGCGAGCGAGAATTGCACTATCGAAGCAAAAGTACAAATGAGCGAAGGCATGGGCGAAGAATATATAGCGAAACTACAGTGGTAACGGCTATGTGTGGAAAATGGGTTGCGCAACGGGCCTCGCGCCGAGGTTGGGAGATGTCGAGGCGGAGGTCCGGAGCGCGGGTTACCAACCGAAGCGTGAGGTTGGGTCGCGTCGTGAACGGTGGCGGGAATGGTGTCGAAGCGAGTGTCGCGAGTGGTAACGGATTACTGTTGGATGCTCTGGGCGGGAACAGTGGTGTACGCGCTGAGCAGGGACGCGAAGTAAGGAAAAGGAATTTTCCTTACAGTCACCAACTATGGTACTTTGCTTTGATGGGATATATAACGAATTTCCTTGGATGGAGGCGCGTACTTGAATTAAGATACTAGCTTCAAGAAAAAAGAAACTGAATGCTAAACAGCAATACACATAGGGTTCCTCAACAGCTGGATTGAAAGCATAAATCATCCCTCAATGCACCCATATATCGAGCCTTTTGTCAGTGCGATGCTCATCAAAACAACGCCAGCTCAAGCAACAGGTCCAACAACAACCTTTCCAGTTGCCCGGCCCGACTCCAGGTGCTCGAACGCCGAAACCACATCCTTCCACTTGAATGGGCCCTTGGGGTCCAGCACGATTCGAATCTTCCCACTTTCGAAGAACGGAGTCAGCTTCGCAAGCTTCTCGCCACTCGAGGTTACCACAAATCGCTCCGCAGGCGGCGAGGGGTTCCCCGCGATGCAAATTACCTTTCCGCCGGGCCTCACCACCTTCACCCCACGGTCACTATCCCCGATACAGTCAAACACGACATCGTAGAGCTGCGGCAGCGACGTGAAGTCTGACCTGTAGTCCAAAACCAAATCCGCTCCTAGACCTTCCAGAAGACCCGTCTTGGGAAGGCTGGCAGTGGTGCCCACGAAGCCTGCTCCGAACACTTGCTTCGCGATCTGTAACATGTGATACAAGAGATGACGTGGACGCAGGACGTGCTTGAAGAGAGACGGGAAACGTAGTCTTGCAGATATGAAACGGAATAATCATGAGATAACGTGGTGGGAATTGTTCGTCGGTGTTCCTACACATTGCCATGTCCATCCGTGTTCCTCCAAAAGAAAAGAATAGAAAAATGTACACCCACTAACCTGGATGGCAAAAGTGCCGACGCCACCGGCACCGTTTAGAATCAGCACTGACTGTCCCTTCTTTAATCCCGCACGTTCAAGCGCCTCTGTCGCCGTGAGTGCCGCAAGGGGGATACCTGCGGTGGCAACGACGAGAGAAGCATGAATTTGAGCGGGAGCAACGGATGTTTGAGCGTGTATCGTGCAAAGACGCGAAGAAATGAGCAAGCGCGTTACAAGAGCTAGCGCCAGCGCCGGTAATTTCTCTCATTGCAGCGGCAAACAGGCATAGAAAACGCAGAAATCACTGCTTCAATTCTCACCCGCAGCCTCGAGGAAGGAGAGATTGGCGGGCTTGAGAGCCAAGAGATGCTCCTCTACTGCAGTGAACTGCGCTAGAGACCCCACCTGCTTCAGACTGGGAAGAGGGGAAAGAGGGGGAGGAGAAGGGAAATGGAAGGAAGGTGGGACGCGGGAGGAAAGGGGGAGGGGGGGAGGGGGAGGGAGGGAGACGGGAGAGAGGATCAGACTATGGAAGAATGTACCGAAACTATTGCCTGGATGAGGTGTGTGGAGGGCAAGGACGATGATGTAAAGAGCTTCGGATAGAATGTAGTGCTGGCAAAGGCTCCACGACGTTGGTCAAATGTGGATAAACGTGGATAAATGCGAGTAACGTGAGTAACGTGAGTAACTTGGCGTACTTTTCGAGCGCGGCCTCGTTGATGTCGCCGTACACCTCGTCGCCGGGCTTGAGCGACTTGACGTCGCTGCCAACGCGCACCACCGTGCCCGCCACGTCGTACCCGGGAACAGTCTGCGACCAGAAGGAGGATAAGAAGAGCGATGCCGTGGATGGGAAGGAATAGCATTGACCATGATGAAATTGATGATAAAGAGATAAATCATCGGATAGAGCAATTCGTGAGATAATAAGACAAGAATGGGATGAGAACACGGGCAGAATTACACAACAAGCGTGAGATAATGAATTTGTTTAAAATTTCGGTCAAGCTGGCGGGATGAGAGAGAGGCGCACGTACCGGGAAAGGAGAGTCCTTGGCAGGGAACTTGCCCTCTCGCCTCTTGAAGTCGACAGGGTTCAGAGCTCCTGCAGCTACGCGAACCAATACCTGAAAGGACGCATGAAACAGAAACAACGCAGTCGTCTCGTTATTAAATACGTCACAAGAGCGTAAGCCGATGAAAATTCCAAATTCCCGTCAATTGTATACTGCAAACGGTGTTGGTTTCAGTAGCTTGCCTGTTCGGCATCGACCTGATTGGCCACGCACCTGGTTGGGCTTGAGCTCGGGCACAGAAACGTCCCCAAACGTGATGTTATCACGCGACCCGTAAGCCGAGTACGACCATCCTTTCTGCACGCCGCTCGATGGCACGTCGGCATCGGAAGCCGCGCTGGCTTGCTGTGCGATGGTGCACACGACGCTCCTGCGACTGACCGTGACGGTCGCAGGCGACTCCGCGGCGACGGACTGGAGCTTCTTCCATGGGCGCGAGAGTGGGACACCGAGAATTTGACCTCGTGAAGACGCGTAGGATGCGGTGGCGAAACACGCAGCCGAAGGAGCAGCAAGCTGCTGCGTGGCTGAAATGGCGTGCGCCATGATATGCCAAGGGGAGTTAGCTAGTGTAACTTTGACCAAGATGCACGGAAGTAGTACGTCAAGAAATCGAAATTTGGGTGAAGAAATGCCAAGAATGCGTGAATTGGAAGGACTGGCTTGGTGAAATACACATGGGTTGGAATCTGCCCTGGCGCTTGATGGTTGGGGTGGGGCTGGAAGGGAAAGTGGGAGTTGGGGCCGGGGAGAAGGGGAAGACGGGCGACAGCTGGGCAACCGAGGCAGAGAGCGGAGACAAGGGAGGGAGGTTGCGGAGGAAGTGGCGGCAGGAACCGCGGGCATTGTGAGGAATGGGTGTTTTGGAAACGGCGAGGCGTAGTTATGTATGGTACTGGGCTCTGAGAGTCGGTATCATGAGAGTGGGTGACAGCAGAAGGACGAAACGGGGGATTTGGTCCAATTCGATGAGGGAGACCTGTGGGGAATGGTGATTTTCGGGTCGCTCAGGCTGAGCTGGGAAGTTCACCAACCACGTGGCCACACAAGCCACATGCTGGCTATTCGTTAGTTCGAGAAGGTGTTCTTCCTTGATACAGGGTGACGTGTGTGGATGTGCCTGAAATCGACCTAGCTACACGTCACCATCGTGAGTTCCGCCAGATTGGAAAGCCAGCGCATGAGCACAGAATTCCACCTCGGATCCAGAAGGTACCTATCCGCAATAGTGCGCACCTCACTTCATGGGCTTGACGTTACTGTACACTCCTAACGAGGCATAACTTATTGTGCACCTGTTTGCACTTGTGCCCAGATTGCATCAACTCAACTCTCCGTCCATGTGGGCTGCTATTGGGGAATGAACTGCTGCCACGTCGGAAATCACAACCGCGATTCTCCCCCAACCAGAAGGAGATTTCTCAGTGGATATGCCTTGTCGCACCCCCCAATGCGTCGCATGACTTACCGCAAGCGAAACCGCACCAAGAAACATGGAGCTGACATGACAGATGACGAAGATGGTTGACGAAGAAGCAGCGGGGTCTGAGTAGCTGGTTACCCGCGCCGATCACAGAACCTCAACCTCCCGACTTCAGAAGGACCAAACTAAACGACAGCTTCCGTCGCCAGAACGACAAACATACCTCGCACACCCCGTGGACCGCCTCTGTAACCTCCTCAACCAGGTCGCACACGTTTCGCTAAACTCTTCCCAAGAATCTTCTCCCTCCATCCAACCTCCACCCTCCCCCTGTTGTCGCACCCACCACACCACACACACACCATTCACTCACTCATCCCTCCCTCACGAGATTTCCCGCAAATTGATCTTCCCTCTCGAATTCTTCGCCCTAAATGTCCGAAAGCTTCAACGGTTATCCTCCTGTTCCACCGTTTCGTGCAACTTTTTCAGAATTTGGGTGCACGGCGCCTTACCTTGGCTGTAGGAGAAAAAGGCTGCGAATTCTGTTGTTTTTCCACTGACGCTTTGTTCTTGGCCTTTCTTTCGAGGAGCTTCTTAATTTCTGGTCTCATGGCGCTGTCATGTCAGCACGCGCTGACCAAACTACCACGCGCCGGCGAACCCTCGCCGCGCTTCAGCAGCCGCTCATCCGAAATCCAATCGCAACATCTCTCATGCCGAAACGCGGATCAAATCTGTCCGACTCTTGAACCGCGACACGTCTGCGTTTCGTACAACCACCGAGCAGTTTCAAGTCGACGCGACGCGAGCCGAGCGCAGTGCTGCGGCTCGCACGATGCGTGGGGCTGCCGTGGCGGGGCGAGCGGCTCGTGTCGTGATGGTGCGGCGCAGAGCGTCGGATTTAAGCCGTCGAGGCATGCGCTTAAACCGTCGTCGATAACCGGAGGTATGTGAAAGAAGTGATGCCGAGTTGACCCGTGCGGTAGCGCGTTCGTGGGGATCCAACGACGGTATCGCCGCATCGTCGTTTGCCGTTGACAAGCTGCTGTTGATCATCCCATGTTTGTTTGTGTGCGCAACCCGCGCGTCCATCCTGCTACCTGTTTGCCTTGCATATCTTAAACGTGTGTTTGTTCCCCCTGCAAAGGCATCATGCTTAGCCTTTTACAACACACTGTGATGCGCACGCTCTCTAATGGCTTGTTATCCATCACGAATCGGCCTGTTTGGCCTTGAATACCAGAGCCCAGTGCCCACTTTTTCCCGCTATACCCCGCTACAGCCCACTAGGACCCACTAGAGGTTACTCAGGTCCCTGTTCTTGCAATCAATCTCACCCGCCGTCGCAAGCCTCACCACCACCCCCGTTTCCCCACCCTTTCCACGCCCTTTCTTCGCCACTTCAGCATAGCTTTCGTTTTCCTTGGTTTTTATTCCTCAATCCGCTTACTCTCCTCCATCGTCCCATCTCCCCGCACATCCCCCGCGCTTCTCTACCCCGCTGTACTCCGCCTGGCGCGGCGCAGCCCGCCTGCCCTCCGTCAGCCGCCGCGTTTGCCCCCTCGCGTCGCCCCCGTATCCGCTCCTCCGCCCGTCTCTCTGCGCGTCCGCGTCCTCCTCCGACCAACCGCCCAGCAGCAACGCGGGGGAAGACGAATCTTCACCTTCCAGCGACCCCCCTCCTTCTAGCGACCCTTCCTCTTCCTCTTCCTCCTCCTCTTCCTCCTCTTCCTCCTCTTCCTCGTCCTCCTCCGCCTCGCCTTCCCCCGCGCCCCCCTCCCCCGACGACTCCGCCGCGCCCCTCCTCTCCGCCACGGACTGGCGCACCTTCCGCGCGCGCCTGGTCGCGTCTGAGCGCGCGGAGGTGCGCGTGCGGCCGGGGGACGGCGGGGTGAGCCTGGGGGAGAGCCTGGGGGAGGGCGCGCTGGTGGTGGAGGGGGTAGAGGTGGGGGAAACATGGGCGCACGCGCTGCTTGCCCCAGAGAAAGGCTGCCTGCTGGTCGCGTCTGAGCTGTTACACGGTTACAAATTCTTCGAACGCTCTGTCATCCTGCTTCTCTCTGTGGGAACAAGCATTGAGGACGGTCCGTATGGTATCGCCCTGAACAAACCCTACCGAAGCAGAGTGCAGGAGGTGGACGGGATGGACCCGAGCCTGTCCAGCACGTTCGGGCCGTGCCGCGTGCACCTGGGCGGGCCAATCGGGTGGCGGAGCGTGCTATTAGTTCATGGAATCCCGGGGTTGGGAGGACACACGGAGATTGCTCCTGGGGCGTTCGTAGGAGGGGGGTTGCAGGGGCTGCAGACGGCGCTTAGAGCGGTGAAGACCGGTAAAGCTGCAGCGGAGGATTTTCAGTTTGTGGTGGGGTACTCTGGGTGGGGAGGGGAGCAGCTGATGAGAGAGGTGGAGCAGGGGTGGTGGTATGTGGCGGCTTGTAGCAGTGATTTGTTACTGAAGGCGGCTGGGAGGGCTGGGGGAGGGGATAAGATTGCAGGGGAGGAGGGTAGAGGGGGAGTGGGGGAGGGGAGGGGAGGGGATTTGTGGCAGGAGGTGTTGACTCTTATGGGGGGTGACTATGCGGAAGTGGGGAGGAGATACAGGGATTGAGGAATTGAGGGATTAAGGGGATATGGTACTGGTTGGTACAGGGGATATGAGAGGCGTATGCTGAGAAGAACCGGTATGAGAAGAGGTTAGGGTTGGTTAGGGTTGGTGTATGCTGGGACTGAGTGTGAATGGTTTGCAGGTTGGAAGGATGGTGGGAGGAGGGTGCAGAGGGAGGGTTGGGAAACGGGAGGTTGGAGTATGCATGGTGTGCCACGTGTTTTAGCCGACCACCGCTGCCAGCTACGAGCAGCTTCTGGGAAGGTACGGTAAGCAAGAACGAGCTGATCCAACCGTTTGCTGCACTGAGAGGGGAAAGGTGTTTGAGTGGGTGGTGTGGGTTACTTGGTAAGTAGTCAGAGGTATGCATGTGCGTGGGCTGCTAGTGTGTGCTGCAGGGGAATGGTGGATCGAGCAGTTTGGTTGGAGCGGAAAAGGAAAGCTGATGGATGGGGTATGGATGAGGAAGGGAGTACTTACCACATGATCGTCATGCTTATACCATACTCTATTGATACGGTATACAGAGCCAAGCTGAAGCTGTACTGTACAGTCATCTTTTGGATATTTTGTACTAAGGTCTTTCTATCGTTTGCCTGATTTGATGTGATGCTGCGTTGCACTGTGGTACGTAAATGGTTTGATACGCACATTGTGTGGTGCCTAACCTAGGGTATACTGGAATGGATAGTTATGTAGATATGGTGGTGGTGGTGGGGTGACAGCACAAACCCTAGAGGAGGTAATCATCATCAATGGATCAACCTAGAATAATTCTACGGTAGCAAGACACTACACATTCTCTACAACAACCCAGCGAACCACACATGTAATGAGCTGCCCAAGAACAGGAGCAGCAGCAGCAGCAGCACCTTATCAGACCAGTGGAAGACATACCAATAAGCCGCGGCCCGCAACTTGGTGGTTAGATAGTTGCCAGTTGCCCCCTAACCTAGTAAGTCCTTCCAATCCAAACCCAACGCACTCTTTGTTCTAACTGTTCCCCGTGTTTCCTGCAGGTCTGCGTTTCCTCCACCCCTCTTTCACATGACTCTTCTCCTCCTTGGCTGCTGCACTGCTCGGAACCACTGGAGGGGTGGAAAACCCACCTCCACTCGCACTCCCTCCACCACCCAGTCCTGCACTTACACTCACACCAGCACTGCCAGCACCACCACCAGTGTCGCTGCCACTAAGACCCTCAAAGCATGCAGCCACAGCAGCAGCAGCAGCAGCAGCAGCAGCGCCAGCGCCAGTGCCACGAGGTCGCTTGTTTCCTGCCAGGGAGGATTTATTAGAGCCACCTCCTCCACCTCCTCCTCCTCCACCTCCTCCACCACCACCTTTTCCTCCTCCCCCCCTTCCTCCTGATGAATCCGCTTTACCACTGCCACTTCCGTCGGTGAGCAGCTTCAGAGGCTTCGACTTGGGGGCCCTGTTGTGACGGGGGAGTGAAATGAAAGCCAAGACAGGAGCACAATCAGATCAGGGCCCGTTTCTGAGTCCACTCTAGAACAAAAACAGGAGTTCGACTCAAAAACGTCAGTGAGCAGCTTTAGAGGCTTGGACTTGGGGGCCCTGTTGTGACGGAGGAGTGAGAGCCAAGCCAAGCCAGGAGCACAACCAGATTCAGGGCCAGACACCCCAAGGTCAGAAATGCCAAGGCCAGAAAGGGGAACGTGATGAACACCAAGGTCAGAAGGCGTGTGCGAAAGAAACTGCATTTCTGTCAAAGAGCAGCCACGAGCAGCCACGAGACCTTAGCTTTGCCAGCCTGCCACTGTACCTTTTGGATCTTGAGAATTCTCAAAAACAAGTTCGTATCAGAAGGTGTGTATGAAAGACCTTCAATTGACTGCATTTCTGTCAAAGAGCAGCCACGAGCAGCCACGAGCAGCCACGAGCAGCCACGAGACCTTTGCCAGCCTGCCACTGTACCTGGCTCCACTCCGCCTGCCTTGTCTCCACCACCCTGGCAACAGCTGCTCAACTCAACTTAAGGACGGGTAGATAGCTGCAAGCTCCGATGCCGACTGGGGAAAGTAACTATAGATCTAAGCAGCCAGCCACAGCCTTTGCCTGCCTGCCACTGTACCTGGCTCCGCCTGTGTCCATCGCCCTGGCAACGGCTGCTCAACTGCACGCAAGGACGGGTAGCTAGCTGCACGCTCAGATGCCGACTACGGAACGGAACTATAGCCACAGCCTTTGCCTGCCTGCCACTGTACCTGGCTCCGCCTGTGTCCATCGCCCTGGCAACGGCTGCTGCAGCCGCTGCTGCTGCCGATTGCGACCTCTCCTGCGCCTCACTCGCTGATCCCCCCGCTTCCTCTTCCATGCTCTGGTGAACGCACATGCATGGCGTGTCAAGGCGAGCAGTCAAGGGGGGTGTTGGATGGAGGGCGTGTCAAGGCGAGCAGGAGGAGAGATGGATGAAGCAGATGGAAGAATAGGAGGAGGGTTTGGAACGAACAGGGATGGATAGGGGCGGGGGGACTGGGGAGAGGAGTGCAATGTGAGTAACGATTCGACAGAGACCATCCAATTCATGTAGGATGTTTTTTCACCCGATTACAGAGGAGACTTTTAAGTCGACTCAAAAGTCGATTTTAGACACCCGTTTTCAACACTGCTTGCTTCCGTGCCTTTGTTTTGCCCTGCCCAATCCCTTGCTAGCCGACGCCTCCACCCCCCCACACCCACCCACTCCCGCGCCCTCCCTCCTCCCTTTTCTCATCCCTTCCATCCTCCCCCCTGCCCTCCCGTCTGCCCTCCCCCGCCTCCTCCCCCCTCCCACCCCTCCTCTCCCTTTTTTCCCTCTCCCTCCTCCATTCCCTTTTCCACTACCCGTCCCCCTTTTCCCCCACCCCTTCCCCCCTCCCCCTCCCTGCCTTCCCCATGCACTGCACCCACCTCCACGTCCTTATTGAAGCTGCCAAACGACATGCGCCCCATGCGCCGCCCTGGGTCTGGTTGCCCCTCCACCACCACTCGACTGGCGCCACCGGGGGGAGAGGGAGAGAGAGAGGGGGCGAACAGGGGGACACGGGCAAGCTTTTGTCAGTCGACTCGACCCAAAGCTACTGACTCGACTCATCAGCCTAATGCCTCACTCCCTCTGTCCCTCCCTTCCTCTCTCTCCCTCTCTCCCCCTCTCTCCCCCTCTCTCCCCCTCTCTCCCCCTCTCTCCCCCTCCTCCCCCTCCTCCCCCTCTCCCCCCCTCTCTCCCCTTCTTCCGCTCCCGCACCATGTGAGCCGCTGTCCCCCATGCCCCGCCCCCGGGGCAGCAGCGGCGGAAGCAGGCGCGAACCACCGCTCCTCCTCCGCCGCTTTGTTCGCAGCGGCTGCTGCCGCGTGCGTTTGGACGTTTCCCCTGAATACCGCCGCTCCTGCCGCTCCTGTTGATGCACCCCCTGCTGCTGGTGCAGCGGGCGTCGCTGGGGAGTCTTTGGGTTTGCCTCGTTGCATAAACTGTCCGCGGGAGACGGCGCGCGGAGATCAAGGAGCACGCAAAAGACGGAGATGTTTTCGGGGAGGGAGGGGGGAGGGGAAGGGGTTGGGGGGTTGGGTTTGGCGGTGGATGGTATTTATGTTTTCAGTTCTCCAGGAATAAAACATAAACGCATTGTGCTCCTTCCAGATGGATCATACCGAGCCTAGAACACACTCAGGGATTTGTTAAAACATCAGCAGCCGTCCGATCTGGTCAGCGACATCGCCGCGGCCTCCTCCGTCATCGTACGATAGTCAACGACGGCCGTGTCTCTCGCATCGTCGAGAACCGCATTCGCATTCCTCGCATTCGCGATGGCATTCGCACTCGTCGACTTTCCTAAAGTCGAGAGGCGATGCTCACCTTCATTTGCTGCAGACGGCCTGACAGCTCTCGTTTCGCCATGGCGTGTCAACACGTGAGAGAGGTACTCCTTCCAAAACCTTGAAAAAAACTCGACCCTTCGAGACGAGTCAATCAAAATTGAAACCACCACTCAGGTAGTAGCGGGAGATATGGCAGTGCGGAAAAGCGCAGCTAAAATCGTACGAGGTGTTCGGCTGAAACAAGTTTGTCGGTCTCAGGCTTGTTCCGTGCATGAAAGCAGAGCAAGTATATGAGGGTGCGAGGTGGGTTCAGCAGAACAATAACCGTGTTTGACATAGTTAGACGTCGCCTCAGGAGACAAACACTGAGCGGTACCGCGATTAACCCTAAAGAGTATACTGTTTGTAACCGCCCTCGTTATGCTGCTCAGTCAACATCAAAATGCGAAAATATAGAACCTGGTGTGGTTTGGTGTACACTATGCTGCCGCCTTCGAGGGACTGTGTTTTCAACCATTGGAGGTCGAGTCAACAACAGCTCAGGCAATATCTTGTAGAGCACCTGCGCAACTGTTGCAAGCAAGCTGATTGGCTGTGGAGGGTCAACAACGCCACTGCATAGCCACGTGTGCCACGCAAGGTCCTTTCCAACGCAACGAATTCAAGGATTTCTTGTGGCCTGAGACTGGCGTAGGATTGATTCCCTGCAGGGCTGGATGAAGTTGTTCGGCCACGGTGATTTCTTTTGTGAAATAAAATGGTGTACTGTACGTGTAATTTATCCGGCTTGGACGAGGAACCAAATCTTCACCGCGGCCCAAATCGCCCAGGAACAAGCTCACCAGCTCGGCGCAGCCCAAACTTGTTCCGGTGGCTGACCGGGCAGGGCAGGGGAACCCTCTTACTGTCTGACCGCGCTTCCGCTCAGGTCTATTCTGTTCAGTGGTGGTCCCCTCCCCTCCCTTCCCCTCCCAGCTCAGCCCAACAACCACTCAGAAATTGTGGTTTGGAATGGAGTGGGCGTTCACTTCAGATCAGATGCCGCACCGAACCGCACAGTGCACCTCGGTTGCGCGCACACACTCGCCGCACATTTCACGGCTGACACACAACACATGCGCTACGTTGAGTTGCATTTCTTTCGTCATACACTCTCTCAAGTGCACATCATTCCCATCACTCACCTCCACCCCAACCAACAACAAGCAGCCCAACCACACTCAGTAGTAAAAAGCAAGTCACCGTTGTATCCAGTCTGTTTTTAAGCGCCTATACTGTCTCGCCCTTTCCTGATTCGTTTCCACCTCTAAAAATAGTCTTCATCTCGAGAGCTTTTGAGATAGCAACCAACCATGCTCCATGCATCGTCGGCACGGGTGGTAGGCGCGGCCGCGCCGCGCACCTCCACCCTCCCGTTGAGCAGTTCCAGCGCACTCACACCGTCCTCCCGACAACTACTACCATTTCCCATTAGCCGAATTCCAGGACATTGTTGTCGCGCGGCTCGGCAGCTGGCCCCTGCGAAACACTTGTCGACAGGATTAACAGTTGAATGCCGACTAGCAGAGCCCACGAACCAGAAGGCGGCCAGGCGTGAGATTCTCCTCGGCATGGCGCGTATCGGCCAAGACATGATGATTCGAAGACGACGAGACGCCTTTCGCCGCTTCGCCTACAGCACTGGTAACGGTGCAATGACGTGGACACCGGGCAACGCGGGCGACACGGACGGCAGCGCAGATGCGTTTCATGTGACATCGGACGAGTCGTCGGACGAGGAGAACAAGGCCGCGCGAGCCATTGAGAACGTCGAAAACTCGGTGGAGCGAGTAAGTCGTTTACTACGGGCCGGTACTAGTACTAGTACTATACTCAATCACAATCACAAATTATCTCGTCTGTTTCGTGATTCACAATTACAATCCACTGATGCGGCATCAGAGTCCTACTACCATCCCCGTCATTCCCTACGCAGCGTATCTTCGACTGCCGCTTTCTCACGCTGCTCGCCGTCGTAGGCTCGCTCGTGGGCTCCGCCATCTGCTTCATTAAGGGGTGCCTCTTCGTGCTCGAGTCCCTCGTTGAGTTCACCACGGCGTGGTGGGGAATCGGATCAGGCAACGTCATTCTCCTGCTCGTCGAAGCCGTTGGTGCGATGCCTCTGCCTCTGCCTCTGCCTCTGCCTCCATTCCCGCCCCCCCCAAATCGCTTCCCCATTTTCGTGCATCATACTCACTCGCATTCTCAGACTCGAATTTCGCCTCTTCTTTTCACCCTCTTCCGTCCATTCCCACGTTTCTAACTCGTCTCTTGCCCCGCGTTTTCTCCCCGTTATAATGGCCTCTCACGCAGACGTGTACCTCATTGGAACGGTCCTGCTAATCTTCGGAATGGGCCTCTACGACCTCTTTATCCATAACTTCAACGTCGAGCCCGCGACCACCGGCAACTCCGGCGCACACCGCTCCGCACACGGCGCAAGCTCCGCCAGCAGTTCGGCGGCGCCCGCCGACCCGTCTCTCCCCACCCACGCGCAACAGCAGCAGCAGCAGCGGGGGCAGCAGCGCGGGAAAGGGCGTGCGCGCGGAGCAGGAGCGCGCAGGAGCCTCGGGTCGAACCTGTTCGGGCTGTTCCAGCTGCAGTCGCGGCCGTCGTGGCTGGAAGTGAGCTCGTTGGATGAAATGAAGACTAAGCTCGGGCACGTGATTGTGATGATCCTGCTAGTGGGAACGTTCGAGAAGAGCAAGAAGGTGGTCGTGGCTACGTCTATGGATTTTCTGTGCTTCTCCCTGGGAGTATGCTTTGCTGCGGGCTGCCTGTTCCTGCTGACGAAGCTGCACCTGCATCACGGGCAGGAGCATGGTGGGCAGGGGCATCATGGTGGTGGCCAGGAGATTTCCCAGGGTCAGGGGCATGGTGCTGCTGCTGCTGCTGCTGTTGGTGTCGAGCATGTAAACGGACACGTTAACGGGCATGTGAATGGGCATGTGAACGGGCATGTGTACGTGAATGCGTATGCATCCCCAGAGTATGTGATGAGCGGCGGAAGTCATATGCATCACCGTGGGTACATGACTGGCTATGGGCATGTGAACGGGCATGACTATGGTCACTTGAGCGAGCATTTGAATGGGCGTGCGAATGCGCATCGGAATGGGCAGCCGAACGGGCACGACGTGAATGGTGTGAGGCACATTAGTGACCCCCACCACACTGCTGTCTGAAGCAACAGCAATGGTGGAATCACAGTTGGCACAAGTTCCATTCCATGTGGCAGGAGCTGCTCTTGGTGGGAGACCAGACCACAGCAAGCAACTGTAGGTGATACGGTGCTCGGTCATCAGCTGGAAAACGAGCATTACCGTGGCAGAAGAAGGGGCAGCAGCAGCAGCAGCAGCAGCAGCTGTGGTATGGTGGCAGGTGTACATATTGAAGTCAAAAGGCAAAGCTGCTCCATTGATTTGACTGGAGCTGAGACACATGCATCTATTTTCAGGGTTTGCTTAGTAGCAATGACTACCATTTGTGTTTTTTCGTTCACCCATCCTGGTATACGAATGCCTCGATAGCATGTAGGATTAGCTGCTCATCTAGTTGAGGCTGTGGCACAAAACAGTCGTCACAGGCTACACCTGCTGTACCATAATCGTGTAAATCAAGTGGAAAATCGTGTTGAAATGATTACTGTAACAGCACTATTTCCTACACCTCGTTGCTTTCAACCCCACCCCACCTTACCCCGCCCCACGCCACCCCAGCCCACTCCACCCACCCACCCCACCCCACCCTCTCAGAACCCGTCAACACACCCCCTCACATCGCAACCCTCCCTTGTCCTCGCCTTTTCCCCAAGACTCTGAAGTTCCAATTCCAAATCCCAAGTTTCCATCTACATTTCACTCTTCAGCTAAGATCTTCGTCGTCCTTGCCGAATCCCTCCTTGCCACGTGGCAATCTCCCCAGGCAGCACCCGGCACACCTCCTCCTCCCACTCCCTCTGCTTCTGCACGCGCCGCATCTCCTCCGGCAGATACGCCTCCCTTATCTTGTCCTCTTCCGGGGGAGGCGGCACCGGCGGTGCGCCGGCGCGACTCGCCTGCTGCAGCGACGGCCGCGCGAAGGACGCGTGGAAGCGGCGGTGCATGTAGACGCCGTGAATCACGGAGATGAACAGCAGCGGGATGAGCGCGGGCGTCGCGGGAAACTGCTTCACTCCAAAGTAGCCTATCAGCGTGAGCTGCGACAGCACGAGCGCCGCGAGAACGCGCGCCAAAGCGTGCGGGAAAATCCTCCCGCGGCTCTCGAACTCGTTAACGTATACCTGCACGAGCTGGTTCTTCATAACGAGCCACTGCGTGAGAAAGTATGCCGCGGCAAACGGGAGAATAAGCGGCGAAATCACCGCGTAGCAGAGCGCGAGAGTCGCGACTAGGAGATCTCCGGGGAGCAAGCTTACGTAGTCGGGTTCTCCGGGCTTCCACGCGTCGCGCAGATCCGGCTGCGTGCGGCACAGCAGCGCGCGGCGCGCGTGGAAAAGCACGAGCGGGACGAGCCGCGTGAGCTCGAGCCCGGCTCCTACGAGAAACTTAAGCGAGATGTAGGAGATAAAGAACGTCGCGGCTTGCGGGAGGGACGATCCGAGCAAGTCAACCACAGCCGTCGGATGATCCACGATCTGCTTGATCGCCTGGAAAACGCCAGATGTGAGAGTGGTTCCGATGAAGACATTCAGAACCGTGAAGTAGAAATATTTTCCCGAGGCTGCCCGGATGGCGTGGGAGCGCGAGGGGAGGCCTTCGAAGAGCGAGAGGAGGAGGAGGAGTCTGGGGAGGATCGCGAGGAAGAGGATCAGCGCGAGCTGCGGAAGAAATGCCTCTATGAACGTGCGCAGGACAGGCCTGGGGGGAGGAAAAAGGGGAGGAGGGGAAATGACGGAGGGGGAGGCGGAAAGAGGGGGAGAGTAGGGTGGGAAGGGATGGGTGGGGTTTCGGAAGGGGAGGGAACGGTATGTGAAAATGTGAGAAATTGGGGAGGAGCGCGAGGAAGAGGATGAGCGCGAGCTGCGGAAGAAAGGCCTCTATGAACGTGCGCAGGACAGGCCTGGCAGGAGAGGGGGAGGGGAAAGCGGGGAGGGGCGAAGGGATAGGATTGGGAAAGGGAGGGAGGGAAACGTCTGTGAAAATGTGAAGGGTTGTCAGAGGTTGTGAGAGGTTGGAAAAAGTGTTAGGACGAAAGAATGCGCGAGCTGCGGGAAGAACGTGCGCAGGACAGGTCTGGGGGGAGGAGTGGTGGGGGGGAGAGGGGCGGGCGGGGGGCGGGGGGAGAATGAGCGCAAGCCGTGGAGTGGAAGCAAGGCCGTGATCAACGTTTGTGTGAGTGTGTGCATGTGCGTACGAGCAAGAACGAGAGTGAGTGTGAGTGAGAGTGGGTGAGTTTGTGCGTGTGCAGGGCAGCAGCGGCAGCAGCAGTGGCGGCAGCGGCGGCAGCTGCAGCAGCGGCGGAGGCACGCACTGTTCCACGATGGGCTTGAGGAACGGCAATGACTTCTCCAGGTTCTGTAGAGTCGTGAGGCTCGATACGAAGCTGATGGGGATCTGATGCACGTGCGTGAACGGAGAACATCGGAAAGATGGGGGAGAGGGAGAAAGGGGAAGTTGGAATGGGAAAGGCCGTCAGGTAGGCGAATGGATAGGTGAGATGAAATCTTGAGAGCTTTCGGGATTGGAGAGGGGTGTTAGTGGGTGGGGTGGGGAGAGACTGCAGTGGTGGGAGAGTGGAGAGGTGGGACCAGGTGGGACCAGGTGGGACCAGAGATGGTGAGAGCGGTGCAGAGCAGAAGCAGTGAAATGAGACGGGCTTTGAGGATGGTAAGAAAGAGCAGGAGTAGGACCATGAAGAAGCAGATGGTGAGGAAGACGAGGACTTTTGAGGCGCCTCAAAAACTGAGACGACTTTTGAGGCGCCTCAAAAACTGAGACGACTTTTGAGGCGCCTCCAAAGACGGGCTTTGAGGATGGTAAGAAAGAGCAGGGACCATGTAGAAGCAGATGGTGATGAAGACGAGCACGTAGACGGCAGCGGTCCTGATGGCGCATGACACTCGCGAGATGCTGATGCTGTCCCACAACACATCGTTGGGCTCCGGGGCCTGTAAGCACGCGGTGGGATGGGATGGGATGGGTTTTGAGGCGCCTGAAAAGGCGGTCCTGATGGCGCATGACACTCGCGAGATGCTGATGCTGATGCTGTCCCACAACACATCGTTGGGCTCCGGGGCCTGTAAGCACGCGGTGGGATGGGATGGGATGGGTTTTGAGGCGCCTGAAAAGGCAGTCCTGATGGCGCATGACACTCGCGAGATGCCGATGCTGTCCCACAACACATCGTTGGGCTCCGGGGCCTGTGAGTGTTGGATGGGATGGGATGGGATGGGATGGGATGGGATGGGATGGGATGGGATGGGATGGGATGGGATGGGATGGGATGGGATGGGATGGGATGGGATTGCAGAAGGTAAGTAGGACGATTCAGCCCATCCATTCGCCTTCTCCCCTTCCCCACGCACCAGCTCTGCCTCTGTCGGCCACAGTATACCACTGGCAGCATGCAATGTCTGTGATTTTTGCTGCGCCTCAAAATCCCATCCGCATTTGGCCTACCTACCCGCCTTCTTCCCCTTCCCCCCAACGCACCGGCTCTGTCTACCACAGCATGGCATTGTCAGCATGCAGAGTCTGCGCTTTTTGCAGCGCCTTATAAACCCCCTCCACATACCCTAAGCCTTCTCTCTTCCTTCTCACCCCAACGCACCGGCTCTGTCTGCCACAGCATGGCGTTGTCAGCGTGCAGAGTCTGCGCGGCCACGCCACTGCACGATTTATTGAGGCGCCTCACACATCCCCCCCTCCCCGCCCCCCCACCCCCACCACGCACACACGCACGCACCGGCTCTGTCTGCCACAGCATGGCGTTGTCAGCGTGCAGAGTCTGCGCGGCCACTGCTGCCATCACACGATCTCCAAACACCACAACACCTGCAGACGTCATCACCATCCGCTGCACACCACGCGCCACACCCCCCACCACTGGCTTCTCGGCTGCTGCTGTCACTGCTCTTGCTGCTGGCCGTTTCGCCATCCGCCCCACACGGCCGGTTAGAGATCCCTTGCTGCGACGATTGTCCCCCTCTCCCTCCCCTTCATCCCCACCCTTCCCTCCCTCCTCTCCTTCCTCCCCTCCCTCCTCCTTTCCCACGTCCGTCTCCTCGCTCTCCTGCTCCTCCCCTTCCACTTCCTGAATGCCTTCCAAGCCTCTTGCTCCGCCTGTTCCTGCCATGAGCCCCGCCCCTCCATGACTGTCAGTGCTACCCCTTGCTGCGGATCCACTTACTCCAGTTCCCCACGCACCTCCCGCACCTCCCCCACATGCCCCCGGCGGTGCCACCTCCCCTTCCAAAGCGCACACAAGCTGCCTCTCCTGCCTCTCCTCCTGCTCTTCGTCCTCCTCACTCCCTCTCCTCAGTCGCATCTGCCACATTGGCCCTGCCCTTTCTCCAGCGCCAGCACCACCACCAACAGCACCACCAGCAGCACCAGCACCAGCACCACCAGCAGCAGCAGCACCAGCACCAGCAGCAGCACCAGCAGCAGCAGCAGATACACAGCGGGTAGTGCTCCCAGCCCAAGCCTCTCTCTGTGCGCGCCTCAGCTCCCGCTCCTTGCACCGCACCACTTCCTCATAGAACCTGATCGAATCCACTTTCTTCCCCCACAGCCCCATCCATCCAGTCCTGTGCTGCGGCCTCACCAACTCCCCTCCCCTCCCCTTCCCTCTCTTCCAACAACAACCAGCAGCAGCAGCAGCAGCAGCAGCAGCAGCAGCACTCCCCATGCTCCCCCTTCCGCCCATAACCGCATGCCCCTCCCGCCCCTCCCCATCCCCATCCCCATCACCACCACTGCCTCTCCGCCGCACCCACCCCTTAGGCCACCACCCTAAGCGCTCCGCACGTCCCACCGCCCCCCGCGTCCCCACCAGCACCTCCGGCTCCGCACCACTCGATTCTCCTTCCCTCGCCTCTCCAACACTCGACTCTCCTGCCTCCCACTCCTCCTCCACCACCCCTCCCGCTGCTCCCCCTCCACCCATTGACTCCCCTCTTGCCTCTCGTCGTCTGTCCGCGATCCCTCCTCCATGGGTGATCATCACCCCCCCTGCAGCAGGTTCCTCCGCCCTGCCCGCGTCTCTCTGTGCTTGCACCCACGTGGCCTTGGCGCGCAGCAGCTGCCTGCGTGCTGCTGTCAGCTGCTGCAGGGCTGTGCGCGGCTGATAGGGGGAGGGGGAAAGGGGGTGGAGGGAGGGGTTGAGGGCTAGGGGGTGGAGGAAGGAAAGGAGAGATTGTCGTGGTGATAGGGGAGACAGGTGCTGAATGTCTTGGGATGGCAGGGGAGGGGAGGCAGTGAGGAAAGGAAATTCCTGCATTGTAGTGAGGTACCGTATTTAGAATCAAACCAACCATTTTAGGAAACTGCAAGGTCAGCTGCTATTTGCAAAGTACGGGAGGGTAGAACAAAGAGAGGAAGCAGCGAGGCATGGTTGGTAGTACCATAGTAGTACTTTGCTTACTTTGTCCAGGGATCGCAGTATGTTGACGCCACAGTAGGCTTCCCCATACAGCCACCCAAACAACATATCCACTGCATCTGCTGCCTCCCTCCGCCTGGACCTTACAGCCTTCTCCCCACCGTCGCCCCCACTGCCTCTTCCTCCTCCTCCTGCTCCTCGTCCTCTCCCCCCTCTTCCTCCTCCAGTTCCTCCCCCCAGTCCCAGCTCCTCATCTCCCCCATCTTTCCCCGCCTCGACTGTCTTTTGCTGCTGAACCCTGTTCCCATCCTCCTCCGCTTCGTTCCTCCACACATCATCACCACCCCCACCATCCTCGTCATCGTCGTCGCTATCAACGCCGCTACCAGCGGGGGCACCTGCACCTCGTGCCCCCAGCTCAGCCCCTCCAAGCGGAGGCAGCAGTGGTGCTGACACAGCAGGCCTGCTGCTGCTGCTGCCGCTACTATTGCTGTTATTAGCTGCAGCAGCTCCAACACCAGTACCACCAGCACCACCAGCACTACCAGCAGTACCAGGCACGGGAGCACCGGCAGCAGCAGCAGCAGCGGTGTTCTTGGCTGCACAGCGGTGCGGGGGAATGTTGCGCAGCAGCACTGCAAACTCCTCCACCTGGACCTCGGGGTCCTCCTCCCTCTGCTTGGCGCGCAGCCTGCTGACGTGGCGGTACGTGCGGTGCAGAATGAGCAGCGTGCCCAGCGCAGACCAATACGCGCCCACGAAAAAGGCCCACAGGCGAGAGTCGTTGGGCTGGGGGGGGGGGGAATACAGAGCGAGGGAGGGGAAGGGGGATAAGATCTGAATATACAACTTATGGTAATGTTGACTGGTAATCCATTCTGGTCTGACCACCAGTACGCGTAACTTCTCTGGAAAACAGGGTCCGCAGATGTCACGATGAGAGTTCCTGTATCTGAAGGTCAAACAACCAGATTCATCAATCAAATAGATCCATGACACGCAGTGCGCAAGGCTTTCGTTACTGCTGGGTAGCTGATTTGAGTCATCCATCAATCAATAAATCCACGATACACGGGGGGGATCTCCACAGCAGAAGCAAGTCCCGAGCTAGATCATCTGCCCCAGCATGCCACAGCACTCACAGGCACATTATACCCATGCAATCACATCTAACTGCAAAAAACTGCAGATAAGGATTCAGGTGTATTTCGAGTCGCCGCAAAGTTCACCACATTATTATTTCGAGTGTGCTCAAGAATCACTCACGGGTACATTCCCCATGGCGATCGCATCCAGGGCAGAGTACTGAATCTGCTCCGCGGGAGGCCGCCCCGCGTTGAACGAGGCATAGTACCCCCCCGTGGCGCAGAGCGGAATGAGCACGGGGAGGCAGTACGCGGCGTGCCACAGCACGATCAGCAGACACATGTGCTGGATGCGCAGATACACCGCCGCATCCAGCCCCGCGGAGTTAATCACGTCCTGCTCCGTGCAGCGCAGCACGCGCCGGAGCCACTCCAACGCGCTGATCTCCGCGAGTGGCGGAGGGCCGTGCCCGCGGAGGATGCGCTTGGGGAAGTAGATGGGGAAGTTGGCGGGGCGGCGGATGAGGATGGCGAAGAGGCTCAGGAGAAGGAGGAAGAGGAGCGCGGACGTCACGAGCGACGTGACGAACGACGCGACTGTCAGCATGATGACGCGAGAGAATCTGCAAAGATCGGTGGAACTGCTGGTAGTAGAAGTTGCTACCGTAGTGAGAGTACTACCGCAGAGAAAAACATAACAGCGAGGTTGTCTCTCGACGAGCGACGCGGATTTCGGGCTCACTACGCTTGCGGGTTTAGGCTGCTGGGCATTGGAAACCTCTGGTCCTCAACTCCCCCAAACAGGAAGGAAATCAGCAATGCCCATGAGATCTGGTGAGCCATTGACAAGAGAAGATGATGTGTGGTGAGCGGGTGCAAGGGAACTGGAGGCGCATAAATGTGGAGGCTGCCTGCAATGCAAACAAAGGTTCACAACTCCACACACTGAACAGAACCGATTTGGGTTGCTTGCTGCTGCGGCCGAGACCGTGAAATGTAATTACCTGTGAGCAGGGAAATTGAGCAATTGTAAAATTGTCGAGGCGCGTGATGACGTACTTCGGGGAGCTGCATGCGGCTCCACGAGAAATTCCAGGACGACGTGACTCGACATGGGCCGAGGTCCACGCGGGACAAGCTGTCGGGTACACTATGGTGTGAGCAACGCGATAACATAACGTATTGTTGTAACCAGGAGTTGAACTTCCCACGAGTTTCTGAAGGGAAAAAAAAGGTATGTAAAAGTTTTGAGACATTCAAGAAACTTCTTTCCTTTTATGGGTCATCCATATCATCTCATCGCAATATGGAACAACAGGCAACCTAGTAGCTAACAGCTGCCAACGTGGCACTAAGGTCAGCATCAGCCGCCAACACACCCTTAACAGCATCTGCGCGCGCCTTGATAGTCGCCTTCTTCTCCTTGTAATACTCCACAGCATCAGCCTTACGCTTGGCCTCCAGCTCCTGAACAAAACAAATAAAAATAGAACACACAAAAATCCCAGAACACGTCAGGATCGGCTTCTTCTTGCGCAGCATCCAGTCCACTACACCCAATGCAAACCCAGAAACTCAGAGCAGAAAGGGTAACAGCCAGTGGGTGAAAAGGGAAAGCTTCAGTGAAAAGGGAAAGCTGAATAATCAGGTGATGATGTATTGTGCGGAATGAATGGCTCACCTTGACAACATCCCAGTAGTGCCAGCCAACCTCATGGGACAGGTGACCCAACAGACAGAACTTGTGCCCAGGCTTCAACCGCAGCACCCTGCGTGGGTTGTGCGTGGGTGGTGTGTGTGTTGCGTTTGAAAGAAAAAAAGGGAGGGCGAGAGGGAGGAGGAGGAGGGGAGGAAAGGGAGGAGGGAGGTGTGCGAAAGAGCAAATGAGGAAGGGAGGAGGAAAGGGTTGAGAGAGTGGGCGAGGGGAACTAAAGCAAAGAGCACGGCCAGTAGCCAACGTGAGCAGGAGGTAGACTCGACGGCTACAAGTCGTGGACTCAAAGATACAACCACGCAGTCAGCTTGATCCGTAGAGAACGCGCTATAGTCTAGCACAATACAGAACAGCAGCGCGGCGCGGCTCACTTAAGCGCGTCGGGGATGACGACTCGCTTGATCTTGTCGTAGGGCGCGGGAATGCCCTCGAACGCCTTCAGGCGGTCCAGAGCAGCGGCACCGCGGGGAATCTTGTGGGGAATCATGCTGCCAGGGGGGCAAGAAGGCGGAAAAGAGAGAGCGCGGGGAAACAGGGGTGGCAGGGAAAAGCGAGCGCGGGGAACGTAATGCGGATGAAAATTGGCGTCAAAACAAGCGTGAAACCAAAACGTAGCAGCTTTTCAAGACATAAGCTGTCAAGCATTGCACGTCGGAGCAGTGCCCTCTTGAGACCAATAAGGAAAGAACGAGCGGAGAGGAGGGGGCCGGAGAGGGCGGGGGATGTAACGAGGGGGAGGGGGAAAGGGAAGAGAGCATTGTACCCGCGGAGAGTGCGCCAGAAGATCTTGGAGGGCGCGCGGAAGTGGAAGGGGCCCTTGGAGGGCTTGGTGTTCATGCGCTTCCGCAGGAAGCGGAGGTACTTCATCTTCTGGCGCACCAGCCCGCCCGACAGGCAGATGTCCTCGCACCGCACCACGACCTGCGCGGATCGGGGGAAAGGGGAAATGCGCCACAGGTTTGGTCAGCGAGGCAAAACGGGTTCAGGGATGTGATGTGTAGGCTAGGAATTTAGGCTGACCGTTAACTGCTGCCCTGCAACGCGGTTCACGGAACAAACGCGTGTGGCAAAAACGAGCGTTACGACAAGTGTTTGTGGTGATGTTCCGCGAGACATCATCCGATGCGTGCGGAAGGATAGCGAGGCGCCTAAAGTTACGGGGATGATAGTGGGAAAGGGAAAGGTGCACGTGTGGAACCCGCAGCGTCAGCGCAATTTAGCCGATGCAGCCTGATTTCCGTAACATGAATCCCAAATCCCAGTGTTGGATCCGCGGCGCGACTCCGCAAACCCCACTCCTGGCGCCTAACCATAATCGCGATCTAAAAAATACAAGTGTGTATAACAATAAACGTCCTGTCGTCTTTACCACATGCTGGCCGTTAAGGAGCTCCTTAGCGACGATGGACGCGAGGCGCCCCAGCATGTGGTGACGCGCGTCGACCACAATGGTCTGCTTCACCACTCCGCTGCCCGACACCATGATGCCTCTATAAACACGGAGCCTACTGCACAACTGGGAGGAAGGAGAGAAACCCTAAAGTTGCTGCTGGGGTCAAGAAGTAATTGCGGTCCACGCGAAAAGCGTGAGAAACGGCGGGTGGAGGGGACGAGAGGGGAAAAGAGAGAGATGGTGAGCTGGGCGAGGAAGAAGAACAGCGAGGAGGAGAGGTTGGGGGGGAGGCGGGGAGGAATGCGGAGAGGGGAGAAATGACGCGCGCATAGGGGGATGTGCAGCGCGGCTTTGTGCGCTTGGTTGGCTTGGGGAGGGAGATGAGCGGCGGAGAAAGTTGAAGTCACACGCGCGGGAAACCTGATCGAGGGAGTTGCGCCCGCGCTAACCAGGGCGGAAAGTTGGTTTGTGCATGGTAAACCCTTCCAAAAACCCTTTCTGGAATTTTGGCGAAGAATTGTGGGGTGATTTTACGAGCACCGTGTTACCAGCTAGTTCCGCCGCAGCCTCCTGGTTGGCTACCTCAGCACTGAGGGAAGGTAAGCGAGAACATGCGAAACTGAAACACAATCGCAATAGAGTTGTGACACACAATGTACGAATTCCAGCATTCGCAGCCGCGAAGCTGTGTCTCGCAGGCGTCACAGGTGTTACGAATACGCGTTTAACACTACCCTGGAATAAGAAAGATGTTTTCTTATTCATGACTTCAGTGTCATGAAGGCAACACACCGAACTCCACCTGTCATGCCCCTTCCTCATGACTCACAGCACTCATGACGTCTGATGTTCGAGGCCCGATTTCTATATTTTGAGACGACGACAATTACTTCTGGAGGCCGGCGTTTATTTTTTTTAGTGTGTATTCCTCTCAACCGCTGTGTTTCCGTCCGAAGTTCGTCTCTCTGGCTTCATCAGCAGCAGCCATGGAGAAGCGTTTGCAGGGGAAGGTCGCCGTAGTGACAGCATCCACTGCGGGAATCGGCCTCGGAATAGTGGAGCGACTTGGCCAAGAAGGCGCATCAGTGGTCGTCTCATCGCGCAAGCAGGCGAACGTCGACACAGCCGTCGCAAGGCTTCGCGAAAAGGGTATAGACGCGATGGGGATGGTCTGCCACGTGGGAAGCGCGGAGCACCGTCGGAAATTGGCCGAAGCCGTGGTAGCCAAATATGGCCGCGTGGATATTTTCGTGTCGAACGCAGCCGTTAATCCGACGTTAGGGCCAATCCTGGACATGGGGGAGCGTGAGCTAGATAAGTTGCTAGATACCAACATCAAGGCAGCAGTTCTGCTGGTTAAGGAGATGGTTCCGCACATCCCGCCAGGGGGGAACATCGTTTTTGTCGCGTCCATCGCCGGATTCAACCCGATTGCTATGCTTGGCATGTACTCTGTGACCAAGACTGCTCTATTGGGCCTGACCAAAGCCCTGGCTGTCGAGTTGGCTCCAGAAGTTCGTGTTAATTGTGTTGCTCCGGGGATTGTTCCGACTCAGTTTGCGAGTTACTTGGTGGAAAATGAGGGGATTAGGAAGGAGACAGAGGAACGCACGCTTTTGAAGAGGCTGGGCGCTCCGTCAGACATAGCTGGTGCTGTCGCCTTCTTGGCGTCAGATGACGCATCTTATGTCACTGGCGAGACCATTGTGGTGGCTGGCGGTATGCAGTCTCGCTTGTGATCAGCCTGTACATTTGAGATGAGGGTCAGGTAGAGTAGATAGGTGTGAGGTAAGAGGTTGTCTGCATGAAATCTTGAGGCTGTCCTTGACCCACTTGGATGAATGTGTAGAGAAGCGTATTCACTTTTGACGAATTTTGCATTGGCGTTTTATTCCTATTATATCACACCATTTGGTGATACCGTAGCATTATAGCATACATACCGTACAATTAATGTGGAGACAATAATCAGAAGCGTAGGAACGGTGAAATCAAACTCTTGTTTACGCGCAACAACCTCACACTGTATCGTACAATTCCCATGTGCACTGTTTCCGCGCTATGGATGACGTGGACGGTGGCCTTTTTGGTGATGACGACGTTTTCTACGACGGATTTCGTTTTGTCAAAGTCGTCGCAGGCAAGTAGCAGGGGGTGGCTGACCTGGATGGATGCCTTTGATCGCAGGACTAGCTCCTGCTGCAAAATTGCTGTCCCCGACTACCCTGTCGCCGCGAATCGGCTGGCAGCGTCGCCAGTTAGGCGTCTGTCGTCAACCTCTTACTGTCGTCGCACAGACCCCGTAAGGTCGCGCACCGGCAACTTGCCAACCCCAAGGTGGCCCTTGGAATTCTCGCCGACTGAGCGTTTTTCCGTCAGTTCCCCAAAACCAAGGGCACTCCTTTATCCCTGTGGTTTGCCTTGTGTAAGAACAATCCGAGCCGCAACACAACAATCTCTGTCTCCCCTGGTTAAGGTTTTCCTGTTCTCTAGGTTGAACCCTTTTCATCAAGCACCTAGTTTTCATGACTGAGCATCGTTGTTTTCAAGAGTGCTTATCCTGAGTGGGACCAGCAGTCATTCATAACAAGCCGACCTTGAACTTTTCGACTCATATGTACAGACGAATATGCGGAACCGCTGTTGGATTTTCTGCTGGAACCTAGCGAACACCTTGTGTTCTGGCATTTTCAGTGTGAATGGAATACTCTTAATGGACAAGAAACGATGACCCTAACGTTGCTCTACGAGAGTCATAGAGCCGATTCATTGAGCTCAGATATTTCGTCGTTGGACCAGGCACCGTAGCCATGGCTCAGATTATTCGAAGGCTGTGGGCTCCGAAGCCCGTAAAGCACCATGCACCAAGAGGGCTCCTCTGCGTTAGCGAACGAGTGTATGGTGCGTGCTCACCTCCTCGTTTCCTTTCGGGAATAAATAATTTCTCTTCGTCAGAAGACTCTGTCCAGTGAGGAAAGTTAATATTACCGTCTGATGATGCCACTGTCAGCATGAAGGTTATCAGTTTCCTTGGGGTGATTAGTGTCGAACTCCAAGCGAGAACCGCCGTTGTTCGCCGAGTTTGATCATCGCTTGGTATTCCCATAAATCCTCCTCCTTCACATCCTCATTTTGCAATCCGTGGATTCAAGGTCACCAGTAGTATGACCTATTCGTCCGTGTCGTCCGTGCAAAGTCGTCCAGCTTGTGTCGCCTTCCGTTATTCCCTTTCCTCCCTCCCCCCGGTGCAACTCCACGAACGCATATGACACTGACACCATCCGTCCCCGTCCACACCAGATTGGAGCTTGCACGAAACATTCAAAGCCTTTTCTCTTCTTCCTTACCCCATCGTCCCTTCTCCTCCCCTCCCGTCCCCTCCCCTCTCATCCTCTCCATCCCTTCCCTCCGCTCCCCGCTCCCCGTCCCGTCGTCGCGCCTGCCTGCCTGCCTGCAGTGTTCTCCTCATGCAACTCCACCGAGGCACACGACAAGGAGACCTACCGCGCGTACCTACACCAGGTCGCGGCAGAGCTCAACGAAACGTACCCCGAGGGCTCCTTTCTCGTCTTCAACTTCCGCCAGGGCCACTCGTCCGCGTCGTCCTCCCGGCGGAGCCTCCTGGCGGAGGTTCTGGCGGAGTTCGAGATGACTGTGCTGGAGTATCCGCGGCACTATGAGGGGTGTCCGATTCTGCCGCTCGACATGGTGCAGCATTTTTTGCGGAGCAGCGACAGCTGGCTGAAGCACGCGGACGAGGTGGATGATTTTCACCACCAGAGCCCTACTGTTGCCACTGCTGCTGATGCTGCTGCTGCTGCTTCTGCTGCTGCTTCTCGGATAGGAGGGGTTGGAGGTACAGGGTGTGGGGAGGATGCGGAGTTGGATGAGCTCGGAAACGGGTGTGGGAATGGATGCGAGAGCGGAGGAAGGGATGGTGAGATGGAGGTGCGGAATGGCGAGACTGCGCAGGTACCTGCAGCGTCGCCTCCGCGTCGGACTCTTTTCCCACCTCCTTCTCCTTTCCCCCGGTCTCAGTCACACTCAACAAGCCGTCATCACCACCATCACAACCATGCAGACCACCACCACCATCACCATCACGACCACCAGCATCAGCAGCACCCGCAGCACCAGCAGCAGCACAATCACGAGCAGAATGTGGTGCTGTTTCACTGCGAGCACGGCGGGTGGCCTGTGCTGTCGTTTATGATCTCGTGCTTCCTGGTGTACCGCAAGCAGGGTGCCCTCACAGCCATGAGCGAGGAGGAAACGCTGCTGGCAGTGCAGAAGGGCGGAGGGTCGAGGGAGTTGCTCAAACTGCTGTACCCTGTCGACCCCACTGCGTCTCAGGTCAGTGCAGCTCAACTCACAGCCTGTTCTATGATCGTTTTCTGGTCAAGTTTACCTTTTCTTTCGCTCCCTTGCGTTAATTTTATCAGCATCCAGTCAAAACTACTGTGCTCCCTTTTCTTCCTCCATTAATTTTCTCTTCCCCTCGCGTCCTTCCTGCTGCTACTCGCTCCCATCTTCCTCACCCCCGGCCCCCTGGTTCCCGCCTTTCTCATCTCCCCTTTCCGGCCCCACTTTTCTCCTGTCACCATCTCCCCTACACGCCCCCTCTCCCGTCTCCCTCCCCAATAGGTGCGGTACCTTGAGTACGTGAGTCGGCGCAGCAGCATGCCCACGTGGCCCCCAGAGGAGCGCGTGGTTCAACTCGACTGCATGATCCTGCGAACGGTTCCCAGATTCGATTCCGCGGGCGGCTGCCGCCCGGCAATCAAGATCTACGGGCGGGTCCCTGAGAGCACGCACAGGGAGACGACGCTGCTGTTCCACAGCCTGAAGCGGGCGCAGAGGGGATGGGGGACGCCGCCGGGGGGAGGATGGAGCACACCAAGGGGAGGCTGGGGAACGCCTGGGGGAGGGTGGGGAACGCCAGGAACGCCTGGAGGAGGGGGGTGGGGAACGCCAAGAGGGGGAGGTTGGGGGACGCCGATGGGGGGCGGAGGGTGGGGGACGCCGAGAGGGGGAGGAGGGTGGGGAACGCCGAGGGGTGGGGGATGGGGAACGTCTGGGGGAGGATGGGGGACGCCACAGGCAACTCCTAGGGGAGGAGGAAAGGGGGGATTCATTCCGCACTACAAGCAGGTAGGAAGGAGGAAACTCTTGAGGCGCCTCAAAGGTGGGGGATGGGGAACGCCTGGGGGAGGATGGGGGACGCCACAGGCAACTCCTAGAGCAGGAGGAAAGGGGGGATTCATTCCGCACTACAAGCAGGTAGGAAGGAGGGATTTGCGAGTTGAAGGCTGATAGGAGGTTGGATGAGGAAAAGGAGGGTGAAATGAAGGGAAGGGGTGGGTGGGATAAGTTGGAAAGAGAAGGTGTGGAGCTGTGGAGCTGATTGCAGGGACAACGTGGTGGTGTAGTGCCCCCTTTGAAAACTCCCCCAATCCCCCCCCTCCCTTCCGCCCTTCCCCCCGTTCCTCCACGCCCCCCCGCTTCTCAGGGCGACACGGAGGTGGTGAAGGTGAACGTGCAGGTGGCGGTGCAGGGGGACATGGTGGTGGAATGCGTCCCGTTGAACTGCCTCAAAACCTTTTTCCTTCTCCCCCCCGCTCCTCCACCCCAACTTCCTCTTCCCAGGGAGACACAGAAGTGGTGAAGGTGAACGTGCAGGTGGCGGTGCAGGGCGACGTGGTGGTGGAGTGTGTGCATGTGGACGAGGAGGGCGAGGGCGAGGCGGTGATGTTCCAGGTGGTGTTCAACACGGCCTTCCTGCGCTCCAACATGCTGCTGCTCGACCGCCACCAGCTCGACATCCTCTGGGACGCCAGCGCCAGCTTCTCAGAGGATTTCAGAGTCGAGGTGAGAGAGAGTGAGGGAGAAAGAGAGGGTGAGAGGGAGAGAGGGAGAGATGGTTGCAGATTGCAAGTCGCAGGCGCCTCAGAAATTGCCTCAATATTGAGGTGCTTCATAGAGGGCGAGGGCGAGGCGGTGATGTTCCAGGTGGTGTTCAATACGGCCTTCCTGCGCTCCAACATGCTGCTGCTCGACCGCCACCAGCTCGATATCCTCTGGGACGCCAGCGCCAGCTTCTCAGAGGACTTCAGAGTCGAGGTGAGAGAGAGCGAGGGAGCGAGAAAGAGCCCTAGGTCGCAGTTTGTAGGTCGGTCGCCGGCCGCAGGTCGCCAGCGCCAGCTTCTCAGAGGATTTCAGAGTTGAGGTGAGAGAGAGCACGAGAGTGAAAGAAAGAGAGGGAGATGATCGCAGATTGGTGGTTCCTATTTGCAAGTCGCATGGTACCGCACCAGTGGTTGCTGATTTGGTTTTTTTTAATCCCGCATTCCAATCTACTTGGTGGTTTCTTACTTGCTAATGGATCTCGTTGCCCAATCTCACCCTTCTCTTTCCCCATCCCTCCACCCATCCCGTCCCGCTCCCCTCTACAGCTTCTATTCGCAGAGCCAGACCACGACATCCCACCCACCCCCTCACCCAGGTTCTTCCACAGCGACTCCTCCAGGTTCTCACCGCACCACTCCACCACCCCATCAGCATCCTCCTCCCCTCTCCCCGACGAGGACTTTCAGACCCTCGCTGCTCTCTTCCAGTCGTCCCACTGGTCTCCTGACGACAGCCGCAGGGCTCTGGATCACCTTCGCATGCAGCTCCTGGGGGAACCCTCAAGCGCAGGAGGAGCAGCAGGAGCAGGTGTAGCAGGAGCACCTGGTTCTCCTGGATTTTCAATTCCGCCTTCTCTTGCCGCGTCGCTTGGGTCGGGTTCGGTTTCGGGTTCGGTGCTAGGGTCGCTTGCTGGGTCGCTGTGTGGTTCAGCTGCCGCGTCTGCTGTGTGCTCTCCACGAGCTGCAGCAGCAGCTGCTGCTGCTGGTTTTCCTGGCAAGCTCACGCATCCCCAGGTGCAGCTGTTGCGGAGATCGGGTGCTGCTGGTGGCGGTGGTGGTGGTTCGGGCGATTTCTCAAGCCCGCTCTCTCCTGCTTTGTTCACGTCCACGTCAGCAAATGATCGACAAAACGAGGCACTGCCCAAGTGGTCGATTCATGACGTGGAGGAGGACGAGGAGGCTGATTTCTCTAAGCTCGTGGATGAGCCTGGTGATGAGTCATCATCTCGTGACACGTCACCGACGCTCTCCAGCGACGTGATTGGCTCGCGAGGGTCCACCAGAGAGTCCAGCTCATCACCTCCCGCAAACCACAAGCTTTTCTCCTCTCCTCGCAGTTCTTCTTCTTCTTCTGCTGCTGCTGGTGGTGGTAGGAGCGGTAGCAGTGGTGCTAGTGTAACTAGAGCCAGGCAGAGAGCAGGTAGAAAAGCAGTACAGACAGGCAGACTAGGGAAGGTGGATGTGAGTGCGTTGAGCGTGGGAGTGCTGTTTGGGGGGTCTGTGGAGGAGGATGAGGAGGAGGAGGAGGAGGAGGAGGACGAGGAGGAGGAAGGGATGGGGGAGGAAGGCTCACGAGAGAAGCAGATGAGGATGCTGCGGGTCTTAGGCAGGTTTGGTGCACCTGGTGCTGGTGGTGGCGGCGGCGCTGGTGGTGGTGGTGGTGGTGGTGGTGGTGGTGGTGGTGGTGGTGGTGGTGGTGGTGGTGGAAGAAGTGTTGGGTCTGGCTCAGGGCTTAGAAGCAGTCTGGATGGAGGGATTGCAGGAGGCGGAAGGGGAGGAGGAGGAGTGGGAGGAGTGGAAAGCGGTACTGGGAATCATCACTCTGGTGTAGTGGGATTTGCAGCGTCTACCGTGGGTGAGCATGGGGATCTGGCCAGTGCAAGAGGAACCGCTGGGCTAGTTTTAGGGTTTGGTCGGAGGTCAGTAGAGGGTGAATCAGGGCTGGGAACAGGGAGAAGAAAAGCAGCAGCAGGAGCAGGAGCAGGAGTAATAGCTGGGGGGGTTGACAGTGACAAACACGCCGGGGTGGGGCGTGCAAGGGAAGGGTTGCAGGGGCTGCGAGGGAATGAGCTGCTGGAGATCCCCCGACATAAGCTGAAGCAGGCCCGCAGTCACAAGCACGCTCATGAGCTTGCTCTCTTGCCTCTTGATCTGGCTGGTGGTGGCCCGTCGCTGTTTCGCTTTGAGCATGACCTTCCTCTGCCTGCTGTGCTGGCAGGAAAGGGTGATGCGGGGTTAAGAGTGAGTGATTTGAGCAGGGGAAAGGAGTTGCTTGGTGGAGGAGGAGAGACGAGGAGGAAGGGAATGGACGCGGAGAGGTCGAGTGGTGTGAGTGTGGAAGCAGCAAAAGGCACAGGAGGTGACGGGCGAGCCGTGGAAGGGTTGACAGATGAGGGAGGAGAGGTGGGAAGAGCGGAAGAAGCAGGGCATGAGACACACGAGAAGGGTGGAGCAGAGAGCACGGAAGGATCACCTTCAGATTGGAACGAATCCCGCAGGAAGTCTCGGAGGGAGTTTGTTAAGGGCTTGTCTCTCAAAATCCCTGACAGTGCCGCAGGGGATAACGACGGAGGGAGCAGTGACGGTGGGGGGAAGGACAAAGACGGAGACGACAGCAATGGTATCATCCGCAGCAGCAGCAGCAGCAGCAGCAGCAGCAGCAGAAGAAGAAGCGGCGGGTTGGAGGACGGGGCTCCTTTGTCTGTGCGGGAGCGATGCGCGTCCCTGGGCAGCAGGGGAGGGAGCTTCAAGGGGGGGAAAGGGTCAATGGAGAGTCCCTCTGCGCCTAAACTGGGGTCGGATTTGGCGTCCCTAGGGAGCAGGTCAGGCAGGGTAGCACAGCTGAGATTGAGGGTACTTCAGGAACTGGAGAAGGAGAAGGAGAAGGATGGGGTGCCAGGGGCAGGGGCAGGGGCAGGGGCAGGAGCAGGGGCGGGGGCAGGAGTGGTGGCGCATGGGTCGCCTAGGCCAGTGGTGGATGAGTGTTTGTCTGCTAGGCATAAGCTGCATGTGGTGTGGCCTCCTCCTGGTCATATGCTGGCTGGAGGAGAGGGCGGAGGAGGGGGCGGTGGTGGTGCTGGTGGTGGGGGTGGTGGGAGAGGGAGTGGGAAGCGGCATTCCACAGGAGGGATTGGGATGGAGGGAGCGGAGGAGAGGAAAGGGTCGGGGCTGGTGAGGAGTTTCAGCCGGCGGTTCAGTGGCGGTGACGTGGGGTTGAAGCTGAATAAGGTGCAGACACCAAACGCTGCGGCTACCGCTGCTGCAGCTGTGATTCTCAGCGCTCCTGTTCCAGCCATTGTTGCTGATTCTGCTGCTTCTCCTGCTTCTAGTGCTGGTGGCGCTGGTGCAAGTGGCATTGATGGATTACGCACTGCAGCAAGGGGTGATGCTGCTGAGAACTCAACTGCTCCTCCCCAAAACAGCAGCTGCTCCTCTTCCTGCTCCCCTCCTCGTTCCTCTGCTCGAAGCACAGCAGTTCCTCTGAGTTCCTCCCCTCCAGCTCCCTCGACAGGAGCACACACACCACCGCCATCCGCTTCCCCTCCAACTCCCCCACCCCCCCCCCCCTCCTGCCCCCCCTCCGCCTCCTCCTCACCCAGCTGGAAGTGCGGTGCCACCCCCCCCTCCTCCTCCACCCACACCCCCTCCACCTCCTCCCGGATCAGGCCCCCCTCCGCCACCCCCTCCTCCCCCTCCCCCACCCGCCTGCCCACCAGGGGCGCCTCCCCCTCCCCCGCCTCCTCCTGGCGCTCCTCCCCCTCCCCCACCCCCACCCGCACCCCCTCCCCCTCCAGGCAGAGGCCCACCTCCCCCTCCTCCCCCTCCCCCTGGGAAGGGTGCACCTCCCCCTCCCCCGCCTCCTCCTGGCAGGGGCGCTCCCCCCCCTCCTCCCCCTCCCCCTGGCAGGGGCGGACCTCCCCCTCCCCCACCCCCTCCTGGAGCCCGCGGTCCCCCTGGCCCCCCACCCCCCCCCTCCCCCCCCCTGGCGCACCACGAGGTCCCCCAGGCGCCCCTCCCCCTCCCCCTCCCCCTGGATTCAAAGGCCCTCCGCCCCCTCCCCCGCCTGGGGGAAAGCTTCCGCCACCTCCTCCCCCTGGGGGGAAGCTTCCGCCTCCTCCCCCAGGGGCAGGGAGGGGGGCGGGAGTGGGGGGGCACCAGCAGCACTACCATCAGCAACCAGGGGCAGCTGGGGCTGCTGGGGCTGCTGGTGGGGGTGTGAGGAGAACCCCTCTCAAGTCGTTTTACTGGGGGAAGGTGGTGCGGCCAGTGGAGGATAGCCTGTGGGCGGTGTCTCAGAGCGACCCAGATAGCAGAGTGTACGTGCTGATGATGCTGCTGATGCTGCTGCCGCCGCTGTCGCTGCTGCTGTTGCCGGCGCCGCCTCCACCGCTGCCGCCTCCACCGCTGCCGCCACTTCTGCCGCTGCTCTGTTGCTCTGCTGCTGCTGCTGCTGCCTGCCCTCTAGCTCTAGTTAGCCATGTGTTTTGCTGGCTGACGTCTAAGTGTGTCCAATCCCCTCCCCCCCCCCTTCTTCCCCCAACCTTCCCTCTCCTCTTCCCCATTCACTCCCCCAAGCTCCGTCTCCCCCTCCTCCCCGTGCCCTCCCTGCCTGCAGCAACCTGGAGCTGAATCTGGAGGAGCTAGAGGATCTCTTCTCAGCAGCACCGCCGCCCAAGGCAGTCAAGCTTTAAGACATCTCTAAACTTGATTACCGCCTTTCTCGCACATACCTCCGTGCCCTCCCTGCCTGCAGCAACCTGGAACTGAATCTGGAGGAGCTAGAGGACCTCTTCTCAGCAGCACCGCCACCCAAGGCAGTCAAGCCGAAGCAGCAGGAGACAACCAAAGTGGAGAAAGTTACCCTGGTGGGTTGGTTGGGCTCTTTCCTCCCCTCTTCCTCCCCACTCCCCACCCCCCTCCCCACCACCTCACTCCTCCTCACCCCCCTCCCACCCCTACCTGCCCATAATGTCGCATACACACACGTGCTACTCCCTCCCTCCTGCACCTTGCTTTGGCCCCTCGCTTCGTGCTTCCTTTCCCCTCTCTCCCCATCCCACCTCCCCTCTCCTCCACCCACCTCCCCCCACCCCCGCTCCCCCGCCTCTGTCACTTACACCCACCTTTTTCCCCGTTTCTCTCCTCCTCCCTACCTCTTGCATCGACCTAAGCTGACCCGTCCTGCCACTCTATGCCCTGCGTTCTGTCATGTTTCATCTCGTTTTGCTGCTTCTCGTTCCGTCTTCTCAGCTCCGCCCTTTCTGATCCCGATTCATCCTTGGGCTGGGTTGGGTTGGGCTGGGCTGGGCTGCTTGCTGTGTGCAGATTGACATGAAGCGCTCCAACAACTGTCTCATCATGCTCTGCAATCTCAACTTCTGAGACGTCTCAAAGTCTTCTCAACTCTGCCCCTTGTGTGATCCCCATCCGGCTTTGGGGCTGGGCTGCTTGCTGTGTGCAGATTGACATGAAGCGCTCCAACAACTGTCTCATCATGCTCTCCAATTTCAAGAAGTACACTTATGCGCAGCTTGTGGTGAGTCATACCAAACCAACCCACAGCTTGGGCTGAGTCGTCCCACCCAGCAGCTTCTGGCGATTCGCTGCTGTCCGCGTGGAACGGGCATACAGCTTCTTTTCACACATCCCCATGTTATTTCTCGCCCTTTTGCCTCTCTCTCCTCATCTGCTCCACACCTACACGCCTGTCTGCTCCAAAATGAGCCTGCAGTGCAGGCAGGCTGCACACACGGCACACAGCACACACACAAACAGAATGTGCGCTCTGGCGCTGGACTCAGCAGTTTGAAACAAGGAGAGAGCATGCACGCCACGCCACGCCACGCCACGCACGCTCAAACCTCCCCTCACTCACTCACTCTCCCCATCTTCTCCCCTCCCCCCCTCCCCAATTTCCCTAACCCCTCCCCTCCCTTTTTCCCATGTACTGTTCTCCTATGCTGCTCAACCCACAGGATGCGGTGCTGGCTCTAGACACGGCAGTGCTGAACGAGGAGGGGAGGGAGGCTCTGCACTGCACCCAGCACCCGAAACATCTCTCCCCCTGTAACCGCTCTCTCCTCTCCTCTCCTTTTCTCCCATTATAATGCTCTGCTACCCCCGCAGGATGCGGTGCTGGCTCTGCACACGACAGTGTTGAACGAGGAGGGGGTTGGAGGCTCTGCACGCAACACCTTAAACCTTGCCCTCTCCTGCTCTCCCTGATTCTGCTCTGCCACCACCGCAGGAAGCGGTGCTAGCGCTGGACACAACAGTCTTGAACGAGGAGGGACTGGAGGCTCTGCACTGCACCCAGCACCCGCATCCTCTCTCCCCCTGTACCCGCCCTCTCCCGCTCTCCCCCTCCCTCTCATGCTCTGCTACCCCCGCAGGATGCGGTGCTGGCTCTGCACACGACAGTGTTGAACGAGGAGGGGGTTGGAGGCTCTGCGCGCAACACCTTAAACCCCGCCCTCTCCTGCTCTCCCTGATTCTGCTCTGCCACCACCGCAGGAAGCGGTGCTAGCGCTGGACACGACAGTGCTGAACGAGGAGGGTGTGGAGGCTCTGCACAAGTTCTGCCCCACCAAGGAAGAGATGGAGCTGCTCAAGGTCTGGTCTTCTCTGCTCTGCTCTGTTGTGGTCTCGTGAGCTTTGGTTTCTGAGTCTGCTTTTGAGTCGACTCAAAAGCACAAGTTCTGCCCCACCAAGGAAGAGATGGAGCTGCTCAAGGTCTGGTCTGATCTCTCGTTGTCTCGTGAGCTGTGGTTTCTGAGCATTGAAATTGAAATCAACTCAGGTCTAGGTCTCGTGGGCGTTTACTTGGCACGCGTTAGAAAGCAGTAGCACGTAATTTGCGTGCACGTTTCCTCCTTCCCAGATATTGAGTTTTACATGTTGCTCTCCTCTGTGTGTTCGTGCCGTGTGTGTCTGTGCATGTGCATGTCATCCATGCTACAGTCCTTCCCCGGGCCAAAGGAAACGCTGGGACAATGCGAGCAGGTAAGCAAGCAAGCAAGCAAGCAAGTGCTAGAGACCTTCATCTCCCCCTCTTTCACTACCAGTGCGCTCCGCATGACCTGGAAACCCGTCGTTCATTACTCAATCCCGTTTGTTGATCCACCAAAAAAAGCCCTCGTTTCAACCACCCTCGCTCTCCTCTCCACCCACGCTCTCCTCTCCACCCACAACACACACCGCACGCATCCATCCTTACCGTGTTCCCCTCCCCCAGTTCTTCCTTGAAATGATTCAAGTGCCTCGCATGGAGCGCAAGCTCCTCGCGTTCCAGTTCAAGCTCTCCTTCTCTCGCCAGGTCCGTCCGTCCTTGCACCTCTCCCTCCCTCCCTCCCTCCCTCCCTCCTCCCATTTTCAAATTTCTCAACTTCTGCCATGCATGTGTTTCTTCGTCCTTGGTCCTTCCTGTATTTGCTCCCTTTTGTCACGTTTTTGCTGTCTTACCACAACCGACCCTTGCACTTCCACCACTGCTTCTGCTGCCGCAGTCTGGGCAGCGTTGAGTGTGTGTGTAGGTACGAAGGGATGGTCCCCACCTCGTACCACCCTAGCCTGCACATGCCCTCGTTCCCCATCCCTCGTTCCCCATCCCTCGTTCCCCATCCCTCGTTCCCCATCCCTCGTTCCCCATCCCTCGTTCCCCATCCCTCGTTCCCCATCCCTCGTTCCCCATCCCTCGTTCCCAATCCCTCGTTCCCCATCCCTCGTTCCCCATCCCTCGTTCCCAATCCCTCGTTCCCCATCCCTCGTTCCCAATCCCTCGTTCCCCATCCCTCGTTCCCAATCCCTCGTTCCCCATCCCTCGTCGCTCATCCCTCATTCCTCATCCCTCATTCCTCATCCCTTCCCTCATCCCGCAACGCTCATCCATCACCACCACCACCACCACCACCACCACCACCACCACCACCACCACCACCACCACCACCACCACCACCACCACCACCACCACCACCACCACCACCACCACCACCACCACCACCACCACCACCACCACCACCACCACCACCACCACCACCACCCCGCCATGGTTGGTTTGCTCACATCACAGGCAGTGGATGTGCGTCACAGCATGGAGCTTGTCATCCAGGCATGCAAGGAGGTGAGCCTCCTCCTGCTGCTTCTTTTGGGGCGCCTAAAAACTTTTGAGACAATGTTTTGAGTGTTAAAAAAAACATATCACAGGCAGTGGGTAAGCGGCACAGCATGGAGCTTGTCATCCAGGCATGAAAGGAGGTGAGCCTCTCGCTGCTGCTGCTCCTCCTCCCTTTGATGTTCCTTCTTCTGCTGCCTCTGCTCCTTTTGCTGCTGCTGCTGCTGCTGCTGCTGCCGCAGGGGTGGTTTTCTGCTGCTGCTGAGGTTCTGTTGGTCAAGCGATGGCTTCTAGACAGGCTGTTTCTCCCCTCTCTGCTGAATGTTCAGCACTCATCCGTCCTACCCTATGCAAACGCCCCCTGTGTAGCTGACACCCGCTGCTGCACTTCACATGCCCCTCACTCCATGCCCATGCCCATGCCCCATACCCCATGCCCGATGCCCCATGCCCGATACCCCATGCCCGATGCCCCATGCCCGATGCCCCATGCCCGATGCCCCATGCCCGATGCCCCATGCCCGATGCCCCATGCCCGATGCCCCATGCCCGATGCCCCATGCCCGATGCCCCATGCCCGATGCCCCATGCCCGATGCCCCATGCCCGATGCCCCATGCCCGATGCCCCATGCCGATGCCCATGCCCGATGCCCCATGCCCGATGCCCCATGCCCGATGCCCCATGCCCGATGCCCCATGCCCGATGCCCCATGCCCGATGCCCCATGCCCGATGCCCCATGCCCGATGCCCCATGCCCGATGCCCCATGCCCGATGCCCCATGCCCGATGCCCCATGCCCGATGCCCCATGCCCGATGCCCCATGCCCGATGCCCCATGCCCGATGCCCCATGCCCGATGCCCCATGCCCGATGCCCCATGCCCGATGCCCCATGCCCGATGCCCCATGCCCGATGCCCCATGCCCGATGCCCCATGCCCGATGCCCCATGCCCGATGCCCCATGCCCGATGCCCCATGCCCGATGCCCCATGCCCGATGCCCCATGCCCGATGCCCCATGCCCGATGCCCCATGCCCGATGCCCCATGCCCGATGCCCCATGCCCGATGCCCCATGCCCGATGCCCCATGCCCGATGCCCCATGCCCGATGCCCCATGCCCGATGCCCCATGCCCGATGCCCCATGCCCGATGCCCCATGCCCGATGCCCCATGCCCGATGCCCCATGCCCGATGCCCCATGCCCGATGCCCCATGCCCGATGCCCCATGCCCGATGCCCCATGCCCGATGCCCCATGCCCGATGCCCCATGCCCGATGCCCCATGCCCGATGCCCCATGCCCGATGCCCCATGCCCGATGCCCCATGCCCGATGCCCCATGCCCGATGCCCCATGCCCGATGCCTCCCTGCCCGATGCCCATGCCCGATGCCCATGCCCGATGCCCATGCCCGATGCCCCATGCCCGATGCCCCATGCCCGATGCCCCATGCCCGATGCCCCATGCCCGATGCCCCATGCCCGATGCCCCATGCCCGATGCCCCATGCCCGATTGCCCCATGCCCGATGCCCCCATGCCCGATGCCCCATGCCCGATGCCCCCATGCCCGATGCCCCATGCCCGATTGCCCCATGCCCGATGCCCCATGCCCGATGCCCCATGCCCGATGCCCCATGCCCGATGCCCCATGCCCGATGCCCCATGCCCGATGCCCCATGCCCGATGCCCCATGCCGATGCCCCATGCCCGATGCCCATGCCCGATGCCCCATGCCCGATGCCCCATGCCCGATGCCCCATGCCCGATGCCCCATGCCCGATGCCCCATGCCCGATGCCCCATGCCCGATGCCCCATGCCCGATGCCCCATGCCCGATGCCCCATGCCCGATGCCCCGATGCCCCATGCCCGATGCCCCATGCCCGATGCCCCATGCCCGATGCCCCATGCCCGATGCCCCATGCCCGATGCCCCATGCCCGATGCCCCATGCCCGATGCCCCATGCCCGATGCCCCATGCCCGATGCCCCATGCCCGATGCCCCATGCCCGATGCCCCATGCCCGATGCCCCATGCCCGATGCCCCATGCCCGATGCCCCATGCCCGATGCCCCATGCCCGATGCCCCATGCCCGATGCCCCATGCCCGATGCCCCATGCCCGATGCCCCATGCCCGATGCCCCATGCCCGATGCCCCATGCCCGATGCCCCATGCCCGATGCCCCATGCCCGATGCCCCATGCCCGATGCCCCATGCCCGATGCCCCATGCCCGATGCCCCATGCCCGATGCCCCATGCCCGATGCCCCATGCCCGATGCCCCATGCCCGATGCCCCATGCCCGATGCCCCATGCCCGATGCCCCATGCCCGATGCCCCATGCCCGATGCCCCATGCCCGATGCCCCATGCCCGATGCCCCATGCCCGATGCCCCATGCCCGATGCCCCATGCCCGATGCCCCATGCCCGATGCCCCATGCCCGATGCCCCATGCCCGATGCCCCCATGCCCGATGCCCCATGCCCGATGCCCCATGCCCGATGCCCCATGCCCGATGCCCCATGCCCGATGCCCCATGCCCGATGCCCCATGCCCGATGCCCCATGCCCGATGCCCCATGCCCGATGCCCCATGCCCGATGCCCCATGCCCGATGCCCCATGCCCGATGCCCCATGCCCGATGCCCCATGCCCGATGCCCCATGCCCGATGCCCCATGCCCGATGCCCCATGCCCGATGCCCCATGCCCGATGCCCCATGCCCGATGCCCCATGCCCGATGCCCCATGCCCGATGCCCCATGCCCGATGCCCCATGCCCGATGCCCCATGCCCGATGCCCCATGCCCGATGCCCCATGCCCGATGCCCCATGCCCGATGCCCCATGCCCGATGCCCCATGCCCGATGCCCCATGCCCGATGCCCCCATGCCCGATGCCCCATGCCCGATGCCCCATGCCCGATGCCCCATGCCCCGATGCCCCATGCCCGATGCCCCATGCCCGATGCCCCATGCCCGATGCCCCATGCCCGATGCCCCATGCCCGATGCCCCCATGCCCCGATGCCCCATGCCCGATGCCCCATGCCCGATGCCCCATGCCCGATGCCCCATGCCCGATGCCCCATGCCCGATGCCCCATGCCCGATGCCCCATGGCCCGATGCCCCATGCCCGATGCCCCATGCCCGATGCCCCATGCCCGATGCCCCATGCCCGATGCCCCATGCCCGATGCCCCATGCCCGATGCCCCATGCCCGATGCCCCATGCCCGATGCCCCATGCCGATGCCCCATGCCCGATGCCCCATGCCCGATGCCCATGCCCGATGCCCCATGCCCGATGCCCCATGCCCGATGCCCCATGCCCGATGCCCCATGCCCGATGCCCCATGCCCGATGCCCCCATGCCCGATGCCCCATGCCGAATGCCCCGATGCCCCATGCCCGATGCCCCATGCCCGATGCCCCATGCCCGATGCCCCATGCCCGATGCCCCATGCCCGATGCCCCATGCCCGATGCCCCATGCCCGATGCCCCATGCCCGATGCCCCATGCCCGATGCCCATGCCCGATGCCCCATGCCCGATGCCCCATGCCCGATGCCCCATGCCCGATGCCCCATGCCCGATGCCCCATGCCCGATGCCCCATGCCCGATGCCCCATGCCCGATGCCCCATGCCCGATGCCCCATGCCCGATGCCCCATGCCCGATGCCCCATGCCCGATGCCCCATGCCCGATGCCCCATGCCCGATGCCCCATGCCCGATGCCCCATGCCCGATGCCCCATGCCCGATGCCCCATGCCCGATGCCCCATGCCCGATGCCCCATGCCCGATGCCCCATGCCCGATGCCCCATGCCCGATGCCCCATGCCCGATGCCCCATGCCCGATGCCCCATGCCCGATGCCCCATGCCCGATGCCCCATGCCCGATGCCCCATGCCCGATGCCCCATGCCCGATGCCCCATGCCCGATGCCCCATGCCCGATGCCCCATGCCCGATGCCCCATGCCCGATGCCCCATGCCCGATGCCCCATGCCCGATGCCCCATGCCCGATGCCCCATGCCCGATGCCCCATGCCCGATGCCCCATGCCCGATGCCCCATGCCCGATGCCCCATGCCCGATGCCCCATGCCCGATGCCCCATGCCCGATGCCCCATGCCCGATGCCCCATGCCCGATGCCCCATGCCCGATGCCCCATGCCCGATGCCCCATGCCCGATGCCCCATGCCCGATGCCCCATGCCCGATGCCCCATGCCCGATGCCCCATGCCCGATGCCCCATGCCCGATGCCCCATGCCCGATGCCCCATGCCCGATGCCCCATGCCCGATGCCCCATGCCCGATGCCCCATGCCCGATGCCCCATGCCCGATGCCCCATGCCCGATGCCCCATGCCCGATGCCCCATGCCCGATGCCCATGCCCGATGCCCCATGCCCGATTGCCCCATGCCCGAATGCCCCATGCCCGATGCCCCATGCCCGATGCCCCATGCCCGATGCCCCATGCCCGATGCCCCATGCCTGATGCCCCATGCCCGATGCCCCATATCCCGTGCCCGATCCAGATTCGCGAGTCGTTCCGCCTGCGTCGCATCATGCAGACCATCCTCTCCCTTGGCAACGCCCTCAACCAAGGCACAGCTCGCGGTACGCATCGCACTCGTTCACGCACTCACTCGCTCACTCACTCGCTCGCTCACTCACTCACTCACTCGCCCGCTCTCTCGCTCACTCACTCGCTCGCTCTCTCACTCAATCACTCACGCGGGTCCCTCCTGCCCTCCTCGCTCTCCCTTACCTTCCCCCTCCCTTCGCTGCGTCCTTTCTTCCCTAACCCCTCCCTCCCCCCTCCTGGCCCCCTCGCTTCCCCTTCCCTTACCCCCCCTACTCCCCTCCTGCCCTCATCCTGCCCCCCCCCCCCCCCCCCCCCCCCCGCCGCCTCCCGCTCTCCCCCATCTTCTTTTCCAACCGCCGTTCCCCCCCTCCCCCCGGGCCCCTGCCCTGAGCAGGTACTGCCGTGGGGTTCAAGCTGGACAGCCTCCTCAAGCTCACGGACACCAAGACACGCACTTGATCTTCAAGTCGACTCAAAAACCATCGTCCCCAACCCCGTCCCTCCCCCTCCCCCCCCCGCTCCCACTTTCCGCTTCCCTCCCGAGCAGGTGCTGCCGTGGGGTTCAAGCTGGACAGCCTCCTCAAGCTCACGGACACCAAGACACGCAACAGCAAGATGACTCTCCTCAACTACCTTGCTAAGGTGCGTGCTGCTGTGCTGACTGGCCTGATTTATCGTGAGTATACTCACCTGCTGCTGCTAAGGCTGGCTGTGGAGTTAGTCTTCCCCCTCCTTCAAAATCCTTCACGATTTAGCTGTGAAATCCTTCTGCTTTACTTGTAGCTCCCCGAAAACTTGACCTGTCTCAAGAATTTGCGACCCCTCAATCAAAAACCCTTTTCCTGCTTGTGTGTTTCCCTCCATTTCTCCCTCTCTTTCTTCCTCTCTTTCTCCCTCCTTTCTCCCTCCCTTTCTCCCTCCCGCCTCCTTCCGCGTGTGCATATCAGGTGCTGGAGACGGAGCTGCCCGAGACAGCCAAGTTCCCATCTGACCTTCCTTCGTTGGAGAAGACTTTTAAGGCGCCTCAAAACTCCTCCTTCTGTGTGTGCATCCCATGCCAGGTGCTGGAGACGAAGCTGCCAGAGATAGCCAAGTTCCCATCTGACCTTCCTTCGTTGGAGAAAGCTCACAAGGTCAGTCGCTCATAAGGTTCTCATAAGGTCAGCTGCTTCAGCAGGACACCATCATTGCCCACCCACCTTTTACCTACCCCTGGCCTGGCTCACTCACTCGACCCCAACTCACTTACTCGTCCACTGCTGCCCATCTCCTTGGCTTCTCCTCACCGCACCACAATAAGCCCGTCTTCTCTGTATCCCACTTCCCCTTCCCGCTCCCCTCTCCCCGCGCCTCCCCGCCTCCCGCCTCCCCGCCTCCCTGCCTCCCACCCCTTCATCAGGTGCAAGTGAAGCAGCTAGCGGAGGACATGCGGCAGCTGACCAACGACATGGTCATGGCAGAGAAGGAGCTCACTGCCTCATAAAGGGGCTCACCCGCTCACCCTTCCCCGGGGCTGTGCCTGTTGCTTCCACCTACTGCCTCTCTCGTTGCCTTCCTTCCACTCACTTCCTCTCACAACACCACCCCCCACTCCCCACTCCCCATACCCAACTCCCCACTGCCCACACCCCCCACCCCTTCTCTCCTGGTCCGTCAGGTGCAAGTGAAGCAGCTAGCGGAGGACATGCGGCAGCTGACCAACGACATGGTCATGGCAGAGAAGGAGCTCACTGCATGCGGCTCCGATGGGCCCTGCGCTGAGGGCTTCAGGAAGGTGCGAGGGGTGCGATGGGTGCGAGGGGTGTGCGAGGTCTCAGAGGGGTGGTCAGATCAGATCAGATCCATGCGCTTACTTCATGTCAGGTCTGGTCAAATCAGGTGAGGTGAGGTGAGGTGAGGTGAGGTGAGGTGAGGTGAGGTCCGGTTGGATCGGGTCGGGTCGGGTCGGTTCGGGTCGGGTCAGGTTAGGTTGGGTCGTACCAAATAAATAGGATTTGTGGGGAGAATCGAGTTCTTCTTTTCCACAGCGCGTAAAGACTCGGGCCCCTTTCTTTAACCCTACCCTGCTTGCTTACACAGGCACTGGGCGCGTTTCTGGAGGAGGCAGCATCAGATGCCAGGCAACTGTCAGCACTCTATGCTGAAACTGTGAGTTCCGTGCTCCTTCCTGCAACCCCATCATATCATCCTCCTCCGCATTCTCACCTCCTCGGCATTCTCACCTCCTCGGCATTCTCACCTCCTCATCCCCATCGTTCACCGCCAGTTCGCTCTTCTCTTCCCATCTTCCTCCCCCCCCTTCCCTCGCAGCTCCCACCCACCCCTATCTCCTCCTCCGGTGCCGCATCTTAGTCCATCTGCTCTTGTTTTCTTGAGAAAAACGGTTCATACAGTCAGTCATATTTCCTTGCTGTCATAATCACTCTCATCCTCACTCAATCTTACTCTCACTCTCGTCCTCATTCTCATTCCGAACCTCACTCCCAGTGTTATTCTCGTCCCCATTCCCATCCTCATTCTCGTTGTCATTCTACACCCCAAACTCTCGTTCTCATTTCCATTCTCATTCTTGCATTCTCGTTTCGATTCCCATCCTCACTCGCGTCCTTCAGAGCCGCAGTGCAGAGGCTCTGTCGAAATACTTTGGCGAAGATCCCGCCAAGTGCCCTTTTGAACACGGTGGGTCTACGTAGCACACACGCACATGCACACACGCACATGCACACCCACATGCACACGCACATGCACATGCACACTCACATGCAACACATGCACGTGCACCCACGCACACGCACCCGCAGGCACGCACACACACACCTCTTATGTTCCCTCTCTCCCTTTCTTTCCATCACCCCACTTCTCTCCCGCCACCCCGACCGCACCCCTCAGTGACTCTAATTCTCTTCAACTTTTCATGCAGAACCATAAAATGGCAGTGGACGAAAGCCTTGCTAGCACGTGGAGGCCTTGCGATCACATACCATCCTCCACCTTTCGCCCTCCTTCCCTTTCCTCCCGATGCCTCCCCTCCCCTACCCTTCCAGTGACTCTGATTCTCTTCAATCTCATGCAGAAGTACTAGAAGGCCGTGGAAGACAACAACAAGCACAGGGAGGCCTTGCAATCACAAACCAAACTCCTCTTCCTCTCCCATCTCCCCGTTTCTTTCTCCCTCATCCCACCCCTCCAGTGACTCTGATTCTCTTCAACTTCATGCAGAACTACAAGAAGGCAGTGGAAGACAACAACAAGCAGATAGAGGCGGAGAGGAAGAGGCTAGAGAGGGAGCTCAAGGCACAGCACAAGGCGGAAAGAGCGCTGCGCCACCCCACCACACCCCGACGAAGCGGCAGCAGCAGCAACGGCAGGAACAACAGCATCGGCGGTCCGAACGGCACTGCCACCACGCCCCGTAGAACCCCGGGAACGCCCAGAGCAGGCAGCACGGGGGGCGCACGTACCCCCCGGGGAGCAGCAGGCAGTGGTGCTGCTGCTGCCCCTGGTTCTGCCGGCGCGCCACGCACTCCCAGAGCCAGCAGCAGCAGCAGCAGCTTTAAGAGGAGCACGTCTACGAGCAGCAATGGGGATGGGCGCAGTGGGTCGTTTCGTAGGAGCTCCTCTTCTGCCACCTCTTCTGTGGACTCTCCTGCTACTCCCGGATCTGCTTCTGCTTCTGCTACCGGTTCTGCTTCTGCTGCTGGTCGTGCTGGGTGTCAGGAGGGCTCTAGGGCAAGTCCAGAGGCGCTGAGTGATTCTGCTGCTGGTGCTGCTGAAGGGACAGAGAAACGGGGGACGTCGAGTCCGGAAGGGCCAGCAGGAGCTTCGGTGGGCCTGCGAAGTAGCAGCAGCAGCACCGGGAGCAGCAGCAGCAGCAGCAGCAGCAGCAGCAGCAGCAACACTTGCAGCAGCAGTGCCAGCAGCAGCAGGAGCAGCGGCACCAGCGGCACCAGCAGCAGTAGTAGCAGCGGCAGCAGCGGCAGCAGCAGCGGCAGCAGCAGCAGCGCAGCATCTGCATCCACACCCCGTTCTTCCCTGGCCCGCACCCCTCGCTCCTCCTCCCTGCGACGAAGCTCAGGGCCAGACGACTTGTGTGAGGGCAACGGTGGCTGTCGGGAAAGCGGCAGTGAGAATGGAGGAAGCAGAGGGAGTAGAGGAGTTGGGCCTGCTAGCAGTAAGGAGGTGGGACAAGGAGGGAAGACTCCTAGATCTGGGTCGTTCAGAAGGAGCTCTGGGGAGGAGAGTGTGGGGCAGCCTGGGACGGGACCGGGACGAGGCAGTCAGAGTTGAGGCGTGTCTGTGCTGCTGTGCTGCTGTGTGGTGCTGCACGGGAATCAGCACGCATACAGCTGCGATAATAAGACCGTCATTCGAGCTGCTCTGGTGTGAACGCTGCAAAGTGCTCCTCTCCACAGCTCAACAACAGGCGACTACCACTAACTACCACTGACCCTTTACATGGCGGCGGCATCAGACGACGACTGACTTCTGACTTGCTTCACCTGGAACGTTCACCTCGACGATTGTTACTGACCGGCGGCTAACCATCATCAACACAACACTCATCACCAACATGCACCATTGACCCGCTTTACCTGCCCCGCCCTGCTCTGTGCTCTGTGCTCTGTGTGCTGGGCTTCACTCACCCTGCCCTGCCCTGCCTTGGCAGTTACCAACACTGGTTACCTCACGCTGGTAGTGGAAAGGTACCTCACATCAACTCGCATGGCATGGCAACCGACCGGCATAACGACTGGCATGGTATGGCGAAGTTGGAAAGGCATGGTGAGAGGTTGTACTACTCTGAGCTGCCGACTGTCGACAATACGGATTGCTGGAGCTTTCCTCGCGCTCCCTCTCGCTCACCTTCCCTGCAGGAGCAACCATGGTTCTTGTGTTTTGTACAGTACAGGACATCCTTACACCGGACTACCCCATAACACTACTTACACCCTTCTGTTCAGTTTGCTTCACACATGCTAGACCAGACCAGACCCGACTAACCCTGTAACTAGAGCCTATGTCTTGTTGCTTTCCCTTGTTTCCCTCCAATGTGTGAATACTGTATGCCGATTGTCTCGTGCACGTGTCCAGTCCAGCCCATTTGCTGCTTATCTGATTGCCACATATGGTAGGGGTTATGGATTCAATGATATATATACCTCAACACAAGCTGTATGCCAACCGTTGCACAAGAGGTAAAGAGGGCTTGGCTTGTTAAGGGAACCTGCCCTTGCAAAAGATTACATGAACAAACCAGACTCTGCTGCAATGCTGCAATGGAATCAAACCCTGCTTGCCATGCCAGCCCCAAGCGAGTTCTTTGCTGGGATGGCAACTTTGTTGCATTATCAAATGGTGTGTCGGCCTACAAGCCTTTGAGGCCGAGAGCAGTTTGACCAGGGTTGGTACAGGTACGAGCCGTAAAGAATCCCTTATGGCGATGGTAGGTACCGGTAGTACTAATGAAAAGCCTTCTTAAAAAAAGAAAAAAAGCAACAGCTGACTCTCACATACAATTTCTTAGACGTCTCGAAACAACTTGGTATCAGGCAGAGAGCAGTTGGCCCATGTGGTGCGAGTCGAGGATCTCAATCCAGTAGCCATTGGGGTCCTTGATGAACTTTCGATTTGACTCAATGGTCGCCAGGCTGTCAATCAAGCGGACAGCAGCTGGCCCATGTGGTGTGAGTCGAGGATCTCAATCCAGTAGCCATCGGGGTCCTTGATAAACGCCAGCCCCTTCATGCGCCCCTCGTCGGACTTCTTCACAAACAATTTCCGAGACGACACGAAAGCAACCCGTATCAGGCAGACAGCAGCTGGCCCATGTGGTGTGAGTCGAGGATCTCAATCCAGTAGCCATCGGGGTCCTTGATAAACGCCAGGCCCTTCATGCGCCCCTCGTCGGGCCTCTTCACAAACTCCACTCCCAGCTTCTCAAACCGCTCGCATGCGCTGTACACATCGTCCACCATCACACCGATGTGGCCTGCCAGGGAGGTGACGTGACGTGAGGAGAGGTGATGTGAGGTGAGGAGAGGTGATGTGAGGTGACGTGGTGCGATGTGGTCCAGGAATGAGTCCGGGAAGCGCAGGGGGACACAAAAACAAGATGGGAAAAAGGTGGCCAGAAGTGGGAATGCCTCCCACACTCACTCTCACTCACTTCTGGCGAGGAGACAGACTTCCTTTCACGCTCACTCACTCACCCCAGCCTCCCACACTCACCCCAGCCCCTGGGATCCGAGTTGCCATTGTGGTAGCCCTTGAAATCAGGGTCTGACTCCGTGCCCCAGTTGCTGTGCGGTCACATGCCAAGGTTGGGGCGAAGGGGGAAGGGAGATGGGGCGAAGGGGGAATTGGGGGAAAGAGGTGGGGAGAGGGGAGGCGATGGGAGGGGGCATCAAGGGGTCGAGAAAGACACGGAATGTCAGCACTAGTATACTCTGTAAGCAGCCCCCTCCTCAACTAGTAGTACGCGTAACGTGCATCACTCAACAGCTTCACTTCAACAGGCAAGGCAACCCCAACCCAAGCCCCCCCTTTCAAGGCCCCCACAAGGCTGCCCCCACAGCCCTCCCAAAAGGTCCTCCTTAAACCACCACAAGGTTCCCTCAAGGTCAAGGGCCCCTCCCTCCACCAATGCTCCCACACGCCCTCTCAAAGCCCCCACCAAGCCCCCCCCCAAGGGCCCCCCAAGGGTCCCCCAAGGGTCCCCCAATGCCCCCCCAACGTCCCTCAACAGCCCCTCCAAGGCCCCCCTAAGCCCCCCCTTGGCACCCTGGCTGGTCCATCCCGTACTGTGTGAGTGAGTTTGATGGTGGCCTTGCGAGTGAACAGCCACTCCATTCACCCTCTCCTCCTCCGTCGTTGGAATCTCCTCCGCCCAATGCAATGTTCTCCAACAAAGTGCCCCTTCAAAGCCCCTCCAAGGTCTCCTCAAAACCCCGAGTTCCCCCCACGTCCCCCCTAGGCACCCACCAAGCACCCCCCCAAGACACCCCCCAAGGGCCCCCCATCCAATGCCCCCCCCAAGAAGAATCCCCCCCATCCCGTACTGTGTGAGTTCGATGGTGGCCTTGCGAGTGAACAGCCACTTTACCCTCTCCTCCTCCGTCTTTGGAATCTCCTCCGGTTGCTGTGCACATGGGAGGGGGGGAGGAGGAAGAGCGTGAGGAGGGAAATAAATAGACGTATGAGAACTGACATGCTTCGAAGGAGGGGCATGGCAGACAGAGGCAAGAGAGTGTGAGATGCATCCACAGTTTTGAGTGCGACCATAAATTTTATGTATGCAACAATGTGACCAAGGATGATGTGTGCGTGACGTCACCTCATAGCCCATGAAGTAGAGGGAGAACTTTGCCTCGGGGAAGTCAAGACGCTTCAGCAGTCTGCAATAAGAAACAGCCACGTGGCGACTCAGAAAAAGACTCGTGGTCACTCAAAATTGCGGCGAGTACAGCAGGTTGGACAGAAGTGAAAGTCCAAAAAAAAAAAAAAAAAAAACCGATGTTGGTAGTAATGCCTACACGAGACGCCCTCACTGCTCTTTCGAGCCTCTTCACTCATTCCTTTTCACTCCAAAGACGTGGCATAACACTGCATGCCCCTTCCACCCACCCACCTCATGCCGAGAACAGAGGAGTAGAAGTGCAGACTGGCCTTGGGGTCCTTGATGCGATACATCTGATGCCATGCCACGTCATGTGCCATGCCATGCCACGCAATGCCGTGCCAATTCATGCCACGCCATGTTATGCCAAGCCACACCATTCCGTTGGAGTGAGGTTGTTTAAATAACAGCAAAGAGACAGAAGTTCCACGTTCTGTGCAGACGATGGGTGAAGTATACAGGAAACATGAAGAGCTGGGGGAGGAGGGGACGGACCCGCGAGGCACGTGTAGCTGAAATCCAATTGCCCCATGTCTGCTGTATACTTCACCCATCGTCTACAGACTGTACTGCCTGTTGCATGCAGCAGCGACTCCACATTCACATCTCGATTTCACTAGCGACGCAAAAAGCAGCGACTCAAACTCAAAGCAATTCCTTATCACTGCATTGTTGGTGGGTTACAGGTGCGACCTGGGGAAAATGAGTTTGCTACCCACCGTACATACATGCCCCTTTAACCCAGTGTGTGGCAGGCTGGATCAACACGCATGCTGTATCTGCTGGTGAAATCCCACCCGTCTCACAAACACACACACCTCACCAAACCATACCATACCATATCGCACCATACCGCACCGTACCGTCTGCTGCATGATGTATTTGCTGGTGGCGGGATCCACATCTTCCACCAGTCCCGGGTTATTGCTCGCTGACTCCTTCTCCACCGCCGCCGCCGCCGTTGCCGCCCCTGCTGTCTCTGGTGCCGCGGCCATAGCGTGAACCGTCACGCCCTGGTGCTGGGAAAGAAGGGGGTAGAAGGGGTGATGAAAAAGACAGAGTTGACGTAAGGAGGGAGACGAAGGAAAAGAGGCCAGGGATGGAGGCAGAGAGCATAGAGAGGCGGGAGAGAGGCAGGAGGGCAATGAAGACGAAACTTGCTTAGATAAGGAGGAGCAGCAATGCGAACATCGTCCTTAAAAGATGCATGCATTCCTTCAATGCTGCAATCGAGGCTCATATCATGCTGCACTCGACACTTGGATGACTTACCTTAGCGGATGACGCGTGGACCGACGAGGGGAACGAGAACCTTCGGAGGGACGACAAGCACGACCTGCGAGCGGAGTTACCGGCTGCTCGCCCGCCAATGGATTGCTGCCACGCGGCGGTCGCACGAAGCGTAAGCCCGGGGGCTGCACAGGCCATGCAACTGGCGACGTGGACAAGAGATCGAAACAAAGCTCGGATTTGTCGAGTGTGCTACAACAGATGACGCTACAAAAACAGCTTTAACTGTACCTCACAAGGTGACACCAGAGCAACGTGCGCGGAAGCAGGGACAAGAAAACAAGCCAAGACGTTTGTGGCGGCGAGGCGGCTTACCACCACGGACGACTGCCCAAGCACTGAGCTGAGCACTAACGCTTTCAGGAGCACGCTGGCTTGATTCCTGCGGATTCCGCCAGCGAGAATTCAGCAGGAGAAGCACGGCACAATCCAAATCAGCTCCAGAGGACAAGAGCAGAAACGGCGAGATACGGCTCTGAATGGAAATGGGTGGAAAAGGCCTGGGCTGGGACCTGAGAGGAACCTGATTGAAAAACTTTCAGGCTACCGCCATATCGCGTTTATACTGTAGATGGATGGTCCTAGAGATTGACTTTGTGGCGTGCGAAAGCCTGAAGAAAGAAGAACCAATCAGAAAAACTTGGGCCGAACCAGTGAGGAGGAGATTTGGTGGCGTTTCCGCGTCTGCGATCTGTCGCCACGCCATGAAGCGCAGACGCGACGAGGATTATGTCGCAAATATTATTTGGTTGGCAACGGCTTTCGATACTAGTTGGAGTCCGAAAGGTACAGCAAATAATAACACTTGGCAATACATCTGTTCAATGAGAGCATCAAGCATCGCTTCATGACCTTCTCTGTCCAGTCTAAAAAAAAAAAAAAAATCACCGCTACCAAGGCACCCATCAGCAGCACAATTATTTAGTGCCCATAAGTGCGGCAAGCTGGCTTTGCAGGTCATCCAAATCTGCCTCTGCAGGTACTGACACCACATCCTCCGCTGATGCAGAATCAGCCACCTCGTCTGCTTGTGGCAAGGAGCGCAGGAGGCCCTCTGGCAGCTGCTCTGCTTGCGAAGATGATGGCGCTGCTGCTGCTTGTGTGCATGGGATTGAACCGAACAAGACAGGAAAGAAGAAGAAGAAGAAAAAAAATCGTGGCGCAAGCCCAATCATCAGAGCACACGCCAGGGCTTGTGGAGAGCACACTCTCACACACGCACAGATGAACATCGCAGATTGACACGGAAGTGTGGCTTTAAAGAGACATACTCCAGGCACAGAGCAGCTAGGACAGGAAAAAAACGGAGAGAGAACAAGGACGGAAGGTGACCGGATCAACTTGCGGACCTGGTGATGCCGATGCAGCAGTCGATGCAGCCGGGGCATCGTCCTCAACCACACTGCGAGTCATGAAGCAACGGGGTATAAAGCAGTAGCACCAATGACGCATGTAAGTGAGGGAGAGTCAGTGACAGAGAAAAGAAGGAAAGAGGGAGGCGAGGGTTGGATTGAGGAAGGCAAGATTAAAAGAGGGAGGCGAGGGTAGATTGAGGAAGGCAAGAGGTATAACGTTGCACGAGGGTCACATGAGCAACACTTGGTTTTCGACCACAACCATGTTCTGCCACTTATGAATCACATCACAACATATGCAATCGCCAGCCCACCATCACCTGATGTTCCACTCCTTCTCAGGATGCACCGGCACAGCCTCCTCGCATTTCTCCTCCTTCCCTGCAGCTACTGCCACTGTTTCCCAGGTGAACCAACAGTCTACCAACAACAGCGCTAACCATTCCCCTGACCACCTCACCTGTAGCCAGCCCATCACAATCTGCTTGTATCACTTCTGAGAATTCTCAAAAGTGATACAAGCAGCGCCAGCCCACCATCAGCTGATGCTCCACTCGTTCTCAGCGTGCACTGGCACAGCCTCCTTAAGCTTCTCCTCCTCTGCTGCTGCTAGTGCTACTGTTGCCCAGGTGAACCAACAGCCCACCATAAACACCCCATAAGCATTCCCATCTATCACCAGCCCATCATTACCTGATGCTCCACTCGTTCTCAGCATGCACTGGCACCGCCTCCTTAAGCTTCTCCTCCTCTGCTGCTGCCGCCGCCGCTGCTGCCTCGGCTGCCTCTCGCCTGGGCCTGTCAGCCTCGTACTCAGCCTGCCGTAGGAAAAGCAACGGGTAGGGGGCGTTTGGAATAGTAGATTCGATAGCCTGCTCTGCTTGTGATGAGCTGCCTCGGCTGCCTCTCGCCTGGGCCTGTCAGCCTCAGTCTACTCAGCGTGCCGAGTGGAAAGGGGCCAAGGGACAGATACGAGGACAGAGGGATAGGTGCGCAACGGGGCAGCAGGGAGAGAGAGCACAGGTTCAGGGTTTAGGGAGCAGGAGCAGAAGGTCCCTTGGACCAGTGACACGTGGTGACCATAACCATGCCATGCAACACATGGCATTGCACTGCACTACAATCTACTGCACTGCACTGCACTGCACTGCACTGCACTGTACTACACCACACTGCACTGCACAATCCCAATGCTGCTGGTATTGAGCGCTGCAGGGCACCTGTCGCTTGCAGCACATGTCGTTGGAGCAGTGGGGGTTGGGCAGCATGCGCATGGTGGGGAAGAAATCCTTGAGCGCACTGTAGCCCTGGGGGGCAGCCATGGCAGGGAGGGGGGGGGAGGAGGAAAGAAGGGCCGGGCGGGAAGGCAGGAGGGATGCAAAGAGAGAGGCACCAGGGGTAGGCAAAGAGAGAAAAAAATCCGTGAGTGCACTGCACTGGATTGTATTCCTGAGGTTGATAGAAGGGAGGAAGGGCAACAAGGGTGGCGAGGAGGGAGGGAAGGAGGATGTGAGGTGAAAGAAAGAGGGCTTGAGCGGGAGCATGCCAGAGAGAACTGAGAAGGCTAAAAGCGGATCAGAGGGGCAAGATGAACAAAAACCAGCCCAGCTAGCGTTCTATAAGGGGGTTCAGGAAGAGGTTATGGGATGTATCCTACGTACAAGGTAGGGCGTGACAGATCCGAAGCGCAGGAGGAACTTGAGGGTGTTCTGCACGAGCAGCCCTGCAATGATGCCCATGGTGGTGGGCAGTGACGCTGCACACACGCCCTCACGCTTCAGCGTGCGCTCATCCACGCCCGATGCCACCACCTGTCGTGGAAAAGCAGGGGGAGTGGAGGGGAGGGGTGGGAGGGATAGGAGGGGGGAGGTTGGGAGGAAGGTTGAGGTATAGATGGAGACTCTACGAGAGAGAGGTAGGGGAAGGGAATGTGCGCTTCAGCATGCATTGAAACACACAATGCCAGCACATGGAATAGACAAGAGGCACCAGGAGTTTGGCCGGGTACGTGAGGCCTGAACGGAGAGGCATTACGACTGTTGCAGAGCAGTGCTGCTGGAAGCGAGCGGACCAAGAATAAGGGATCAAACGAGGATGAGGGTATGAGGGCATGAGGGTATGACGGTATGAGCACCAGAGGAGGAGCGCAAGCGAAGCAGGCAGTTTCTCCTGGGATGAGCAGCTGGATGTGGCCTGATACTGCGTCCTCTGACACTCCCGACTCCATCCACACCTGCTTCAGCTCGTTGCACGCCTGCCATGCAACAAGAACCACAGGGGGTTGTGGAATCAACAACAACAGCACCACCAGCGTCTATTCACTCAACCTCCCACCCAACCCCCACCCCCACACACTCCTCCCTCTAACCCCCTCCTCTCCCCCTCCCTTCTCCTCCCCCCTCTCCCATCCCTACCTGGTTGACGACCATGCGCGCCTCGTAGTTATCAACGCACGACAGCACCAGGTCTACGCGGCTCTTGCTGCGCTCCGACGGGTGAGTGAGACTCGCGGTGAACCGCTCAAACCCTTCCACCGTCGTGATGTTGATCGTGTAGCTCTGAGGGAGGGGGGAGAAGCGGGGGACGGGATGGGGCGAGAGCGGCAGGAGGGCCCAGGAAAGAAGGGGGGGGGGGAATACATGGGCGGATGAGTGAGTGAGATTTGCCGTGAACCGCTCAAACCCTTCCACCGTCGTGATGTTGACCGTGTAGCTCTGGGGTAGGGAAGTCAGCGGAAGGGCGTGAGCGATGGGGGAGGGGCGCGAAGGAGGAGAGAGGGGTGGGAAAGAGGGTAAGGGAACACATGGGTTGATGGGTGAGTCAGACTCGCTGTGAACCGCTCAAACCCTTTCACCGTCGGGATGTCGATTGTGTAACTCTGGGAGATGGTGTGGCATGGCAAATGACAGGGTGAATTCCATGGTGTGAGTGCCATGGTGTGAGTGCCATGGTGTGTCATTGGCATGGTGTGTGCGTGGCATGGAGAGTGACTAACCTCAAGGCCCACATCCGGGTTGATGCCTTGGAGCGTTTGCACTGCAGCGTCTGTCTTGGTCATGCCCACCTGACAAGCAGTCACGGTGGCACGGGGGAGTGAGGGAGAGAGGGAGGTGGTGAGCGAGTGGGTGAGTGCGTGAGTGGAGAGCCCAACTTGACACGGAAGAATGTGCTATGGGGTGTAGTGCGTTTGAGGACAGCATGACACAAACACTAGCACATCAGCGCGCGCACCACAACTGCAACAGCACACCGCACCCAGCGCCCAGCACAAAGCAGGCAGCAGGCAGCACGAGCAGCACCCAACCCACCTGGTCGGGGCGCAGCACCCAACACACAGCACACAGCACCCAGCACCCAGCACTCAGCACCCAGCACCCAGCACCCAGCACCCAGCACCCAGCACCCAGCACCACAGAGGTGTGCAGCACGCACGCACCTGGTCGGGGCGGAAGAAGAGGCGGTTCATGTTGGCGAGCTCCACGCTGTCATAGTCGTACAGCAGCAAGCGGCCGATGCCACACCGCGTCAACATCTCCGCCGCCACACTGCCCACTCCTCCCACGCCCTGGTGCACGCAGGAACCGCCAGCAGAGAGGGAGGGAGGCCGACAGGCAGACATGCAGACAGGTGGGCAGGCGGGCAAGGGGGGAGGGAGGCAGGCAGACAGGCAGGCATGCAGACAGGTGGGCAGGCGGGCAAGGGGGGAGGGAGGCAGGCAGACAGGCAGGCATGCAGACAGATGGGCAGGCGGGCAAGGGGTGAGGGGGGCAGGCAGACAGGCAGGCATGCAGACGGGCAGGCAGGGAGGGAGGGAGACAGACAGGCAGACATGCATGGGTGGGAGGACGAATTGATGATGTGTGTTTAAACCAGGAGAGGAGATGCGGAATGGGCAAAAAAAGGCACGGGGTTTTTGACAGAACGCATGGCAGGTGAAAGAGCAGCAGCGATGCAGCTGAGAATAAATACCGACGGTGGGGAGATGGGTGGGGAAGGGGGTATGGAAAGGCGCAAGAGAGCGGAGCAAGAGGAAGACGAGCCGGGGCAATGGGCAAACAGGGAGGAAGAGACATGGACGGTCAGGCGAGGAAGGGAAGGATGGATGGGCGGAAACGGGACGGGATGGGAGAACGAATAAGAGAACAGAATTTGCTTTGCGGAGACCGCGGGGGTGAAATGGGGAGGGGGGAAGGGAAAGTGAGTGAAAGGGGATGCGAAGGGCAGAGGGCATACCACAATAGCGACAGTGTATTTTCGGATGTCTTGGTAGTTGTGCACGATGCCCATGCGCTGCAGGGCCATGAGACGACTGTATGGGTTGCTGCTCACCACCTCGCCACTCATCTCCTGCACACACGCATGCAGGCACGCATGCAGGCAGGTAAGCAAGCAGGCAGACAGGCAGGCAGGCAGGTAGGTAAGCAAGCAAGCAAACATACAAACAAGCAGCAAAAGAAGAAAGCAAGCATGCACACGCACACGCACACGCACGCAGACAAGCAAGCAAACGGGTATGAAGAGAAGGAAGCAAGCGTGGACGCATGTGTGTGCAAGCAAGGACGTCAAGACGTAACATTCAAAGGAAGGGTGAATGCTCGATGATTGAGACAAGGCGGATGAGACGGAGTGGAGAGCACAAGAGGACACGGCATGAGCGGAGAAGGTGGACTGGGACATGGAGAGAGGGAAGGGAAGAAACGGGAAGGAAAGGGAAGGGGAAGGGGAAGGAAAGGAAAGGGAAGGGAAGGGAAAGGGGAAGGGAAGGAAAGGGAAGGGAAAGGGGAAGGGAAGGAAAGGGAAGGGAAAGGGGAAGGGAAGGAAACGGAAGGGGAACGGGAAGGGAAAGAAAGGGAAGGGGAACGGGAAGGGAAGGAAAGGGAAGGGGAACGGGAAGGGAAGGAAAGGGAAGGGGAATGGGAAGGGAAGGAAAGGGAAGGGGAACGGGAAGGGAAGGAAAGGGAAGGGGAACGGGAAGGGAAGGAAAGGGAAGGGGAACGGGAAGGGAAGGAAAGGGAAGGGGAACGGGAAGGGAAGGAAAGGGAAGGGGAACGGGAAGGGAAGGAAAGGGAAGGGGAACGGGAAGGGGAACGGGAAGGGAAGGGGAACGGGAAGGGAAGGACGCACTCGAAGGTCCGCCTCCGCAGCTGTCGCTTCGCCTGCTGACGTGGACGATCCCTTGATAGCCTGCAGCCATTGCAGATGCTGCTGCGCCTGTAAACGGATACGATAAGGAGTTGGGAGGTGATAGAAGATAAGGTGAGGGAGATAGGACGAGGGATCGTGAGGAGAGGAAGATAAGGAGAGAGGAGAGAGGAAGCAGGAAGGAGGAAGGAGGAAGAGAAAGGAAGAGAAAGGAGTGAAATACATCTTCAGATGGAAAACCGAACGGCATCTAAAAAGTCACGAGCCCGCGAAGTACGGCGGAAACTACATGTCAGATGGGCTATTGTTGTCAAAATGAATACGCAGACGAAAGAGACGAAGGGAATGGGAGAAAACCAGAATGGGATCCAAAGGCGGAATAATCTACGGGAGTCCTGCGAAAATGACAAAGCGAATAATCTACGGAAGAAGCAGGAGATTCGGTGAGGATCATAAGCCAATGCGGAAATGACAGGAGATCCAAACTTGGTGAAAGTTACGACGAAGCTAGGTTGCACGGACCCGTCCGAGCTCGTCGGGTGATAGTCGTGACTGGAGCTTCGACAGGAGGCCTATCAAGCCCGCCGCGTGCGACGCTGCATCCGCCATTGTTGAATATGTTTGACGATTTAGTGGGTATGGATCAGAGAAAAGCGGCTGGCGAAAATGTCGAATGATGGTAGGGATGTACTGTATCTTTCAACAAAACATTTACTGTATCTGAACACTTACATCACTACCTTTAGATCTGGTTGGCTTGTTAACTTATCGGCTATATCGTCCGCTTGTTTCTTAACGAGGACACGCCATTGATCTTGGATCTGGCTGCACGTGAACTAGCCCAGTGGTGTGAGATGTGGCCACGTCGCCACCTGCCAGCAGGTAACCCCTCAACTCAGCCCCCACTGCATTCCGGCAAGCGAAATATCACGACAGCAGGTAACCTCCCACGTGATACATTTCGCTTGAAGAAGCGAAACACAAAACCCATCCCACACTGCTTCCGAACGAACCTAACGAACCAGCCGAAGCTCCGCTGCGCCACTTGCTCGGGTTTCGTCAGGCTCGTATCCGCTCACTTCCCTTCCCTTGGTCTGAACAGCTGGTTCAAGAGAATCCCTATGGTCATGTAATGCCTGAGCTGGGAGCTTAGGAACTTCAGCAGCAGTAGCCGTCACAGCTCGCTCCGTCACGATAGCAACGGCCGTGCTTCAAGGGAACTCATTGCGTGAGAAAGAGGTGGGAATACGAAGGGAGGGATTCTGGAAACGAGCAGGAGAATGGGATGGTCAGGCGCTTCCCTGCTCTGCCCAACCTCTAACCATCGCTGCGCGCCGACATTACTCTCCTCTTCCTCCTCCTTCTCCTCCTCCGTATCCTCCTCCAATGGGGTTACGCCAGGATATTTCGGGACACCAATCGTCCACGACAATACCAATACCCTGCAGAGATCTTGCTCCCGGCTAGCAGCACCACCACCACTGGCACCATCATGCGCAAACCGCTCTCTTGCTCTCCATCCTCACCACCCTCATCGCAGCCGTCATTGTCACTCTCACACCCTCTCTGTTCTTTCTACTCCTGTCGCACTTTCCTGTCTTCCGCCGGCCGCCTTCGCCCGCGCCTCGCCGTTCCTTGCCCATTCCCGCGCCAGAAGCGGGAGCGTAAGAATCGCCGCACGCTACAGCAGCAGGCCCAGCAGCGACAGCAGCAGCGGGAGCGCGCGTGGCGGGATCGTCAGCAGCAGCAACATCAGCAGCAGCAGCACGAGATGCAACGCGACGAAGCGGGCTCCCGCGAACGCGGAGAGTGAGGAGGGCGACGCGGGGGAAACAGCAGCGGCGCACGCGACAGTCAACGGGAAAGGCGAGGAAGGGAACAAAACGGCGCGGGGATTGACGGCCGTGGTACTGGCAGCCGCGCTGCTCCTAGCCCCGCCGCTGCCTACCCCCGTGCTGCACTGGAGATTGGACGACTCGCAGCAGTCGCAGCTGTCGCAGCAGTCGCAGCAGTCGCAGGTGGAGCAGCCGTTGGGGCAGGCGCGGCAGACGCAGGAGGTTGAATGGGAGGCGCAGGCGCAGCAATGGCGGCGGGCAGGGCTGGGGGTGGGAGTGGAGGTGCGATGGGACGACGGCGCAGCGCATGCTTTCTTACTGGAAAAGGTATGGCCTTTCTGCCTTGCTGCCTTGCTGCTGCCTTGCTACTGCCTTCCTGTCTCCCTGTCTCCCTGCCTCCCCGCCTCCCAGCATTCCTGCCTTGCTTGTTAGAGACGAAGCAGCAGCCGCTTAGGTGAGATTGACGGTGCAGCCTTCACTGAGATGCGACCCAAGTAGTCTCACCCTCTCTGAAACTCATTCCTTTGCTTTCCCATTCATTCCCCTCCGTACCCCTGCATTCCCCGTCGCATACCTGGCGTGTTCGATTCTCTCTGTGCGCGCAGATCAAGACGCTGGAACGCTCCTTGGAAAGTTGACTTTTGAGTCGACTCAAAAGTCAGTCGACTCAAAAGTCGAGTCGACTCAAAAGTCATTCCCCGTCGCATACCTGGCGTGTTTGATTCTCTCTGTGCGCGCAGATCAAGACGCTGGAGCGCTCCTTGGAAAGCCTGGTCACCTCCATTAAGAACGGCAAGGTGCAGCAAAACAGTGGCCCCTCTTCTCATTTCGTTATCGCTCCCACTCTCTCCCTCCTCCATTCCGCTCCTTTCCACTGATTTCCTGTCTCTGCCTTCTCCTCTCTCCCTAGATCTCATCCTCCCTCCCTCCCTTTCTTCATCTTCTGCTCCCTTTTCCTGCTCCACTCCCTCTCTCCTTCTTCCATTGTCCTCTTCTGCCTTGTCTCCTCCCCTTTTGTCCACTGCATAGGGCAAATAATCTTCTTTTTCCATTCGGCTCCTGTGCACCATGCTATCTCCCATGCTCTCCCCCACGCTCCACCTTTTCCCCAAGCTCCCCTCCCCTGTGTATTTCGCCCGTCGCCCTCACCGTACCCGCACTCTCCCCTGTTGCGCCCCTCCCTACCTGCCCACACCACAGGTGCTTGACAAGTTCATCACTGTGTGGACGGGCCCTCTGGTGCGTGCTGCATGCCATGACATGCTGTGCCATCTCATGTCATGTTGTGCCGTGTTGCGCCATACGCAACTGCCTTGCCGCCCGTCATGTCTTGCTTTAATAACAAGAAAATCGAGGGACGGGACGGGATGGGACAGGAGGAATGTCATGTCATGTTATGTCATGTTATGTCATGTTATGTCATGTTATGTCATGTTATGTCATGTTATGTCATGTTATGTCATGTTATGTCATGTTATGTCATGTTATGTCATGTTATGTCATGTTATGTCATGTTATGTCATGTTATGTCATGTTATGTCATGTTATGTCATGTTATGTCATGTTATGTCATGTTATGTCATGTTATGTCATGTTATGTCATGTTATGTCATGTTATGTCATGTTATGTCATGTTATGTCATGTTATGTCATGTTATGTCATGTTATGTCATGTTATGTCATGTTATGTCATGTTATGTCATGTTATGTCATGTTATGTCATGTTATGTCATGTTATGTCATGTTATGTCATGTTATGTCATGTTATGTCATGTTATGTCATGTTATGTCATGTTATGTCATGTTATGTCATGTTATGTCATGTTATGTCATGTTATGTCATGTTATGTCATGTTATGTCATGTTATGTCATGTTATGTCATGTTATGTCATGTTATGTCATGTTATGTCATGTTATGTCATGTTATGTCATGTTATGTCATGTTATGTCATGTTATGTCATGTTATGTCATGTTATGTCATGTTATGTCATGTTATGTCATGTTATGTCATGTTATGTCATGTTATGTCATGTTATGTCATGTTATGTCATGTTATGTCATGTTATGTCATGTTATGTCATGTTATGTCATGTTATGTCATGTTATGTCATGTTATGTCATGTTATGTCATGTTATGTCATGTCATGTCATGTCATGTCATGTCATGTCATGTCATGTCATGTCATGTCATGTCATGTCATGTCATGTCATGTCATGTCATGTCATGACATGTCATGTCATGTCATGTCATGTCATGTCATGTCATGTTATGTGTCATGCCGTGCCGTGACATGGCATCATCCCTCGCTGCAAAGCTCCTCGTTTCACTCTATCACGTCGCCACCTCTATCCATCATCCCACGCTGCAAAGCTCTCATGTGCTGTGCTGTGCTGTCTCCCTCTCCTCCCTCTCCGCCCCATCTCGCCCATCTCGCCCGCCCCTACCCCCCACCAGGTGACATCAGACGTGGTGGACGCGCAGGTCAAGGCAGTGCTCGACGCTGAGAAGAGGGTACGATGCCTTTTCTCGCCTTCCTGGAAGCTTTGGGGCGGGGCAGGGGGAGAGGGGCGGGGTGGGAGCTTTGGAAAAAGGGATCAGGGCCGCTTTCTTTAGCCTCCCGTTCGCTTTTGGTTGTTGTTGTGTCATATTATCCCTTGCTCTTCCTAACTTCCCCTCGCACTTACCACTCTCTTCCTTCTCCACTCTCCCCTTTCATCACGCACCACCCTTACCACACTCCCCCTCTCCCTCCTCACCTCTCTCCCTCCCATCATTCTCCCTCCCCGCCACTCTCCCCTTCATCCCCCTCCCCTCTCACCACTCCCCTCCCACCCTCACCTCTCCCAACCCCCATCCGGCATGTGCCCGTACGGCACCACGGGGGGCCATGCCATGCCATGCCATGCAATGGGACAGGAGGCGGGCTTTAACGTGGACCGCATTGGGGAGTACGTTTTTGACGCAGCTGCCGAAGTCGCCTCCAGGGTATGCCCTGCCTGCCTGCCTGCCTGCCTGCTTGCTTGCTTGATTGTTTTCTTGCTTGGTGCTTTATTGCTTTAGACACTTCTCAAAAGTGATACTAGCTAGCAGCCTCCTCCAAAGTACGTCTTGCTTGCTTGCTTGCTTGCTGGCTTGGTGCTTGCAGCTTGCTGCTTTCAGCTTGCTGCTTTTGAGGCGCCTCAAAAGCCGCTCTCACCATCTCTCTTCCCCTTCCACTCCCTCCCATCCTCCTCCTCTTCGATCACCATCTTCCTTCTTCCGCTGCCTGTCCCGCACCTTGTTTGAGTTGATCCGAAGGCTATCCCTGCCTGTCCCACATCTCTGCATGTCGCTCACATTCCTCCCGCACGCAGCTCTCTCACTTCCCTCTCGCAGCAGAGGGCGAGGCGAAGTGCCTGCTGTGGCTGCCTGC